GTAATTCGATGAAGGAACAGTTGCTATCCAGGTACATATCAGCAAGGGCAATCAGGCTCTGACTGGTTATTTCATGTACCTGGAGTCGAGAAATCTTCTGACTTCTTTGGCCTCAATTGTCTCCGGGTTAGGCTATAGTGACACTCGACTTTGCGTTTCTATCCAACACTCAATGTTCATGAGCACCATTCTAATCATATGCTTTTGCATAATCAAGCAGACGACTGAACCAACCTGGCAAGGGGTGCAGATTGTGCTGCTTGGAGGGCCTATCGCACATGGTCAGTCTGTCGCCCAGGCTACTGTCGCTAACGGGAGAGTGGAAAGTGCCAAAGGGGGCAATAGATTTGTAAAAAAAAAAAAAAAAAAAAAAGGGAAAAAAAAGAGCGAGTGGGGTGAGACCGAACTCACGTATGCAGCGAGTTTTCCTTGCCTTGCAATTGTCGCAAGACTTAGCAACGCGAGGTTGAAGTCTGTCGGTCATTGTTGCAGTTGTGCCATCGGATTACGGAAGTGGCAGGACGAAGCCCGATGACGGCACCAAAAGCGAGAGACGGCAGCCCGCTCTTTCACGTGACTTCGGCTTTCGAAGGTTGGCCCATTAGGACCTTCGGCTCTCGATTCCGAAATCCGCGAACATCGACTTACCAGGAGAACCAATTGTGGACGCATTGAATTACGGAGATGGAATACCACTACTTCCTTTATCTTTCACTGTTTGGAAGAGGGGAGGCCGAGAGCAAAGTCTGCCCGTGAGACATTCACATGCCGACCGAGTTGGGCTAGAATATACTATCAGATATTTATAACAGAATCAGAACCTTCTCGAGTTTTAGCCCCCACTCTCAGACCATTTATCGAGATAGGGTCAAGGCAACGATACCTTTCAACAGTAGACTAGCCCATTCTATGCTCAGGGGCGTTGGCTGTAGTGGTGGCGGTGGGTGCCAAAGCTTTTTCTCAGCATGCGATTAGAGGCCCCATAAAAAGTGAACTTAAACATGTGAGCAAGGGGACTGCCCAGAGTATATGAGTTAAGTGTCCTTATACTGTGAGCAAAGCACGGCTTAATAGCTACAGATTCCACAGATATGTAGTCCAGGCAGGCGGCGGCTAGCTGGCAGACAGTGCTCGAAGCAATGATTGCATAAAAGCAGGGAGCCTGATCTCATTCTATCACTAATAACGGTTGCTCTTAGCAAGATACCACAGGCACTGCTATCGCTGCTATCACTATCCAGAAAACATGTGGGTAATCTGAGGAATGCATACATTTACAGGGGTGGGCAAACATTAAGTGTCCCCACACTGGAGCTTGACTCGGCTAGGTCTCCATCCCTATCAAGCCACATTATAACAACACCATTAAGAACCACTAAGTCTATAAAGTTTCATGTACATCGTAAGCAGGTCACCTGACGCCTAGTCCCAAGCACATCTACTCGGGCCTGTGAACGCGAATTACCAGCTTTCCTAATCCTCCCCGACCGCTGTAAACAGTCCCACAAGCCTTTCTCACAGCTTCAATATCTTGTAGGTCGACGACTGATCCCACTACTGTTTTGAGTCTCCCATCTTCCACATATCGAGTCAGTTCATCCAAGTTCTCACCAGACGATACCAGAAACATGTAGGAATATTCTGTCTTGTAACGGTATGCCCTGGCCTTTCGGACCTGATCAAGCATATTGAGTCCCATCCGAAAGGGGAACGGAATAGTGGGTCGGTGAGGCAGGTCCATAAGAGGTGAATCCTGCAGTTGATTTCCAGAAGGTAGAGTCGAGACTGATACAATACGGCTAGATCCTGGTCGCATCAGACACAGGAGCTCCATGGAAGAGCCTACAGTATCAAAGAGGAAATCAATTGTGCCATGTTCAATCACATCTCTGGGGTCGGATTTCGTGTAGTCGATAACTGAACAAGCGTTAGGGAAAGATACAGAAGGGGCGGGTAGTGATAGAGTCTTACCCTGGTCAATAGTGTTTTCGCCAAGAAGCTCTGCCAATTTCGGAATTTTCGCAGTTGAGACCGTAGTGATGACCTTACCAGCATGGAAAACATGCTTGGCAAGTTGGCATGCGAACAAGCCGGTTCCGCTCACTATGTGTCATTAGCATATTGAGCAGTACATGGATTCCATTGGGAGTCGAACATCCAGCAGGAACGAAGACGGTTTTTCCGGCAAGGTCGCCACGGTACAATCGAAGAGCCTGGAGGGCGGTCATTGCTGCTAGTGGAATTGAGGCTGCTTCTTCAAAAGATAGAGAAGGCGGCTTAAGACCAATATGTTCCTCAGAGCATCTGACGAATTCGCTGCATGACCCTGTGTTTTGCTTCAGTAATTGAGTTAAAGAATATCGGGTACAAGCAGTCTTACCCCGGGATACTTCGGGTAATCTAATATACACAGCGTCTCCGATTCTGAACTTTTTCACGTCCCGACCAGTTTCTTGAACCACACCGGCACAATCGTAGCCGATCTTAAAAGGAAAACTGACCCTATTAGCATCATCTTCGGTAATGGCGAGAAGTCATACATACGGGTCTTTCACTGCAAGTTTCAGAGCGCCATCGGCTCTCTTGACGTCAATGGGATTGATGCTAGCGGCATAAACCTTGACTATTACATCTTTTGAGTCGATGAGACTCGGCGAGGGCAATTTTGAGACCTGATACTCGGAGGGTTTCGAGTATGATGATATATTTAGGGACAGCATTTCCATATTGAGTTTTAAGACGAGGTATGGAGGCGGTAAAAGAAGGCTAGAAGGGAAATCAACGAAATCAAAGACCAGTCTAGTGACTGCGTGCTGAGTGTACATATAGAGCGTAACGCAGAAGTGGATGGAGGCGAGATACGGTTATATTTCCCTTTCGAATGGGTCTCTTAAAGACTCACGACAGAGCAAAAACCACCCCGAGTAACACGAAAAGGCTATTACTATGTCTAGTCGTCATCACGAGAATTGGCTATTAGCTCGGATCGACTCGCAAGCCTACCTCGATTTGGTTAAGCCCAGTCGGTACCAAGGACATACCCGCATGCCCGTCGGACCCGCATACTGTGCGATATCCGAGGTATAAGGTTCATAATGCGAAGTCCGCCAGTGGCGAAGCTAATCTATAAATTTCATAACGTAAACTTTAGTTATGCTTACTAGAGGTTCTCGAAAGGCACTTTTCCGTATATGACTTGCTGTCTGATGCTACCTAGTACGCAGGGCATGTTTGCTCCCCGGGGATCGCTTCTGCCACAGTGATCCTAATGTCGTCGGAAATATTTTCCTGACTCCACACTGCCCTCAATTGCTCAGGCCTGCCGAATGTACGTAATGCATAAGCCTGCCATGTCTACGCGAAATCATCGCATTTAATCAAAAAGGAAAAGCATGTTCTGACATATACTTGGAAATGTATTCATAGTGTGCCTTCTCGGACTGGCTGATACTCGGTATAGACACCAACATAAAATGGTAACGGCGATCGCCTTGATAGAGTTTGCGAGGTCCAGAAGCTAGATCGGCATATTACACGGACGCTTTTCAGAAGTCAGACATACTAAACCTCTTGAACTTAGGATTTGATAAAGTCAAGCAGGTCTTGATTGACTTCATCAACATTGATGTTGTGAATGGCATGGGATCCGCCTTTGTAGATCTTCAGTTTGCCTTGAGGAAGAAGTTTTGCTGACTTCAGCCCAGCTGCCTCAATAGGAACCACCTGATCATCGTCCCCATGAAGAACCAGTACTGGTATATTGATCTTCTTTAGATCTTCCGTGAAGTCCGTTTCAGAGAAATCCCTGATTGAGTCATATGCGGACTTGAAACTGGTGTTCATCCCCTGCTGCCACCAGCTACGGATTTGTCCTTCACTCTTCTGCACATGAGGTCGGTTGAATCCGAAAAACGGTCCGCTGGGAACATCCAAAAAGAATTGCGCGCGGTCTTGACGCATGGCCTGTCGGAACGAATCGAAAACCGACTTATCTGTACCTTCGGGGTTGCCACTACCCTTCAGCATCAAAGGGGGTACGGCGCCGATCAGAACGGCTTTCTTGAAGCGCCCAGTGCCATGTTTTCCAAGGTAATGGGTGACCTCTCCTCCTCCATGGGAATGTCCAACCATGACCGCATCTTGTACCTTAAGGTGCGCAAAAAGCTCCTCTAAGTCATCGACAAAGGTGTCCATGTTATTCCCATCCCAGGTCTGAGTTGATCGTCCATGGCCACGGCGATCGTGTGCAATAACGCGGTAACCGTGATCGCCGAGGAACATCATCTGGTTTTCCCAGTTGTCACTGCTCAAGGGCCACCCATGGGAGAAGGTTATGATGGGTCCTCTGGGGTTGCCCCAGTCCTTGTAGAAGAGCTCGGCTCCGTCTCGAAGCTTCAAGTGTGGCATGGTTGTGAAAAATTTTATCAGTAATTGATGAGGAATTCCAACGTCTGAGATTAGATGATCCTTACGGATTGAAGGGCTGGGGATGTGTATAAGGGCGCAGGTTTATACTATCAGCTGCCCAGCTATACTGGCCTGGTATTGGCGAGCTAGAGTTTCATCGCGTACGTTGTCATGACGTTACCAGGAAATTTTGGCTTTCCGATGGCCGATTCACTGTAATGGAAGTTTGTTCGCCCAGAATCAGGCAATCTATCCTTTACTTGCCGAAATGCGGAAGCTTATTTAGTGGGCCTATTGAGGATCCAGGCTTTCTTGCTGCCAAGACAAATGCCCAGAACGTCAGCCCAGTTACAGCTACTAGCCTTGTTCCTGTTTCCATGCCATGACAATTTATTATCGGAACTCTAGCATTCCCCTTGCTGTGTATTGCCGGAACGATGTTGCTCCGCCGTTGTGCTCATGGGAACCACTGAACTTTGATTCACAATTGTATCGGGCCTCGGTAGTGTTCTGCTCGATTTTACCCATGGTACGCCCCCGTCTTCCTCACATGCTAGCACTAGGATCGCAAGTCCACCCACAACCGACCTCTAGGATGGTTAAAGAGGGATGGAGATGGGCCGCGAGACCTATATCAACCCTGCCATCACCTACGTCAACAGACAACCACACATGAAATAATCAGAATCTGGTTTGGTATTCAAGCCACCCATAGCATAATGTCTTCGACCGCAGACCACTTGTCAGCAGCATCCACAAAGGCCATTGCACCGTATGTGAACCTCAGGCTTCCCATATCTTGAAGCGGTAATGACTCCTACCTGAGGGTAGACGCTCAAAATCACAGACAGTTCAGGTCGAATTCGGAGGTCAAAAGGTCGATGTACCCAAAGGAGGTTACTATGACCGCTACCGTATGAACCCGAACCTGGATGAGGTAGCTCAGGACCCGAACATCGGACACGATATCGCATTTCTCCGGAAAATCCCCAAGAAGCTGGTCGATTCGAGGGTCGGTCAAGTATATGCACCCAATTTCTATTATCGCACTAGCAGCGTCCAGCTCGTCATCCTCGCGCCTCTTGACCAATTAAAGTCTAAGCTCCCTGCGCCGTTGGAGCCTCTTACAGCATTGCCGGGTTACGGCTTAGTTGCCTTGACATTTTATTCGTATCTGGTCTGCGACAATGATCCTTACAACGAGGTCTCTATCGCCATCATCATTCGGCAGCCGGGTAACGCGAGTTATAGTCCCACACAACTGCTCAGCTCGATATGGAACCGAACTTTCTACGGTTATGTCTTGGCTCTTCCCGTCGATACCGAGATTGCTCGGGTGAGGGGAATTTATGGATATCAACTCCCTAAATGGCTTGCCAATATTAACCTGAAGATGGACAATCACGACATCAAGGCCGACATCACCGCGACAGACGGAACACCCGATTTGACACTGGATGTACCACTTCCCGCGTTGAGGACCATTCCGTCAGGATCGCAAATTGGGACTAACAATGCAGTCAATAAGATTGACGGGAAATGGTATCAGGTGGCGGTTCAAACAAACCCCCTCTTGGCGACACAATGCCTTTTTCCTACCAACGTCAAGCTTACTCGGAACGAAGGCCCATTGAGCCAACTACTCAACGAGCTGGGCGCTTCGACCATTGTACGTATGGATGTTATTAAGGACGCCCAGATGGTCTTGAATATGCCCACCCCATTGAAGGTGTTCAACAGGGTCGGATCATTAGCTTAAGAACAATGGACTCTATGGGGAATTTGAGTATTTCAGATATAAATATGTCATATTAGGCTAAACTATACAATGGGAAAGGCTCATAAATAATAAGCTTCCTCAGTACATCAACCGTGGACTGATCGGTATGTTGAATACCCCACAAAAGAAACGGCGGGCAAGGTATCGCTCTGAAGCGTCTGTTGATATCTTGGGGCCAATATATCCCATAATCCTGCATTTGGGAATGTGCTATAATAGAGGCAATGGAGACTAGTTGAGAAAGACCTTTCTCCAATTTTACATCGCCCTGTCTACTGGTGTTGACACACTTCTCTTAGACGGATAATCGGCATTCAGTTTATTGTCACCTTCAAGATTAACCTATTGACTATACTGGGGTTGATTGCAGAGGATTTGCCTACACCCAGATATTATCGAAGTCAGTCAGGAGGTGTATGAGTTTCCACCTCTGGATTTTACTGGACTCTACGTCCGTTTTTGGAGGATTCGACACGGAACATGTTCAAGAGATCTACCAAATGTGTAGGCGGTTTACGATGGTTGGTGTACTCCGTCGGTCCTCCGCCGCCACAAACACGCCTCCGCCAATCGTAGCACTTGGGTAAATTAAACGGACATATTTGGAGCGGGTTGCAAGCTACTCTCATGCAAGCGCACGAGCGGGGTCAACTGTTTGCTTGTCAATCAAAATCTCAGATAATCTTCAGAGGGAATCCGGGGAAGCCAAAAGTTAACCAAGTTCCGTCTTGCAAACTTGAGTCACCAAGGATCCGTATCTGCTCTGATGCTTCAGTGACTGTTATGCAGAGATAATACAAAGTCAGTGTCTAGTTAACTGCATTTCCATGTATGACCATCCTAGAGATAATCAAGGATGGGCATCATGGCGTGCGGATTGAAGTTCAGTTCCAGCCCAGTCCGGCCAGACGACCGCACAGGGACGTATGACCTCTCATGCCAGCAGCCACACGCACTGCATCCTTGAAGGCCAAACGCATGACAGGCCTCTGGATACATACCACTGCATCTTGCACCAGGACAATTTCTGAAGAGGATCCCGAGGTCGACATGTGAAGAGACGACCGCAGGATGAAGAGGGGTTGTATCAATTTGCGGCGTTGTGGCCGAGATTGAGGCATCGTGGGCCAAAATCACGACAAAGGCATCCGTGGCTATTTTGTATTAGCGGTAGAATATCCCCGCGTTGAAAAGGTCGTGAGAAACATCTACATACCCATTGCCCGGAGCTATATAAAGACAGTCAGTTGCCTGGCATTGTGACATGAACATGAACAAAATATCTGGCATTTCAACTTAACTAAAGACATCGCTCATCTGCCTTACCATCATTTTTAATCATGATTTGCAACACTTTGCTCGTCGTTGCATTGAGTCTGGGTCTCGTCCAAGCAAGCCCTATCGCCAAGCGCGATGCTGCGACAGTGCTTTCCGACCTTGAGACTATTGGAAATGACGTTACTACTCTCAAGACGGACGTTACCAACTGGACCGGAGACCTTCTCGCAGCTCTAGGCATTTTGTCCGATTACAACACCGTCAAAAGTGCTTTGGACACGGCCATAACTGATACGGGGGCTGCTTCCGCATTCACCGATACGGAGAGTTCCAGCATCACAAGTGAAGTAACTTCTCTAGCCACGATCATTATAGCAACCCTAGATGAGCTTATCTCCAAGGTGAATTCATAAAACCGACGAGCTTCATTGTTCTTTTGTTGCAGGACTGACGCACAGTTGTAGGAGTCTACTGCGGCATCTGCGGGCGTCACTTCCACTTTGCTCTCCTCCCTGGAGACACTCAAGACCGACACGGACGAGCTGGGGGCGGACCTGGAGGCGAAGGCCACCACGACGGATGCGGCAACCATTGCCTCGACTCTTGCCTCCATCGACGCGGCATTTTCGAGTGCAATTGCTGCCTATGAGTAAGTTTCATTGGATACAGTTCTAAGGGATGATAAGGGCATTGATGGCCAGTGCAATGCGTGGACGTACCTTGTTTTCAGCCATATCCCGGCTGCTCAGGAGAACCATGGTTAGCAGTGCATGTAATAGTGACGGGTTATCTTGAAAATAAATGGACTTTGCCGCGCATCACGTATTGTACACCCTGAAACCGTTCTGCATACAGCAATAGAATCAAACCCATTGTGTTGTATGCAAAGAATACTCGAACTGCAATACCGGCTGCACAAGAGACGAGAAGATACTGTATGTCATTGTATTCTGTGAGATGATTAAATGGCGTTTATGTGATAATCATAGACGAATAATGCGAATGAAGCTGCCCTTCAACAAAGATTAAATATTTGATAGCAAATTAGTGGATTCCAAACGCACGGTGAATTGTTTTGATACAAGATTTACTTGATATTCTACTGTTTATCAAAACCAACGCGCCTAAGCAAACGCTGAGGCAACTGAGAAAGAATCCTGTCTTTCACTTTCAATATTTTAAATAGCTAAAGAAAACATATCTAATTGAAAGGCAGATCAAATAAAATAAATGTATTGGCGATAGCGAGAGATGTTCCAAGTTTTCTATTGGGAATCAATATAAACATAAAAATAGAAATTTGTTAAATATGAGAGTTTATTGTACTAACTTAAGACAGAGTTGATCAGCAATAATTCGCTCGCTATTAGTCGGGTCATTATTACGGCTATGTTATTACTCCGTAGAATACAGTAGTGATACCCCTTATGGAGTCACATAATATCGGCTTTCGAGGGCTGTGTGGGGCGACTTTCGGCTCTCGATCCCAACTCCGTTGCCAAAGCCAGTTCGGGATCCCCGATAAAAGCAAAGCATCATTTGCGTGCGCAGTGAACTACGGAAGTGGGTCACTGCTATCGCTATCTTTCCATTTCGCTCTTCGGAAAAGGAGATCCCGGGTCCAAGATTGCCGAAAGATGTTTTCTCGCCGAACGATGGCTAGTGATACAATATATTCAGAAGGGTCGTTGGCGCCGTGATACCTCAATCATCATGTCCATCCATTTATAACTATATCCAATCACTCCTGACCAGGCTCGACCGTCTTAGTTTCAGTCTGGTTGAAACAATCACATCTATCAGCATGGTTACGGGACCCCCTGTGGAGGGTGCTGGCAACGAGGAAAAAGAACATTATGATTCCACTACCACATTGTCCGAGCATCAGCAAGAAGAGCTGAGGAAAATTGCATCCCGGCAATCAGCAGTATCAACCACCGGAGGCAAACACTCGGAGCAGGGCTTTGGATCGCATATTGACCCCACAAGTCCTCATTTCGACTTGTCTCAGTGGATGCGCTATCAAGTGCAACAATTTGAAGAAGACAGCAGCGCACGGAAAACAGGGGTTGTTTTTAAAGACGTTACTGTACAGGGAAGGGGAGCTGAAATCCAAATCCAACATACGGTCCTATCCTCAGTCTATGCTCCTATCCTTGGAGGTGCATTTCGCCGCGGCTCTAACAAAGCCAAGACAATATTACACGATGTTCATGGACACATCGAGCAGGGTGAGATGCTTCTGGTGCTCGGCCGGCCAGGAGCTGGATGCTCTACCATGTTGAAAACCATTTCAGCGGATACCAACGGACTCGACTTGTCGTCGAGTTCAGTCATTTCTTACAATGGCATTCTACAACACTTGATGCAGAAAAACTACAAGGGCGAGCTTCTCTACAACCAGGAAGTTGAAAAACGTAAGGATATATACTAAGTAACCAAATCATGGACAGAAACTAATCCAGAGACCAGACTTCCCCCATCTAACGGTCGGCGAAACACTCAACTTTGCCGCTGCAGCACGAATGCCTCGGATCTTACCGAATGGAATGTCGAAACAGGAATATATCAAACATATGAGGGATGTGGTGATGGCAGTCTTCGGTCTGTCACATACCGTCAACACGAAAGTTGGTTCTGATTTTGTCCGAGGCGTCAGTGGGGGTGAGAGGAAGCGAGTATCCATTGCAGAAATGGCCTTGGCTGGCTCGCCACTGTGTTGCTGGGATAATGCTACACGCGGCTTAGATTCTGCGTCTTCTTTAGACTTCGTTAAGGCGCTACGGACCAGCTCGAGGATTTTTGGCACCACCCATGTTTCGACCCTTTATCAGCCCTCGCAAGCAGTATACCATTGTTTTGACAAAGTTATGGTCCTCTACCAAGGGCACGAGATATTCTTTGGCCCTACCACAGAGGCAAAACAGTATTTCGAAGATATGGGCTGGTATTGCCCTGCTAGACAAACAACAGCAGACTTTCTGACTAGTATTACCAACCCAAGTGAGCGGCGACCACGGGAAGGATTTGAAGCGAGGGTCCCACGGACCCCCGAGGAGTTTGAGATGTACTGGAGGAACAGCACCACCTACAAGCGACTAATGGATGACATCTCAAGCTACGAGGTGAAATTCGGTGCTGATTGTGGCGCCACCGAAGCATTCAAGCAGAGTCATGCCAGGCGTCAGGCTCGGTACGCACGTTCGAGCTCCCCGTATTTGATCGATATCCCGACACAGATTGAGATTTGTGCTTCCCGATTTTACCAACGCGTCTGGAATGACATTCCTTCCACTTTGACTTTAATGATTGGACAGGTTGTTTTCTCCATCATCATTGGGTCATTGTTCTATGGAAGCGCATTCGGAACTGAGGACTTCACCTTAAAGATGTCAGCATTGTTTTTCGCCATTTTGCTTAACTCGCTTTTGACCGTCACTGAAATCCAAAACCTCTATGCTCAACGACCAATCGTGGAAAAACAGGCTTCGTATGCCTTTTACCATCCATTCACAGAGGCATTAGCGGGTGTTTGTGCTGATATTCCCATCAAGGTTGGATGCAGCCTAATGTTCAATATTGTGTTCTACTTCATGTGCGGCTTTCGATACGAGGCTGGTCCATTCTTTGTTTTCTACCTCTTCGTCACGATGGCTCTTCTTTGTATGAGTCAGATCTTTCGCTCTTTGGCAGCGGCGACTAAGGCAATCCCTCAGGCACTCGCTGCTGCCGGAGTCATCCTACTCGCCACTGTCATCTATACCGGCTATCTGCTTCCCCAGCCGAGCATGCACCCTTGGTTCAAGTGGATCTCCTATATCAATCCGTTAATGTATGCGTTTGAAGCACTGGCCGTCAACGAATTCCATGGACGCGACTTCCCCTGCTCGGACCTGGTACCATTATACCCCGGACTAAAGAACGGATCGGGTACCTACTTCATCTGTGCGGCGAAGGTGCTGTTGCTGGTGAGCTCTATGTCAGCGGGGATGACTTTCTCTCCGTGAGCTACGGCTACGAATACAGCCATTTGTGGAGGAATTTTGGCATCCTCTGTGCTTTCGTCATTGCCTTCCTCGCCCTGTATCTGGTACTCACCGAGATCAATTCACAATCTTCTTCAACCGCAGAAAGCCTTGTTTTCCGACATGGTCGCATTCCCGTTGCCTTTGAGAAATCTGCAAATGACCCCAAGGCCGCTAATGTCAGCGCAACTCAAGGACAAGAGACGGGTGATGAAACGGTTATGCCACCGCATCACGACACGTTCATGTGGCGTGAGGTCTGCTATGATATTGAGATCAAAAAGGAGGAGCGCCGCTTGTTGGATAAAGACAGTGGATGGGTAGAGCCCGGCACTCTGACTGCGTTGATGGGTGTCTCAGGGGCTGGAAAAACAACTCTACTAAACGTCCTCGCCCAACGTACTTCAACAGGAGTCATCACAGGCGATATGCTGGTAAATGGTTCTCCTCTCACTGCCAGCTTCCAGCGCAGCACAGGATACGTTCAGCAACAGGACTTGCATCTTCATACCGCAACTGTTCGTGAGTCCTTACGGTTTTCGGCCTTGTTGCGTCAACCCAAATCAGTCCCCGTCCAGGAGAAATACGACTTTGTGGAAAAGGGTATGTTCTAATTCGTGCAAATCATTCCACTACGTACTAAAGTTATCTTAGTAATTTCTATGCTCGGAATGGAAGAATTTGCAGAAGCAGTGGTCGGATTTCCGGGCGAAGGGTTGAATGTCGAGCAACGGAAGCTTCTTACTATCGGTGTGGAGCTTGCCGCAAAGCCCGCGTTACTCCTGTTCCTGGATGAGCCAACCTCCGGATTGGATAGCCAGTCGTCGTGGACCATTATCGCGCTTTTACGTCGGCTCGCGTCCAGTGGACAGGCTATCCTTTGTACAATTCACCAGCCATCAGCCATGCTGTTTCAACAGTTCGATCGGTTGCTATTCCTGGCTAAAGGCGGTCGCACCGTTTACTTTGGTGATATTGGACCAAATTCTCGTACAATGCTTGATTACTTCGAACAAAAAGTGCGAGGAGGTGCGATGACTCGGAGAATCCAGCCGAATACATTCTCGAGATCGCAGGTGCAGGAGTGAACGGCAAAGCCGAACAGGATTGGCCAACTGTGTGGAAGGAAAGTCCCGAATGTACCGAAATGATGAAAATTCTGGAGAAGAGGTGCGCAGCAGTGCGATACACGGACAAGACCGACAAACAAGCTGAAGCTGAAGGAGCAGAGGACGCCTTCGCGATGCCTTTCAGGGTTCAGTTTGCTGCCGTTCTCCGCCGGATTTTTCAACAGTATTGGCGGTCGCCCGAGTATATTTATGGCAAGCTGGCCTTGGGTATCCTATCGGCCCGTAAGCTACTCTGGCCCTTACCGTTTCATTCACATTCGGCTAACTATTGTTTCTTAGTCTTCGTTGGCTTCTCATTTTACCTCCCCGGTACCTCTCAACAAGGCTTACAGTCGTCAATTTTCTCCGTCTTCATGATCACGGCAATATTTACCGCACTAGTCCAGCAAATCATGCCTCAGTTTATTTTCCAGCGAGACCTTTATGAAGTCCGGGAACAACCTTCGAAGACATACCACTGGGCAGCCTTCCTAGGGGCCAATCTAATAGCTGAGATACCCTACCAGATGTTCGTCGCGATTCTTGTCTACGCCAGCTTTGTGTACCCCGTATATGGCATTGCGGACTCCCAGCGCCAGGGGATCATGCTCCTTCTTATCATCCAGTTCTTCATCTATGGGTCTACTTTTGCTCACGCTGTGGTTGCCGTCCTGCCTGATGCCGAGACTGCCGGTCTCATTGCCACCATGCTGTTTAACATGACACTTGTATTCAACGGTATTCTTGTTCCTCGTGTCGCTCTTCCTGGATTCTGGGATTTCATGTATCGCGTCTCCCCAATGACTTACCTGGTGAATGCTATAATTGCCTCAGGGGTAAGCGGTCGCGCGGTCAACTGTTCCGAGAAGGAATTAAGTGTGTTCAGCGTTGCTCCAGGTTATGATAGCTGCGGGCAATATATGGAGGCCTACCTTGAAGCGGCCGGCACTGCTGCAGGCAAGCTTCTCAACCCGGAGAGCACCGATCAATGCAAGTATTGTACCCTTCAGACGGCAGATCAGTTTCTGGCGAGTCGGGATATATACTACGACCAGCGTTGGCGGAACTTTGGCCTGCTTTGGGCCTACATTGCCTTCAATGCTGCCTTTGCCTTTGCCATCTACTATCTCAGCCGGGTGAGGTCATGGAAGAGAAAGGCCTGACTTGTCATTTCGTTCGTTGTGGATATTGTTTCACCTAGTTCATATTTCACCACTTTCGGTGTCGATTGCATTCATCAAGCACTGCCCTTATATACTACTCTATTTTAATACAGTTCAATTTTTTTTACTTCACCTTTTTGTGACCGCTAAGATGCTCGCCATGCAGGTACTCTACTATCTGTTAAGTCTAGAGTTAGTACAAATAACGTTAGCTATAACACAGAATAGTTGCTGCGGCAGCTAAGCATATATTGAAATATAAATAGGAATAGGAAAGGTACATAACAAATAGCATAAATACCAGACCAATGCCCTGTCAGTAATTGTTATAATCTTACTTCTGCTTCATTTACCTTACACCTTGCAAGTCTACTGAGATATTTTCCATTGTCGGGAAAGATAAGAATGGCAGACACTGGCTTAGTGGAACAAACACAACACAGTATCGGGATATCGCTATCGCTGAGAGAGAAGAGCCCTATGAATGGTGGTAACTAGCATCAGCTTTAGAAATTCGTATTCCACCAGGCCTGTGTATGCATCAACCGCCAATCCATTGCAGTCCAAAATTGATCTATATCAATGTCTATGTCAGGCGTTGCAGTGGCATCAGGGAAGACATTGGGTCCTATATCCGGACCTGGGAAGACTTGTCCGTCGGTATCGTGACTGGTAAAGTTCATCTGCGCAGGTATGGCAGTGCTCGCTATGCCGCTGTGAGGCGGCACCCCCCTGTTGCAGCTCGATATCATGGAGGAACCAGAGCTTGTCTGCCCTACTTTTAGGCGGATATCCAAAACAATCCAGGGTGTCTCCACAGGCATGCCCCGTTGCCGGATGAATGTCTCTCGCACTCCCCAGGCCTGGAGTACCACCCTTGCAAAGACTGTGAAGGCACTCTGCCCGCTGGGCTTGGGGTGCATGGCACGCGCTTCGTAGTTCTCGCTCATGGCCTGCCAAGCCTTTCCTGTGTGCCTTTCTGTGGGTCTCTTCTTGACGTGGTTCAGAACGTGGATGTATGCCAGGGCGGGGACATGAAAATCTACGAACCACCGGTACCGACTGGTCAAAGGGGAGACTCGCAGTTTCGTATCACACTCCAGCATATCTAGGGCGTAGGAAAGAGCAGCATAGCGCTGCGCGTCTGTCTGCTGCGTCGCTGGCGAGGTCGAGTGCCGCGCGTAGTACTCCAGCAGGCGGTTTCTAGCCAGGTAGCCGCGCGTCGTCCAGATTGTCATGTAGTGGAGCGGGTCAGAGGGGTCGCAAAAAGCGAGGTACTTTTCCTCGATTGTCTTCTGTATAGGCGAAACCTCATTATCAGCAGAAGCGGAAATGTGGCGAGGATCCTTTGCCTTAACCACCGCCGCCAGTACCGGGTTGACAAAGTTGATGTGGAAGTTGGTATGGCGGATCAGGTCGGCGAGCGCGCTACGAACGACCGTGAACAGCGCCTCCGTCGGCTTCTCGTTGTTGGTGCGGGAGGAATTGGTGTCGGGCCGGATCTCAAAATCGTTGGCGTTTGACGGAATCCGGCAGTCCCAAGTAGGTGTCAAGGTGGTGATCCTGTAGTCGGACATCTCGCACATGCGATGATCAAAAACCACCAGTGACCACCAGAGTCTTCGGCGCATCTCAGCTTCTACGGCAGTATATCTAGTGTATGTCGACTCATTGTGAAGCCCCATCCGCTGTGCAATCCGGAGGGTGGCGGCGAGCATGGATGAGAGCGAGCGGGGATCTGTTTGCGGCAAAATAGAGACCTGAACCGTTAGTATATCTTTTATCTTTTATGTCATCTGAGCATGGACAGTCCACCTACCAAGTAGAGGTACACTGCAGTCAAGCCGTCAACATTGGTACAATGCCAGGGCCGACACTTGATCAGCAATTGCCGACACCCCAACCGGTAGCGCGCCAGCAGATCTTCCTTGGATGATTTGAGCAGCTGATGACATTCGTGATCGGCAAGACTCGTGACTGCGATGCAGTAGATACTAAACATGAGTGCCTCCAAGGTAGGATGGATATTTCCAAGATCGCTGACCGCATCGACAATCCGCGGCTGGAGCGTCAGTGTATGGGTTACTTTCAGCAGGGGATTTACGTTTTCCAGGTACGTCTGCCAGAGCCTGAAGATCTGGGCTTGTTGGGGATGCAGGGCGAGAAGATTCACATTAGCCTGTGGTTGGCCGAACAGAAGATCATCGGTGGTATGGTCATTCTCTTCCGACGGGTCGACGTGGTGGTCCCAGGCGTTTGTTACCTCGTCGTCCTGCGCATCTTGACGGTCGCCGTCGTTATCTTCGGGTTCTAGTGTCTTCTCTGCAGTCAACGGCTGCCGTAACTACGACAACTAGGGATCAACGTACCACTTGGCTTATGGCCTGCCAGAGGTCTCTATCATAGAATTAGTTACTTCTGCAATAAATAAGCTAAGCAGGTGTCATACACTGCCTCGGACTGGACAGGGGTCTGTCCTCTCGCCGTTTTCAACCGTTCACAGTCTCCAGAGATATTAGCGACGACAGGCTCCTCCTTGGTTTGAGGATGCAGGGGCTCAAAGTCAATGTTATGTCGGCGAAGGAGGACTTCGTAGTGGCGCAGCCGGTCCAACAGAACTCGCTCTTGGAACCGACGACGGCGTGGAGTAAGGGTTGCAGGGATACACTGCGTGTCGGACGCGGCACAATTCCCACAGGGAGACTTGTGGTCGCACCTGACTTTCCGCTGTTGACACCTCACACAAGCCAGGAGGCGGGGCGATATTGCCGACGGATTTGAAGACATGCTGAGTGTGATGCGATGTGATGGGGCGAGAATGATGAGGGAAGGTGGAAGATGCAGAGCCGGGGGGTTGCTTCGGCCTTTTGAATGGACCGCGGCTAAGTGCTCGGACGATTCTATCTCCCGAACTATCCTCCGTGGCATCTTGCATGACAGCGACTGCAAATATTGAACAAAGCATTGGGAATATAGACTACTATGCAGCATGGGCATTCCTGACTACTTATCCTTTGCGGTTCGGGTCCAACTAATGCCCGGAAAGGGGGTTCTCTTGCCACTTCCCGTACTTGTTAGATAAATATATTTATTTCCCGAGCCACCAACTGCATATCTTGCAATCTACCTCAGTGTTAGTCTCATAAACTCCATAACCATGGTTACAGAAAGTCAAAACGCGGCACAAGTCGCCGAAACCTCAGCAGATGCACCGACCAAGCCTGAAAGCCTCGAATCAGAGAAAATAACACAAACAACGACGACACCACCGACAACGGCTACAACGGCCATTGTGATCATCTCAGTGCTTCTGAGTATGTTCCTCGTCGCACTGGACAGAACCATCCTCGCCACGGTAATATATGTGCACAAGGACGATCTTAGCTGCCTTCTGCTGACTACTTGTTAGGCCATACCCCAAATAACAGACGAATACCATTCGCTCACAGATGTGGGCTGGTATGGGAGCGCATACCTGTTGACTTGTTGTGCGTTGCAGTTGATATTCGGAAAGATATATACACTCTTCTCAGTCAAGTGGACTCTTCTATGCAGTATCCTGGTTTTCGAAGCAGCTTCTGCCCTGAGTGGAGCGGCTCCCAACTCGACTGCCCTGATCGTGGGACGAGCTATCTGCGGTGTGGGTGCGGCTGGGATCTTTGCCGGTGTCGTAAGCGGATACTTCATTTTCAATATCTAATTCAATGATGGGCTGATCATTGTTTATCCAGGTGGTCTGCATCGTCCATGTCGTCCCTCTCCATAAGCGTCCTCAGATCCAAGGAATGTTTGGTGCCCTGATGGGGGTTTCTTCGATTGTGGGCCCCTTGATCGGCGGTGGGTTTACGTCGAACGTCACCTGGAGATGGTGTTTCTATATCAACCTGCCCGTCGGGGGAGTGGCGATGGCCGTTATCTTTATCTTTTTGAAGATCCCCGACCAGCCTACCGCTCGGACCCCTTTGGACGAGAAGATCAAGCAACTGGATATCCCTGGGACCATCCTCCTGATTCCTGGCACCGTCTGCCTTCTTCTGGCATTACAATGGGGAGGCCAGACCTACCCAGTGAGCGGACCCTTCCTAGATGTGCTTGAGTCGCACCTAACCATTCTTAGTGGAATGACGAGCGGGAGATCGCCTTGTTGACTCTCGCCGGTGTCCTCTTGGTTGGCTTCTCTGCCGTCCAAGTCCTTCTCCCGAGGACCGCCACTCTGCCTCCACGAATCATGAAGCAGCGTAGTGTCGCTGCGGCGTGCTGGGCAACCCTGACTATCAATTGCGGAAACTATATCATCAGTAAGAATCCCGCGACTTACCTCTCCCACACCGAAGAGCTAACCAGATGGTAGTCTACTTTCTCCCGATCTGGTTCCAATCGACTAAAGGAGTGTCTGCTTCCGAGTCCGGCATTCGCACGCTCCCCCTGATGATCTCCATGGTAGCCGGGTCCATAACCAGTGGTACGCTAAACACCAAGATTGGCTACTATACACCACTCGCCATTATCGGGACTTGCCTCATGTGCGTGGGAAACGGACTGCTCACCACGTTCGAGGTGAATACCGGAGCGGGGAAATGGATTGGGTACCAGATCCTGTACGGTTTCGGCCTGGGCTTAGCGTTTCAGGTACCAAACCTCGCGACACAGGCAAGCCTGCCGAAGAAGGACGTACCTACAGGGCTAGCGCTGATGCTATTCGCAACTCTACTGGGGGCGTCGGTGTTCGTATCGGCTGGAGAGAATGTGCTTGCCAATCAATTGGAGAAGAGGTTGGCCGGGGTCGATGGGGTTGATACTAGTTTGATCACCTCTGAGGGCGCTACTTCTTTGCTCCAATCGCTCCCGGATGATGTGCGTAATACCGCTCTTGTTGCATATAATGGGGCTCTGAGAGAGGTCTTCCGTGTTGGTTTAATCCCGACATGTCTGAGTGTCCTCGGGTCTGCAGCCCTGGAGTGGAGGAGCGTCAAGAAGCCGGCAGGACAGAACTCTACGGAGAGCGGAGGGAAGGAGACGACTGGAAAACCATGAGAGTGAGACATGTGCAGCGATAAATAAACATGCTGTACACTAGCGGCTAGTATAAACATCTCCCCTTCGATTTTATACGGAACGTGAGTTATTGTACAATGGAACAATAGACTGTTTGTATAATGCCAATCTACTCTTTTCTCTACTTCTCAGCATCGCCTTTTGGAGCGGGCCATTGCAAAGACCAAAAGTGGGATAGTTAGTCATATCTATAGGCCTCATACCAGAACTATTATAACTCGTCTAGCCACCGTGCCGGGTTGAATTTGCCACGGTTAAGATGCAGAGCGTCGCTAAAATTGACTTCGGTTGAGTCTCAGCAGACAAACGTGTTCCCCGGGATGGCCTCATCACTTCCCGGGATAGGGATCGGTTTGCAAGAGAGGGTCAACTAGGCTATAGAGAAAAGATAGAAGTTATAGTTACAGTTAGGCTCAATACCTCATGTCCATTTTGGTGAGTGCTTAGGGTGTTACACTGAACTTCATTAATTCGGTCGCAACCCATGACCTCGTACGCCTAAACACTGTGCCAGGAACCGGCCGCAGACAACCCCGCAACCCCAACCCCTGACGACCTACACTTGAACAACAAAGTTCTTCTTTATACAACCAAGAACACGTTGGTCGGAATTGACATCATGATTAGGGAGGTGGTACCAGATTTATCGCATCTGTCCGACATCCGCACCGCGGACCATCAACATGCATGATGTCATCACGGAAGACCGGGGGACACCGATGCGACGCTGCTAACCCTACCAACAAAAGACTTCAATACACCTACATTGTTGTCCTTTCTTCGCTATTTAGAAAGCCTCATTGAGCATGCTGACGAGGAAGCTAGATCTGCCACGAAATGATAGCGGTCGCAAAATGGCTATACGTTGCTGTGACGGCGTATTTCCACAAGTTGAGGCCGGTTAGCCATGATTATCCTGCTCTGGCAGCAAGGGATAATGGTACAAACGGCAGCGTGGCGTCGCCAATAACATTGACTGTTGAAGAGTCGGGCGGGAATCAGTCTAGTCCTCTGCTTTATGGGGTTATGTTTGAGGTAAGTGCTGCGAGGCAGCATGGGATTGTCCTAGTAACATTCTCTTAGGAAATGGACCACTCAGGTACTATCTAGTTCAGTACCTCTGTTGACAGTATTTTGCTGAGTATATTCAGGTGATGGAGGCATTCACGGGCAATTGCTCCAGAATAATGGCTTCCAGGGGGACGATCCCGGCTTGACTGCATACAAAGCGGTCGGGCCCGTCGACCTCATGCAGGACTTGATAAACCCGGTCAGCGGTGCAATAACGTCTTCTTTGCAGGTATCTGTAGATTTTGAAGCAACGGGGTTTGTAGGATTTGCCAATACAGGGTACAGTGGGATACCTGTGATGAATGCAACGTATTCGTGCCAGTTCTGGATGATGGGTGAATACTCAGGAACGATTATGCTACAGCTTGCTGGATCAACGAATGATACTATTTATGCTTCGCATAATATTACCGTGAAGAGCTCATGGGGAAAGTTCACCCATTATCAAACTTCTTTTAATTCGAGCGCAGCTCCTGATGGTGACAATGAGTGGCGCCTGCTGTTCAATGGATCAAAGATGGCTGGAGGGATGCTGAACTTCGGTCTGGTGCAGCTGTTTCCGCCTACGTACAAGTCGAGGTACGTTACATTAAGATTACCAATGTCATTCTAATCGGTAACAGGTCAAATGGACTACGGAATGATGTTGCGACATTTCTGGAAAAGACAGCTCCCTCTTTTCTCCGATTCCCGGGTGGCAATAATCTGTAGGTAATCACCCTGAAAATGAAGATCCTCTAACAAGCGGATAGAGAAGGACTACAGATCGACAGCCGTTGGCAGTGGAACCTAACTGTTGGGCCCGTCGTTGATCGTCCCGGGAGACAGGGTAGGGCACCACCACCGAGACCATGCATGACAAAGACTAAATGATGCATAGGCGACTGGTTCTACCCAAACACCGACGCGCTCGGTAAGTCTGCTGCATCCTTCTGCCCCACGAGCATGTGGTAACACACACAGGATTGGACGAATATCTCTGGTGGTGCGAAGACATGAACATGGAGCCCGTCCTCGCCGTCTGGGACGGCAAATCATACGGCGGCATTCTATCCGGCGACGATCTCCAGCCATATATAGACGATATCATGAACGAGCTTGAGGTATACCTCCATGGATTAACTCTATCATGCCGAGCTGACCGTAAAGTACCTCCTCGGGCCGGTCAACTCCACCTACGGGAGTATGCGAGCGCAAAACGGGCGCAGCAAACCATGGTCCATAAACTACATCGAGATCGGGAACGAAGATGACTTTACCGGCGGATGCGACACATACCCAGACCGCTTCTATCAGATTTACAACGCCATCAGCAACAGCTACCCGAATATCACTCTCATCGCATCGAATATAGACTACCTGTGTCTCCCGATTGAACCCCCACCCGGCCTGATATACGACTACCATTACTATCGCAAACCGGATGACCTCGTCGCCATGTTCGACTACTGGGATAACCAGCCTCGCACGCAGCCCATCATGGTAGGGGAATATGGATGTCGGGATACCAGCGAGGCAGACGGGATCTTCTGGTCCTCTATGCAATGTAGCTGCAGTGAGGCAGCGCATATGATTGGCCTGGAGAGGAACTCGGATGTAGTGAAAATGGCTGCGTATGCGCCACTATTGCAGCATTTCGGGTATACGCAGTGGTCGGTGAGTTTGGCCTCCTTACCCCCATTCTTGTATGTCCATTATGTTAGAGCTAACAAGAACAAAGCCAACGCTATTCGGCTTCGACTCTAGTCCTGACTCGCTGACTCCCTCGACGTCATACTATGTTCAACGGATGTTTTCTACAAATCGCGGGGATACTATCCTCCCTGTGAATACAACTGCCACATTTGGACCGCTGTACTGGGTTGCATCCAGGACGAATAGCACGTATTTTGTGAAGTTGGCCAACTACGGCGCCCAGAACCAGACTGTACGTGTAAAGGTGCCCCAAACCAAGACCGGGCATGTAGAAATGCTGTATGGGCCGCAAAATGCGACCAATTTGGTGCATAATATTACTGTTCAGCCGACGGTGAAGAATGTGACTAGCTCTAGGGGCATTTATTCCCTGGATATGCCGCCGTGGGGGGTTGCTGTTTTGTCGGTGTGGTGAGGGGTGTTGCTGCTGTATAACAGGAGTTTTATTGTGGATCAAGTATCTACGAGTCATGTTGTTTACCATATAGTTCAATACAAAAAGGGGAAATGGAATTTAAAGCGAAGGACCGATGTCGATTAAGAATTGAATAATCGTCGTTTAAATGTATATACTACCTACAACTCGCTTTCTCATCGCCCTCCTTCGTCTGCCGCCTGCTGAATAATATACAGCTAAAAGTCACCAGTGACTTATGGGCTTAGTAGATGGGCACCTTGAAGGCGGGGAAAGTGTAGTAGAAAGTGTCAGCACCCTCGTCATCGGACTCACACTCCCACTTGTTGCTCTTCCAGACAGGGCGCTTGGGGAACTGGCACAGGGACTGAACCTCGCCGTCGTACTTGCCAGCATCGACGGTAGCGTTCAAACCGGTGGGCTGGACATCCTGCTCGACCCACTTGATCATGGTGGCCATGTTATCTTCAGGGAAAGGACCGTTGGGCTGGAGAGTGTTGCGACCGCAGTGAGCAGCACCGGGGACCAGGTACAGCTGATACCATTCCTTCATCTGCTCGATGGCCTTAGAGGATCCGAGGTTGGGGTACATGATGCTCATAACAGATTGCCAGTAGTGCACAGAAGAAGCAGTAGGCACACTGGGGTCGTTCTCGCCGTGGTAGTGGATGACCTTACCACCGGTAGACTTGAAGGTGGTCAGGTCAGGGAGGGTTGTTTGCAGAGTGTCCATGTAGCGGACCATGGCCGTGTTCATCCAGTCCACAAGGGTATCATAGGTCACATTGTTGAGGGTCTCGAGGTTGCTGAGTTCAACAAGTTCAACAAAACGAGTAACAAATTCACCACCAGTAGAGGGGATATCCACACCCCAGGTGCCGGTGCTGTTGTCGTAGGCGGTCTCGCCATCCGAAAATTCGGACCCGATACGGTAGGACAGGTAGGCGCGTTCACCGGCAGTGTTGAATAGACCGTCGTAGATAGTCTGAGCCACGGCAACACCTTCTGCGGTAACATTTCCGTTCTGGGCCGGGGTGTAGGAGGTCGAGGTGCCGTCATTGCGCTTGTTGAAGTTGAAACCAAGAGAGGTACTGACTTCAGCAGCACAGTGGTAGGGTTCGCCGATAATAGAAGTCAGGTTGAAGTCGAGCTGGCAGAGATCGGTACGAGAGATGACTCCGTCGGTGCGTCCATCGAGGGGATCGCAGGCAGCGATGGTGGCGTTAACAATTTTTTCCAACTCGCAGGTAGGAGGGTAGTAGTCGAGGGTCTGCTCGACCACACTGGAAAAGAGGTGGTTGACCTGCTGTTGACCGTAACGGAACGCAGGCGCACCAATGATGGCACCATCGTATTCATCACCGTAGCGCTGGATCTGGCTCATACCTTGACGGCCACCGTCAGAGCAACCCTCGTAGTAGGTGTATACCTTGGCATCATCGGCCAAGCCATAGAAGGCGCGGGTGAGAGGCTTTCCAACAGTGGTCATCTCTCCCAGGGCCTGGTAGGCGAACATGAAGATGGGATCCCAGTTGATAGTGCCGTTGCCGGAGAGGTTGACCTCGTCGACCGTAGTGCCGTTCAAAGCACCATAGCCGGCATCGGTGGCACCTCCGACGGCGCCATATTCGAGACCACCAGTAGAGGAGGTGCTCAGGGAATAACCGAAGCCACCGGCCACATAGAAGCGGTTCTTGAAGTCGGCAGGGCTAGGGAAGCCGTAGTTCAGAACGATCTCGTCGGTGGTACCAGTGTGGACGTAAGAGACGGACACAGCACAGTACTCAGTCTCGCTCCCGCGTTCGGTGGTGGTCTTAGCCGTCACGGACGAAGGGATTAGATCAATACCGAGCAGAGTGCCATTGGCAGGGAGAGCCGACTGGACGTGAGAGACGGTACAGAGAGACGCAAGGGAAGATGAGTTGGCAGCGCGGGCCGATGCTGCCAGAGCAACGGTGGCCGCGGCGGCGCGCGAGTATTGACGCATGATATAAAAAGTTGAAAAAAAATGTAGAACGAAAGGAAGGATGGGAGTCCGTAGACGTTTCGAAAGAAAGAATGGACAGATGGGGGCTGAAGAAGGAGAGAAGGAAGCTTGTTGAAGAGTGATCATCGGGGTGGCAATGCGAGACTATTTAAAGCCAAGATGGAAATATTTGAACCCCGTGGCCATCACCTCTTGGAGCTGCGTACGTCACACCACATGGTCCATGGTTTCTAGTCTAGATACCCTTGTTTTGCCGCCATCTCGAACAGTATGGTAGCAGAGGGCGGACAAGATGTTTGATGGCAGCCTAGCAGGAGGGGCCGGAATCTCCTGAATGACCCTCTTCTTCCCGTGTGAAGCTTAATCCACTTAAGGACAAGCAGGGGTTGGAACCTCCGACCCAGTGTCCCACTGTGATAAAGGGACGCATGCCCCAGTGGAATACCTAAGACTCGAGACGTAGTAGCCCTGGCCCATGAGATTCCCTTTCTGACCCGCCAGACGGATTTTGACGACACATAGCAACAAATCTATCAGGAAAGTCCATTCACTGTCGTTACCTTCCGTTTTCATCTTAACTGCTTCCTTCATTTAGACACTGACATTGTACGGCTCTACTTCGGAAATTAATGTAATCTACTAATGTAGGCAAGCAAAAAGACAACCTGCGGCTCACTTCGCCCAGTGAGTACATTCTGAAGAAGTGGGGAGCCATCTTTGCGACGTCCAGGGGTTTGCAGTTGGAGAACCCCGATATGCAGACGCTAATTGGTGCACATGCAGTTCTGAATGAACCCCGGAAGAAAATTTACCAGCAGCGTTACGTGTTGCACTATCGAACCTTCTTAGTGAGTTTCACTGCAGACTCGTCGGACTGGACTTGCCGCACTGCATTTAGATAAGAGTTTTAGGATTTACTGCACACCCAAAGGGGTCCAGGGACTTAAAATTAACTATCGGTTCCGTATCAAGAATCTCCCATATCATTGGCTAGCGCATACCTAGCGTGTAATTGACGGCGAACCATAAAGCCATTTCCGATATCAAGCGAATAGGCAGTATGCAGCGAGGCTACAGAGAGACAACAGAGGTAGTCAGTAAAATAAGCTGGTTGAAGATTTTTAACCTTAACCTTGATTTTCACTGCGAGGGCAAATGTGGATCGGACCGTGTTTCCCGATCGGGACTAAGCCGCCGAACCTGGCCGAGGTTTTCTTTCTTTTCTTTTCGACTTCGACGTTGATTACCTTCAAATCCCTTGCTCTGTTCTTCACACAGATTTATGCACCGACAGTTTTAATTAACCGCCATTAAGGCTGTGGTGTCCTTTTTCTGAATCCACAGCGATTGGAATCACCACCTTGCCTCTCGCTCTCCACAGTTTTCCAGATCCATACACAAGACTGCGCTGGGCACGGGATGTAATCGTCCGTCCTCACTCGATTACGGTATACCCCGTGACACTGACAAGGCGGGCTGCTAGTTTAATCTAGTCTGGTAGTATTATTACAGTCTGCGTTGACGACGCTCCATTCGCGTCTAGGGACGGGATGATCACAGGATGATTAGGCTACTCCGGGTAAAGAATTGCCCTCAGCGCAGCATCCATGCCGATGTCCCACGCAACAACCTCAGCGTCATGGGCTAGGACTCTCCAGAAGGATTCCTCTATCTGCCTAAGGCGAACTTCTATGCATCGAAGTATTGACGTTGACGTTTTTCCTTCCCCCAAATGGGGGCACCGCCGCCCAAATGCCGTGAATTCCTTCTGCGGGTGGGTAAAAACTTTTGCATGCGGTCCACAGTAGATTAATCTCTCCCCTCACAATCTAAAAACCTAATCAGTTGGCCCACTAGGAGAGGTGGAAAGCATATCGTAATCAGCTAGATTGATAGTGTTTGTCGAGTCATGTTATCTCAGTGGATGAAGCTTCGTCAGGGGTGAATATGCCTTGGTTTACGGATTTCCACTACCGAGTGATCCGGAAGCATCCGCAGTTGTACAGTGCCCTCATTCATAATTTCCATTCGTTCTCAGCTTACACTTGCTGTTCGTGAGTTCCATAGACCACTAAATGCATGTGTTCAACCATGTTGGGTCTCACCATGGAAGGCGAAATGAACCCAGGACAATAAACGCATCTTAATACACTTTCATGTCCACTGCGTTTGATGAAATACGCCCAAGCTGCACCAATTACGCTTTCCTGTCCTAGTTTTTCATGCACCCATGTCTGAGACTTTCATCAAACAGTAATATGTCACAATTTGTCTGACTGATCTTGGCACAGACTCCGGCTCCAATTACGCGCACATGGCATGCGTAACACGGATAAATCATTGTCAGGAATCAGCTGCTAATCGGCCGTATGGGATATTTCACTTTGTATGATCTATTATATGCTTCTGGCTATGTACATGCGAGGAGTCTGCATTGGCCCAATATCACGACATATGCGCCGGAGATTCGCATAGTTCCTCTTACCTCAGATAAGGAACCCTTAATGTACGATTTTTGATGCGCAATGGCAATTTATTTTGTACGTATTAGATTGCAGGCATGCAAATTTACCTATACCTCAATTTGGAAACATGTACTGCTGCTATCTTGATTGAAGAGTCTCATTATTTTTCTGTCTCCATAGAAAGGATTTAGGCAAAGTTTTATCAAGTAACAGTCTTCTATGTCAATATCAGTGATTGGTGATACTGTGCACACGATGATCATTTGGCTAGATCATTGTTTTGGAGCAGCATGCCACTCGTCTACTGAGTCAATAGTCATATAGAGTTGAATATATAAAATTATATATATATAGTATACTACCAAGACGCGATAATGTAGTACTAGTGTATGAATAATCTATCAAAATGCATGATAACGAGAGAAGCCATTCCTTCTATCTACAAGACAAATTTACGTCAATTGACGCAAGCGATTAGGATGGAATATAATATCGCCATGGCTAGATAAATACACCCTCAGCCATCGTATAACTTACTTAAACAAAGCAGATCCTGGGTATCTAGCTTCCATAATAACAAGAGCTATCAATGTTACCACATTCTTTATGGCTGTGTCTATCTATCACTACCAGAAGTAAGCCTCCCGATATCCCTCCCACGTCATACAGCACATATGCCGACTCCACCCACCCATCCAGCCTAGCGAAGCACACTTGAATCCTTGGAAAAAAATAACTCACAATCTGCTAGTAACTATATCGAAAGGCTCGAGCTAGGTGCTGATTGGTCCTGAGATTCCGATGATTTCTCTCCGGGTATCACTCTATTTTCATCCCCCTCTGAACTGCACTCTAATGGTTTTTACCTGTTTACTACACATATCCACATCCTCACAAAGCCCAAACTCCCTCTCGCACGTCTACCATGATTCCACAGACTGTATCACCGTTCTCACTGCTTCGCTCGCTCAAATCAATTACATTGCGCTCTGCTGACTGTTACATACAAGCCGGACCAAACATATCTAGACAAGCTCCTCTCCGCGATCAACAATATGCGACTCCCCCAACGCGGCCTTCAAGACCAGAACCAACTCATCGATCGATGCCAAAAACTTCAAATACGAGCTAATTGCAACACAATATCGTCGATAATTCTCGTCCCGGACCAGCGTCTTGCTCAGCTCAGCCGTCTGATGCTGCTGGGCCCATGCCTCGTAGCACCGCTTGACTAACGGCGTGGGCAGCCGTTCGGGCAGTGCGGCACCCGCCTTGAGTGCCTGTTCGATTACCCCTAACACGGCCATTATATCTCCCACGGTGTAGTCGTTCATAAATCCTACTCTTTCCATCAGTCGTTGTTGTAGATTCAGGGGAAGTGTGGTGGATAAAACGAGCAGACGGCCCAAGGCTTGGTTCATGTCTTCGAGGAGGGATTGTGTCCGTGAGAGCGTTTTACGGTTGAAGGGTCCGAAGCTCATTTCGAATCGGAGGAGACCGATCGGTGCCTTCAGTGATAAGAGGGTTTCGGCCATCTCGAGTGTTATTTTCTCTGCTACGGTGGCGATCGGGTGCTCTGGGTCGGCTCTTGCCCAGTGGGATAATACCAAGGCGTAGTGATCTGATATTGTTCGGACGGAGTTTGATAGAGTCTGGCAAACATGGCGGGTGGCAGATGGCGGTCTGGGGAAGAGTTGAACGACGGTGGCAGCAACAAATCCGAGGAGAACAGTAACCAGTCGCTTCCAGAATGCCTCGTAGCCGCGACCTGGAAGGCCATACTGTTGGATGTGACCATCGTCGTAACTGAAGCCGACGACCAAGACGAATGTGGCACCGCTCATAATAGCAGCCATGGCCAGCGTCGGTGGCAGGAAGATTCTCCACCACATCAGCACCACTGTCATTGCTGCTGTAATCGCTCCCAGCCCGTATGCGTTGCCAGGCCCGTGTCCCGAGCCGATGTACCAGGCGACCATGCCCAGAACTCCACCAACCACCGTGCCGACGAGACGAGATATCAGTGCCATGGTGAAGTCGGCCATGTAGACCAGGAGTGTAGTTTGTGCGGTGATAACCCCCCAAATGCCTTTCTCTCGGTAGAAGAATCCAGCGGTGTGGGGGAGTGAAGAAGGAATCGAAGTTGCGATGGTCACCACCACCATACGGAGAGCATACATGCCGGCTGGGTTAAACAACCACTGGTAGATTGATATAACGATACGTGTGATGCGAGTGCGCTGGGGTATGCCATATCCCCGGCTGATCCTCAGTCGACGATCCGCTTCCCGGGTTCGTTCCTCGAGCGCCTCCGGATCCGTTGCCGTGTTTCCTGCAGCCGCTGACATTGGAGTGGGAACACTACCAGTTCCGACCCAGGCAAAGGCATACTGTAATCGAGATGGGATCCAAAGCCTAGGTTTTGGGCGGTTTTCCAGCAGCCACAAGATCTGTTCGATAAGTTTTTGGGTCGCTTCGGCCAACGTCAAAATGCGCTCTTCAATAACCATGCCGATAATGATTCCTCGCAGCACATGCATGCCACCCATTCCACCAAACTTGAAATTACCCTCGTCATCAAAGATCTCTGCATGGCTGTCTATCAGTGCTTCGGTGGTCGCGGTGATGCTGGATGCGCGGATTCTGCTAAGGGTCTCCAACGCGTCTTTCACTCGCGTGATCTGCTGGTCCATCTGCGTTTGTGAGGGTGCACGGAGCCATCGCCGATTGTTCACCGTATTGATGGTCTCAATGCTGATATCTATTGCGCTCGAGATTGCTTGTAGAAGCGGCTGAGTGGAATGCTGGAGTGCCTCAAGAGTACGTGCACGGATGGCCGTTTCCTCTGCATCCTGAAAGGCGTGCAGCAGATTATGACTCTCCTGGATCTGATGATGGCCAATAGCTTGGTTCTTCTTTTCTCCAGAATCGTTATTGGCTAGAATCGCATCATGCCTCGCAAGCCTCGCTATATTCTCATCATCATGTATCCGTGCGATATGGTAATTCAGCAAAGACAGAGAGGCGACCAGTGTTTTCCGTAGTGCTTGCTGTAGAACTTTCAAGTCATCGGCACCCCAATGACCCCGAGAGATGTCTAAAGGAAGAAACGCCAATAACGGTTCAAGAGCCTTGAGCGCACCGATGCCTTTACTCTTTGTGTCGACAAGCTGCTGCAAATTGAGGTCCTCACCATGAAGACGTGCCTGAGTACACTTCACCGGTACCTGTCCCAAGCGAAGCAGCTGCTCCATCTTGGTTAGAAGCGCATAAGAAGTGGACTGCGGAAAGAAAAGGACACAACAAGCTGCTCCCAGTCCGATTCCTATAGCACCAGGCTCAATCAAGACTTTAGGCAACAGGGCGGTAAACGAAGGCAAAGTCGGTCCAAAAAGCAGGAAGAGATCAGTGATGATGATGCTGAATATCTGGGCCAGAGCAAATTTATTGTTGGCTACTCGAAGACGAGACATCATATAGACGAAGACACATGCCATGACATAAAATACCACGGTCACACGAGCATCGAGCATGAACCCATCGTGGATCAGCTGCTGCGTTACGGCCGTAGCGCTTTGTCCAGACTGACTAGCCTGAGTCACTACGGCCTGCTGCAATTGCTGAAGACGAGCCTGGGTTTGAGACGAGGGGCGTGCAGCTAAAGCCGCCTTCATCGTGAGCAAACCCCAAGCCCAACCCAGGCACATCCCAGCGAGAAGTGTCAGCGAGGCAAGCAGGTACACGAAGAGAATGCCTGCTGGAGGAACTATATATAGCACCAGGGCGCCAAAGAACGTGGCGATGCCAATGCTCTGCAGCGCAGGACCGATGAAGATCAACAGTGTCGCAACCCATGCTGCAGCCCAACAGCGGAATAGGACCTTGAGATCGCGTAGATTGAAATGGTCCAACCAGGCTGGCAACGCCATTCGAGTCTGTTCTGCCGCACCGGCAGTCGGAGCATGACTTGAAGATTCTCCCTTGGGGGTCATCTTTTGAGGGCCATCGTGTCTGAGCTTATTGCCTAGCTTGAAGTTGAAAGGCGAGTCTCCGGGAAGTCAGGGTCAGCTCCCTGCCGGAAACCATGGGATGGCTGGAACTCTGGTTGCATTAGGCCCAATACGACGTCATCTACAACTAGCGTCCTCATCACCCGACATCCAGCAAATCACGAGGCAAACACATTGCTCGTAGAAGTAAAGCTCTTAGTATATAATATTGCTGCTGAAGCCTTCAATCCTTCCGATAGCTTCTACAATCCTGGTGGTGGTGATGGCAGCAAGAGGAAGGAATATCACATGATGGCCGGAAGGGGACATGCCGCCACGTGATATACTTCGAATTAATTTGCAGGGTTTGCATCAACTGCAAAGAGTGCAAATAACAGAGCCGAAAAGGGAAGGCATTCCCGATCCATTCCTTATTCGGCCGTCTCTTTGCTAACTGACAAGAAGAATCTTATTATTTTGTATATTGCGGTGCGTTGCACCGAGGAACTAATGATGTAATCATAAATGAGTATATACTTCTACTTAAGTGAAATCCAACAGCACGACTAACACCAACTTGTCACCACGCAATCTTCGCGATAGGTCCCCGCGGGAACACGCGCACCAACACCTTCCGCAACTCATCCATGACCAGGACGCCGAACGCCAGAGCCAATGGAATAAACCAAAACTCCAACGGGATAGAGGCGGTATTAAACAGGGATTGCAGACCAGGCTCCTCCGTCACAAAGATAGCAATCACCAAGGACACGAGCATAGCCAGAGGTAGCCATGGATTCCGGCGTTTAGCGCGAATAGGATCGGCCTGCAGGATGGACATGCGCTTGCTCCGGACGGAGAGGATATTGCCCCATTGCATGATAACCAACGTGACGAAGTACACGCTCTGTCCGACATTGTTGAAATTCGTCAGCTCGGCCTCTGTATAGCCGTAGAAGCCGTCCGAGTATTTCTCGAATGCGAATACCAGGGCGTGGAAAGGAATGCCCGCTTTCTTGTACATGTACAGGAAGAACATGATATGTGCACAGAAGGCCTCCATGACTCCGACGAAGAGGTAGGACTGCCCGTAGATCCGAAGGTTGATCAGGTGATCCGTTTTGTGGTTGCGAGGTGGGAGGCTAAGCAGGTCGAATTCTTCCTTCTCCATGATGAGCGACAGCGACAAGAACAGATCCGTGAATACACAGATGATGATCATCAGGAAGGAACTCAGCGGCAACGGGACACCAAAGAAAACGTTCATAATCACTGGCCAGATCTCAGACCAACTGCCTGCCGGCAGCAGATAAGCGATAACCTTCTGGAGGTTCTGGAATACCAGCCGACCCAGGCGGATAGCCTCCACGATGGAATCGAACTTATCGAGCAACACCAGGTCCGCCGCTTCGATGGCAACGTCGCTGCCTGAGACAACGGCAATTCCGATATCAGCCGCGCGCAAGGCAGGGGCATCGTTGACTCCATCGCCTGTCACGGCCACGACATTGTCGCGGGACTTGAGCTCCTCGACAATGCGCAGCTTTTGCTCCGGAGTGGTACGGGCAAAGACAATCTCCTCATACTGGCAGATCGAATTCCACTGGTTTTCGCTCAGAGTTGAGATCTGGGACCCTTCCACCATTAGACTGCGTCTCGATCTTTCTTCATTCTTCTCAGCAGGCACTGCGACCGGTGATGCCACAAGGTCCGCAACAGTATCTGGCTCGGCCGTTCCGCTGAAAATTCCAATGTCCCGTGCAATCGCCGCAGCAGTCAGACCAAAATCACCTGTCACCATGAAGAAGCGAATGCCAGCGCGTCGACAGGCCGCCACTGTTTCCGGGATTTCCGGGCGGGGAGGGTCGATGATACCAAAGATGCCGATAATTGTCAGGTCCTGCACGCCATTGGCTAGCAGCTCGTCGTTAAACTGGTTTGTGCCCACTGCAGCAGTCGGTGCATATTCCCGTTGGCAAAGAACAATGACTCGCTGGGCGCGGCGGGAGAGCTTTTGCTGGAATGCACTGAACATATCCTTCGCAGTTGCATCCAGAGGCTTGGCCACACCGTCCTTGGACCAGTATGATGTACACTTGGGCAGAAGTACATCCGGGGCACCCTTGACATAGATAAGGCTATGGGTAGAGGAGGTTGGATTTTGGTGCACAGTGAGCATCCACTTGTTTTTCGAGTTGAAGGGGATTTGATGGGTGCGTTCGTAATCATGAAGATCAGTCTGTCCATTTGCTCTCAGCATTTCGGCCAAACGCAGAACAGCCGCGTCGGTTGCGTTTCCATTAACAATGCGTTCAGAAATTGGCAACGTCAATGTTTCTTGGTCAAAGAAGGCATCATTGCAAAGCCTGGAGCCTCGCAAGAGGGGCTCAAGAGGTTCCGGAAGGGGAACCGATTTCTGCTGCGCGTTCACCAGATCCTCAACGAAGAATTCCTGGTCAACGAGGCCTACCGACTGCACAAACATCTTGTTCTGGGTCAGTGTGCCGGTTTTGTCTGAGCAGAGCACGTTGACGCAGCCAAGGGTTTCCACGGTCGCCAGTCCCTTGGGCAATATATTGTTCGCCTTCATCCTCTTGGCCACAATCATTAAGGTGAGGGCAACTCCGACCGGCATACCCTCGGGAATGAAGGCGACAACGCAGCCCATAACATCGTTCAGCATCTCAACAACGCTCATGAATTGTGGGTGGTCAACGCGCAGCCAGCCCACCCAGCTGAATAGGATGGCTGCCGCCAGGATGACAGTGAGCACCACGATAATCCGTACGAAGCGCGTGATCTCCTTCTGGATGAGCGTGGGCTTCTCCTTTACGTCAGCTGTAATGGACGCCAAGCGACCCATGACGGAGCGACTCCCAGTCAGGACAACAACGCCAACAGCATTGCCGTTGGTCACACCGGTGCCCATGAAGGCGATATTGCGGGTCTCCAGGAAGTTTTGGTCGGTTGCGTCGGTGGCACCCTCGACCTCATCGGACTCTCCCGTCAGGATAGAACGATCGAATCGAACATCGCCCGAGCTTTTGATAATGCGCATGTCAGCCGGCACTTTGTTCCCAATGGAGATATGGACGACATCCCCCGCGACAAGGTCAGTAGCTGGCAGCTTAACCAAGTTCCCTTCGCGGAGAACGAGAGCCTCCGCAGGCAGAAGGCCCAGGATTATTTCATCACGCGCGATGTCGACCAATCCTGAAAGGCGGAGAATGATGCTTGCAGGATGATGACGATGATGACCAGGATGGCCATGGCCAAGTTTGTGACTGAGGGAGGATTGCTGAGCGGTTTCCAGCATATAAAGAAAATAATCACGCCGATCCAGAGGACAGAGCAGAAGCCGCCGAAGATATAGCCAAGGATCTTCTTCACATAATTCTCCCCGTGGTGTGCGATGATGTTCTTCCCATCGCGTTGAAGACGAGTCGATGCCGAGTCAGTACTCAAGCCACGGCTTGCATCAACATTGAACTGCTGGCACAACCGGTCGGCAGCTAGCAGATGGAAGTCCAGACTCTCAAAGTAGTCCTGGTCTGGCTTCTTCTCTTCCTTTCCTCGCTCTTTCAACACATGCTCTGGGGCTGCCTGGGATTCGGAGATTTGAAATGACAGGGTACGGAACTCGATTGGTATACCGGCTGCCGTTGGGGACTGGGGGATACTGCGAGTGCTGCGAATTGTATCTCGACTGCGGGAACGTTTGTCACCAGGAGAGTATATGGACCGAGTGCCGTCTTGTACATTGGGACCGTCGAAGGTGATTCGCTGGGATCGAGCAGTACTTCGCACCTGGTCATTGAGTGTTTCTTCATCGGCCTCCAGGTCGTGGGTGGATGAAGAGTCGGCTGGCTGCTGACCAGACGCAGCCGCGATAGGAGGTGTGTTCATGTTTATCGAAAGAGAAGAGATAAATCGGTCGCGGATGCCGCTCTCGGTGGAGTGCAGTGATGCACTGGGTGTAGTCGACTGTGCAAGGCGAATGTCAAAGATTGATTGACTGGAGAGGGAGAGGCTGCTGCTGGAAAGTTCAACAGCAAGCTCCAGGGAAGCCCCTCCGTTTATTTATCTGCTTCCAAGCCGTCATCGTGGACTCCAGACCAGTCCTAAAAAGTCATGGTATGGTGGGATGGCTGCCCATATATCGTGGAGGGGACCGCGAAAATATGTGTCACGGCGTCTTAGGACGGGCAGGCAGACGCATTCAGCTGCTGTGGAGAGCAAAAAGGATTGAGCGGACCCCCAAAGCCATACGAGAGATTAACACTGTCTAGCTACTAGTTGCAGGGAAGAAGCTGTCAGGAGCTGGTTCTGGGAAATCCCTCACTGGCCCTGTGGATCCTGGTTGCCCTTCCATGGATCGCTCCGGTCAAGCAAAGCTGGCAAGGACACGAGCCGCGCATGGACACTACGGTAGCAGGGCATTTACTGCCCACATATGGCTGACAGCAGTTCAGACAATTTGTGGGCATTCTTCCGTACAAGGCCCGTTACTAAGTATTGCCATTCATCCAATTATTCCTCGCACAGGCCGAAGCCCACGAGAGAACCTGATGCTCAGAGATTTCTCTGCAACTTGGAAAATCTCGCACGTGGAGAACAGGTGAGACGGTACTCGATCGCATAGGTGCTAGGTCATGGCTCCTGCATCAAGCTTGGGATGAGATCCCTATTGCCGATAGACTCGCCCTCATCCGTCGCCTATTGGTCCAGTCCCGGAAATAAGCATCTCCACGTGGGGGGCTTGCCTGTAAAATCGTAGAACAAGACATCCACCCTTCAAAGCATGTGGCTGAGACAATACCTGTGCCTGTCTGGTGTCTGATATCGTGTTTCGTTACCTGTGCATCAACATTCAGTAGAGAACCTATCCTAAGTCCCTGTTTGGCTGCTTCTCCACGCAATTGGGTAAGTGTAGAAATTGTCATAGAAAGCATCCCGTGTTGCCTTCGCACAAATGTCAGATTCGCCATCCTGCCAGCCTGCATTAGTCCATCCTCACTTCGCTTCGTGCTGACACCATCACTGCGGGATTTTTGTGGCCCAAAGAAGTCGAAATCCCTTTATCTCTGGTCTGTAACCTCGTGGGATAGCAAGCCGTGTTCGCGACCGACCGACGGGTGGAGGCGCCGTCCCAAGAAAACAAATGAATCGCTCTGAATAATCCCGCATACTTGGGGACCACACGCGGGAGAGCCCGCCAAGCTGCACCACCTCAAGCTCGACTCGAGTCGACTCGCCTCTCCTCCGTGGCGACAGTAAAATTTTGCGCGTTCTTTGTGCGTGGGAAGCGGACTTTCTTTCCCCGCGCTGTGATGAGTCTGCAGTCCAATGCCGGCGGGTCTCTTTCTAATGAAACTTCTCTCGGCGGATTTCTATGTGCGAAGTTGGGTAGGGCTTGAAAATTTTCGAGTTTCTTGCTCTTCGCTTGTTTACTGTGGAAGGCATGCTTCTTCACTTCTGTATCGGATACAATCACATCTTGCTAGATACGGTCTCTTTGGTTTAGTTGAGTTGCTCCAATAAGAGTCATGTTAAATTTGGATCTCTGTCAGTAGCCGTCACTTTGAACGAGGGCAACTGTACTATGGTATGAAGATTTATACCTTTATCACGCTGTTCGTCAGCCCACTCTGGAATTTGAGGGCCTGTCCATAATAATGAGGCTCCAAGCTACATAATGTTTTCCAAGAATGCAAGTGTCCGTGGAATGTTCACCACGATGTTCCTCCTCCCCTCATGAAGCTATGCATCCCTAGTTCTAATCCAATTTCTAGGGGGTTCTGTCCTTCACAAAGGTGACCTTTCTCGCTAGCCAACACCCGAACGTAACACCGACAACCTCGCCCTGTACATCCCGTTGAAATACAACTGTCCAGTTCCCCGGCGCTGGCGCATCCAAGCCTCGTGCACATGCGAGAAACCATATGTCATCTCCCAAGTATCGCATTAGCTCAGCCGGTCCGTGGCCTAGGAACCCCTTAAACGATCCGTATAGCATGCCACCGTCTCCGCTGCACTGGAATATAGAGTCGACTTCAGCACAGTGGTATTGGCCCACATAGTCCCCCTTGGTCGGCTGTTGACCCGCAGTAATCCGTTTAGCCTGAATATGACGGTTATCGTATTTGCGGTGGAGTAGGAGGGTATCGGAACACAGCGTGGCAGTTGCCAAGTCCGACCGGGCCTCACATCTCTCCGTGAGCTTCAGTGTCTCCTCGTCACCCGTATAGGTGAGAATGACTTCTCCTGGTCCACCAAGGCGAACTTCAACTACCAATTGTGCATCCGGGTCAAAGTAAAACCCCACCCAGTTTGCGACCGGCATGGAAAGCAGACCATGCTGTGCAGGGAGACTGTGAGCTTCCTGAAGGATATGCCCAGCTACCTCTGCGGCATCTATCTCATGATTTAGCATAACCACAACGGCTAATCGTTCTGACGGTACTTGGGTCCGGTGAAGGCGATATCCACGAATGGCCCCGCCATGGCCGATGGTCGTAGTTTGTCCGAACATTATATGTTCTAAGCCATATCCATACGCGGCTGGTGTACCATCATCGAATGACGGTTCTTTCGCGATTTCTCGATACACACTCCCCCGATCGGCCCACGCCTGGTCCAGATAACATTCGTACGCAATCATATCCTCCAGGCTAGCCACGACGCCGGCGTCACCAGACCACTGAGTCCGGTTGACGGCCGGTATATAGCCAAAGGATTCGTTGCCTTCGTATCCCACGCATGGCGCAGGCAACTCAGCGTTATCTGCGCAGAGGAATGCGGTTTTCATCCCAGCGGGCAAGAAGAGTCGTTCCGAGAGCAGTTTGCCGAGAGACGCTCCACTAACCTGCTCGACGATGCGAGCAAGGATATGGAAGTTGAGATTACAGTAAGAGAATTGTGTGCCTGGTTGGAAATGGAGGGACTTGGTCCTGTCAAGCGCTTTCTTGGCGTCTCCCGCCAGACTGAATTCCCCTTCTGGTTGTGTGCCCCAAAACATCGACATGGCCCAATAATCTCGAATACCCGATTGATTGTTGCAGAGGTGGTCGATTCGAAGACCGTTGCTGTCGATGAGTTCGGGAGAGACCAATTGGCGAAAGGCATCCGACAGCTGTTGGGGGATATTGCCTCGCTCCACCATCGCTGGTGTGGGGTTGCGCTCCAGATCCTTGAGAATCAAACACAACATCTGCTTCGTAATCGAGCAGATTGGCATCAGCGTTGAGGAAGTCATGGAGATCCGCTTCCGCAAATCCGCATATCCCCAGGTAAGTTTTCCAGCCAGTTCACCATCCTTGATGATGGCAACGGCTCCACCAGGACCACGATAACGCGAAGGGACCGCTTCAAGTATAGCTTGCATGTTCGGGAACGTCACTTGAAAAGCCAGGTTCAGTGTAAAAATAATTTCAGTGCAGGAGGGAGAAAAGCTTGCTTGTGCATAGACGGTGGTTCATCAAAGCATGCAGTTTAAACCTCACAAGCAATAACCATACAGATATTCGTTGAGATCCAGTGCTTGCTTCTTAAGAGATGATCCAGAAGGAAGTCGGGCACCCGTTCGGGAAACCGCCGGCTCTGGCCGCACCGCGCCCTTAACCCAAACGGGCATGGCTATGCGGTTGGTCATCTACTTGGCGAGAAAGAGAATAGTACAGACAGAGAGGATGCAGTCATGGGCAATTTCGGGAAGCAATTAAATTTCAAAATGGCTCAAATAAGATAAGCTACCATGGAAAGCTCATCGTGTCTTTTACAAGGTCCCTGCAGCCGAAGAAACTTGTCATAGGCACTCACTGTCTGGGGAAAGGAAGAACCATTAATTTACGACCGTCTGAACATCGTTAACATACTCGCCGTTCAAGGAGGAAAGGATGTGTACTGAAACCACGAAACAAACTCGATAGCAGCCAAGCCGATTCAGCAGTGCCACCCACCTCACCATCTTACTCGTGGTTCCACTGGCGCTCTCAGACATGAATAAACAACGAACAGCAGAACATCCCACCATGCTTGTGTTGCCATGAACATCAGTGCCCAGCTTGGCTGCTTCGGGCCAGTGAGAAGATATTTGTACCCCAGCCAAACCCCTATATGAGCCCCCGCTAGAACCAACTTTCCTACGGTGGATGCCCCGATGACGACTTTGCGTTGCATTCTTGGCCCGCCGGCTCCATCATACAGTATGAAAAGTAAGTACCCGACCCAGAAGCCGAGCGAGATGGTGAGGCATAGCGATGCGAAATACGGGAGTAACGAAGGCGGCTCGGCTGGTGACTAGACGAGATTGTTTGGTTATTTTCATGTTGATGGGAGCGAAGAACATACCGGCTCTGGGGGAGGGGCATAGCTTCGGTAAGCCCAGACGGTGGAGATGATCGCCGTTGTCATAAATGTGAGCCCACTCAAGGTTTGGATGACGGGAGCCGCTGGAATGATGAGGGAGGTCCGTCGACGGGCAGAATGACGTCTGACATGGGGACTGGCATCATGCTGAGTAGCAGAAGCATAAGATGGCAAGAGGGGCTCAGTTGACATAGCGGCTATCTGGACTTTTGCCCCATCCGCATATACTAGTAAATAGAGCGGATGGTACAGGAGCCGTGGTTTCTGTAGCAGAGTGGGGGAGACCAAGTGGAGATGCCCAGCAGCTGGCGATCATGTCACATGATGGGCCGGAGCCGGTGTTTGTTGCGTTTGCTGAACTGCAATGCTAAGTATACAATGAGGTACCTCATTATCTGTTGGAACGTAATCTCAGTAGATTACTAGTAGTCGAGGTCACGTGACCCGAACTCCGTAACTTCAACTGCTCCTCCGAGCGCGCCTAGATAGCGAAGAATCAAGCGTTTTCAACGACTTTAGTATTGATCTAAAACGTTGTTTTAATAGGTTATGAGCCCGGCTCTTCGCTCATGAGGCTAATTAGCAAAGATCTGAGCCACCATACACACGAAGCAAGCTGTAATTGCAACGGGGACATGCACCGCGATATCCCTATCTTAAAATATTAAAATATGTTGAAACGACGTTTTAGGTCAATACTGAAGTCGTTGAAAACGCTTGATTCTTCGCTATCTAGGCGCGCTCGGAGGAGCAGTTGAAGTTACGGAGTTCGGGTCACGTGACCTCGACTACTAGTAATCTACTGAGATTACGTTCCAACACGGCCCCCTAGGCGAGGGAGCGTTCGTAACGAGGCTCTAGGCATTGCCTAGATAGGAAGGAACGGCTATCTCAACCGGTGTTCCCTGGATGCAGGTTCGGGGAGGAGATGGGGGTCATTCCGAGGAGGTGCCTGAACGCTTTGAACGATTCGTTATCAAGCGGCTTGGTGAGGCCGTCCGCCGGGTTGGTGGTCCCTGGGATGTGTTGAATGGTGATAGCGTTCTTCGTGATCAGATCGGCTACGAATAGGTAACGATTATCGAGCCATCTAGTGGACCTGGTGTAGCCTCCGTGGTTCAGGATCCGTAGGGAGTTGGCGGCGTCGGTGTACAAGGGTATCCTGCCGTCAACGGAGGCCTTGAGGTCAAACGCTTCAACCAATTTCTTTATATACAAGGCTTCTTTGGCGGCGGAGTCAAACGCGCAGTATTCTGCTACCGTAGATGACGGTGCAACTAGCGATTGCTTCCTGGATGACCAGCTGATTGGGCCGCCAGCGTAGAAGATGACGTATCCCTCCGTTGATTTGCCGTCTTCGTGGTCAGCGTGGGCGGCATCTACGAAGACTTCGATGCCTTTGGTATGGTCAGTGGCGAGGGTGATCCCGTACGGGATGGACCTTTTCAGATATCTGTATACAATTTTCAATGCTTTAGCGTCGGCCGTAGTGGGAGTGTTCATGCGCCTTTGAAGTCTAAACGTTGCATGACGTATATCGGGGCGGGTCTTTGTGGTTAGCCAGTTCAAACGCCCTACAAGGCTTTGATATTCGGCTAGGTTGACGTTTTCGGTAGTCATATTCGAGCGATCTGACTTTTTGTAGGCAACGGTCATCGGAATGGCGGAGGGGGTGCAGGATCCTAGGTTCGCTGCATTGAGGCACTCCTCCACGTACGTTGGTTGGGATAGTGATATCGTGCCTGCTTGGTAGTCACGTTGAACGTTGCATCCTAGTAGAACCTTTGGTTCCCCCATTTCCTTCAGGCCAAATGCCTTGTTTAGGTGTTGTTTGACCTCGGCTAGGTCTTCCTTCCTGGGGCCAGCGATAGCGGAGTCGTCAACATAAATAATCAACCAGATATCACCCTTTTTGTATACGCAGGGATCCTCCCTCAGTGGTTCGAAACCGATTCTTTTAAGTGTTTCGTCAAACGTTTGGTGCCAGAGGTGGGCCGCCTGGCGGAGGCCGTAGAGGGCCATCTTTAATAGGCACACCTGATCCGGTGGTCCTTCATGGTATCCGGTAGGTTGTTTCATGAACACGCGTTTGCCCTGTATCTGCGCGTGTAGATAAGCAGATACTATATCACATTGTTCCCATTCAAGATCTTTTATAGCGACGTTCGTCATGAATAGCTTCAGGGCCGCTTCGCTGGCGACAGGAGCGAACGATTCGTCGTAATCGATGCCTGGTATCTGGCGGTTGCCGCAGACTACCCATCTAGCACGGAATTGGGTGACGAATCCGTCAGTGTTGACCTTGAGGTCGTACACCCACTTGCCTGGGATTGCGCGAGCGGTTGGAGGTCGGTTCACGATCTCGTAGGTGCCCATATTCTGTATCTTATCGATCTGTGTATCCATAGCATCTTTCCAGTATGGTGCCAGCGGGGACTTCATCGCTTCGCTGTAGGTGTTCGGAACGACCACTTCGTGTTGTTTGAGGTGGGGTAGGGTCACCCGGTCAACCGTGGCCAGTTGTTGGTAATCTGGCCATGTTGATGATTTGCCTTTAGTGGTCCTTGCGGAGCGCCTCAGTATGGGTTGTTCTTCTGGCTCAGTAGGGTCCGGCAGGCGGTAGTCCTGCGCGGCGTATTTCGTTGAGGATGCCTCGTATTCTGTGGCATTCTCGATCGAGCGTGTAGGTGGAGGCTCTGCGGAGGCAGATATGGTGTGGATTCTGCCTCGGATGACGTCTTCTTCAGGGTCCGGTTGCTCAATCAGGGCCCTCGTGTTATCTGATATATTGGTTGTTTGGTGCAGGAACGCGTTGTCTAACTTGAGCGCGGCACCTGGGCCAGCTGGTGTTGGTCCTTTAGGGTCAGGTTCGCGTGTAGGAACTCCACCGGGATCCTCCTTGTCATCCTTGTAGGTTCGATCTTCGTTGAATTTAACGTCTCGTGATCGTTTAATTTTATCAGATATAGGATCCCACACGTAGTAAACGTGTCCGTTGTCCCCATCGAAACCGACGAAGTATCCGACTTTTGCACGAGGTCCCATTTTCTGGGATGCGACTCGATCTTCCTGCGGGATGTGTTGGTAGGCACGACATCCGAATACGCGTAGGAAGTCTAGTGACGCGTTAGGATTCGGGAGGTTGTAGTGGGATCTGTATAGGAACACGGGGGTCTTCCTGACAGCGCTGTGGTAGGGGACGAGGCGATTCAGGATCTGCGCTGAGAGGCGTACAGCGTACGGCCAGAGGTGAGCAGGGAGGCCAGCATCTAGTATCATGACCCTGCTCATTCGGTTGAGCAAGCCGCCGTATCGTTCAGCTAGGCCGTTGGCTTCGGGTGTTCGAGGAGGTGATATTTTGATTTGAATGCCTCGCTCTGCATGATTCGCCCATTTCCTAAAGCGGTTGAACTCGCGGCCACCATCTAGGTGCCAGGTGGCCACGTATCGGCCGACCATATTCTTGTGTTCCATATTCATCCTGATCAGCTCGTCGGAGGCGTCATCTTTGTGTTTAAGCATGGCCGTCCTCACTAAGCGAGTAGCGTTGTTGACCATGAGTAGAAAGTAGTTGAATCCGCCATGACCAATCGGGGTCACCTTTTGGATGTCTGCATGCCAGAGCTGTGTTGGATCATTAGTCTTTGGGATTGGGTCCCTTGAAACGAGGCGTGTGGCCTTGCCTAGCGAGCATGCTTCGCACTCTAGGGTGTCCCTGTGTTCGAGTTCAATTTGATGATCCTTTGCAGTGGTAGCGATTCGGCGGAATCCTGCGTGCCCGTATCGCCGGTGCAAGAGTAGGGGGTCCACTGCCGCTAGCGCTAGGTCAGGGTCTTTTGTCCTGACGAAAAGCACGTTTTTCGATGCCTGCAGGTGGCCGACGATCTTGTCATCCCGGTCCCTGCGTAGGGTCAGGTCCTTAGTGGTAGCGTAGATGCCAAGGTCTGTACGTAGGCGGTTGGAAGAAAGGAGCCCGTAGGGTAGGTCCGGTTGGTGGTAGGCCTTGATCTTCAACACCGTATTTTGGCCGTTTGCAGCTAGGGTCAGGGTCAGATACCCTGCCGATTTTGCAACACCGATTCCCCCGTTCGAGGTGCCATATTGGTAGTATTCGTGGGGTTTCAATTGGTGGAGACCGCTTAGGGAAGCGCAGTCAGGTGTTAGATGCTGTGAGCTGCCTGTATCATATATCCAGCGTAGCGAGGTGTTCGTGGCGTTTGCAACGGCTAGGCCAGAAAAATTCAAAATATACGGGTTTTCGTCATCGGATCCTATTTCGCCTACCGCTGCATTTGATGCTTCGCTAGGCTTCGATCCTTTGAACCACCAGATGCCTTCTATACGAGGCCTATAATCCTCTGGCCGGAGGTCAGGATTCAAGCGCCAGCAGGTGGTTGCTCCATGGCCTAGTGTCTTACAGAAAGCGCAGCGTCCCTTAGTCATCTCTGGCTTCAAGTTTCGCATCTTTCTAGCGTGTTCCTCAGGGGTCGTTCCTTTCGGTGGGAATGTTGATTTCTTCCACTCTGAGGTCGTTGCAGTGCTTCCCGACTTGGTGGTGCTTCCAGTGTTCTTCGCTGGCGCAGCGAAAGAATATCTTTGCATTTGTTTATTACCTTGTTCGATTGCGGTCCTGCAGTAAACTAGAAACTCTTTCTCCTGGAGGGTGTCCGCAGCATTATCAGGCAAATTGCACTCCACTGTTGACACCCACGTTGGAAGGTCGGATTCCAGCTCTTTGAGCAGGTGTAGCAACCCGCAGTATGGTGATATCCCGACTTTCAACTCTTTAGCGAAGTTGTATGCGTGTTTGAACGCCTCCACGTATTGTTCAACGGTAGAGTAGTCGGATCGGCGTTTGTGGATGAGGTCGAAGTACGTTGTTTGGCAAAGCGTGTGGCCGTGGCCTAGGACGAGTGATTTGATGACTTCGTAGGCATCGTCCGCGTAGTCGTGCGCGTCAGGGGACGTCATCAGTGCCCTCTTTAGGGGGTCTGACAGCTGGCTAGCTAGCCAGGACTGGATGTTGATTGACAGGTGGTGCCATAGCCAGTAATTCGTGTGGTTTGTACTAGGATGGGATAGACCCTTGTCGATCATGTCTTGTAGACCGACGTTCTTCAGGATTTGACATATTTCAAAGCGCCACGTTGAGTAGTCTTCTCGCCCTTTCAACCTTTCAGATACGGGTTGAACGCCTTCTGGTAGCTTTACTGGAAGCCTATCTGCTTGTGTCTTTGGTTGTATGGCTACTGCCTCTGTATTCGAGACATGTTGTAAAGAGTGGTATCTGCCTGGTTGCGACATTCTGGGGTCTGCTTCCGGCGGTTGAATATTTTGATATTCGCGGTGTTTTGGTGTTTTGAGATAGGGGTATCGCGGTGCGTGTCCCCGTTGCAATTGCGGCTTGCTTCGTGTGTATGGTGGCTCAGATCTTTGCTGGTTAGCCTCACGAGCGAAGAGCCGGGCTCATAACCTGTTGAAACGACGTTTTAGGTCAATACTGAAGTCGTTGAAAACGCTTGATTCTTCGCTATCTAGGCGCGCTCGGAGGAGCAGTTGAAGTTACGGAGTTCGGGTCACGTGACCTCGACTACTAGTAATCTACTGAGATTACGTTCCAACAGTTTCTTCTGGATACTATGTTCAAGGCCGTTGACGTATGTCAAGTGATTCTCATCCAAGGAACATCTGCAGCGTCGCTTCCCTCTCTTCGAAATGCCTAACCTTGCTAGTAGACCCGGGTTATAAGCTACTATATGCTACTGTTAAGTACAGACACTCGAAGCATAGAGATGCAAACGGATTGGATAATAGCAGCTGGACAACTCCGTAGAGTCGGGCTTCTTCCGCTGCTGTGGGTCACCTCTTCTGCGTAAAGCAATATTTCGGATTATACAAGTCCTATAACCTGCTCGGAGAAATACCCAGAATCGCTTTCATATAGTTCGAATTAGTTAGTGCCTTTTGAAATAGATTGCAGACCTTTTAATCCGCCCAGTCAAGGGACACGAGGTATCTTATCTCGGGACGCTAGTGAAAAATCTATGAAACAACCCCTAATATTAGGGGTCATATCCTTACATAGGCCTTATTGTCACCCGTATGGTGAGCTGGTTATATAAAGACCCAACTCTCATGTCTCTCGGTTCGTGTGTATCCATCACCATCAACAAGTCTCTATTTCTCAAAATACCTACCTTCATCATGCTCTCCCGCATTGTGACTACCCTCACCTTCAATGCACTCCTTGGATTTTCCAGGGCTACCCTTCTCAATAGCACCGACTGCGCTGATATCCACTTCATGCTGGCCCGCGGCACGACTGAAGATTATCCGGGTACAACCTACACGATGGCGGAATTGGTTGCCGAGAACACCACTCTAAGCACCAATTACGAGAATATCATCTACCCCGCCGTCAGCGAGACAGAGTCGGACAGCTATTTCATTGGCCGTGCTGCAGTGGGCAGTCAGGTCAATAGATACGCAGCGGACTGTCCTAATTCGAGGATTGTTCTGATCTCCTACTCCCAAGGTGCTATGATTGTGGGAGACGCCCTTGCAGGCGGTGGTGGCGATTCGACGCTTGGGAACGCGACTCAACCCTTGGTTTCGGAGGACGTTTCGAAGCACAGTATGTTCTGCCAGCCGGCGTTCCCCGTTAACAGTATACTACGTGAGAGCCTTTGCAAAGTCTAACAATTATAACCAGTTGCTGCTAACGTCTACTACGGAAACCCGCGCCATGCACCCTACCAACCCTACAACATGGGCAACAACACTTGGAACGTTACAGGAGTGAGTTTCCTCTCGCCGACGTACTTTGAAGCTTCTCTCATCTAATGATCGCTGTTCTACAGAAATATCCTCGTCTCGATTATCAGATCAATTACCTGCACGATCGTTACCGCCATGTTACTGCGGATTGGTGCAATGATGGCGATGGAGTTTGCTCTCCTTCGGAGGGTGCTGATGCCCTGTCCCTTCACATGGCGTATGCAAACGACTATGATCCGATCGCGGCGGCATGGATTCTTGAGAAGCTCAGAGCGTAGGCTCTCAGAATGGAAGCAATATGGAGCGGATTGGATGAGGGTGTCGCTAGAGCTATTATATGCATTTCGCTCTCCGTAAATAGCCGCTATATTCTCATCAATAACAATGAAAGATTGATTTTGGGGCTTTGTGTACATCCTAAATAAATTAGGCCGACTTAAGCAGTTGAATGATTGATTACGGATCCGTCGACCAGATTTGCCACATAGCCTTGTCCCGTATAAAGCTTGGACTGTTCACAAAGGTACTCGGCAATAGTAATGATCTTCTCTTCCTCCAATCGTCTGCCGATCAATTGGAGTCCAATAGGCGCTCCGTGGTATATTTCCGCATTGTCTAAAGATGTCAGAGATAGTTCAAGACGGGTAGGACAAGGCTAATTTACAATCTTCGAAGATCTTCTGATCGAGTTCACTCAGGAATTCGGACCGTTCGGTCATGGACCGAAGATTCTTGTCAGCGCACGCAATAGGAAATACCAAACTCGTATAATCCAGAGTGTTGATGAATGTAGTGTACCCAGTATGACGGTACTTCCCGGGAATAACAGCTGCATGAGGTGCGGTTGGACAGATGACAGCATCAACTGGCTTTCCAGTCGTAGTCAAATTGGCGGTGCTGTTCCAGTAATCCATATATTTCTTTTGGTATTCTCTTTTCTGCACGTTGAGTGCCGCTACCTCTCTGGCGTTGAAGTGTTTGCCTGGTTCAACAGTACACTGCGGGATTTGTGCCTCTCCCGACAGGGCTATGTGGCTCAAAAGGTCTTCGCCACCATCCATATTGTAGATCTTGCTCTGTGACGAATCAGCGCGCTAGTTTAGACTATATATCCCACACATGGGCGTACGGCAATCTCTCTGCCTTCACGGCATAAGTCAGTATCCCACTCTATGACCTAAATGCTTGTCAGATTCTATGCAGGAAGGAAGATGATGTTTTGTGCTTACCTGATGGCCCAAGTCCCTCAGAATGCGTTCCACAAGATCTATAGCTACCTTTACAGACGGTTGGGGCTCGACAAGGCCATCATGACGCATGATACCAAATGACAGTCGGGAAGCTGTACTTTTTTTCTCCGAAATTAACTGTTTCGTCTTATTCTCAATATCATCCCTCCACGGCAAAGGCAAAGAGAGAGGATCATGCTGCCATGGTTCCTGGGAGAGGATAGCCTTGAAAAGTAACTTCAACCCCCCAATACTTGTCGCCAACGGGCCAATAACCGATAGAATGGTATTTTGTCCGTCGATGGAGTTCGCCGCACCTTCATACGGCATCCTTCCTGCAGATGGGCGAAGCCCAAAAAGTCCGTTAAAAGATGCTGGTATCCGGACACTACCGCCAATATCAGTGCCAAACCCGGCCGGTGAACCACGGAGGGCAATTAGGGCCCCTTCTCCACCAGAACTTCCACCACTCGACAAATTGCGATTCTTAGGATTCCATGTATAACCAATGATGTGGTTTGCTGTCTCTCCTGCCATGAGAGTGACAGGAACACTTGTCTTACAAAATAACACCGCTCCGAGGCTGCGAAGTTCCCGCACAAGCTCACTCTCCGCCACTCTGTGGCGAGGATCGTCTTTTTTGCCTTGATACGTTCCAATCCAGCCCACGTAGCCCATAGTTGTGTCGACTCCTTTGACGTGAAATTGGTCCTTCAAACTTACCGGGAGTCCATGCAACGGGCCTTTGGGTTTCCCTGTCGCTGCCAAATGCTCATCGAGTTCCTTAGCGACTTGAATGGCATCTTCAAAGAATATCTCATGTAGACAATTGACCTATACTTGAATCAACCATCACACCTCAGGTCATAATCTCTGTCATCTGGGTGACATACAAGCTGATGCGCAATAGCAGCCCTGTGGCAGAAGGCTTCGGTCACCTCCACTGCACTCCAATTTCCCGAGGTAGTTTGAGTTGTAATTGCAACAGCATCAGCTTCAGTAATCTCTATCTCACGAGGGGTCAAGTAGCCCTGGATGAATTCACCCGTGACATCAACGGGCAGCACTGCACGCTGAATTCTCCATTTCTGAGGAATCGCGTCCAGAATCGCCTGGCGTTTGGCCTGGGCCGCTTTCTGCCAGGATGACAATTCTGAATCCATCACGATTGGCTCGGTGAGCAGTTTTCACTGTTGGTCAGTTTGTATTCCCTGACGTTGTGATTCTCTATAAAGTGAGGGGTTGATGCAGGAGATACTACTGTGACACAATTGATTGACTCATTCACAATAGCGTTCGTATTCCCCTCATGAGGGGACCACATGCCACGTGATAATGGGCAGCTAGTATTGCCACGTGATTTTATTGTGGGTGCCGTTTCTTATCTGATCAGAGACATTGATAAGGATCTCCGCGTGGAACTTCTATTTTGGGCCAACATGACTTCATCTTCCTGGGCATGAATTCTCATTACCTAACTGTTGTCTTGGTTTTTCCAAATCATTACCTTGCTGTTTCTTGATTAAATCGATAGCTCTGTAATAGATCTATGTTACTCCTAGTAGTACACGAAAAGTGGCAAGTTTTGGTCGGGGCCACACCAACGGGAATACTTGGGGTATATATATAAATAGAGTTAAGAAACAAGCAGATGTACCTGCTAAATGATCGGGAAAAGGATACATTCAACACCGCCCGTGTCTGCTATCATTCATTATCTCGGTAGCCATCTACTAAATATACTGAAATAGTATCCAAAAGAGGAGTGAATCTAGAGCGGTTATTGGCGGTCAGTGGCGCTCCCACCGGACCGGATATCGGAGAATCGGCGAGTCGGAGAGAAAGGGTCACGGGGCGGGGTAACCTTGATAAGTTGATAAGAACCGCGGTTCCTGACGGATTCCTTTGCTCTTCTCCATCTGCCACCATTTCGACATGCCTTCAATCAAAGTTGCTGAGTACCTCTTCCGTCGGCTCAAAGACCTGGGCGTAGCTTCCGTCCACGGTGTGCCGGGCGATTTTAACCTCACTTTGCTCGACTATGTGGAGCCCGCCGGTTTGCGATGGGTCGGTAACGCGAACGAGCTAAACGCCGCCTACGCCGCCGACGGGTACGCCCGAATCAAAGGCATTGGCGCGGTTGTCACCACCTTCGGTGTTGGGGAGCTGTCTGCTGTGAACGCGATCGCTGGAGCCTACACTGAACGTGCGCCCGTCGTGCACATTGTGGGAACACCAGCCCGGGATTTGCAGGAGGGACGGAAATTGGTCCACCATACCTTCAATGATGGCGAATATGGGCGGTTTGCTAAGATCTACGAACACTTGACTACCGCTCAGGCCAGCCTGCGAGATCCACGAACCGCGCCTGCGCAGATCGACGAGGTACTGCGACAATGTCTCCTTCACAGCCGACCGGTCTATATCGAGGTGCCAATGGATATGGTGCACCAGTATGTGTCAGATGAAAGACTCGCGCTCGCCGTCAGCACACCCGACCCTGTTCCCTCCCAGACCCAAGATGATGTCGTGGTGCGAATTCTGGAACGTATATATGCAGCAAAGCAGCCGATCATTCTCGTCGATGGCGAAATCAGACCCATAGGAATCTTGGAAGAGGTCCAGAAGATCATCAATGCCACGAACTTCCCGACCTGGACGACCAATTTCGGCAAAGGCCTGGTGGATGATACACGGCCAAACTTCCATGGCATCTACCGCGGCAACTATGACCCCACTGAAGTGCAAGACTTCTACAATGGGGCAGACTTGGTGTTGTGTTTCGGGCCACACTTCAGCTCCACCAATTCCTACTTCTATCAGATTATTCCTAAGCCCGAAGTTGCTATTTTGTTCACCGATACCGAAGTTAAGTTTGGAACGGAGATCATTCGTGACATTCCCGCCAAGCTTACCACGTCTCGCCTCATCGAGACGATCGACCTCAACCGAATTCATCGCTATGACCCCTACCCCAGTTTGCCCCGTGACGAACTCGTTCCATTCTCCGAAGTAGAAGGAGATAAACCACTTTCCCAAGATAAACTGTGGCGAGTGTTTGCGAACTTCCTTCGCCCAGGCGACATCCTACTGGGAGAAACAGGCACGGCTGGATATGGTGTCCGCGAGATGGCGTTTCCCAAGCACACCCGCCTTTTCGCACCCGTGACCTGGCTATCTATCGGGTATATGCTACCAGGAGCACAGGGAGCCGCACTTGCGCAAGAAGAATTGATGGCATCAGACAACTACCACGGCATTAAAGATGCACGCACAGTCCTTCTCATCGGCGATGGCAGTTTTCAAATGACCGCGCAGGAATTATCAACAATCATTCGACTCAAGCTGAACGTCGTGGTCTTCCTCATCAACAACGACGGATACACGATCGAGCGCTGCATCCATGGCCGGAAACAGGGATACAACGATGTGTCGCGATGGAGATATCTACAGGCCCCCAGCTTCTTTGGAGCGAGTGAAGACACGTACACTGCCTCAGTTAGAACCTGGAAGGAGCTACAAGATGTTTTCTCGAATGATGTTGTCAGTAATGGGAAAGAGCTGCGGATGGTTGAGATAATGCTAGACCGTGAGGACGCTCCTATTGGACCTTTGTCGATGCTTATAGATCAGCAAAGACGTACCGGCGCTTAGGTAGAGTGGATACATGAAGATCAATACATGCACAAATGTCCAAGTTATTTTGGCAGTGGTATTATCGAAGAGGACAGTATCTAAACCCCTTCTTGTTCGCTACACATAAACTTGCCCATCATGCCCGCACATCTCATGACTGCAAAATCCACACGCCATTTTATTAGATACCCTTTGGTTCCCAAAATTCCAAATAGACCCTTGATATATCATAACCTCACCCACCACAGTACTGCACAACACCAGCCCTACCCAGACAACTCAGCTACATCCCTAGTAGAAGGCAACTCAGACACATTCCAAGACGAAGGCAGCTCCGATATCTCATTATCACCAAACGTTAACAACTCGATCCACTCCTCCTCACGCCCTGGAGCCTCCACAATGCCGTGATCGCAGCCGGTAGCTCAGTCTTTTCAAAAACACGCGAGGCAGTATTTTGCGGACATTGGGACTGAGATGAGACAGTTGCCGAATTTGCTGCTTTGGCAGTTGAAGATGGCGGTAGTTTGGTTAGTTGTGGCGTTGACGTTGAGGATGCTTGCGCCTGGTTGTTGAAGAGAGGGTCGTCGGGGGTGGTGTTCCTGGGACGGAGGATGATGAAGTAGGTTGTTGTTGCTGTTGGTGATGATGATGACGACGATGATGTTGAGATCGTTGACAACATTTTAAAAGGCCTAACCACTGTCCTCGGTGTGTTTTCTGTGGGAGGGCCCTTTTGGTGAATCTGGGGGACGTGGTAGACGCCTTCTCGGGGGTATGGTTGAGCCAGTGGGTGAAGAGATCCCGGAAGAGTCGCTGATTGTGTCAGCCATGTATTGGGCTAGGAGGATGGCCACGACAGCGAAGTGAAGCTTGTAAGCCCGAATCATTGTCGGTTTACTCTTGCTCCCCAAATTCTGTATACAAGGAGTCAATACTGAAGGAAGTTTCGAATAATGGACTTCACACGGTGCATTTTATAGTTCTTAGGGATACCTTGGTTATTCACTCCAGTTATACGTGCACCAGGAGGAACAGTCGTTAACACGGGGCCCTTGTGACTTCTATGCACCTGAAATTAACCGATGATATGGTACCGTGTTCACCTGAAGGATCAAATCACGCAAATGAGCATAATTTGTCTCCAGCCGAAATAAAAAGTGAATCTCCGCATACCAGAAAGTTTGCATGTCAGCTATCATAACCTGGAAGCCATGAAACGTTCGAGCTTAGCCAGACAACCATTTCCATTCGCAAGATGGGAGCAGGCAGGGACATCCTCAACATGCTGGTACAGCGCAGATAGCTTCGTGAATTCCTTCTCACATTCTGGACACTCATATCGCCAACCTCCATCTGTCTCAACAGTATATCTCCTGCTCTGATAGCACTCTTTTGCTAAATCATCAATCGTGTCTTCAGTAACCCCCGATTGACACGCCCCGGATTCCAGATGAATCAACATCCCGGAAAATGACTTGAAGTTGTGATAGCAGCCATAACATTCCAACGTCTTGGCTTGGTGCTTCTGCCGATGCTAGAAAGAAGAAAAGTATGAGAAACCTTCAAACAACAACCCTCATGTTAGTCAGCTTACCATTCTCAGATTGTTTTCATTGCTGAAATACTTGTCGCACACATCGCAAAGACAGTGGTCAGAGATATCATGACTTCGGAGACCTTCAGCAGACTCGAGGAAAATATTGCATTCGAGACAAGCATGATGATAACCCACTAGATGGTCTCGAAGATCTTGATTGGATTCAAAGTCTGTTGCTTCACGACAGGAACGACAAATATGATGTTTGTTGGATGCTTGAATATGTGCATTTTTCGAGGCCTCTGATATAAATACCCGACGACATCTCTCACACCATTCATGTCGTGTAGTCGCTCTGCAGTGGACGAAAAGTGCACCATCAGTCCTGAAATACCTGTCGCATATAGAACATATGTAGTCCTTACCATCGTATTCGAGATATGGACCCAAGTCACCCATATTTGTTAATGTGTGATTGTGCGTGTGTGAAGTGTAAGTCTGCAAAAAACGATAGTGAGTAGCCCGTAGAGATATGACAGACGGCTGAATCAAGAAGGGAGAGGTTTAAAGGTCGGTGCATTCACGGGCGGTTAATTCCAGACCTGTGAACTCGAGAAACCTTCGAGCCGCCGGGATCCGCCGACGATTCATCCTTTCAAGTTAATTTTGGATCCTTCTATCTCAGCCGGCGCTTAAACACATTCTCTGTGGAGACATTTGCAGTGGCTAGCTCATAGCTGTTGGAGTGACTGCCTTTGAGAAGTATAAGGGTGGCTAACCCATCTACTGATATTGTGATATCTTGGATAAGGTTAGACCATGTCTTGCACTCACAGATTCGACGCCTTAAGACTGAATATGTAAAGTATTGAACGTGACTAGTAGTACATGCGCTGGTGAATTGAGGGGGCTGACGTAGGTAAATAGATCCTCTAAAACATTCACGAAGAAATTCATAAAAGCAGTGTTTGTTGCACTTCGCAATTCTATCTATCTCGACAACTACCTACTATGAGCCATGATATGCTTCAACCTTGATGGGCATTTACATATATTGCGAACCTCTCACGCAGTGCTACTGCACATGCAACAAGCTCGGGGACGAAAGTGTATCAGTATATCCAAGAACCTAGGCAGAATGTACAAAAGTAACATCAGGATATGCTGCCGAAGGGCCACTCAGTAGATCTGACGTGCGCCCATAAGCAAAGTACTGCAACGCAGCAACGATGTACGAGACAATCACGTTCTTAGCGCGCAAAGCACCAATCGTCCCAATATAACTGGCCTGGACAATTTCTTTCAGTTCGTCAGAGATACTCAGGGAGTCGAGAAGCACCGGAAAGTCGGAAAAGGTATAGTGCTTAGACTGTGCGAGTCGTAGCTCCAATCTCCATCCTCGTAAATTCGACCAGAATGTTCCCCAACTAGGATCTGTTGCCGCTGTGTGGTTGGCATTACTGAAAAGCAGAAAAGGGCTGGACAGTCCTTTAGTGAGGACAGATCCCCAGAATGTACCATCTAAATTGATACCGCCGACAAATCGGTTGTCAACCAACATTGTCTGCGCTGCTGTTGCTCCGCCAAGGGAATGGCCAGTAATTGCGACTCGGTCGAGAGATAGTAGATGTGGATTTTCCAGTGACAAGGGGAATATGTCTCCGACTGCTGTCTCATTGCGAGTCTGATTGTAAACAAATATCATGTCTTGGACGCGAACGTTCATAGCCCAAGTGAACTGCGCATCTGTGGTGGTGTTTTCGAGAACGCCGATAACCGTACGGCCGTCGGGAAATTCCACAATGTTGGCATCATATGGATGATCGACGGAAATGACAGCAAATCCGTAACTGGCAATGTCTTGAAGCAGCGAGGTGTACACCAATCTTGATGTTCCCAGTGCTGGTGAGAATAGCACAATTGGATAGCTTCCGTTAATACTTGAAGGTGATGGCTGCTGCTGTGTCTGAATACGAAAGGATTCGAAAGTCCCTGCGGCTAGTCCAAGAGACTGGAAACTTTCATCCTCGTATGCTGCTGTTGCATTCGGTATGTAAGATTCAGAGAGCACACTTCCGCAATTGACGGGTGTAAAGGTCGTGACCATTAGAGCGCGTTTACCCCCTTTTAAATCGAATGGATTGGTACGAGCTTGATCGACCAGTTCACTCGCCTGGAGCGTGACGTCGCATGGTCCGGTGCCTGGAGGAAGGGGGACGATGGCTGCTCGACTGAGGCCGACAAATAGGAAAATAACGGTGTGTAGCAAAAGCCGAATCATTTTAGCAGTGTTGATGATCAAGGTAGATAAAGACTGCATAAGCATGAAGTTTCTTTATCAAGATGATCAGAGGCCAAACAGGCTGTATTTATAGTTGTCCTGTCGTAGACACCTGCTGACGATCGAATAACTTCACCTTCAATATCGAGTGCTTGGTTTGCCCCGTTGTGGAGCTCGAGGAGTCCCATGGTGGATGATTGGGCGTGTGATGTCCATGTTGCCCGATGAGAGGCTCCTTGACCGTCACCAACGGCGACGAGAAATCTACTATAGACGATAGCGTTAATATATCTCATCAAAACATTGTTCTTCTGTAACGTATTGTAACATAAGCCATCGATCATGTACTGGGAAGCCGCATGGTACTATAGGAATATATATTTTGAGCACTATGGCAAAAGCAAAATCTTCAAGGCTGAAGTACTATCAAATACCAGCTAGTTATCGCTCGGTAAGTAACCGAAGGGGTGTGGTAATAGTAAGCATCTCTGTTTCAAATTCCCAGTGGAAGCCGGATGGCATATGAGGCATTTTCATGATTCATTACGGGTCGCCTAAAGGATGGCCACGACCATTACCTCCAGTGTGCATTATGATTGGCACAGTAGTAGGAAATATATCCCTCATTGACGAAAGATATCTTGATTGTCAAAAGTGAACAGAAGAGCTGAATAAAGTTTGGTATACCTTATCCCCTGTCGATCCAAGACCCCCCAAACAGGCAGCTTCCTAGGGCTCCGATGACCATGTCTATACGGAATATTAGTGTGCATTTTATACATGATGTGCTTGAAGCTCTCAACGAGAACCTAATACATGTGTCTGAAATCCCCTGTTCCCTGTCATTCCCCAACTATATCGTGACTCTAATCTTGCATAGCTCCGTACATGAGATGTATGCGCGAATTTTTGTTCTGGAATGAGATCGGTGGAAGGCCCGAGCCAAGCTGACCCGATTTATCCGAGCGCTACCCCAAGATTGTACTAGCTTTGTAGTGGCCATTGAATTTCACTGCTATGACACCCCACAAAAAGCACCAATCGTGCTTTGGCATGGGCGATATCGCGTCTATAACATCGAAGTTAATTCATCTTTGAGTGATTTACGTCCACGCGTGACGTATTAGGGAGCCTCTATTCTTCAGGAGATTTGTTCGTCAGTCAATCCCGAGGTCGATTGGGGAAACATTATTTTACTAGAACCTTCGGGCAACCTGAGTCTATCATACAAGACACAGCGAAGCAGACTGTAGGCCAAGCTATTGAATTCTTCCTGCTGCTGGGCAGGAGTGCCTTCTTCAGAATCGTCCCTTTATCTTAAAGAATTTTAATGTAACCTTAAGTCAATATTGATGAATGTCAGCCATCAAGTGAGGAGTCATATGGCTGTGATTTGACGGCAACAGGAATTGTAATATTTCGGCTTATCACTATAGCTTCATCTCATCCGCTGCTTTATCGTTACATTTTTGTAAACTCAGTCTTACTGACCTTCTGCATACTTGGGCACCTCCTCTCCTTCACGCCAGAAATACTTTGCGCCCGGATGCGATTCCGGCAGTCTTGTCTGTCCCTTCTGCTCCGTCATATTCTCGCGCATCGTCCCGCCCTTCACAGCATACTCTTTGTGGAAGATGCCGCGTGCCTGCAGCTCCGGCACGAGATACTGGATAATATCATCGAAGGTCTCTGGAATGCTTGCATAGCTGAGATTGAATCCATCGACATCAGCAACTTCCACCCACCTCTCCAACTCGTCCGCGACTGTCTTGGGCCCGCCGATGATCTTGCATCCATTGCCGCCCATAATCAAAAAATCCGCAATGGTCTTCTTATTCCACTTCTTTCCCTCCATCCCCGGCACTGTACTGGCCCAGTGATTGACCATGCTCCGCACAGCCGGCTGCTCCACGAAACGGAAGTCCTGATCATCGCTGTACGTTGACAGATCATACCCAGACCAGCCTCCAAACAGCGCCAACGCGCCCTCGCGATCTCCATACTTAGCATACTCCTCGAACTTGGCATGCGCAGCCTCATCCGTCTCCGCGACGATAACCAGTACACCTGCGACAATCTTAATCCCAGCAGGATCCCGTCCCAATGCTTTCGCCTGCTCCCTCACACTATCGACACTAGGCCTGACCAACTCTGGCGTCTGCCCATTCAGAAAGATCGCCTCGGCATGTTTCGCCGCGAACGCCTTACCCGCCGACGACGTACCAGCCTGCAACAGAAACGGAGTCCTCTGCGGGCTCGGCTCACACAGATGCGGCCCGGGGACATTGAAATACTTCCCCTTGTGATGGATCTGCCTCACAGCCTTGGGATCCGCGTACCCTTTCACTCCATCGCGATCGGCGCCTTTATACACGGCTCCGTCGCGCCACGACCCTTCCCATAACTTATATGTGACATCGAGATACTCATCTGCAATGCGATAGCGCTCATCATGCTCAATCTGAGTATTCAATCCGAAGTTCCTCGCAGCGGACTCCAAGTACGACGTGACGATGTTCCATCCCACCCGACCATTGGATAAGTGGTCGACAGTGGAGAAGCGTCTCGCCATTGCGTACGGCGCGTCGTATGTCGTCGATGCGGTCACTCCAAAAGCGATTGTTTCGGTGGCTGCAGCCATAGCGGGAATACTGTACAGGGGATCATTGATAGGGAATTGCGCGCCAGCGGGGATAGTCGGGTCGAGGTTCGCGGGGCCCTTGTAGACATCATAGCCGCCGAGGACGTCGGCGAAAAATATGGCATGGAATTTGGCCGCCTCGAGCTTCTGTGCGACGCGGATCCAATTTTGGAGGGAGGTGTAGTTGTGACCTTGGTCTTTGGGGTAGCGATACAGACCTGGGTTCAGGTGGGAGGGGGATTGCATTGCGAAGGCATTGAGGATGAGTTGTTTTTTCTCGGCGGAGCCCATGGTTGCGATCGTTAATGAATTGAAAGTGACAATGTATTTTGAGTGAGGGGATGGTGAGGGACTCGAGGAATATGGTATTTATCTCAATGTTAGAAATGCCGGGGCGTTGATTTTTTAAATGTCACACAGTGGGTATCTGGTATTCTCATTGTGCAACATGCACTAATTTCCCCTGTGCAAGTATAGCCTGTGATAAGAATGCCCCTCATTAGTACTCGGACGAGAAGCTCTGACGGTGACTGTGATTTGCGGGTTGTATGCAAGGCCTGGTGGAAGACGTGCGATTGCCGCGTGATTGCGCCAGATGCGGTGGTGATGGTGCCAACAATAATTTCGGAAGTGAGGGGAAGGAGGGGTAGAGGGACCTCGTGTAACTCCTGTTCACGCTGTTAATCCTAGATAAGAGGATTTTGTAGGATAATCTCGCTTACTGAGGTTTCGATGATGTTGTCGGTTTTGGTGTTGGTTTTAGAGTCCATTATGCGGGTGTATAATGGTTCGGGAAAGTAGAATCGTTTGTAGCAGGGAAGAGGCCGCTTCAAGTCCGCATAGGAGATAGTCCAGGTATTTCTTCCTGTCCAAGGCGTTTTATTGAATATGTAGCATCATCATCTCCATTTTATGTACAATTAAAAGAAAAATGTCTAGAAGCAACAACCCATCTACTCCATATCAACAACAATCCTCTTCCCCGACACACTTCCCTTGCGCAACACCTCCAACGACTCATTGATACTCCCTAACCCGCCCTCATGTCGAACAACCTCCGGCAGTTGCAGCGCTTCCGTCTCGAGCAACGCTTCCAACCAAGAGACCATCTGCTCTCCCACGGTCGGCGACGTATGAAACAGCTTGATCGGAACAGTGTGATATACCAAGGCCTCATTTCTTTCCTTCGGTAGGCCTGTCAACCCAAGCAAATGGGAATGGGATCCATCCTCGCGGATAGTATCGTCGAGTGTGCGCTGTAGTAGAGTGGCCGTCTCCGCCCCGACAATGTCAACAGCATATCGGAGTTTACCCCCGGTGACTCCGCGTATGATATCTACAGCCCGTTCCGTATCTTGTCGATCAACAAGAACATCTGCACCGAGTTGATGAAGTCGTGAGCCGTGACGGGCGATGTCTGCTACACAGATGACGCGGAGGCCTGCAAGCTTGGCGAGTTGGAGCGTGATATATCCGGTTGTGGTGGAGGCTATGACAGTCAGCTACAATCGATATGTTAAATGCAGTGCAACCCACCACCCCAAATAGCAATCCATTCACCCTTATTGAGGCGCTCTTGTACTGCACTGGACGAAAAGCACTCCCCACGAATATCCGCCGGTATGTTATTGATATCAAGCTGAGTGACCGTATCCTGCAGGTTGGGCCCCGGGCATTGTAGACACTGTCTGAAATCAAGGCCGAGTGATACACCAAGTGCTAGAACTGAGGCAACAAAGGCGACTCCGAGCGATGCAGAGGCATGGACACAGGAGTTAGATGGTATACGTGCGGCGTTGAAGTGGGTGGCGACGGCGTATTCTTGAAAGGCTGCTTTCCTAATATCACGATAATCTGTTGATGGAACCAGCACCTTATCGCCGACACGAACCCGACTGTTCTCATTATTGACCCGAACAACTTCTCCTGCGAGATCACGACCGTTGATCCATGGTAGACTCGGAAGGCCGAAGTTGAAGGCTCTGGTGGTGTTAGCTGGGATCTGGCTGTCTCGACGGAACACTTACGGGCCCTTCCAGTCGACAGGGTTTAACCCGACTGCTTGGATCTGTAGAGGGTAGAAGTTAGCTACGAGAGTAAGCCACGATAAGATAGACCAGTACCTTAACTAAGATCTCATCCTTGTGGGTGATCTCCGGGATGGCATGATCAGTTACCAGGGTATATTGTTCACCCGCAGCATGGAGAAGCAGTGCACGCTGAGTCGTCTTCGGTGGTATGATCGAATCAGTGGGTGCCGATGGGGTAGAGGTATAAGTAGGGTCTGTTCGCTGCTCAAGTACAAACTCCCGGTGGTAGACCGCGGTGTACTTTTCCTCGACAGGTGCCGGCAGGGTATAAGTTGATATCGTCGTCATTATGGCTTTTCAGTTGATACTCTTCAGGTTCCTTTCAAAGACGACTGAATGTGAAAGGGTCACTTTTGGGCAGTTATAGATATGCATACCTACCCGGCCGAGAAATAACCACCCAGTAAGAGGGGTCTCTCGGACACGGGCCAGCAGATCCTTGATCAAGATAAGAGCCGTGGCAATCGTGCATTGCGCGCCATATGCCGGCTGGATTCGCGATCACTTGGCGGTTCAGGGCAGTTTGCGGCATTGCGAAGGGCGGGGTCGGGATGGCGTGATAAAGTTATGTACCGGATGGCATCATCGCAGGACTGCTCGAAGGACCAAAACTTATGGCAAAGAACATGCAAGTTTAAGAACAACACACTGATGCCAAAAAATGAGACCTGGTCCGTGGGTCTTTGGGATTTGTGTCGTGGTAAGTGTACGGGGCTTGCACAGGGGATCGCGGAAGTACTGCCTGCCTCAGCGTACATGCCCCTGACTGAAGATCGGCGAATCACAGCCTGCGCTGGCATCAGCTTTATCAGAAATGATGTGATACAGGAGACAAGGAACAGCGACCGCGACAATTTTGGAGCGAAACAATCGGTCGCTGGGTCGTATACAGTAGACAAGGTCGAAGTGGAGGTCAGGACGAGAATATTTGATAGCTCCAAGTTCCTTGTGACTGTTCATAAATTGCATCCTAATCACCTGTATATGCACAGGGTAGTAATCAAAGAGCCATTGACATATCCAGCATCTGATTGATCCTGTGAGACGCTACACGCCATGTCACCCTTGCTGGCTATCAGCAGGCACCTTTATCAACACACAAGCTGCGGTCGGAATGACGTGCCTGCCAGTAAATCGGTCATGATTTCCAAGCAATGTCAGCGTCTCCTCTCGGCGACGGATTGCCTTTATGAGGGCAAAGTCGCTTGACTATTAGCTGGTCAAATTTACTCTCATACTGCGCAATTTCCACGATGGCGTACAGTGAACGACAACCTCTATTGAGCGCACCCGGGGACTCCTCTTCGGATGACGTGCCTAGGGATACCCTGCCAACCACGGGACAGCGAAAACACCTTACCTGGATAAGCGCATATATCCTGGTAGTCTCGCGAGTCATTGGGAGCGGCATCTTCGCGACACCCGGAACCATCGTCAAATCTGCCGGCAGTGTCGGCTTATCGCTGTTGATATGGGCTGTTGGCACCGTCCTGGCAGCCTGCGCGCTGGCCGTGTCGATGGAATATGGTTGTATGCTGCCACGATCAGGTGGAGAGAAGGTAGTTCCACTGCCCCAGACATAGGCCAAACTAAGTCTATCTAGGTATACCTGGAGTATACCTATCCGCGTCCTCGGTTCCTTGCGTCGACCCTGATCGCAGTGCAAGCAGTTGTTCTGGGTTTCACGGCCAGCAACTGCATCGTCTTCTCCAAGTATACATTCTTCGCTTTCAATGTGGTGCCCACCGAGCTCCAACACAAAGCACTGGCAGTGGGATTGATGACGGCGGTAACAATCATTCACGGTTGCTTCCTTCGAACTGGCATCTGGATTCAGAACGCATTCGGCTGGGTAAAAATATTCCTCATCGGTGCCATTTCCCTGACGGGGATCTGGGTCATTTTGCTTCGCCCACAGGGTGGCACCGACGCTCTTGCCCCTGAACCAACCAGCGTTTTCTCGTGGGATACATTGTGGGAGGATTCTAACTGGAGCTGGAACCTGTTGTCGACGTCCTTATTCAAGGTGTTCTACTCGTACGCGGGATTGAACAACGTGAACAATGTCCTGGGAGAGGTAAACAATCCGATTCGGACGATCAAAACGGTATGCCCGGCAGCGCTCCTCACAGCTGGTGCTCTGTATTTTCTGGCCAATATTTCGTATTTCCTCGTGGTTCCGCTGGAGGATATCAAGAACAGCGGAGAACTAGTTGCTGGTCTGCTCTTCGAGCGGCTGTTTGGCAGCCACATTGGACGCACGCTGTTTCCGCTGGCCATCGCCATCTCCGCTGCTGGCAATGTTATGGTGGTGACTTACGCCCTGGTACGTTACTCTGACTTTTCAGTGAATTATGTCTAATTGAATAGGCCCGCGTAAACCAAGAGATCGCTCGGCAGGGGTTCCTTCCCTGGTCCCGCGTTCTGTCGTCCTCCAAGCCATTTGGTGCTCCCCTTGGGGGGCTGATCGTGCACTTTATACCCTCTTTGCTGGTTATTGCCCTTCCACCTCAAGGTGACGTGTATAATTTTATTCTCGACGTTGAGGGCTACCCAGGACAGGTATTCAGTCTTGCAGTTACAGTGGGTCTTCTGCTGCTGCGATACCGCGAACCGTCTCTCCCACGGCCCTTTAAGGCATGGCTACCTGCAGTATGGCTGCGAGTCGTAGTTTGTGTCGCTTTACTCTCTGCACCATTTTTCCCTCCAGCAGATGGCAAAAGCGATGTAAACTTCTTCTACGCGACATATGCGATCGTGGGAATGGGAGTGTACGTATATCCCTACCATCGATGGGCATGGCTAACTAAAGTAGGATTATCTTTGGAATACTCTACTGGTATATATGGACAGTGCTACTACCACGTTGGGGAGGATATAAGCTGGAGGAGGAAGATGAGGTGTTGGATGACGGGACGAAGATTACCAAGCTTGCGCGTTCGTATATTTGATCGGATCGTAGATCATGATTAGAAATCAAGCCACAACCACAGTTTCCATCATATTAATAATTTGGTATCATCACATGCAGCCCTGCGTGTCATGCCAGAAGTACATGAATTGATGATTGGATTTATCAGCGCGAGACGCAGCATCCTGGTCGGATGGCGTGCTTCTGACAAATGCCATAGAGGTAAGATCATTATATAAAACGGTCTGACCCCGGATCGGCACCACACCCATCAACGATAAACCTAACCATCCATCAACTTGAAGCTTGAATTTAGTACTCAATCACATCAAAAGAAGCCTTACAATGGCCTCTGCAGCAGTCCAAGTCCCCACCGGAGATCCCTCCACCGTCCCTTCCAAACCCACTTCAACCCCCTCCTCTGGCCCTCACCACGCCCACACCACCCTCAACTTCCTCAAAGAGCTCCCCGACGGCTCCCACCTCGCCCCAACCTACGTAGGCGTTCCAAGCAGCTACGAGCGACCCACCACATCCATCCCAGTGACGATCCACGACGTGAGCGGCCACGAGCTCGACTACACGCTGGACGGCAACGGCTTCCAGTTCTACTACCACACCAGCGCCGAGAAGGACTTTCTCGACGACGAGAAGATCAAGCGAGAATACTACCCTGAGACGGAGCAACTCCTAAAAGACGCGTACGTTCCCTTCCCCTCCTCTCCTCCTCCCAAACAACACCTCCTAACTTTCAGTAGGACAAACTGCTCCCGTGTCTTCATCTTCGACCACACTATCCGCCGACCCCAACCAGAGGGTACTCCCGCCTCCCAGCTCCGCGGCCCTGTTAACCGCGTCCACATCGACCAATCCTACCCTGCTTCCAAAGCCCGCGTGGAATGGCACCTGCCTGAGGACGCTCCCCGGCTCCTTCGCGGCCGGTACCAGATTATTAATGTGTGGCGGCCTATCAAGACCGTCAAGCGCGACCCCCTGGCTGTAGCGGATGCGCACTCCGTCCCGGATAGCGATCTCGTGCCGACGAAGTTAATCTACCCCAACCGCGAGGGCGAGACATGTGCCGTGAAGCCCAACCCGGAGTTCAAGTGGTATTATCGGTATAGACAGGGTCCGGAGCTGGTTACGCTGATCAAGTGTTTTGATTCGAAGACGGATGGACGGGCGAGACGCGTGCCGCACAGTGCGTTCGAGCTTCCGGGGGCAGAGAATGAGGAGGGGAGGGAGAGTATTGAGGTCAGGGCGTTGGTGTTTCATGAGGATGATCTGGAGTGATACCATGACTATATAGACAGCGGTGGGATGTCATGTTGGGATAGTATATTTAGGGCTGCTGTTGATGTTGTTATCGATAAGGATTAGATGATGGATGAAGAACGGGAGAATGGCAGGACACACACTACTTACTACCAAGCATCAATCTAGCACACTAAAGTACTAGTGCAGTCAAGTAATATATGCAAGCCGTGGCATTTATTGCGCGATCAACTAACATACTATAGATCCTGGAAAAAATATCTATCTAATCAATCCCCAATCCCATGTCATCCCCCACGCGCGCACTAAAATGCCGTGCGAGCACGTAATTACCCCCTCAAACCGCAACATCCACAGTCTCGACCGATACCACAACAGCCAATGTCAATGGCCAGATTGGCTTCCTTGCTGTCATCCTTGCATGACAGGCTGCATGATAAAAAAACTTACCGAGATCGGCGAGAATATGATGCTATCGCGGCCGAGTGTATAAGTAGCTAGTAGCTACCCTTGCGTCCACACCAACTTTGCTCGATGTCACTTTCCTACTAGATTATATAGCATCGACAAGATATTGAGGCAAAATGTCTCTCGAAAAACAACCCTCATCAACAGATGAAGAGGTACAAGATACACCCTCCTCTATTCCATTCGAGCCCATTCGGGATCACAAAGGTACCCCCTCCTCCCTATTTCCCTGGTACTACCCCAATCCTGACCACTCACCATGGTAAAACAGTAAAATGGTACCGGTCAACAACCTACAACGCCCTCGTCCTCGGGCTCTGCAACTTCCTGGCCCCAGGAATCTGGACCGCAATGAACAGTCTCGGCGGCGGGGGGTCCGAAAGTCCCTACCTCGTCGACGCGGCTAACGCACTCACCTTCGGCCTGATGGTATTCTCCTGTTTCTTCGGAAGCGTTGTCGTGCGCATCGTCGGAATAAAATGGACACTCATCCTGGGGACAGTCGGATACGCGCCATACGCCGCAGGACTATACACCCATAACCGATTCGGGACGGACTGGCTGGTTCTCTTCGGCGCAGCGCTGTGCGGTCTCTCAGCGGGGATATTCTGGATGGCGGAGAGTGCCATTGCCTTATCGTACCCTGAGCCGGAGAATCAGGGACGGTTCCTGGGTCTGTGGTTGAGTTTTCGTGTCGGAGGGCAGATCCTCGGCGGGGCGATTAACCTGGGTTTGAATGTCCATCGGAATACAGCGGGGAGTGTGAGTTATGCTGTCTTCGGGGTGTTTATTGCCTTGCAGGCACTCGGGCCTGCGGCGGGCTTGTTGCTCACTGAGCCGGGGAAGGTGATGAGACGGGATGGGATGAAGGTGAAGTTACGGATTGCGCATAGCGCATGGTACGAAATAAAGGCCATGACGCGGTTGTTCTTCCGGAAGGAGTTTCTGTGTATAGTGCCGCTGATCGCGCAGGCGACGTACACGGAGGCGGTGATGTTCACGTACTTGGATCTGTGGTTCAGTGTGCGGGTGCGGGCGCTGGGCAGTTTCTTCTCGGGTGTGTTGGCGCTGGTGTCTGGCAATCTGTTGGGGGCGTTTTTGGATAGTACGAAGCGGTTTGGGTTGAAGACGAGGAGTCGGGGGGCGTTTTTTGTGGTGTTGGGGTTGCAGGGAGGGTGGTGGATTTGGGCGACGGTTGTGACGACGCAGTATACGAATGAGGGGAGGAGCGGGATTGACTGGGTGGATGAGGGGTTTGCGAAGGGCTTTGTGCTCTATTTGATGTGGGTTGCTGGGTTTCAGTTGAATTATATGTTCCTGTGAGTGCTCCTGCTGACTGGGGGTGGGTGGGATGGGTGTGCTAACTGGGGTTATAGGTACTTTGTGGTTGGCAATTTGGCGGCTGATGAGGAAGAGGTCGTGCGGATTAGTGGGTTGTTGCGGGGGATGGAGTCGGCTGTGCAGGCTGTTTCGGTAAGTTTCTCGATCTGTTGTGTTGATGGTGGGTGCTGATGAGTGTAGTATGGTTTGAGCAGTGTTGGTATCATGGCTTCTGTGGGAGGCACCTATCTCAATTTTGGCCTTTGGGGCATCTCGCTGCTGCCGGCGTGGCTTGTGATTCGCCAGTTTGGCGTAAGCTTGGAGGATCGCAAGTTGGTGAGAGATTACGGACGTGATTAGATTGGATAGATATAGATGGATCACAGATCATAGATCATAGACTGGGATGTTCAGTTAAAGGCTATCTACATAGATGCAACGTATTCACAGATTGAACAGTCCACCCTTGCGTTTTCCACCAGGATAGACCACCATCGCGGAAAGAAAGAGTCCTACCGTGATTCCCAACGCCGTCTGCACCATACTCAAAGCCAACCCTCCCAATGACTCCTGCGTCTGGGTCATTGTCGAATCTGAAACGGTATTATTTTTCACTGCTTCTGCGTACGCCAATCCGGAGATGATGGATCCACTACTAGCCAGACCAGACGACACCAGCGTCCACATGCCCGGCACGATGGCCGCAGCAGCGTGTCCATGCCAGACTCGACTGTACAAGTTGGCACACAATCCGATCGTGAAAGCTCCAATGGTACTGCCGAACCGACTGTCCAAGTGATTGGCTGTGAAGTAGTAGGTCGTGTAGCCTGCGACGCCCATGAAGGACATGATCGGCAGCTGCTTCCATTTGGCCTGGTTGAGGATGGCGGCAAAGGCGCAGTACACCGCCACGAACACGAATTCCTGCACGTACACACTGCCATAGATGTTGGTATCTCGTGAAGGGCAGGATGTGGCTTTGGTGGCATTATCGTCCATCAGTCCGTAGATCGTGAGACCCACTGTCACGCCGTAGCCCAGGAAAAGCGAGTAAATGATAGTATAGACCAATCGGATGGATCCTGCCACGATCTGATGCGATTGCAATTCCAGACTGCTACACAGCACAGAGTATCCCGGTAGGATGAGCGCGATGGATGATTCTGCCAGGGCGGAGAAACAGAAAACAGGCTCGCCGCTCGAGTAGTAAATGCTTCCAAATGCACGAGCCAAGTAAGGACGTGAGCATGGCCACGGTGACTTCGAACACATTGGAGTACAGCGCCGATCGTGGTGCCAACACATACTGTAATGTTCCGAGGAGACAGCCCAGGACGAAGATAATGGGCATGTCGACCGGGCGCGCGCTGAACGCCCACGGACCCACCGCCACACTCGCCAGGCCGGACAGCAAAACCAACAACCAGGCCTGATGAATGCGACTCTTTCGGGTAAGAAGATCGTCCATGACTGGAAGAGCCTCATCCGGCGACAGTCTGCCATGAAGCACATTCTTATAGCAATTGTGAATATCCCCGAGTCGACCAAGGTCCAATCCGTGGGTTGTGCGGACCAGCTTGACCTCCGCAGTGCGGGTAAGGGGATCGTCAAACGAAATAATCATGCAGCCGGGAATGTACATGAATTGGCCCTGTACCCGCAGTCGGTAAGCCGTCATCTGCATGTATTCTTCGAGACGATGCGTCGGAGCGCCGAATTTCATCAATGCCCGACACAGCTGGATCATATAGCGCTGGCGGGTGAGAAGCGAACCAATCTTCTGTGTCAACAGCTCTTCCTTCATTTTCTTCCGACCTTCTTTGTCATTCGTTGGATCCTCGTCGTACCACTTCTTCTTGCGACGCTTCCGCAGGTCAGTGGGTAACGGCGCCAGTCCGTCTTCTGTAGATGTGGGCACCGCACCATCGTCATGGATTTCCTCCGGGTTATGGCCCATCTGATGACTGAGTAAATGCCAGAGCACACCTCCGACGAGGTTCTCATCATTACTGTTGGTCCGCGACGGAGTTTCACCCAAGCCCAGGTTCTTCACAAGATTGTTGGCATCGGAACCCAGCACGGACTGCAGCTTGGAAGCGTAGGCATGCTCCTCGAGTTCCTCCTGTGCGAGCATCTCTCTCATCTCAATGTCCTCTTGGAATCCGTAGTCTTCTGGGTGCCAGGCCGAATCCAGTCCATCACCGCCGTCAGGATCACGACCAAGTTTTTCCGCGAGTTGTGAAGTGCCATCGCGGATGGCTTTGAAGAGCACGCCCCACTGGTTACCCCCGGAGGGCGGAGGAGGGTTTTCGCGGGTCAACGGTCGTTCGTCATTGTTGGTCGATCGGTTACCCAGACGGTCGTCATCACTGGAGGGGTCGGTGTCGCGTCGAGGAGGACCCAGATGGGTATTGGAATCGTCAACGGGGCTGGACATGCTGAGCCGTAGGCATACTAATGACAATAATCACGAGAGGATCCTTGAAGGTTTGTCTCAGTTTTCTGAATTGTTCCTGGCTGTGCCTGAACTCTCGGAAAGCGTACCACGGAACGGCACTTACATGCTGTGGCAAGGGAAAAGGAAGCGGCCGAATGACAACTGACGGGGCCTGGAAAATGCCAGACAAGACGTTGGCACGACTTTGGCCGGGGAAAAAGAACTAAAGAATTTGGCGGGAAGAGCAAGAAGAAGAAAGATTTCCGACTAAAGGGGGCGTTGACCCACCAGAAAAGAGGAGAAGCGCCGAGCAAATGATGTTATCCCCGGCCAGATGCTGATCCCTCTACGTATCGGGAGGGGTTCAACTCTCTAGTCGCTACGTAGACGGCCACGAACACGTTCAAGTGCTAGAATAGTCTAGACTAAGAGGCCACGAACATCCAGGACGAAAAACTGAGGGAACACGTCTCCACGGGGAAATAACTTCTTATGAAATATGCAGCAGAAATTCCTCGGGCCAGACCTCCCCTGAAGGAAAGGAGCTTCTGAAACAACGGCGGATCAGCCCCCACCGCAAAGCTTCGCCCCTTGGCACTGGCCGTTGGAGTCCCTGTTCCTAAGCTGGGGGGGGACCGCGAGAGAGATTGAGTTGGGCCATTATCCCCAGATGTGTGATCCGATCGCACTATAATGGGTGATAATTATAGCCAGATTACAGAAGATACTAAGTATAGCCAGAGTAGATGGGACAGTGGAATGGAGACCCAACCGAGGGGTTAACCTGAATAAACTTGCCATTTGACGGACTACTGTTCGACTAGCTTCATTTTCGGGAATAACGGCACCAGTTAACGAATATCCACCCCCAATCGGCACTTGCATCCGTCCAGTCATCCGTGGTTGGCGGTTCATGTCATGCTGTTTGGCTGGTTTGCAACCTCCCCCGTTCCAGAACATGCCGAGCCACGGTTCTGGCCATCCTCGCTTCCGCGACTGTCATTTCAGTCCATGTGGAGACTCATTCTTGCTTTCCATTTATTTGACACACTCCGGACCCCGACCCCCAATGGTATTGCATTGCATTCCATCCAGCACAATTCGATAATCCCTCCTAGTCTCCTTTCGTCAATCTTCGTCCGATCCGAAGTATAACTTGCCCTCCGTCCCTTCTCTCTTGAAGATGCCCAGCTCCAAGGCCAATTTGACCACATCTTCCACCCAGTCGGTGCAGCGGTACAAAGGCACGGCCAGGTTCAAAGGCTTCCCGCTGAGGGTCAATTGAGCTGGGGGAGGTGGGATTTCCTCGGCACACTCCCGCTCGAATCGGATAAGGTCGTCCTTGGCGATAACGGCAATCTTTCGCTTCGAGTCCATCATGTATCCGGGCAGCAGTTCGGGATCGGGAGTATTGCGATGGCCGTAGTCCATGCCGCGCAGAATGGTGCCCACCACATGGTAGAGCCGTCCGCTGTTGCAGAAGGGTTCCGCGTCGGGGTCGGTTTCGATGAAGATGGCAAGATGATTGCGCACGCCGTGCTGTTCGGTGAGGTAGACGTCGTAGAACTCGGGGGGTGATCCGTCCGTGTCCATTTTGAAGTCACTGCAATTTGAGTGGTAGTAAAAGGAAGTTTGACGGTAGCGAGAGGAAGTTTATGGTAGTAAGCGGTTTGGTAGTAGTGAGAGGAAGTTTGAATGGCTGCAGAGTGAGGGAGAGTTTCTCTCGCTGGCCGGGTGTTCTTTGACAGGATGATTTGAGATGAGGCAGCAGTGCATTCACTGTCCAGCCTGGTGGTTGCCTGCTGTCACTGGGATCGCAAAGTAACAGACGCCCCTTGCGTCTGGAATGCAGATGAAAGGCCATCATTCACAAAGCGGCAGGCGCTTTCACGCTGTCACTGCTGCCTCAGATATCTGTCGTGCGAGCCTGGACCACGCCATCAGTTGAACTACGTCTACTGTCTAAGGGAGAGTAGATCACTGATCGCCTCTCAAGTATGACTACACACCCATTAACACATCTAGCCTCCCCTTGGCCAATGCATACACCGTCTCCAACCGGGGCATTGACACCCCGCATGTCCTCCCCAGTCTGACTGCATTCCCCACGATCGCTTCGACCTCAAATGGCCTCCCCATCTTCACATCCTGCAGCATACTCATTTCTCTTCCTGTCCCCTCTTTAGCCCTTCTCTCCGCCAATGCGAATCTCTTCTTCGCCGCCTCCTCATCCACGCCCGCAATCCCTACCGCCCTCGCCAATGCCACAATCTCCATCATAATCCCCCAGGCCAAATCACGCGCAAACGGCTCCGAGGTCAACAGGAACCCGCCATCCGTGCACAATGACAACGCACAGATTGGATTCCATGCTGCATTGAGCAACAATTTCGCCCATCGCGCCTCTTGTATATCCTCAAACAGCACCGCATCCCCGCCTCCTTTTATCATTAACTCGACGAATCTCTCCGCCGCCCGTCTATGTCCTTCCGGCGCGCGCGCCGGATACGTTCCTAGTTCCAAGAGGTCCAGGGGCTCCGCATGATCAATCACACCAGCTTCTGTCTGAACGGTAGGGAGGTATACCACCCCGCTGATGACTGGATTGGAGGGAAACGCCTCTGCGATATCTTTCTCGATGTCGATGCCATTCTGCGCCAGGACAATGGCTGTGTTTGGACGGTTTTCAAGGACCGGTCGAAGCTGGTCCGCTAGGGAGGGCGTCCGACCGGGGAAAGCCTTGGTCGTGACAAGGACATAGTCGTATCCGTTGTCGCGGGGACAGTCGTGCACGGAGCGAACAGTGTGGTCGGGGCGATACGTGACGGTGCCGAAGCGGGGACTGCGCAGGGTGAAGCCGTGGTGGGCGACAACATCGTAGTTGGAGCGACAGACGGCGGTGACGTTGCAGCCAGCTTGTTGCAGTTGGTGGAGGTAGATGGCCCCGACGCTGCCAACGCCGAAGACGAGGACGGAGGGGGAGGACGTCATGATCATATAATGGGTTGCTTCTGGGATAAACGTTGGGAGTCGGAGGTGGCTGGCGGCTTCGCCCGACCACGTGGGTCGGTCGGCATCGCAGCAGGAGTCTTTTACCGGTTATTTTGCAGCAACATCTACCATGTCTTGAGATGGTTATATGGTTTTCTTTAGTTCCTTATTTCTTTATTTCTTTTACCTTTGTTGCTGTCTTTCAGTATGGTCTCTACTAGCATTATATCCTACCAACACCGAGTTCGGGTGGTGCACATGGTCACAATATATACTCCGCCCACTGTCTGAGTCTACTGATCTGGTTAACACTCTAGATCTTCGCCTCCGATTTGAGGTACTTCTCGAAGAAATCAGCCAGCTGATTGTACCTATACCATCGTCAGATAGCCTTCATTCTAATGGGTAATGGCATACTTACCCCCGCTTATACTCTGCCAATCCCTCCGGAGTCTCTAGCTTAGCACGAGCACCCATCCAGCCGTGCCACATGGTAGGATAAGTCTCGACAATACCACCAATGCCATTGCTAGCAATGACCTCAGAGTACCCCTTGACGGCCTCAACGGGCTCATCCTTCGACGCAAGCACGATATGGGGAATAGTCAGCTTTTTAGCCTCCTCGGCATCCAAGAACCTAGTATTCATGCTCTATCAGCAACTTTCATCTATCATCCTAACGATTGACAAAACATACCCAGGATGCACCTGCCCCGAAGCAACAAAAGGCGAATTAGGCCCCGAGACCTGCGCAGTAACCTGCCAATACCGTCAGCATACATAACCATCACTCTACTTACCCAAACAATATCCATTTGAGAAATAAGTAATACTCACCTTCCCACCCCAACACAACCCAAACGCACCCCAACTCTTCACCGACGCAAACTTCACCTTCGCATCCTCAGCGACCTTCCCCAACACACCCACCTTCTCCGCCACCGATGCCTTGGTATTAATAAACCCAAAGAGAGCTTGCTTCTTCTCCTCCGTATCCGGCGGGAACCACGCCAGATCGGCGCGCTCACCGTGGAAGAAATCAGGGACTAGGACGAGGGCATTGAGTCGCGCAGCGAGGAGATCAGCACCTTGGATGGTTTGGTTGGAGATACCGAAGATGTCGTAGATGTCGATGATGCCGATGGTAGCAGTTGAGGGACCGGTGATATCTTGATTACTAGTGAGTTGGCTATTTCCACAAGAGACCAATTGATAAAAGTGAGGGATGTACATGTCTTCAAATCAGCAATCTGCGTATAACTCCCCTTGGGTGTATACCCCTCCGAAATAACAGGGGGGATAGTACGGCACGCTTCGCAGGTCATTGTTGCGGTATTCAGTGGGATGTGTTAAATCTTTAGTGGTGAATTGGCCTGACAATGGGTTGTTTATTGAGTTAGATAAAGTGTAGAGTAAGGAAGAGGGGCAGTCTGTCTATCTATACCTGGGCTAGAGATCCTTCATTGCCGGAGATAGCTTCCGCCCGGCTTTTAGCGAGCAGCGACCAATTCCCGTGGTGGCCGGGATCGTTGCAAGCAGAGACCGGTGGGCCACTGGGAGGCCGGCAACGGGCCGGAACCGCGCTTCGATGCATACCCCGGGAGGGGGACTGGTGCAATAGCATGGGAGAAACTTGTGATATTAAGTCCGGCGGAAATAAGATTGTGCCCGTAGAACATATACTGACTTTAGGTGGATGATCAGAATTTGTAGGCAGTATACTCATGGAAATTGAGAAGATGTATATTGAAGGAGAGAAAGTGAGATTCTCCGGGATGATTATGGAGCGACATTCGCAGTAGCTGATGACACCATCGAAAGAAACTTGCAATATTGAGCTACATTCTAGAAGCTGATATACAACATCATTATCATAACGTACAATTAATCGCTAAAAGTCGTGTCTGCCTCAAGCACTGGCATTCCAGTCGACAATGGCATCATCGCCAACCTTCTCCTTGATGATCCGGTGACTGAGGTCCCATAATGCAGCACCCAACGAAGGATCTGACGCCTGCGCAGACTCCTTTCCGGGCTGTGCAGGGTCACTGAAGTAGTATCCGTTCCAACCCTTCTCTTCAACTTCGGGACTTGTCGCCGCATACAGTGCGCTGAAGGAGCCGTGCTCGGGTGTTCGACCGGCTGCCAGCATTACTGTGGTTAGAAGCTTGCCCAAGAGGCCGGGATATGCGTCCTTCCATTGTTGTTGCATTGCTGTGTTTACCTGAGCATCGTGTTAGCACGGCTGTCTCGAGAAAGGGACAGTGGGAATATAACTTACAGCGCCTGGATGCACAGACAGCGCGTAGATGTTGTCATTGTTAGGCTTGATTACCCGATCCAACAGTCCGTACTTCACGCCAAGAATAATGGCCAACTTCGTCCGACCGTAAAGCTCCAGGTTGCCGACCTCGGGGTTGTTGATCTCCTCTAGCGTAGCGAAATGAACATTCTTAGGCGCCATGCGATGCTGCTCTGAGGTCTCGAAGACGATTCTGGGCGCAGGGGTATTCGGTAACTTGGACGTCTTTCTCAGCAACGGGTAGACCAGGTTCACGACATAGAATTGGCCCAGCCAGTTGACTTCGAAATGGCGATCGATGTGGTCGTGTGTTTCACCGTATTGGTTGACGTTGATTCCAGCCGAGAGAATAAGCTGCCGCCCATGTCAGTTTTGACAGCTTCGAGGGATATTGTGTGGGGAACGCACAAGATCTAGTCGATCTTCCTTCTTCCGGAAGTCTTCAAACACTTCCTTGATTTCATTCAAGTTCCCCATGTCGCAGGGGAACCACTCGATCTGCGCATTCTCGCCGGCTTCTTTCTTGATTTGTTCGATCGCAGCTTGGCCTTGTTCTTCTTTGCGGTTGGTCATGTATACCTTGGCGCCATTGAGAACGAACGCGCGGGCAATCTCGTACCTGCAAGCCCGAATTAGTTGCTATCTGGATATACTGTGGCAGAAAACTGACCCTATGCCTAGTGCACCGCCAGTGATGAGGGCGACACGGCCAGTGAGATCATGGATCTCCTTATGAGGACCGAGGATGGGTTGTAGAATGGACTGCATTTTTATTCTTTGTTTCTGTTCAAAATTGTTATGTTTCTGAGGTTTTGACTAGCGATAGAAATGTTGTTGAGAGGTGCGTTGGCGGAGGATATTAAGGTTGCAGAGCTAGCTAATTGACTTCGCGCGTAAGTATGATATCAGGATAGTGTCACCGCGATGCCATGGCCGGGGGCGAAAAGGAAAACAGGGTTGCATTTCAGGTCGCTTCAGGACCATCTTGGCCTGAATAAACAGGGGACATTCTAGCCATTGCCCTGTAGACTTGACACTTTGATTCTGACATGCTTGCCTGGTACTTTGTACAGTAAGAGCGATGGAGGGTGAGATGATCACCCGCGCTTTAATCCAGAAATAACTAATCTGCATAATATGTGATGACTAATGCTTCATTGCTGTGCGTCATATCTTATCTGGGATTAAGTTGTGTGATGATTTACGTCATTCCCGGTAGCCAACGGCCTTCGATGACTCCAAGGTTGAGAGAGCTACTCAACACAAACTAGACCATTGTCGGGAGGCAAATATCTCTTGCTATCTTGATACACTTCTATTCAATTCAGATGTTGCTGAAGCTTTCTGATATTATAATATACGTGTAAATAGCTCTTACTGCGACCTAGTACTACCCAACATGTTCTCCAGCGCCCCTCCTCCCCAAAATCGCCGCCTGAAAGTCACCGCAGGAACATCCTACGCACCAGAAACCCACGAAACCGTCACCGTAAATAGTACCTCTCCTCTGAAATTTAAGAGCGACCACTTAGCCAGTAACCTCTGGGTCCGCATCAAAGATTATACAGGTATCTACACCCTCACCTCTAACCCGTCACCACTCACCCAATTATCCTAACAAACACAGGCTACCCCACCGATTCCCCTAAAACAAACACCTACTTCGACACACCTCCATTCAGCCAAAACCTCTTCTCCCTCACCTTCACCCTCAATTTCACCCACGACGTAAACGGCAACGACCTCATCTTCGGGAATGACTTCGACCACCCGATCCGCTCATACCTCCCAACCGGATTCAATACCGCGTTAAAGATCGTCAAGTCCACGCTCGACCCCTCGTTGGATGGCGACGCATATGCCGATAAGCCATATCTATATAGCCCTGGACTAGCATCATGGAACCAGTTCGCGATTGGCGATAGGGACGAGGGGGCTGAGAACAATGAGAATATCATAGTGCAAGAAGGCGGCACAGGATCCGGGGTGGAGGTTCGGAAAGGGTACAATATACCCGATAGCTCGTCATCACGGAGAACGCATTTCCAGGGAGAGGCGAAACGACAGGAGTTTGTCTTTGAGAAGGGGAGGACTTATGCTGCGGATTTTGGTAATGGGTACTTGGATTTTAATGGTACGATATCCGCGTTACTCCATTTATAGTCGGGTTATTTGGGGTGATCTTCGAAGCTAATACGCAACAGAATTCGCGATTCGGATACCCGGGTTCAGCTTCCATATTGGCAAATATGTCAGTGAGAAGAATAATGTATTGCGCTACGTCTTGAAAAATCGCGCGACGGGGGAGGTCTATTTGGTGATTTGTTTGACGGTTGTGCTGGAAGAAGAGGCAGGCGATAATAGTGACGAGGGCGAGGGGGACGATATGATAGACGTAGAAGACGAACAAGAGGTAGATGATGTGGACTAGTGCTGATCACTGGCTGTGGAAAGGATAGTTGGCAGAGACCGATCAATGTACAAGACGCTAGAGCGATTAAATATTCCGTTGGAGTTCAACGGTATGAAGGATGGTTTACCTTCTTCAACGTTAGGTATATACAGCACCGGCCCGTGTTATCTGCCACCTGAAATGCTAGTGTTAAGCTCTACTTCTCATACTCGCCCAAGGCCCAGTCCAACAACTCCGGATACCACCGCCGCCCGACATCCTGGTGGCTCATGACCCGATGTATGAGTGTGCCTTCGCCGACCCGTCCCTTGAATATTTTATTGAAGGTCGCCTCGGCATCTGATCTGACTTTGTCATCTTTGATCAGATCCTTGATATGTTCCGGTATGTCGAGGGAAATATTCTCCGCTGATAAGTCCAGACTCATGCCTTGAAACACAGGAATCGAAAACCGCGGTCCCAGAGGCGCACCCTGCGCATCGACGAAATTCTCCGCCTCCAGATTTACTCGGTGCGTTGTGGCTGTGCAGACCCCGCCTGTGATAGCCTCGAGCGCGCGACCAATGTTGACGACTAACGAGTCTTGCATTGGCGGCGCGGGGATCCATTCCCCTGCTTTGTTTTGCACCTCAAGTCCGGTATGCGGTGTGGCTTGCAGTAAGAATGTCAGGAATTCGGAATCCTTGTGGGCTCCGACGCCTTGTGCTTCGGATGGAGTTGATGGGGGTGGGTATTTGATCAGTTTTAGCTTCTGCTGTGTTGGGTTCTCGAAGAATTGCTGTAATGCTGTCGGCGGTAAGTCCAGTGCTTCTGCGATGAGGGTCCTGAATGCCTCGGCAACTGGGCTCATCTCAGCCAGGTACGCCTCGACGGCGTGACGGAAGCCAGGGATGGCTTTCTCATCGGGCCACTGCACTGTGTTAGTATCTTGTGGTTTACATGAATAGACATGACGCACCTGATTCGGACCTCTGATATTACGGTAGAGAGGTGCATCGGGCGCTGGAGGAGGCAACTCAGTCGCAAACTACGATTGTCAGTCTAGAGTGATTTTCCGAGGTTGTGACGGTCGCACATCGAATTGCTCTCGATAATCGATTTGCCGAGCTGTGGTCTCTGCTCCGAGTCTAGAGTATCCCAGAAAATGCTTACTGTTGACCATTTCGATTTCCAGCTTCTTCTCGAGTGGCAGATCAAAGATGTGGAAGGTCTTCTCGATTAGCTCGTCGCGCACCCGAGCCGCGATTGGGGCGTTGATGAGGTAAAAGAAGCCCACGTTGACCAAGGCATTGCGCAGGTTGGCGAGAAACTTGGGCCTATCATCTGCTGACGATGCCTGGGCATAATCTAAGACGGGGATCGAGGTGAAGGAACTTGAGCTGGATATCATGGTGAAGGTTGATATAGGCTGTTGAGGAGTTACAGTAGATGCGGGGTGGTTTTATCGGAGGCGGTGGAGCGAACCGCTGCTTGCGCCATTCTCTGACTCGCTGACACCTTCAGCAGTGGGACAAGACATGGCGATGTAGAGACGAAAGGAAAAGAAAGTTGTGCTGAGAAGGAGGCGAATTGGAACAACTGATGTTCAGATACCTTGACGCACGCAGATGTTTTCTCCCTTATGCACCTCGCTCTTTCTAATTCGCACCCAAATGTGAAGCTGGATCTCGTCCCACGCCACTTAACTACCCCTGGCTTTCTCCTGGCCTTCCTATGTACCATCTTAACAGACACAATCAACATGCGTTGATATTGCAACCCCCAAGGCGATCATGCGATTGTAATATCGATGGCCTTGTGCAGGAATACAATATGTGTGATTGAGAAGGGATGTGCTTGGTAAGAATTGTATTTTCTATCTAATGTCAAAACAGATTTCTGCCAAGTAGACCAAAACGATATACTAATGGCCACCAACAAGCAGCAGGGGTGACTCAAACTGAAACGAAAAACACCAGGACACAATGTCATCCGATTCTTAGTCAGTTAAGCTTCTTCCCACGAATTATTGCATAAGGTTCTTCAGACGGCTGAGATCGCTGCATAGCGCTGATCTCAACACGTTTCCTATTGGGCCGAGTTCCCTTGCCTGGTTTGGGTGCAGCGATGGTCGACTTACGACGAACCATGGTGGTTCCGACAGCTGTATTTTTTGAAATTGTGGTAGTGATCCCCCATTGGCCCAGCGGGGGCTGTTCAGCAGGTGAGTAGGGTGCAGAAGGCTGACTCGGAAGAAGAGACGTTTGTGTCTTTCCGTATCCAAAGTTTGGGGATGAAGAAAGACCCACAAGACTGGCAGAAGAAACCGCACTCTGGGCTTGTGAGGAATAGTTGGCCGAGAAAGCCGCAGGGGAACCGATCAGATACGGAACACGGCTCCTTTTTCTCTGTGTCAGGAGAGAGGCACGAGGTGGGATAGAGAGAGCGGAAAAAAAAAAAAAAAAAAAAAAAAATTGGCAGTGTCTGCTCAGCGAGGGACATGAACCATCTCTTCAGGAGCTATATGCTCGGAAAGAGGCAGTTGAGATGTAGGCAGCTGCCCCTAACACGTACCTGACACTTCTCAGTCATATATCATACTCTGTATCACTGCTGGCTGTCTATTCTATCAGCTTTGTTCACAGAGGATATTAGAGTTTGTACGCTCACCTTTCGCTTCAACTTGATTCTGAGCAATGTTGGATTCTACAATGAAACGAATTGAAAGATGGACGGTCACTGGTAGCACAGGTTTTAGGATTCGTCAACTCATAACTGCATTCATCTCATCTTAGATTTACCTTACTTTCAGTCTCTCTGACTCAGTAAATTGCCCAGTAATATTGGGTCCTCAGTTTCATCCTCTCTCAACCAGAGGTGCTCCACCCACAACCCTTGTTACTTCAAGACAACACTTAGATCATTTGGAACACTACTCCATGTCTAAGGGGCGTCACCTAGCTAGATGTGAGCCCTCTAACTAGAGAGACTGAGGTGTTGGAAGATTTAATTCACTTCCTGATACTTGTCTCAGTGACTGAGTAATACCTGCAAGAGCAACACGCGTACCACCAACGAAGTTTACCTTCACAACGCGCAGGATTCCTCCTTCCTCGCTCCAGCATCTCTTCTAACCTGTTCTCCCACTCCCAAGCTGAACTCCATTCCAAAGCATCCAACTGCGTTTTGGTTTCTCTTCACTTTCTCCTAATTCGTTGTCAAAGCCACATTCAAGATGAGTTCTGACGCTGAAATCCAGGAGATAGCCATCTCCCCACACGCGGATACCGAGATCCTCATCACGGAATACACTGGGGCTTATATGGGTGGAAAGAAAATAGTAAGAAGCGTTTCAATGAAAGTTGAGCGCCACAAGCTACTTGAATTTGAATACTTTCGAGCAATGTTTAGCCACGGGCGATGGCTTGAATCTGAAAGTCGGAAGATTACCCTGAAGGACAACTGCAAGGGCATGGAAGTTCTCCTGCGAAGCCTTCACGGCACCCTCGAGGACATGTCTCTCGATTCAGTGACTATTGCAGGGACATGGCATGTGATCATGTCCTGCGATAAGTATAACGTTGATCAGAAAAGACTGAGTTCATGGTTCAAGAATTGGTGGAGACATGAGACCCAGAAGCAAATCAACACATTTTACTACATGCGGTTTGCTAGGGAAGCAATGTATCCATGCTTCGTATTCGACCATGCCTCTGCTTTTCAGGAGGTTACCAAAAGGCTCGTTTATAAATCTGTGGGCCACATCACCGAGAGCAATCCGACAGATATTAGACAGATGCATTTGCCACCGCGCATCATCCGTGGGTGTCCAATATCTTGATTCTGATCATGTCACTAATGCTACAATTTCAGAGCAGATCAATGCGGCCCGTGGGCGCCTACGTGTCATTCTCCACCGAGAGCTATACGCCGAAGTCGGAGATATCGTCAACAATGGCGAATGTTCCTGTAAGGAACTTACGACTTTCGAATATTTGCGCGAGCTAGGGAGGATTGAAGTTTGGCCCCTGGAGGACTCCATGAGAAACCAAAGTATTCAAGAGATGCTCGAAAGACTGAGTCTATTCGATGAAAAAAATATGAGATCCTATACAAACCCCAGAACTGGGAAAGTTGGGTCATGCAATTCCTGCAATCAATCATGGGGAGAAATTGTTCTGAGAGCAGCGAGCACAGTGAGCAAATATTTCGATGGTCTCTGTTTGGATTGCATGGACCTTAGTAAGGATCTACGGTCAGGTGGTGACAGGGATGATGATTACTGGAGGCATAATGAGCTACGAAATTGGGATAGTGGTTGTCGGATCAAACATGGCGAACCAACTTGGTACTTCAGCTTCATGGGCCGCCGGGAAAAGCGTGGTTTGATCGGAGATTAGTCACTACTTCTTTGTCGTCGTGCGCGCTGGTCGTCTACATTGGTATATCGCATGCGTTCCTTCGTTTTCTTCGGTGTACAATCCAAAGACTGCTCCATGCCAAGATGGATCCCTTCTGATGACTTATGCGCCAGTTTATTTGATCCACGTATTGTGGACATGGGAGAATTGATTTCTTGTGCTTCTTATGCTCCTGGAATGATTCGATCAGATTGTGTTGATTTGCGAGAGGAGAGGGGGAAATCTACATGTACCAATCAAGGCCACACACTTATTCACTTATTCATGTATTACATTCTGATGTCTGGGATCCCCTCTATGTGACCAACTACGGCATCAAGTGGGGATAAATGAACATATGGCTGGGCAACGTACAATTTCCCGCCGGCAAACCATTCTAAGGTCTACCGTGTTCATTCCCCTTCCGGAACCTTCAGACTAGGCAGGCCTATGTGACAGTCAGCAGTTATGACGGTTCTAGGTAATGAAATGATGGGTCTACGGGTGTCTCCTTGTTCTTCAATCTTCGTACCACCAGAGAATATTGTCAGACTGTACGCCCATAGATGAAGTGTTGTTGGGAGACTCGTGACCGAAGACGTTCGTTGAGCAGTGCCCGACCATATACGCATGCCTAGAGGATGATGCTAGTAGATCAGAGCGCACTGTCTGTCCAACAGGCTAATGTGGGCCACAAGGCAGCAAATCAAATTTTCGTCTGTCTATGCCGGATTATTGCCGTATACGGAAGGTTTTGGTGACTTCAAGCAATGTATCTAAGACAATACGACCGGTGACTGTGGCTCCTGTTAGGCGGAACAACTGTGCTTAATTTCCTCCAAGGCCGAATGAGAAATGTCCTCCGCCCCATGAATAGTTTCTAAACCAGCCAACGAAGCCAGAAATGGGACAAGACGCTCAGCTTGCATCTTCTTATCTACTGGATACGAATGTACACCCAAGTAAGGTTCAATCCGTGAAGAGTGCCGTGCCCGTCAGCAATGCTCATCCCGGTGGGATGGCCACTCACAACTGAATCAGATGTAGATCCCTTCCTGAGAGGTGAGATAATCCTTCCGCGTATGGCCATATGATCATCTTGCCCGCGCGGAAGTCCGCACGGAGTCCCTTATAATAGTATGAGGGTAATAATTAGTTCCCATCGACTAATGCAAGTGCTTTGCCGGGTTGGGGATCCTTCCCCGCATTGTTTAGGCCATGCATGCCCGGTGTTCGTGGGTTTAGGAGTATGAGCGTGTGCTTAAAGGGTGAGGGGAACTGTTACTGATTCCTTTAACGTCTTATTGTGTCCGACGATATCCGAGAGATGTGGCATGGAAGTGTGTAGATCATGAATGTGATGTGATCAGGACCGCAGTGAAGCTTTCTGCTCGGGTATGTGGTCTGGGTTGAGCCACGGTGGAAAGCCTCAGGCTGCCCTTCCGCTTTCAGACCCAGTAAACACAACATAGGATGAATCCAACAAAACATCCTACGTAAATCTCACAAAAATTACCAAATATTCATTCTGTATCGGCCAGGAGCTTGGTCATGTCCACGGTAGTACGATCCCCGTAGAGACTCTCTCTGGACCTTCTCAAAAGGGGGTTTCGTGTTCTGGTAGACTCTTCTAGCTCTCGCTTACGGCTCCACCCATTGCTGAAGAACCCCACTCCTGCTTTCTCCCACCTATCTTCCGGTCTAACGATGGCTTCTCCACCAAGAAAAGGACGTGTGCTCTCCTCTCAAAACTCTCCAATTCTGGTTTGATCGATGTGAGCTTACCAAGAAAGAGCGAGGACTTCCATCTTGTATTTACGGACCCGCATTAGCTACGCTTCCTACACGGTTAGAGACGATTGACATATGTTGGCACCGTTACTTGTTAGATGGTCTCTGCTACGCTGGCGGGATGTGGACTAGATTCTGTTCAAAGTTATGCCAAGATTCGCATGGGCCAATCCTCAGCAGCGAAGAGCGCAAGGAGGCGCAGCTGAGACAGAATCCCCTTTCTGCGAGTCACATCTCGAGTCCCTTAAGACCACCGTCAAGTGGGCGATAAACTCCGCATATCTGCCACCTGAAAATTATCGGTCAGTAGTTAATAGGGACATGACATCTATGGCCTAATGAGACCACTGGTCAGAATACGCCTAAGGCCGGAAACTACTCCCGCAAATTGCTGCGACGAAGACGAGGGGGCCGTAGTCATAAATTTGCGTGTCGTGTGCCTATGATAATTTTCTTAGGGTCCGAAGAGCACGCTAGGGATGTCAGAACAACTAATGTTGCAGGATTGGTCTCCATCTCATCCCTGTCACTGACATCATATTACTTCCTAGTATATCATGTTCACCATTGTATAGAGACGCGCCCATCGCAACGCACGTGTTGGTGAGCATCTTCACTAAAAGTGTCACTGTTGTCTACACACCACTCGTTTCACGCTGATGTGCCGAATCATACTACATGCATCGGCCATCGGCTTATACCACCAGGTGCCTCCGGAATTTTGCTGTTTCAAAATGTTCTTTGTAACTCCCTGAAACGACCAAAGTATCACGGAGGTAGCTCCGGACAGGCGGAAAACACAACCACTTTGTCCACGAATCGACACAGTAGTCTTCCGGTGGGTTTAGTTGTCGCTTCACAATAGTATATATAGTAATAGTAGATCTGGATGCTTGGGATAAGTCATCCAGTGGTGACAGCGCCTACCTAAATCGTCATGTATCGACTCCTATCAGTTGCCTCGGTTCCTCTGCTGGCCAGCCTCGTGCATGGCTATGCTGACCCCGGAGCATGCTCGGGTGTTTGTACCACCCATGACCCCGGTTTGATCCGGAGAGAGTCGGACGGTACATACTTCCTCTTCTCTACAGGAAACAAAATCTCCTACGTCTCTGCCTCATCCATCGAAGGACCATGGACCAGCGTTGGGTCTATGCTGCCGGATGGATCGTCCATCGATCTCGATGGCAACGATGATCTTTGGGTAACTATGTCCCACTGCAAACATGATTGGCCTGTCTGACACTAGCCCAGGCCCCGGATGTCTCCTATGTAGATGGTCTCTATTATGTATACTACGCTGTGTCGACCTTTGGATCCCAAGATTCCGCCATCGGACTTGCAACGTCCGAGACGATGGAATATGGCTCTTGGACGGATCATGGCTCCACTGGCATTGCGTCTTCCTCAGCCAAGATTTATAATGCGATCGACCCCAACCTGATCTACGCCGATGGCACCTACTACATCAACTTTGGGTCGTTCTGGGATGACATTTACCAAGTCCCGATGAAGTCGACCCCAACGGCAGCTGCCTCTTCCTCCTACAATCTTGCGTATGACCCGTCGGGTACCCATGCGGAGGAGGGTTCCTATATGTTTCAGTACGGTGACTACTACTACCTCTTTTACTCGGCAGGTATCTGCTGTGGATACGATACATCCATGCCCGCTTCCGGAGAGGAGTATCATATCAAGGTCTGCCGTTCGACTTCGCCCACGGGTGATTTCGTAAGTATATCCGACATTTAGAGAAAATACTAAGTAGGGAAAGCTAACCTGGTGCTAAGGTTGACTCCGACGGTACGGCGTGCACGGATGGCGGGGGCACGATGGTGCTCGAAAGCCATGGAGAAGTCTATGGCCCTGGCGGACAGTAAGTGATTCTGCAGCTGCCCCACCGATATTTATGCTTATCATGTTTTAGGGGTGTGTATGACGATCCCAACCTTGGTCCGGTTCTTTACTACCACTACATGAACACCACGATTGGATACGCGGATTCTGACGCGCAGTTTGGGTGGAACACGATCGACTTCTCTAGCGGATGGCCGGTTGTATAAGCATCTTGGTTGGCGATGGAAATGGTGCTGCCTACGAGAGGGTCTACAAGTTGTATATAGGATTGCGGCTATGAACTCGGCCGAGATATAGTTAGTTAGTACATAGTGGAATCGTTAGTCACTAATGCAGCCCGCATGAGTGCTCTGCCTGAGGCTTCAGTACTGTCCCTCAATTTCTGTTTCTGTTTTTAGTTTAAGCTCTGCAGCTGCTCCCCACCCATTCATCCACTCATTTGGTGAAGACATTCATTCTTCCCTTCAACCACTCTATTAGAGCATTTCCATCTTCTCACACTGATCATCGTAATGCAGATTCAAGATCAGTTTGGATTGAGATCCCTACTGCATGCACTGTGTGCGTGACAGAAGCTGGAACTGGTACTCGCTCGATCCGTGCAGCGCGAGTCAGTCACATCCGCCCTGCGCTTCAGACTAGCCTGCCAATAGTGACTATCACAAGGGCCGTACTAAGATCGAATAACAGCCTTCCTAACAACATCGCGTTAACGTGTTACTTTCCTCCAGCTTACATTTTGCTATTGAAGCCATATACGATCCCTTCGATGCGCTCGGTTTAACTTCTGCCACGATCACCCGTTCATCGAAGATTCTGGGAGTCTGTCGGTCTTCATGCCAGCAAAGATCGACTCAAATACACACAGTCAGCAACATCTGTTGCTTGTTACGGATGGTGCCTATTATAATGCATGAATAGGGGACCAAGCAATTCTCCGCTGTCGGCGATGTTGGATTAAGGAGGGATAATATTTGATCGAATGACAAAGGGAAGAATTGTGCGACACGAGGGAACCTTATACTTGTCTACGGCCTAGCAGCAAAGCTTATATGCTCGAAATTATACTTGCTATTGTGAACTCATGCGCTTGTGCGGTCACAGGAGTACCCCACACGATCGCTGCGATGCCTTTCTATCGTGCGGTGTACACTCCTCATTTCCGTCCAATACTGGAATAGAGCGAGTCATTGTTCAGAAGGAGGAATCATCCATGGTTCGATCCCCGCAGCAGACACTTGTGCTCGTCACGAGGTGATTCGGTGAGTTTCCATTGTCGAATCAGGAAGGCAGTTCGGCAGTGGATAGTTTTCGGCTTTTCTCGCTTGCTCCACTCCCGAACCAACGTCAATCCGGGCCTCGTCGCGACCTGTCACCCCCCGACTATCGATCTCCCCATCCAGTTGTTTCCCATTTCGCTTCGCATCCTCGCATGCTGTAGCCGAAGAACCCCGATGATGTGAGGTACAATGGCCGATGTTACGCAGGGGACCTCGCGTGGCGTTCGGAAACCTCGCAAATCCCGCGGCCGTGGATTGCGGGCCACCACTGGCTGGTCAGTGACCAATCCTCCGAATTTCTTTTAGTGCTAGTATTCCTTCTGCTGGACGGACCTGCTGACTGCCACAGCCTGATTTGCAAGCGTCGCCATGTCAAGTGTGATGAGGTACGGCAACTTAGCGAAACGTTCTTTCGCAAAAAATATTTCCTGCTGACTCGGACGCAGGCTCGCCCACAATGCGGCCCTTGCGCCAAAGGCCAACGCGACTGTGTTTATGGGAGCAGCTATGAATCTGGAACTCCTAGTATAGGGGCTAAACAAACAACCATCCCAGTGCACTCCTCTCCTTCATCACAATTGACTCCACAGGTGCAGCTACACGAGCCCCTGCAAGTCTTGGTAGATGTCTGCCAACATGAAGACGCTTCCACTCACCGAGCGTCGGCTACGGCATCTCCAAGGGGCCAACACAGCAGTGTGCCGCCTCAGATTAGTCTACATCAACACAGCCATGTCTCTCCTTCGGCCTCAATCCACGACTTCGCACCATCTCCGGCTACAGATTCCTCGGTATCGACGAGAATTGCTCCTTTGAGTTGGTTCGAGCTTCTGGCCAACGATGCTGTCAATGCGGACCGGAATTTTTTCCTATCATCACCGCATCGAGACGTGAATCCTGCTTGCCAGGGATCAACAACCCATCTATCGGTCGCAACCCTGCGACCTCACAATGTTAGGGAATGTCAAAGCTTTCAAGCCGCTTCTTTTGAACGTGATCCGGATATCGAGAAGAGAATATCGCCTGCAGCTGATGGCCATCCAAAGCTTCCCGATGCTCCGTCCTCTTGGTGTACTGCCGCGCCCATTCAGTTATCGGAACAAGAACACCTCATGTTCAAACACTTTGTACGGAACATGTCTAGTTGGTATGATTTCTTTGACCCAACGCAACAGATTTCGAGTAAGGTTCCACAATTGGCAATGAGAAACATAGGTGTAATGAAGGCCCTTCTGGCCCTCTCGGCACGCCATCTTTCCATCTGGCATACCTACAAAGGCTCAGGGCTTGTTCCATCCCGGGAAGATGGAAGAAGAATGATGGATTTCCCAGATGTCGATCGCAACATTGCAGTCCAGTATTACTACGAGACCCTGCAGTACCTCAACAAGGCTATGCAGTATCCCAGCTACGCATACAGCCACGAGATCATTACCACGTCACTCCTGATCAGCACATACGAAATGGTGGATGGATCCAATCGCGACTGGGAGCGGCATCTGAAAGGGGTATTCTGGATTCAAAGGTACCAAAACAACGATGGAGAATGTGGGGGGTTGCGTCAAGCCATCTGGTGGGCATGGCTGCGGCAGGATGTCTGGGTAGCAATGCGGGAGCGACGTCGAGTCTTCAGCTTCTGGAAGCCCAAGCGACACATCTCCTCGCTGTCCCCGACGGAGCTGGCCGGCTTCGTTTCATACATCCTTGGACAATGCGTCAACTATGCCTCGCGTGAAGAGGCAGCATCTAAAGACATACAGAGTCGATTGGAGAGGGGCAATGAGCTCCTCTACATGCTGCAGGAATGGCAGGATTATTTGCCACCGGAGTTCAATCCACTCCCTTGTGAGCAGGACGCGACCGTCTTTCCACCGATCTGGGTCCATCCGCCCCCATATGCAGCGGCATTGCAAATACAAAGCTTAGCTAGAATTCTGGTATTATCACACCGTCCGACTGTGAACGGGTTCCAAGATTACCGTGCTGCTCAAAAGCTGCTTACTACGTCAGTGAACACAATTATGTGGCATTGCTCGAACTATAAGCGAGGACAACGTCGCTGCCAGCCTTATGTCACTGTATTGTATATATGGGGGTAAGAAGGGTCTTTTGTTGTCGTGGTATGATTCTTTGCTGACCCTTTTCTGCAGCTGGGATGAGCGTTCATACCCCTCACGAGCGGGCAGCATTGCTCGAATTAATCGATATTTTCGAGAGCAGAGTCTGTTGGCCTAGATATTCATTACGCAACGACCTCGAATCAGAATACCGTAAGGATGGCCTTTCTGGTTTCACGACCTAGAATTTCCACATTCAATGCTTGTTCATACGAACCAGCTGGTACTTCGTGGGACCTATTGGCTTCATCGACGGGATGCAGTTCAGGTGCAAAAGCAGTGAGCTGAGGCATTAGGCACAGTTGTCAGTTTGCATTCACCCCCACGCGACCGTCCGCGACCGTCTGCAGTGCGATCACTGCGAAATCACCAGCACAAGCCTGGCGACATTAAGTCATGTCCTGAAACATTTTCAAACACATTATATTGGACTATAGGTTCATAATCATAGTTGTATATTAGAACGAAGGAATGAAGGAATGAGTCACACTGAATGGTACTTTGTATGTTAAGTTGAACTACCCTACTGTCTAGTATACTCGTAAGTATATTTCGGGAACTGCTTCATCTGCACGTCCTCAGACGGGCGGTGTGGAAGTTCTTCCGACGAAGCACCCGAGACAATCAGGCCACCTGTAATTCAGAGATTGCACGCGATATCGGACTGTTTCACTCAAAGTTTGTCTTTTTGATCGATTTACTGACAGGAGAGGATGAGTTGTCCAGCGGAGTGCCTCGAGTCGAGGCAGACGATCGCAGGGCTGGCCGATCGCCGACCGCGGGGTACAGAGTACTACTATCGGAGTTAACCCCCGCACTGTCAGAGGGCAATTCGGGGTCAATCCGCGCCAGTTTCTAAAGGAATGTGACGTAAAGTCCGATCGAGATGCAATTGCCTCGAGCCGAACCTGTGCGATCGCGGAGAGGGTTCAAAAGGGGAGGGACACCCCGGATTCCCAGCTATCTAAGCAGTCCAACATCGCCTTCAATCACTCCTCTCGAACTACTCCAAATCCCTTCATTCCCCTCTTCACAATGTCGCCAACTTCTACAGATACTGCCTCCGCTGCAGAGGCTAAGAATGGCACCTCCACACCCTTTGTCAACACCATGCCCGACTCGACCTTCAGCTGGCAGGTCACACTCGCGCAAAAGGTGATCGCCATCACCGGCGCCAACCGCGGCATTGGTTTGGGCATTGCGGAAGTGTGTCTCGCCAATTCCGCAAAGTTCGTATATTCAATGGATCTCATGGAGCCTGGAGAGGAGACCATTGCCCTTCAGACCCGCTACCCGAACTTCCGATATATCCAGACCGACGTGACATCCGAGGAGAGTATCGAGAAGGCAGTGAATCAGATTGTGGAGGAAACCGGGCGAATTGATGGGCTGGTGGCTAATGCGGGCATGACCAAACACCAACCGGCGCTCAAGTTTGAGCGCCCGGAATTGGAGCGCATGTTCAACCTAAATGTGAGTGGACCTTTTGTTTGGTCGCGTCATGCATGCAGCACGCGGGTGCTTACGGGTGCAGGTTTTCGGTGCATATTTCTGCGCCCAGATTGTCGCTCGCAAGTTCATGGAGCTTGGTATTAAGGGGTCCATTGTTATGACTGCTAGTATGACTTCTTATCGTCCGAATCGCGTAAGTACCTTTTCCCCATAGGGGTGTGAGAGTTGTGCTGATTGATTCCCAGGCTGCTCCGTCTGCACCCTATGGCGCTACTAAAGCCGCAGGTAAGTAATCTTATTCTCTTTGATAGCTTCCGCACTATACTAACTGCATCCCCATTAGTGCGCAACATGTGTCACACCTTGGCGATGGAGTGGAGCAAGCACGGCATCCGCGTGAACAGCATCTCCCCTGGTTTTGTCCGCACCGCGATGACCTACTACGTGGAAACCGCCCCGGACTGGGATACAAAGATGGAATACTACGGAGGAATGCCTCGTCTGGCCGACCCTCGAGAGCTGGGAGGTGCTTACGTGTATCTGCTCAGCGATAGCAGCTCCTACACCACTGGCATTGACATCCCCATTGCAGGCATCGTCGGTGCTTGGTAGTGTGCATGAGGCAGATCAGGCTTGGTGTGGACTTTCAAGAATCGCATTCAGCCGGCGTTTTAATGGAATCATATGTACATACACGACCCTTTCTATTAACAGGATAGACGACGACCCCGAATGACAGTGAGGCACGGGCTGTGCTTAAGCCAAGACTAAGCTGCATGAGCTCCTCGTATTCCCTACCCTATCGTAGGGGACGATAAGCATGACTGACCTCGTCCTCGGCATGACCGGCGCCTCACTCCGCGAGGCTGCACTACGTCCAGGAACAAGCTGCATAGCTCACGTTCCTGGTATCGTATTTAGGTATGTCTGGGGTAAAAATAGCCGATTGGAGGATAGTTCGCGTCTTCCAGGCTCGCATTCTTCATCACATGAGGTGCGCCCTCTATTAGCGGCAAGTATTGACTCTCATCTCTCTTCCACCATATTCACATAACATACACCACATCACAGCAACGTTCAACAGGCATAAGAGCGTTCCTTATCCAGTGATGGAGGCTGCCTCCCGACATGAGTTTCCGTTCCTTGAAGAGGTCTACTCTGCGGAGCAGCCCAAGATCGAGTGAGTTATATACCGGACGCTATCATGCACAGGAGCAGTCTGCCTAATCTTGTAGTTTCGTCTTCGTCCACGGCTTAAACCCTCGAGGCAAAGACAACCACCCATTCGAGACATGGACGCACGAGAATGGCACCTTCTGGCCGCGGGACTATCTTCCTCAGGATATCCCCCAGGCACGCATCTTCGTCTACGGGTATAACTCCACCATCACAAATCCCCAGAGCATGTCGACTGCCAGCGTCAAAGATCACGCGAATACGTTGCTGAACTTGTTGGATTTGGAGCGGAATCCACAGTTAGTACGTTTCACTTCCGGAGTAATGGAGAGAGCAACGGTATCTGACGTGTAATAGAATGTGCGACCGCCGAAAATAATATTCATCGGCCATAGTCTGGGTGGGCTTGTAATCAAACAGGTAATAGTCTGACTTCTCCTGATGGATAAAAGAACCACAACTGATTTGACAGGCACTGCTGAATGCACACGAAGATCCCAAGTACAATTCGATCCGCAACAATACATCTGGTCTCGTTTTCTTTGGTTGCCCGCATCGGGGCACGAAAGGTGTTGAGCTAGGCAAGATTGCAGCAAAAGTGGCGCGCTTCGTCGCCAAAGGACACGCCAGTAATGATTTGCTCGATTGCCTGGAGCACAATTCGCTGTTCACACGGCAGATGACGAGCCGGTTCTCACACCAGCTTGAGGACTATCGTGTGATCAGCTTCGTGGAGGGTAAGGAGGTATTCTTGGGCGGTGCTGGACCGGCCTCAGTGAGCCACGTAAGTGAGAGCTCTTTTTTAGCACTTCAAGGATTAACTGAGGTTCTATAGTTAGTGGTAGATGAGGAATCGGCCGTCCTGGGACTCCCCGGCCAGCGCGAAACCCGATTGAAGCTGGACGCCGACCACTCGCAGATGTGCAAAGTGGGCAGCCGCGGCCCGATGTATAAATTGATCAAGGGAAACATCAAACAAATTGCCGACCAAGTTCTTATTACAGAACAAGGATATCTACCGCAACCTTCCGTATCACCTCATCCAGCCCCTCCTCTCCCTCCGCGCCTTCCAGGAAACAGCAGCATCCCATATCCCGCCGCGCCCACGCCCGAACCCACCACCAAACGCGTCATCGGCACTCTATACACCCCCGTCGACAACGACCCTCGCTCCATCAAGGCAGCCGAGCTGAAGAACAACTATCGCTGGGACGAGGCACGGAGACTCGAATATGACATCTTTAACGAACACATGCGCACCATTGGACCAGACCACCATAGCACCCTCGAGATCGGGTACCATCTCGCCTCCATCGACCTCGAATCCGGATATCTCTCCAAAGCCGCAGAATGGGCAAGCTGGGTTTCATCCAACAGTCAGCGTGTTTTTGACAAGCGTCACCCACTAGCCATGAAAGCCGAAAGTCTCATGGGCGAGATCCTCTGCCATCAGGGGAAAGGCCAGGAAGGAGAGTCGGTATGCGCGAATGTCCTGGCCCGGCAGCAAATGACTATCGGAGAAGATGATCTCGACACTCTCGACACACGACGAAGGTTGGCGGTCGCCTACGGCGCTGTCGAACGACGACAAGAAGCTATCCAGGTCTCGGAGAAGGTCACGGAACGGTTGCAGCAATTACTGGGACCTAATCATATACGCGTGTACGCTTCCATTCTTGACACGGCCGACCATATGCTCTCGATGCGGTCAAATGATACGAGGGCACTGATGGTCATGAAATTCAGCGGAGAAGTCGACCAGCTAGCGCAAGGGGCTGCACAGATTGCACGTGAGCTCACTGATCTGCTTGGCCCGCGCCATCCCCTCGCCATTCGGGCATTGAGGCTGCAGGGTGGCAGTCAGATGCTAGATCCGGACGGGACAACGGTAGCATCGGAGACGTTCCGACGGGCGCTGGCAAATGCAGAGGAGGAACTAGGGGCGGATCATCCCGAAACTATGAGCATCGTGGCCCTGATGGGGGTGATGTATGCGTCGCAGGGACGCCGCGTGGCTGGTCTGTATGGTATGCATCAGCAGTCGAATACGCAGTTGGCGACGCCATGGTTGGGCAGATACTTGACATGGGCGGAGAGTCGACTGGGGAAGGGGTGTCCTGAGGTGCAGTCTACGCTGGCGATGTTGGGCAAGTTGCACATGGAGGCGCAGAAGTATGTCGAGGCACAGGGGTACTACGAGCGGGTAGTCGAGGGATGTCATGAGAGTGGAGCGGCAGTGCCTCAGGAGGTGCAGACTATGTTGCAGTTGTGCCGGATGCACACAAGATATATAATGCCGCAAAGGACTTCAGGGGGATTTCAGAACTTATTGTCATCGTTTCAGCGAATGTGATTGTGTGTTGTTATTACTAGCATAATATATTCTTATAGTAACATTCATTATCCATCATACGATCATCAACAAAGTCATGTCACGTAGCGGTCCCTAGTTCGAAAACTTCTCCGGCACCTTCTTTCTGTACGCCCAAGCACATTAGCCTCATCATCGCAAACAATGCCCCCTCCTCCACGATAAAACAAACTTACCCGGTAGCACTTTCAAACTGGTTCCTCGCCGTGTCCGTGATCTTCTCATTCGTAGAGCGCATCTTCTGAGGATCGATCTTGCCACCACCGAACTTCTGTTCGACCGAGTCGAGGCCTACAAGAAGGCGAAGAAAGATGATATCAGCATTCCGTTCCAATCACGATGGCGCATAGTAAAGTGTCATGCAGGTGCGGAAAAATACTCACCCTTATCAAGGTAATCCTCCTGGCCCTGGTTTCCGCTGGAGCCCGAGCCCTGCGCATCACCACCGGACTTGTTGCCACCACCGAGCTTCGAGGCGAGACCGGAGAGTTTGTCCATGTTGATGTGTTTTAAATTGAGTGATTTCGTTTAGGAGTGATAGAGAAGAGTGTGAATGTTTGTAAGGAACAGGAATGTCCATGCAAGGGATGGAAGTTACATATGTTTTATACCTTGGAGGGAGTGCTTAGTGATAGACTCTGGAACAGGAGTTGGTGATGTCATGGACGGGATCTCCGTCTTTATTTGCATCACCGAGTCTTTACTTGAGATTCAATCGACGGCAGATGTAGATCTTGTGAAGTGGTTAATCATCAGCTATGCACATAAATTCGCATAATTCTCTGCGATGAAATCAGTTGGTTGACAGTCACGTGAATGACACCGTCATGATGTCAGCATTCCCCTGCTTATGTCATCCATGTTCGTCTCTGATGTCAGATCACGTGAAATCAGCCAGCCGCATCCCGTATTCGTATCCCCTGCATTTATCCTTTGGTTTGTGCTGCTCGTTTGTTCGTTCCCTCTTTCTGTCTGACAGGTTGGTTCCCTGTCGAGTGGTCTGTCACGTTGCACACCGGAACCAGATGTGGAATGTTTCCTCGGAAATCATGGCGGCACTGCAGGCCATGCGCGTTTGTATCACTCATCCTGGCACCTGCAGATAAACAGTAGTCGATGTCATATCACCCCATTTCTGGGAAAATTCTCACACCCCTCGATCAAAGCAAACCAAGATTTCGCTGCCCGAAAAATGCGATTCAGCCTGGTCGGCCCCCACGGAACCCAGTTCCTTCGGAAGGATCAGTGGCGCAGGGGCAATCTTGCTGCCTAGGATGAAGTGGTTCCAGGGACAGCAAACCTCCTGGATGGGGCTGTTCCCTTACTCTTGGGCCTATCAAGGGTCCCTCAGACCGAGGGATGGCCCTAAACATTCCTGCCGAACTCCGGCTAGAGCCGCTGACTGTACTCTGTACAGAAACTCTGGTTCACATGGTGGATTTGCCAAGGCTGCCCAAAGCCTTCCGGACGATCCGCAAGATGTGGCTGTTCTCCCGAGATGATATTATTATAAGGCATTCTTTGCGCTGATTCCTTCTCGCAACCTTTTTCCCTTACTCGTGCCGTCCCTCCACCCCCAGTCCCTCCCTCCGCGATCGTCGTCCCTGTCGATCATGAAGTTGCCTCTCTTTGCTGCTGCAGCAGCTGGCCTCGCCAATGCCGCTTCCCTGCCTGTCGAAAGGGCCGAGGCTGAGGTTGCGTCCGTCGCCGCCGATTTAATCGTCCGCGCCCTCCCCAATGCCCCCGATGGCTACACTCCCTCCAATGTCACCTGTCCCTCGACTCGTCCGAGCATTCGTGATGCCTCGGGCATCTCCACCAACGAGACCGAGTGGCTCAAGGTCCGTCGCAATGCGACCCTCACCCCGATGAAGAACCTCCTTAGCCGTCTCAACCTCACCGGCTTTGATACCACCTCCTACATCAATGAACACTCCAGCAACATCTCCAACATCCCCAACATTGCAATTGCGGCTTCGGGTGGTGGATACCGTGCGCTCACCAACGGAGCTGGTGCGCTGAAGGCTTTCGACAGCCGCTCCGACAATGCCACCAACTCCGGTCAACTGGGTGGTCTGCTGCAGGCGGCAACCTACGTCTCTGGTCTGAGTGGTGGTAGCTGGCTGGTCGGATCCATGTTCGTCAACAACTTCTCCTCCATCGGTGAATTGCAAGCCAGCGAGAAGGTCTGGCGCTTCGACAAGTCCCTGCTCGAGGGACCCAACTTCGACCACATCCAGATCGTCAGCACGGTGGAATACTGGAAGGACATTACCGAGGAAGTCGACGGCAAGGCTAACGCTGGTTTTAACACTTCCTTCACCGACTACTGGGGCCGTGCGCTGTCCTACCAGCTGGTGAACGCCTCCGATGACAAGGGTGGTCCCGACTACACCTGGTCCTCCATTGCGCTCATGGACGACTTCAAGAACGGCCAGTACCCCATGCCTATTGTGGTCGCCGACGGCCGCAACCCCGGCGAAATCATCGTTGAGACCAATGCCACCGTTTATGAAGTGAACCCTTGGGAATTCGGCTCTTTCGACCCCAGCGTCTACGCCTTCGCTCCCCTGCAGTATCTGGGCTCCCGGTTCGAGAACGGCTCCATCCCGGACAACGGCACCTGCGTGAGCGGCTTCGACAATGCCGGCTTTATCATGGGATCATCCTCCACCCTGTTCAACCAATTCCTCCTCCAAATCAACAGCACCAGCATCCCCACGATCCTGAAGGATGCCTTCACTGACATCCTCGAGGACCTCGGTGAGCGCAACGACGATATCGCCGTCTACTCCCCCAACCCCTTCTCCGGCTACCGCGACAGCAGCGAGGATTACGCCACAGCCAAGGACCTCGACGTTGTCGACGGTGGTGAAGACGGCGAGAACATCCCTCTGCACCCGCTGATCCAGCCCGAGCGTGCCGTCGATGTCATCTTCGCCATCGACTCCTCTGCCGACACAGACTACTACTGGCCCAACGGTACCTCCCTTGTCGCGACCTACGAGCGCAGTCTCGAGCCCAGCATCGCCAACGGCACCGCCTTCCCCGCCGTGCCGGATCAGAACACCTTCGTCAACCTGGGTCTCAACTCCCGCCCGACTTTCTTCGGCTGCGACCCCAAGAACATCTCCGGCACCGCCCCCCTGGTCATTTATCTGCCTAACAGCCCCTACACCTACGACTCCAACTTCTCGACCTTCAAGCTGACCTACAGCGACGAGGAGCGTGATTCCGTCATCACCAACGGCTGGAACGTGGTCACTCGCGGTAACGGTACCGTTGATGATAACTTCCCGTCTTGCGTGGCGTGCGCTATTCTCCAGCGCTCCACCTACAGGACGAACACCTCTCTGCCAGATATCTGTACCACCTGCTTTAACGATTACTGCTGGAACGGCACGACAAACAGCACTACGCCTGGAGCTTATGAACCCAGTGTGCTGATTGCTACTAGCGGTGCGATCAAGAGTGTCTTGGATTACTCGGTGCTGGCGCTCGCCATGGGTGTTGCTGCGTTTATGCTGTAGATATGATGGTTGCATAAGGGGTTGTACATTGTGTTATTTTAGATATTTTATGCATATAGTCATGTTTGCATTGTTTAGTTAGTTTGATGAAGATACCGACATAGATTGTGTTCATTAGCAATGACATGACATAACAATGTGAAGCGAAGTAAGAACAGATTGCCTGAGGCACTAAGGTGTCTGGGCTTATTATTCCAGTCACTTTTGCACACTCACAGCTACTGAATCACGTCGTTGCTAGAACAAAAAGTTACTACGGCCAAGGCAGCAAGGTTGCGATTTCAAATGTTGTCGACTTGATTGCTCAGTATGTAGCTTTTAGAATCTGGGGATATTTCTAGCAAACGCACAGGGTTCACTGAAGCCGTCAGCTAAGATGCCTGGGATCCAAGGGTTTTAAATCCAAAGACATAAGCATTCACCCATTTTCCCGCATAGGAATGGGAGAACTCGCGCCAGCCGCGAAGAAAGACATCCACGATCATCGGGTCATCCTCATAGTTATCAACGTTGATAGGATACTCCCTTGCCTTTTCACAGCATAGGCACATCGAAGTACAATGGCTTCTATGGAGCGGACGCTTATCATTTCTCAGTTTCTCGCAGCATCCGCAATCCCGGCCACAGCATCCCCCGGAGTGCGTACATTCCTCGCGCAGAAACTTCGACAGATACCAATTCTCCTTTTCTTCATGTGCACATAGCATCCGCTTCAGGGGACCGTCGGGAATTGTACTCATACAGCGATGCGTCTCTCGTTCCAGGTTGCAGATTGTTTCGTTCAAAGACTTGAGTTCCGTTTTGTAGGTCTGCATCTCATTCACCCAAGTGGACGTGTCTCCTGTTGATGGGTTTTCGTTGATTTGCTCGTACAGCATGTCATGCTTGGCTTGCAGGTAGATTTCACGTTGGATGCAGAAGCGTAGCTTGAAACCCATCTGGACGTACCTTTCAACGGGCTGCCAGAGTTTCTTTTTTGATAGGAGGAGAATGCCGGTCCTCGGAAGCTGTAGTAGGCGGCAGAACTGAGCGTTTTCCATATCACCTTCACGATGGGACTTGTTTTCATAGTGCCTGAAGAGAGGCTTGAAAGGATATCTGAGAATAATTGAAGGGAACATGCTGGATTGTGTTGAGGGTAGAAGTTGGTGAAGAAAAAGTGAAAGGAATAGAAGTGAAAGTAAAGGAAAAGAAAATCTGAAATGCCAGGATACTCTTTACGATCTCCCGACGACATATAATGTCATCATCACTCAAAATTATGTTTCGCGAGAGGAACTCGACATAATGAGGTATTGATGAGGCGCACAGAACAGAGATTTCTGCTTCAACGCTCAAATCAGAGGGCCGAACATGGAGTAGGAAGACCTCCCCCCTCCTTTTGCCTTCACCTGCCTTATCGGACTTCTTGATTTCATGTCTTGAGCGTCTACAAGAAAGTGTCGGATTCAACCTTTCACCTTTGAATACAATTACCTGCGAGGAACTGAAGCGGCTTCAATATTCTGGTTACATGTCCTCTTACTTCGCCTACTACGGATATCGGAAGGTCTGCTCCCTTCAACATCCCCAAACATCTATTATTGAACAGATCTTTGGAATCTGTAATGCTGTTTGGCCATTTCTTCGTACCTTGCGTTGGTGACACTACTGTGCATGCCGTAATAAGCTCTTTGGGGCAGGCTAGACTTGGCTTCAGCCGTTGCTCCTTCGAAAGGCTAACCCACCTCTCTATAGCACTGTGTAGTATATATGATAGACACGAGGAGTGAATGAGAAATGTTTCAGGCAGGTATAGATTACGACAGGTCAATAGCAAGACGCAGGGCCTAGGGTGAAAATGTACGCGTCAGGACTGCAGCCTGCGATGGGGGATAACCTTATGCCCAGGTTCAGGGACTCACACACGACAAACATTTCTGATATACGTCTTTGACAACTGATAACATTACACTTTAGCGGAAGCCTTGCTGGTAAACAGACTACTGCATTTTCAGTTTTCAGGTATTTTGAATAGGTACCTCCCTTTAGGTTGGCTGGGGCTTCTGATTCGGTGTTCCAATAGGATTTTGCCCCCAGCGGCTCCTGTTATAAAGGCACACGGTGAAAGCGGTGGCTTATGTGTTGTTCCGCAACGTCTCTAACTAATGGGACATGATGGAGTGCTTCGGCGATACTATTATAAAGGTACTGTTCGCATTTAGGTTTCGAGGACTAAGTTGCAGACAAACCGAAGACCGAGTTAGACACGTTCTGCCAACGATGTTTCATGAAAGCCTTCGGATCATGCCCATTTAAGCTAAGCCCCAAGACACCAGTATCCTCCTTGAGATGCTCTGATCGATCACAGCGAATATCCCAGTTGCGCATATATTTCCGAGCCACCTGGTAAAACATGGGTGCCAAGTTCTGACTCTGGCGTATCTCTCCGCGACGGACCTTTTCTATCCCCGTGGGTGCCGCGCACTGAATCATGGTGGTAGTAATTTCACCAGTGGTCGATGCCACATAGAGACTACCCGCAGCCTGGACAATCCCTACTTTACCCGCGGCCAGTTGGGCTAGACAAGTATTGGCGACCAGGTCGACAGGGATCTCGTCGAAGACAGCATCCAGGTTGATCCCTTTACCAAGCTTATCTAACCCATAATCAGGGTCTGTCGCCAGGCTGTGGATCGCAGACTGTAAGGGCATGCCTTCATCGTGGCCATAGAATGGATATGGGTCGCGAATGGCTGGCCCGATAAGGGATGGTCGCACAATTAGTGTGTCAAAGGAGAGGTTGTCTTGCTTCAAGATCAACCTCTCCGTAAGGTATTTGCATAATGTGTAGGGTGCGATAAATTTCTCAGTGTAGTCTGACTGTCCAGTACTGAGAATCTGTGACAGAAATTTCTCTGGGTCTAGATCCTCATCGCAAAGTGGGTATATACGTTCTTCAATAATACCATCAGGAAGAAAGCTGTTGACAGATGTAGATGATACGTGGAGGAATGACTTGAGACGACTGAATTCACGAAGCAATGTGAGTAACTGCAGATGAGCTATGCAATTTGGCTGGATGCTGAGATGAAGTGGCTGTTGTAGCGAAATGTCCGCCGCTGCATTGATGACCACAGTGACCTCCTCTTGGAGTAATTTCAGATCCGAAGGCTTTAACCCGAGACAAGGTTTGGAGGTATCTCCCACCATGAACTGGACGCGATGAGAGTCTAAGACATCATCAAATTGATCCGCCATTGCTGCCTCCAGCTTATCGAGGGCACGTTGCACGGAGCCACGACAAAGCAGAAAGATCTTTTTGGTGGGCAACTGTAGAGTGAGCTTGTATAGAAGGCATGCGCCTAGATTTCCTGTCCCCCCAGTCAGGAAAATCACTTGATCGCGATACCATTCAATATGTTTATCCATAATAATAATGAAAAAAATGAATGGTCTTGTGTTATGCTGGAGACGAAGCTCGTGACCCCCGTAGTTTGGCGAACTAATGGACGATATGTGGTAAATGCTATGTGTGCACTGGACACTGCTGGCTCTTAGTAACAGGTAGTAGGCCGCCAGAATCCGTCTTTTGCGCTCTCGGTAGTACTAAAGGTGTGTTGGAATCCCTGAACACGAGGTTTTTGTGGCTAGCTGAGGGTCCCTTTTAAGGAAAAGTTTGTGCCGAACTGCAACATCGTGTCCTACACGAACTTGATATTCTTCGTAAACAATTGATTGATCTCTTCCAGATTGAGGGATGCAGGGAGGAATTCTCGAAAGCAATGGTTTAATGTGCCCTTATTCCGAATCAGATAATTGCAGCAGACCAATAGAAGACGTGCATATGCCGTACTACCACTACCAACCGGCCTATGCTTCATGAAGTCAACGTGCATCTTCCGACTTGCCATGGTTTCCTACGGTCATATGGACATGAAAAAAGGGCAAAGCTGTAAGGGCTGATAAGGCTAGCACTTTGATAGGTACATTGGCATTTGATTACCATCGAATACATATTAAGTAATTGTCAACAATGCTGGTAGAAGGGTGCGACACACGCGAGGGATGTATTTATCCTACTATAGTAAGGCTGACGAAAGGTTCTAGCTACGAGCGTCTTAATAATCGTCACCGCGGCTTTTTTGGAGTGGGACCAAAAGTGCATAAGCATCTGGTCTGAATACCAGGCCTCAAGTAGAGTACGTTTGGTCTCTTCGTTCTTGGATGGGTAACGAGCTGCCGTGCTCCCAAGGTCTCCGGGTCTAGGCTGAGTAGTCAGAGCAATGCTACGTTTGAGGACGTAGTGAGTTTTAATTCAACACGAACTTTCAATTCTCCTCTAAAAGTCCATTGTTCGGGATGTGCAGAGGTGTTAATTCTCTTCACACGGACTGATCATGGGTCTATATATTGTCTACTTCGGCGAGTGGTGGTGTTTGAGATTAGACTTCGGAATATTCCCTTTCGGAACTCGAAGTCAGTACTTGGCGGTAAAGTCACCAGTAGACCAAGTTAAACGGCAAACAGTTCAATGTTAACATTAAGTTAAACAACTAGCTAACACTAATGAAGATCCGAGGGCCTACGGAGACTTGTTTGTGCGTATCATTATGCTAGTTGTACAAACTTGTGAACTCCTATGGAGACATAGCATCTGTTAGACAGAGTGACTCTATGTCCACTGACTTGTAGTACGAAGAACTTAACTGCCCGTAGGCATTGCCTTGTGTAACCAACCTTCGACAACTGTGGTATCTGACCCGGGTTCCGTAGCCACGCAATCAATGCAAGGATGCGAAGGACACAAGGTGCTGGAATGTCACCAATACGCACCTGCATGAAAGGGAAAATATGGGAAGGTTAAGTGTATTGTTATCACATGTTCTAAGAGCCAGACGTGAAATATACTCGCCAAACGTAGGACGGAGAAGTCACTGTAGGTCCTATTCAACTTTCATATAGCTGACTGAAAATAGCCCCACATGTAGCCATTGCTGCACAGCCTGAATAGATACAATATATAGCCTAACACGTGTTGTTAATAACTTCTACACATCGAAAATGTCATGGTCTGCAGCCTGCCTGTCACTGGCCACGTTTTTCTCAGCCCTGGTCGCATTGCAGCTCTATCGGATTGTTAGCAGAAGCTATAGATCCAGGAAGCTGTCGAAACAATGGAATTGTGAGCCAGTATGTCGCTATCCTAGTGGGATCCTGGGTTATAAAGTGGTTTTGCGTGCGAAAACTGCCGCCCAAGAAGGCCAAGTCGGATCTACGATACATGGGGTTCATTTGCAGTACGGGAATACCCTGAAAGTAAATCTTGTGGGTCACGACGTTGTCGCTACTTGCGAGCCGGAAAATATTCAGGCTGTGCTAGCCTCTCAGTTTTCGAGTTTTGGACTATCTAAATGGCGTTATCCACAGTACCGCCCATTGCTTGGGAGAGGAATATTCACGTCAGATGGAACGGCTTGGGAGCACTCGAGGAAGTTGCTACGCCCACAGTTTACGAAGAATCAAGTAGGTTGAGCAACAATAGGTCCTTCCCATGTGGCCTATCTAACGGGATATTCCTGCTAGATACCTTCAATCGAGTGGTTTGACTCTTACTCCGAGAATCTCATGCGAGCACTGCCGCCCGATGGGCATGCCTTTGATATCCAGCCGCTTGCCTTCCGACTAGCACTTGATTCTGCAACGGGCTATCTGTTTGGCGAGTCCATTAATTCTCTAGTGAAGCCGGATTCCAACCAAACAGGTGTTGCAGAAACCTCAGGCAGTGGAAACGAAGGATTTGCTGCTGCGTTCGATTACGCCCAAGATATCCTTTTCAGGCGAACTCTCGCGCTCTCATACTACTGGCTAATCAACCCGAGCGATTTCAGGAAATCCACTCGTGTGGTTCATGAATTTGTGGATTACTACGTGGATAAGGCTATCGAATACAGAAGCAATATTGGCAACTACAAGACTGGCCATGAACAGAAAGGAGAAGAGTATTGTTTTCTGCATGCACTGGCGGCTGAGACACAAGATCGGGAATTCCTGAGGGATCAGTTGGTCAATGTTCTCCTAGCTAGCAGGGACGACGTTGCCAGCGTGTTTACCTCAACTTTTTATCTTCTTGCACGAGACCCTGTTGCATGGTGGAAGTTGAAACAGGAAATCACCGATGCGGTAGACAGGCACGCGAGCAATATCACCCTGAAGGAGATACAGAGTCTTCCTTATCTACGCGGTGTCTTGTACGAAGGTGAGCTGCACAATAGTTCTGCCAATGTCTCTTCATATCATTCAAATCTACGTCCAATTCTCAACATCTGCTAAGCATTTGGAATAGTACTTCGCCTCTTTCCGCCTGTTCCTGTGAATGCGCGAGTTGCCCATCATGATACGACAATTCCCGTGGGCGGTGGTCCGGATGGTCGATCGCCTGTTTTTTTCTCAAGGGGCAAATGGTCGCGTATTCAGTCTGGTGCCTTCACCGGCGTCGTGACCTCTGGGGCGCAGATGCTGAGAGCTTCCGACCGGAGAGATGGGAAGGTTACAACCCACCAGCGTGGGATTTCGTGCCTTTCAATGGTGGACCCCGGGCGTGCCTTGGTCGTGAGTCCCTCCTCTTCGCACGTCAAGTGTCCTCTACAGAGTACTTAATGGGATTTCGCTAACCAGAGTGCTACGAACAGAGCAGTATGCCATAATTCTGATTAGCCAACAGGTATTCAGGGTAGTGCAACACCTCGATTCTATTGAGAGCGCCCAGCCAGGGCCAGACATGGGGCTCAACCCTCCATTGAGACAGACGCTGACCATGTGTCACGAGCGTGGAGTCCACTTGCGCGTCAAGCGGATGAGAATTTGACTGTAGGGGAGTAGCTGGTAGCCTGTTACACAGACGGCATTATCAGTCTGCATCATTTGGGTTGGAGGAGCTTGATTTTGGAACGCAATCCGTTTCCCTGATGGGTTACTAGATCATCAGGTTGATTACTGTTCAAGAATGCCAGATTCGCTATTCTTCCATCATGCGGTACCAGCCGTAGGAACAAGATAAAACAACAAGGGCTGACGAAAGCATGCGCCCCTGGCTTTGTGTTGCAAAGCGTCTGGTGTAACTTTTCGAACGATATTTTAAGGGTCACCTAAAACGTAGGATTTTTGTTGCCTATTCAGTGAGTCCACATCCAGCGAATGCAAGGGGATCGTTTCGATGAAACATCCTTGGACCAAGAATACATTTCCAGAGGCCTCATATCTTCCGTATCCATAAGATATATCCACTATCTTGTTTTCATTCAGGTTAATTCACTCCCATCAACTCTCAAAGCAAAGGAACTACGTCAACTTTCTAAATCAATCCTCGCTATGACGGGCTCGATCCCCTTTGTAGGAGCATTTGCTCCACGGTCTCCAGGAAAGCCTTATGCTTCGACGCCGGACATGGTTATGGAAATGAATATGCTCACTGAATCCATGAAGAATATGGCCACCCAAATTGAACAGTACCAGGGTGGTATGAGCAATCTGCTTTACTTGACTCGAGGCACCTATAAGGTCTACGATAGCGCCATAAATGCAAGGAAAAGAATCGCATCTACCGAGGTCACGGACGGTCGGAACGAGGAAGACAAAGTCTTGACTGCTACATACGAAATGATCAACGCCCTGACTCAAGCTATTGTGGCTACTTCAAGCAAGGTATACTGCCTGGAGGGCTTCATTTATCATGACGAATGCTAATATAAGTAGACAATCTTCGTGACGAAGATCCCTAGCGGATCATCAATCGTCCAAGCTGTTTTGTGCAAAATGCATGATGCGAAGGAAGGACTGCAGGCAGCACTTGTCAGGCACTGCCCGAATGGATTCACGCCGGGAATATTGGAACAGTTCTGTGATTTTGACCAGAGGTACACAGATCTGATGTCAGATCTAAGAGTTTAGCAGATGTGATTCAATACGGAGCAAATATAATTGGAATTCCTCATGCACAGGCGTAGTCACTTACGGGGTATGCTCTTTTGCAAAGATCTCTGGAGCATTCAAATTTGAACGTGACCGGGTAACACAATGTTACAACAAGCACGCCTTGTTCTGATAGGATGTTGGCGTCAACTTTGTAGGACACGCTAACATTTACATGTCAGCTTTCTTATTGGCTACAAATAACGCATGAAGGGACATTCCTTTTATTACGTAGATAGTCACTAGACGGCTTGGATTGGGCAGCCAGACATTCTCCTAGACTACAATCATCACAAGTCTCCGTGGACCTTTTATTTCTGCCTTGGCCTGGACGTAGATATGCAAGACGAGGTAGGGAGAAGAAGGACAAACTCAATGTATCGCTACCGGGAGCAAGAATGTGGACCATATTGTCCATCGCAGCGCAAGGAATGTTTCTGCAGGTGCTGTGAAACGTGGCGTTCTGGGTGCATTTTGTGTTGCACTGCCTATTGGTATCGCACAGCATCGGAGACATACAAAGGCTTTTGTAATCAGATGACATACGTAATTAGCTAACCAAGGAGGTGAAGATGTAATAATGCCTGCTCTGATTGTCTATAAGCGATCATATACTTCTTGAGCTACTGGTACCAGTGTAGGGACTGTTAAAGCTATGTTTTCCTCCCATGATAAGGGAATCATGACATCTAAACAACATCTGAACTGGAATAATAGCGAAGATGACTACTCCGATGAACGAATCGAGCCTCTGTCGCGAGAGCGAATGCACCACAAATGAACCGATTGCCATTGTGGGCATGGGAATGAGATTGCCCGGAAATGTGCACACTGCGAGTGAATTCTGGGACATGCTAGTCTCGGGCAAAAGTGGCCATGGCCCTGTCCCCAAGAGTCTATATAACGCGAATGCCTTCTTCCATCCCTCTACCGCCCCAATGACTGGATACTTCTTGCAAGAGGATCCCGCATGCTTTGATGCCGGATTTTTCTCCGTAAGTGCCAAAGAGGCTGGGCTTATGGATCCTCAGCAACGGCTGCTCCTCGAAGTAGTGTGGGAGTGCCTTGAAGACGCCGGCGAAACCAGTTGGCGAGGGAAGGACATAGGCTGTTATGTCGGAGTGTTTGGGGAGGATTGGCTAGAGCTGTCCCTCAAGGGACTAGACCCTTGTCCAGATCGTCATCATGCCTTGGCTGGCGGAGGCTTTGCTTTGTCAAACAGAGTTTCATATGAATTCGACTTTCGTGGGCCGAGGTATAACTAGCATCACCGCAAAGTGACTTTCCATGATAATGCTGACCAGGGCACAGTATGACGATACAAACCGGATGCTCCGCTTCGCTGGTCGGCTTGCACGAGGCTTGCCAAGGGCTTCGTTCCAAGCACTGCTCCGCTGCCGTCGTTGCTGGGACCAACCTCATATTGACCCCGACGATGACAAGCGTTATGAACCAAAATGGAGTTCTGTCCCCTTCGGGAAAATGCCAGACATTTGATCGCAATGCCGATGGGTATGGGCGTGGAGAGGCAGTCAATGCGGTCTATATCAAGCGCCTCACCGACGCCTTGAAGGATGGCGACTCTGTCCGTGCGGTTATACGGTCCACAGCCGTGAACTTTGACGGGAGGACGGCAGTTATGACCAACCCCAGCGGATTAGCGCAGGAAGTGCTCATAAGAACGGCATACAAACAGGCGCAAATTGATAGGATCTGCGACACGGGCTTTTTCGAATGCCATGGGACAGGTACGTCAGCTGGAGATTCGGTCGAGGCATCTGTTGTGGCCAAGGTCTTTGAGGGCCATGGCGTACTTACTGGTAGTGTAAGTTATTTCGGGCAAATTCATATACTTTATCTAATGGTAAGGCCAGGTCAAGCCAAACTGTGGCCATTCTGAGGGGGCTTCAGGTCTCACTAGCATCATCAAAGCAACCCTTGCCCTTGAAAATCGCACCATCCCCCCCAATATAAACTTTCTCCAGCCTAATCCTTTTCTCAACATGGAAGGCTCCGGGATACAGGTTCAAGTGAAAGCCAGCCCGTGGCCGGATGACCGTAAGGAACGTGTGAGTGTTAATTCCTTCGGTATAGCTGGCGCGAATGCGCATGCCATTCTGGATTCTGCAACTGCATTCGGAGTGCAGAAGATGTCTCCACTGGGATCAGATCGTCCGCACCTCATCGTGGTTTCTGGACACAATAAAGAGTCCTTGCAGCGTCGTATACAAGACATAGCAGACTATATAAACTCTAACCCAAAAAGCGTCCATGATTTAGCATATACATTAGCATTACGACGGGAGCATCATAGTCATCGGGCATATGCAGTAATCTACCCAGACACGCCGGTGGACCTGTCACTATTCCAGTCATCATCCACGACGCTCCGCTCTTCTGCAATGACGTTCGTGTTCACTGGACAAGGTGCGCAATGGGCAGGAATGGGTAGGCAACTCCTCGCAACTGAGCCTTTATTTTATAATGCGATCAAGAAGATGGATGAGGTGCTTCAGGAGTTGGCAGACCCATCAGAATGGTCATTACTTAGTTAGTAACCAGCGGATTATATGCAGTGACTGATACTAATTTGACTATAGAAGAGCTATCGCGCTTGGGTACTGGGTCGCGTGTCAATGAGGTCGAACTAGCCCAGCCACTGTGCACTGCCCTCCAGCTCGGATTGCTCCAGATCTTAACATACTGGGGTATTAAACCGAGCACAGTAGTAGGACATTCTAGCGGTGAGATCGCTGCAGCCTATGCATCAGGTGCGATTACCATGGAGTCAGCCATTACTATCGCATTCTACCGTGGAAAGTTGGCCAAGTTTCAAGAGGGCTCCGGTGCAATGGCATCAATTGGACTAACCCATGACGAGGTTATACCGTTCCTGCTCGATGGAGTGGTCGTCGCGTGTGAGAACAGCCCTCGCAATGTGACGATTTCAGGACCCAAGGACAAACTTGCCCAGGTGATCAGCAATATCACCGCAGCTCTTCCAGGAACTTTCTGTCGGAAGCTACGAGTGCAGGTCGCTTACCATTCCCGTAAGTTCTGACACAAGCTCGCATCCCTGAAACCCAGTGTTGAGCCCCTGATATATATATTGATTCAATTATACAGCCCAGATGGAGACTCTAGGCACGACCTATGAGGACGCTCTCACACCACATATAATCCCGCGTTCACATATGCGGCCAATGTTGTCTACTGTCGTTGGGGATACCCTCACTGACCCTTCTCAACTGGGGCCAGAGTACTGGCGTCGCAACCTCGAGTCCCCTGTTCGCTTTTCAAAGGCAATAGAAATGCTCCTTCGGAAGAAAACGAAGTGCACCAATATTTTTATCGAAATTGGTCCGCATTCAGCCTTGTCTGCACCCCTTCGGCAGATGTTTCAACTTGCCCCTCAATCACCTCCCGTGTACATACCTACCCTTACGCGCAACGACGATCACCAACAGTCCCTGCTACTTGCAACGGCCGGATATGTATTCAACACAGGCTCTTTTGTCAATCTTTCCACAATTGTGGATGCGGGTCAACTACTAACCGATATCCCGCGCTTTCCATGGACGCATACTGACAGGTACTGGTGCGAGGGTAAACCAAGTCGCGATTGGCGGCTACGCTCACTCCCTCACCATGAGCTACTTGGCTCCTTGGCGATGGAGGCGACTACCCTGGAACCGTCATGGCGAAATGTGTTGCGGCTAGATGATGTACCATGGCTATCAGACCATGTCTTGCACGGCGAAGTTGTCTTCCCAGCTGCCGGGTACATTGCCATGGCGGGTGAGGCCATCAGGCAGTTAAATATCCTGAATAACCAACGAGAATCTAGCTCCGAAGGCTACTCCATACAGAACATCCAATTCGAGTCTCCTCTTATGTTAGCTAGCGATGCTGCAATTGAGGTCATTTCAAGCCTCAAGCCAATTGAATTGGCAGACGGGGTCAGTTCCGGGTGGTACAACTTTTCTGTATGCGCATACGACGGGGCTAAATGGACAGTGCACTGCAAAGGCTGTGTGCGTGCAGGGAGTGATTACCCAATTTCTGGTAACTATAAAGAAATCAGACCTTTACCCCGAGTAGTGGAACCATTACGCTGGTACCGCACAGTGCAGCGATGTGGATTGCAATACGGCCCCCAGTTCCAGCGTCTGCAAGACATCACAGCCGACCCACTTGACCATGCTGCAGCTGCCACTGTATACCAGCCTGAAATGCAGAACGGGACCTATTACGCTATACATCCTGCTGTTATTGACCAAGCTCTTCAGCTGATCGGTATAGCTGCATCGAAAGGAAGGTTGCACACCATTTCAGGGGCCTATATTCCCGCCAGGATTGAGCGACTTGTTGTAGATGGTGGGACTTGGTCGCAGATTTCCTTCGAAGCTCAGACTTTCCAAGATAAAGAAAAGGGGCAGCAGGCAAAGATTATCGGTACCACAGAGGGCCATACAATCTTCAGCCTCGAAGGCGGAGTCCTAGCTGGCCTGGCAGGGTCTAGCAGGACAAGCCCAGATGACATTGACCTAATGTCACGGCTACATTGGAAACCAGATATTGACTTACTGCCCCCTCATAAGATTCTAACTCCGCGCCCCAATCTTGGACATGCTACCCACCGGAGGGTTCTTGGGCTCCTTTCCTTGATACACGTCCGAGCCACAGCTGAACGAATTGAATCTATGGAGTCGTCTGCGCAGCACCTAATGAAATGGAAATCGTGGATTCTCTCGGAAGCAGCCAAAGTTCGCATGGGCGTGCACCCAGATCTACAGCCACTTGCCAAATGGATCCAAGAAGTGCAGCCGGAGAAGCAGGATATTCTTCTACATGCAATGAAGGAAGTACTGTTGTCTTCATCGACTACAGCCAATGATGAGCTATCTACTTCCCACAAGGATTCAATCAAGTGGAATAATTTGGCTCCAGCTGACTTGTTGGAGAAAATCTATAGCCGCCTTGACAAAATATCAGCCGTCGTCCCCGGCCTGACCATTACGGAATGTATGAGGGCAGTATATGAGAACGCCGTCGATTTCATGTCGGGGAAATGCTCCCCGCTAGAGGTACTTGTTGCCAGCAATAGATTAGAAAGGTTTTACGAGGACACATTGGCCCGGGAGACTGATCTAACGGAAGTATTTTCCCTTCTTGGACATGCCAATCCATTGATGAGAGTCATCGAGATCGGCGCCGGAACAGGCTCTATGAGCGAAATGGCGCTTTCTTCCCTGAGATCTCCGACTGGCGCGCATCTATTCTCTCGCTATGTCTTCACAGACATTTCCGCTGGTTTCTTCGCCACTGCCCAAGACAAGTTCAAGGGACAAGCCAATATGGAATACCGAACGTTGGACATCACACGCGATCCAACAGAACAAGGATTCGAGGAGCACAGCTTTGACCTAATCATTGCATCCAACGTAAGTTGATTATATACAACACCAGGCCCAGTTTGACCGTGGACTAGGTTATACATGTCGCCCCAAATTTGCATGAGGCTTTGCTACATACAAACAAGCTCCTTGCCAAGAACGGTCGTTTCCTTCTACAAGAGTTCTATTCGGGTAAGCATACCAATCCCATCCGTAACATCTAGAGTCTGTTCTGAGAAACGTATCCAGACACACCTGTCGCGGATTACGTTGTAGTAAGTATTCATTGTATCGGCTGAATATTCCTGACACTGCGCTAATCCTCCGACTCAATTTTGAAGGGTGCGCTCCCCGGCTGGTGGGTGGGTGAAAACGATGGACGCCCTGAAAAGCCCTACATATCGGGTGAGAGATGGGACATGCAACTTCGTGCCGCTGGATTTACTGGATGCGAAACAATCGATCGTGATCTTGACGGTTCGATTCAGCCATTATTCACCATCATCTCTAGGCCTGCTCAGGAGACGGTGTCTGACAGGGAGGTGACGATTCTATCCTCTGACCCAGATGAAGCAGGATGGCCTGGAGATGTGGCAGCGTGTTTCCGGAGTAATGGCTATCAAGTCCATTGGTCAAGTTTGAACAGCTTGCCCTGTAGCAGTCGAGCCATCATTTCACTATTGGAGGTCGACAGCCCATACTTCACACAGTCTTCCAAGGAAGAATTCCTGGTACTACAACGCTTCTTGATGCGGAATAAAGGATCTAGAATCTTATGGGTAACACAACCAAGCACCTTTAGCTGCACAGATCCGCGCTTCAGTATTATCCATGGTCTTGCCCGTGTATTGAGACGCGAACTATCGTTAGATCTGTCACTCTTGGAAAGGGACTCCAATGAGAAGCCTGCACCCGAGGTTTTACTTAAACTTCATGAGAAGATCCAGCAGTCGCGTGAAAACCCAGATACAGATGTGGAGTACGAGTTCGCATTAGAAGGTGGCGTTGTTCACACAGCTCGGTCTTACCACTCGTCGCTCTCGCAAGAGCTCACAATGCAGCCTCCAATGGATACACCGCGGAAGTTGGGAATCCAGCAGGTTGGATTGACTAGCACTCTCCAGTGGGTACCCAGTGCAATAACATCGGATTTGAATGCTGGAGAAGTTGAAGTAGATCTAAGCTACGTGGGACTGAATTTCAAGGTAAGTTACATTTCAGTACTCAATGTTTGATCGTGTTTCTGACGATCAATTAGGACACTTTGGTTGCCATGGGACTTATAGGGAATCCGAATGATATGGGTCTAGAAGGAACTGGGGTGGTGCGTCGGGTTGCTTCTGATGTAACGGACCTAGTCCCCGGGGACCACGTTGGCGCGTTGGGGAACGGCCTATTTTGCAATCGCGCGGTTCTACCTCGAGAGGCTCTCTCGAAGTTACCAGAGAGACTTGCTTTGGAGGATGGTGCTGCTATGCTGACAGTCTATTGCACAGCCATTTACTCGTTGATGCTGGTTGGGAACCTTCAAAAAGGACAGGTATGTTGACTAGCCAATCTCTACGGTACAGGGAACATATCGCCTGACAAACTGATTCAGTCGGTCCTCATTCACTCTGCCGCCGGGGGTGTTGGTATTGCAGCCATCAATATATGCGAAATGCTCGATGCTACGGTAAGCCGTTCATATTTGATTTTTATCATAGCATTTGGTGTATAGGTTTAATGTTTTGTGTAGATATACGCTACGGTTGGAAACGCGGAGAAGGCAGAGTATCTCACTAAAACTTATGGAATCCCCAAGAGCCAAATTTTCCACTCCCGCAATACTTCATTCGTGCAGGATGTTATGCACGCTACTAATGGACGCGGAGTTGACGTCGTACTCAATTCACTGAGTGGAGAGTTACTGCATGCGTCCTGGCAATGCGTGGCAGCCTATGGGAAAATGATCGAAATTGGAAGAAGAGACATTCTATCCCATGGGATGCTCAGTCTGAGCCCCTTTTCTGAAGACCGCACGTTTCATGCAGTGAATCTTGCGAACGTTAGTAGGGACCGTCCAGATATAGCGATGAGGTACTTGAGAAGTCTGCTTTCCTATATTTTCAATGAGAGAGAAGCTGACATCTTCTTAGCACGGTGAGGAAATGCTTTGAGCTTCCAGAAGGACAAGATCCGTCCAATTCGTCCATTGCATGTTTTTAAAACCACCCAGGTCAAGGAGGCTTTCCGTTATTTACAGACTGGTTAGCATATGGGGAAGGTCGTAATTCAAATGACACCCGATCCAACCCAGCTACCATGTGCCCCCGTAAGGTTCAGGGCTTCTTTTCCCCCCGATGCAGCATACCTCATGGTCGGAGGCCTTGGTGGCATCGGGCGGTCAGTGTCTAGGTGGCTAGTTGAACACGGGGCTCGCGAGATTGTATATCTCTCACCCTCAGCTGAGAAGGATGAACATCGGGGGTTTATAAAGGAGCTAGAGGTTCAAGGATGCCTAGTTACCTGTGTGGCGGGGACTGTAACCGACCTCGCTGATATTCAGCGAGCAATCGGAAAGTGTACAAAACGACTTTCTGGTGTCGTCCAGATGGCACTGCATCTGCAGGTTTGGCCACCGCTTGTTGGCCCCTTCGCCAAGATTAGGAGCTGATTTGCCTTTCATAGGACCGAACATTCGAGCATATGACACCGGACGAATGGGATAGTGGACTAGCCCCAAAAGTGGCCGGTACCTGGAATCTACACACTGCAACACAGGGCGTGGATCTGTCCTTCTTTGTCATGTTTGGTTCCATCGCGGGTTCCGCTGGGTCCCTCGGCCAGGCTAACTACGCTGCTTCGAACACATTTTTGACCGGGCTAGCCAAGTATCGGAGACAGCGTGGCTTGGCAGCGTCGGTCTTAAACCTGGGTCCTGTCGAGGATGTAGGTATTATCAGTAAACGTGCGGACTTTGCTCAGACCACGAGCGTGGCCTTGGCTCAACCTATAAGTGAACAGGCTGTTCTTGAGTCATTTCAAGTGAGTATTGAAGACTCTCATCCTAACTCACAATGTTCGGGAGTATTGGATATTGGTATTGCGGACAAGACAGGTAAGAATGAGGGCTCTTCGCTCATGCGATTATGGGGGCGCGATGCCCGGTTTGCTATGCACAGCAACTTAGCGCAGGCGTCGCTGGATGAGGGAATAGACGGACCTGAGCATCGGCTTCGCGAGTTCCTTAACCATGTTCATCAAGACCCTTCGTTGCTGAATAAGGCTGAAGCGATTACCGAGTTCAAACGGAACATGGCTCACCTTATTTCTGGGACAATTGCGGGTGGGCGAAAATTCACTGATGAAGAGGCGGCCGGTTTCGCAATTGACTCCCTTGTGGCTATAGAGATGAGAAGCTGGGTACGGAGAGCTATCCATCTCGACGTCTCACTCTCTGAAATTACAAAGGCTGGTACTTTGGGCTCACTGGCCGAACATATCGTCAAACTCCTGAGGTTGCAGTATAAGTTGGGTAATGTGGGTGAGTGAGGATTTTGACTATGGTTGCTCACCATCGTAGTATGGGCAGCGACTAAAGATGGCTCTTATGGATAACATGGGCCAAGGAGATCTTAAGCAAGGTATTCATTTGAGTAGTCGGTTATGAAGATGGAATCGCTCTTTTGCTAGTTCTTGCGTTGGCATGTAGTTACTCTATGCCTTTCCCGGTAACTAGAACTAGTATTAAACCTCTATATATCATCCATCCAAGCGCCTGCACTATGAGAGACTGCGGAAAGTGGTACCTGCGTCATTCCTTGAATCAATCGCATCAAATACTCGGTCACGTTTGAATATCAACTCATACAAAGATCATTCTTGTTCTATTGCCAGCGCACCTGACGATCACACCATCCCATCACTACAACCCTCTCCCCCAGTCTGCTACATTTCCCACACGCTGCCCTGAACCATGAACGTGAATTGCCAAGCCAAGCTCCCCACCTCCTCTCCCCAGGGTCATATCTCGTCTCATATCTCGTCATCTCCTCCTGCTCCTGTTCTTCCCTCTCTTGAACCTTCTGCAAAGCCCGCGCATTATGTATCATGAGATAAGCTGAATGGACATCCTGGAACAGCACAAGCGGGTTCAAGTAAATAGTCCAGGCACGCAATCCCCAAGGTCCGCCCTGATAATGTTTCGGAATGCCGCTCAACAAAGTCTCCTCGTTGCCGTCAGACTCGAGAGCCTGGTATGCTTGGGGTCGCAAGCCGCGTACTGAGTTCGGGATCTCGTACGGCTTTGTGCGGTAGGCGTGGAGGACCAGGAAGGAGAGCGGCACCATCTGCAGGCAGATGAGCATGGTCGGAAGGCCCATCAAGGTGTCTATGTAGGTCATTGAGGCAGGGTATCTGAGGACTTTTGTTCCGGTGAGGATGAGGAAGAGGATCTGGGTGATTGTTAGATATTTCTGCTTATTAGGTGTCTGGCTTGGGATAGGTAAATGCATACCTTCTCTAGAAAGATCAATCCAACGATCAATTTGAAAGCCATCAGCTTGAGCAGTGGCTTGTGCTCTGTCATGTATCCTTTCATGTTCATGTAGAATTGGATGATGGCGTTGAGGGCTACTGAGGTTGACAGCGAGGTAATCACTTCGATCTAGCGATGTTAATAAGCGACCATTCGGCGACGCAATCAATGATTTTAACATGGTACATACCCATACATGAGCGAAATGAGGTGCATTACTCTCGAGGCAGTAGACATGTAATGACTGGGTCACCACTTGGGTGACAGCGGTAATCCAGGTGATTACTGGATAATGAAGCACCGAGTACCAAGTCAACTTCGAGTCAGATAACCGGTCAGCAATGGTTATTATATCATATCCTGTGAACAAAAGACTTACACTCAGGAATGCAAGACCGTTCCTTTTCTTCTTCGGCTGCCACTGTCTTTTCGTCTCAAGAGAAGAAAAGAACTTGACTTTGCTCGTATCATCAGGGGCCATGTAATCGCAGAGTAGCATAAGAAAGGCGTATAGCGCCACGCCCTGGAGCACCTCGGTGAACCCTTGTAGGTAGATGTAAGAGTTCGGAAAGCAGATTGAGATGTAAGATAGAACTTGATAGGAGGGAATGAGATTGCAGATTCGCATTATTCTTTCCGTAAAAGTGTTAGCATCGCAGAAGCATCTCCATATTGTTGGGGGGCTTTACTTGAGTTGTTCGTTAGGGTTGCTCATACACATCGCATGTCGTCCCATCAGCCCCAAGATCAGGAATAACACGATCGCAGTACAAACGCCGGATACGATCATGTTAAATTGGTAAAAGGTGAGATTTCCCACTATGGGGCCAACATCATCTGTTTCAGATGTTAGCTATCTCGTTGCATCTCTGGAAGAAGGTTGTAACAAATACTTACGTTGCTCAAGATGATCTGGTATAGGGCAGCCAAAGCTACCGGCACTTCGACTTAAGATAGCCATATGGTAACTTTACAGACACGAACTTCAAAGGAGAACACTAGACAAAAATAATTCGGACGCTCATTGAAGATTGGATACGAAGTAAAGCCAGCTCAATTTATACATATCTACCATCACGGTTCAAAGCCTAGCTAAGCTCAGCCCTGGCATCTCACGCTGCCTCCATCCCCATGCATAGGAAGGACGGTCGAGGAATCACTCCGCCACGCGCATTTAGGCGCGCAAATAAGCCGCTGGTCGGGATGTGTAGCCTTAATGCACTCGATCAAGTTGGTATGCCAAGCGCATGGTGGAGCCGATCGGCGGAGCCAGCATGCTTAATCTGCGCGAAGTTGCGCGGTCAGCCTCAGGGACATGAGAATACGGGAATAAATTGCGCGATGGAAAATTTGCGCGGCCTGTATTTGCCCTGGAACTACTTTTAGACACCGTACAGTTGAGCTTAAACTCAAATAGTTTAGCTCAAATTGTAATAGTAAGAAACTGGTCAGACACTCGCGTGCAGTTCAAGTAATAAGGTCCATGTAGACACGAAGCGATTATTATTAGCTTTGGGGTTCCGTCAATGGACCACTTGAAAGCAAAACTATACTTGTAGGACCATAAAAGAAAAGGCAGCATGATATGGTACACCACCGGGGAACCTTGAATGCAAGTAATTGTCGGGTCATGCACACCATGTTAACCGTTCATAACTCATAATATCATAAATGAAGAGGACAAGGCTCCATCTCTAACTATATCCACGAGGCAAAGTTTGGCATGCCATCCTTGCGTTTCCATTGCTCTTTACCGTGACGCATCAGGTGCATCTTATTCGTCAAACGGGGGCATGCTGCCTTCGAACCCAGCAGTTGTACCCGGATAACCCACGTCAGTGCTGAGGAGATCAGTCATTGGGTTTGGGAACCAAGTCGCTGTAGATGATTGACTCCACTCAAAGACGTCCGGTGGTTGGGAAGCATGGTGCATTATAGCCGGATACGGCCACAGGTTCCATGCTTCGAAGGTATTGAAGTGCATATGTGGCATAGCGGAGGGCTCAGACATAGTTTCAGACATATTTACGGCTCCCAGAGCCTCGTCCCAGCCTTTGACGAGAGAAGCCTGAAATCCCAAACTCTTCATCAAATCCCACAGACCATCCAGCATTTTGCTGCTTGCGGAATATATACACCCGCTCCTAAAGGCAGCCTCCGGAGTGTTTCCTGAATGGGACACCATGGCGACCAGCGCATTGGCGCACTGTTTGAAAAGGTGGAGTTGTTTGTCAAAGCTGGGATGTAGTTTTCCGGAGGCCTTGAATCGGATCAGGTTGTTTTCCACGATATTTTTACACAGATTCACAATCTCAATTACTATTGGTCGGACCGGCACAATGCAGGGGTTGCCACCCAGCTTGACTGATGCGCACTCCATGAATTTAGCCAGGATCCCTTGCAGCTTGTCTGGATATCGTCCTCCAAAATGACGCAGGAAGGCGTAAAACTGAGAGTCCCTTTCAGATTCGGGAGTTGTCATTATGGAGTTAATGACGGTGTTACCCATCTGGCTCGCTTCATCGCGGCGAATTTCCGTGGTCTTTGGTGGCCCATTGCCCTCAGCTCTTGCTTTAAAGACAGATATGTAGAAAAGCCCGAGGCCAAAGATTTTGGCAATTACTGCATGAAAGCGCAGCTCCAGCAGTGAGGACATGATTATCACCTCATTCTGCTGTTCATCTCCGGCTGCCTCTGAGAGTAAATGATAGACAAAGTTGACTTCAGCGAGGCATTTCTTTTCGCCCTCTTCGACAACGATGAACAACCGACTGGGATTCATCCAGCACTGCCTTGAATTCGCCATTGCCTCAATCTGCATAAACGTAGCCGTAATTGATTTGATATGGAAGATTATGACTGGTGAACAGGACCGTGTCTCCAAGAGCAGCTGGTAGGAGTCAATATGTGGTTGCATCCGCTGGAGAACCTGCCGGAAACCTTGCATGGTCATGGTCAGAAAATCGCCCATCAAAAATTCCTCGGCTATTATCTCAAGTCCCTGGATTGACATGATTAGCTCACGCTCCATCAACACACTGTCGATGGAAGTCGTGTCCAGAAAGGGCATGATCCCTGGCTCCGGCAACAACCTCAGTCGCTCTGCGATACGGTGAGCCAGAGCCATATAAAGCTCGGCTTTAACGGACTGATTTGCAGTCCGTTTTGACATGGCCAAAGCGGTTGGTTTGAAAGCCGACAAAAAGCGACAAACAGCAACAGAGTCGATATGTGTCGGAGGACTGAAGATAAAATCCTGGCCGTATGACGAAACAGCCTGCTGCAGACTATCTTTGAGAGATCCATTCTGACGGCGAACTTCCTCTGAGCTTTCACATGCGGCCAGGCAGAGTACTGCAAAAAGCAGCTTGGTGGCGGTATTATTGGTATTGGAATCGGTTGACAACAAGCGCTCTCTCAAGTGGAGCAGGCTTGGTGTGCCCAGAACGAAGAGACGCTGCCACACTAATCTACCAACGGTGTTAGCCAGCTGATCAGACCAGCGTAGTTCTGCGCCCGATCTTACAAGTTATCAAGTGTGGCAGCGAGATCATGGCTGATTATATCTGTAAGAGGGGTGCTCCAGGTGGACACCAGCTGAATGTCGGAGCCAAAAGTAGTGTTTTTAGCCAAGACCCCCGCGATAAAAGTGCTGGTGTTTGCCATAGCATGGTACAGTCCATCGTCGTCAGATGCAGGATCTGTTGCATCTTGCGATCGTTGCAGCATGGGCTTTTCGTCTATCGCGCCCGAGAAAAGATACTGCTGGATCGAGTCCGAGAGCTTGGCTGCTTTCTCGTCATCGTGGCGGCCTTGACGCGGGGATTTGGATGGGTCTGACTGGGGCGATTTGCTAGCCACATTTCCGCGATTTGCGCGTTTCGCTGCTGGACGTCCTAGAGGAGTGTTCTCGATAATGCATTCCAGATCGAGATTGCGGCATCTCTCACAGCTTGTTGCCGGGGGCTGTGGAGTGCCCAGTGGGCCTAATGATGCCGCGGAGGAAGGCAACACGCATTTGATTTTGCGAGCTCGACAGCCCCGGCAGATTAAACGAGCATATTTGCCCCTGGGGCCTCGTTCGGCTCTTTGTCCCTGCATTTATTGTGATGGTGGCTTGTCAGAAGGTATGGAGGACGAATGCGACCGTGGAAGGGTTGAAGATTGCCAGGTCCCATGGCCCCATGAGGCTGAGTGATCGGCGTCAGCTAGAGATGTTTCCGCTGCGACTAATCATATCACAGTCTGAGTGCATTGTGGGCCTTGGATCATTTTGAGCAATTATGTTCATTTTAATCACTACGGCACAGCTGTCAGATGGATAGGCTTTCGTGGCCGCCGATTAGTCCCGGCGCGCAATCCACATACCGCAGGTGTGGCCGGTCACAAAGCCAAGATACTTCGTGGAACAATGTCTACAGTACCCCGGATTTACCCGGATGATGTAGAACTTCATCAAGTGGGGCGCCTGAATAGAATTAACGGGAAAGGAGGGACTCGGAATACTAAAATGACACAATAACTTCCGTTCTGTGTCCCGTACTATTTGTGAGCGCAATATATTGCGCTGCTTACGGCGTCACTGGCTCGGCGATGAGCAGAGACGATGAATATAAATTTCGATATTACCTTCATGGCTGGAAAGAATCTATATCCTACTTCAGCACTATTATATCAAAATAACTTAACACCAAAATGCTTCTTCGAAGACTGCTGCTCCTGGCTGGAGCTCAGTCTGCCTTCGCCAAGTGCAAATGTGTATGTTATCGTCCAATCACGTCCTGAATGATACACCGCGTCTAACTTTTGGATGGTAAAGTCCCCTACTGATGATTGCTGGCCATCTGCCGACACATGGAACGCCTTAAACAGCTCCGTCAATGGAAAGCTTGCGCGCAACGAACCGATTGCCCGACCGTGTTACCACGGCCCCGGCTACAGCTCTGAGCTGTGCCAGGATATCAGCTCCAACTGGACAAACAATGAATACCTGGCAACCTTTCCGGTTGGCTATAGCTATCCGCTCGTGGAAAGCTGTCCCCCTGTCAACGCCACGCTGGCTGGCTACCCCCAATGCGACCTGGGCAACTACCCTGTGTATAGTGTCAAGGCGACAACGGCAGCGGATGTTGCTGCCGGGATCAAGTTTGCGCGGGATCACAATGTGAGGCTAGTTATCAAGAACACCGGACATGACATTTCGCAGCGGTAAGGGCTTGACGTCGAAATTTATGACTGTATGCAAACTGATAATATCAGATCGCAAGGATACGGCAGCCTCTCCATTTGGATCAAGTCCATCAAAGATGGACTTCATTTTCACGATAGATACGTCCCTGGAAATGGCTCTTGTCCATCTAACTGGACTGGAAGTGCGATCACCGTAGGTGGTGGATATGTGTGGGAGGAGGTTTACAATTTTGCTGCCAAGCATAATGTCATCGCTGTTGGTGGAGCGGATCCGGTAAGTTCATCACTTTACAAGATCGAGGAAAGATACGCATCCATACTGATGAATAGATCAGACTGTCGGTGTTCTTGGAGGCTTCATGCAAGGGGGTGGCCATGGCCCCGTAAGCCACTTCTTCGGACTTGGGGCAGACCAGGTTCTGGAATACAAAGTTGTCCTGGCCTCGGGGCAGCTTGTCACGGCCAACGCATGCCAGTATACAGACCTCTTTACTGCCCTCCGTGGAGGTGGTGGAGGCACCTATGGTGTGGTCTTATCGGCCACGATCAAAGCCCACCCGACGCGTCCTGTTCTGGGTCATAATCTAGACGTCATTGCACTTCACGGAAATGACGATGCGGTTCTCACTGCAACTGGCAACATAATGTCGAAATTGCCCGCTCTTTCCGACGTAGGGTACTCTGGCACCGCTATTCTCTCGGCTATAGCTGGACCGTTGGTCTATACACATCCTTTCCTGAACCTGCTTGACAACAATTCCACCGAGACTCTGGAGAGCGCCAAAAACGCCATGAACCGGCTTATCCTGGATGACCTGCTGCCGCACAACGGAACCTCCTATCTGGTTCTATCCACTTTCACCAGTTACCCGTCATTCCATGCATACTACTCCAGCACGCACCACACAACCCCCGGTTCGAACAGGCCGATCATGGCGTCACGGCTTTTCGATAAGCAAACCCTGGAGTCTCCCGATAACAATATGACGAGCCTCCTTGAGACAGTCATCACAGAGACAGTCCGCAACAGCACCCTTTGGGCAACCTTGTTCAATATCGTCGCCGGTGGAAAGGTTCTCGAGCCCGTCCCTCATACTTCCGTGAACCCAGCATGGCGGAGATCTCACCTCCTATTCCAGCAAATCGATGTCTGGCCTGACAATGCCGGCACCGGGGAGATCCAACAATATCGAAGCGACCTCACCAACATTAAATTGAAAGCGATGAAGGACATGGCTCCGGACATGGGAACCTATCTAAACGAGGCTGATCCGTACGACCCGAACTGGAGAAAAGACTGGTTTGGAGACAAATACGACTGGCTTGCATCTGTCAAGAAGAAGTATGACCCAGAAAACGTGTTTTGGTGCTGGCGCTGCGTTGGAAACGAGGGTTGGCAAGAGGTGACGGGGGGCGCGTGGTTCGGGCCGCTGTGTGAGACTGGGAAGTAGTTTCGGGGTAGTCTCTTTTGAGGCCGGGATGATTGAGCTCAATACACAAAATCGCTGTGTGACAGGGTTTCCCCTTGATTGATATGAAAATGTCAGAGTAGGGCAGATTCGCGATTGTTGCGGACCATTGCAGTGAAATTAGTTGCGAAGAATTGCAAGGCCACCTCGAGGGAGCCAAGAACGAAGGTCTCTTATTGCCTGCATAGATAGCCCCAGCTCGTTGCTATTGTACGCTACACTATTCAATAAATGATATCATTCAAGTTCTTGTTGGAGGTTTGGATCCTGCACATTGTACCTCTACAAAGGACATATATAAACCCGAGATATTCGTATCTTCCATCACTTTTTCTTGTATTCGTCATTCATTCCATCATATTAGCTGCTAAGGAAACTGTATACTGCATGTACTATATCTTATACATTGTACCCCTTACCATACAGCCTCTCATACATTGCCAAAGCCCGGATTGGAAAAGAGTATATGTAGTTATGATATTGGATATGACTGCTGCTGGTCAGTATGAAACTCATATTAACAGGCAATTCTAGCAAACTTACCATGTGAGCATGCCACTACCGACGGGGTACTCTTGTTCCCATTTTCCATTCGGCTTCTGTCGGCTGATAATAAGACAAATTCCTTGTTTTATAGGCTTCGGATCGGGATATCTGGCATACATCAACGCGAGGCAGGACCATGCAGTCTGGACGGTGTGTGATCTAGGTGCGTGTACATATTTTCCGATCATACGAGACTAAACGGCATCTGTTAGCTCCGCGACAGCAGCAGTTGTAATGTACTTACCTCCAATGTCTCTCCCCATCCTCCGTCAGACTCCCGCATGTCCATCAAAAACCGACATCCTGCTCTGACCACAGAGGAGTTCTCATATGTTCGGCCTCCATAGTGCAAGGCTTCCATGGCAAAGAAAGCACCATATGTAAACGTAATTCCCCAAGAAGCCATCCAGCTCCCGTCATCTCGCTGACTTGTCTCGACGAATTTTACCCCCCTGTCAATGGCTCGATCCACCTCGTTGCGACGATACTCGCCATTTCGAGCCCTAAAAAGTGCCAGTGCTGTGATACAGGAGGACGTGCACTCAACGTAGTCATGTTCTGTCATTACTTGTCCAAACATCTCCGTCCCATTGAAGTACTCCAGCCAGTTGCCCGCGGCTATGGGCTCGAAGCTGCTATAGCCCCCGCTGGCATTCTGGATCATCAGAAGATTATCCACTGCCAAACGGAGGTTAGCTTCCTTCATTTGTCGTAAACCCAATAGACTCTCGACCATCAAGATGGCTTTCAGTGACTCGGCTGTGCAATCAGAGCACGGACTGCCATGGTAACGGGTCGTAAACGACCAGGCTCCGAGACGACTAGGACGATGACAGATATTAGCATTATCCCAGTCATCTACGAGCTGCTGCTGTATCAAGTATTCATATGCTTGCACGGTGTTATTTCGGAAATCACGGTCATCGGCAAGCCCTGTATACACAAGCGTCTGCAGCGCCAAGGACGTGTCCCACGCGTGGCCCCCATGGATACTCATGGACTGCATTCCCGACGAACCCATCCAGAGATATTCTAGGCTTGCTTCCTGCATGCGCCTTAGAGTGGGAGAGCTAGGCCCCTCACCGCAGTAGACAGCAATCATGTTCAGCCAAGCGTCCATACTGATGATTCCAGTCGAGTTACTAGCGTTGTTCATGTTTTGCAGGATGTCCCACGCTCGTTCTTCTGCCTTTCTTTTCAATGAACTGGGGCAGAGCCACGGGTCCCACACATTGGTAAGGATCCAATTCAGAATGTGCAGAATCCAACTCTTTGCTTGATGCCGCTTGGACGGGCGCACTACTCCTTCATATGCGGCGAAATTAATGGAGGAGAATTCTTGTGGAAAAAGCTCCGCCCGAATCTCATCTAACAGATCATTGGTTGGCAATGTAAATCTTCGAGATGAGAGGTAACACATTGGCAGGTAAACTTGGCGTGGAATTACAAACCAATTCCATGGGCTAAGTGGAAACCATTCGGGCAGGAGCCTGACATTCAGTCAATACCATCTATTCCTTGACCCGCAAAGAGATTAGGAAACAACGAACTCACCACATCTCAACCGGGTAAGGGTCAGTACCCGCCCAGTCATACAGTCCCAGCATAGCAAGCCAGAACTTGGCCCAGGCTGGCAGGTAGAGTGCGCCCCCGTGGCTGAGATAGAATTCCCGGGCTTTGCGGAGATGCTCATCGTCAGCCGGGACCCCCATGAGTCGCAGTGCAATATAGACCAATGTAGTCCCCATCGGCGAAGGGTCCTCCTCCAGGTATGTCGCCCAGCCGCCATTGTCGGGGTTTTGACAGTTGAACATAAAGCGGATCAATTCAATCACGTACGCTTCATCGATCTGAGCACCAGTAATATACCAGGCCATGACCAGCATTGGGGTCACAAAAAAGATACAGCTCAGGTCGGCGGCCCAGCATCCCAGGTCACGCACCTGCGTTTTGATGTGGAATTGGGTGCCCTTGTGGATGGCCTCGGAGGCTGTTTTTGCAGGTCCTGAGTTAGGCTTGCCCTGAATTGGATCATATTCAAATTAGCAGTCCCGACCACCCCAAGGGAGCTAGCTGCGTGAGACATACTATGGGAATATCCAGAAAGAACTTGGTGGTATCATCTTGGGGATGAGCCTTGCGCTCCTCCTTGTCGTTCATATAAACCCATTTCAAGCGTCCCAGTTCTTGGGTGGCCACCAGATGCCAGCCCTCTGTGTCAGTCTTTTTGATATAGGATGGGCCCGTAGAATTGCTGTGACATTTGTCACCCAGACAGTTTTTGGTCTTCAATGCGTATTTGCTTGCCATAGCTCGAGATACTGATTTGAATCCGTGGATATCGAACCGTCCATCTGGAAAGCCGGGTATCAACTTCTTAAATCGTCAGGGTTGTCCCACAGTGGAGCCCATCCTCTCAGTCACATCTATCACTGATCACTAATATGCGTGAAGATTTGTAATTACTGAATATTTCCTTGGCGGAGCGATCAGGCAGGATGCCATTTACTTACTCCTTTCAGCTGATCAATGTGACAACGTCATCACCATGTTTAAATGCAATAGAAATTATGTAATGTGTGTCGTTGCAAATATAACAAGGCAGCAGAAGTGTGTCTATCCCGCAAAGTGGCGGGATGTGGCTGACTTCAAGATATGAGATTTGCTGAGGGACTATGCACGAGAACCGACAAACACGAGCTTGTCGGAGTAAAAACTTGAATCTAGGGCTATTACGACTTGCTTGCTGTCGTCTCACCCTCCTGGGCCGCAGTGCATACGAATTTCTACGTCTCGGTGATGGCTGCATGCAACGGTCGACCTGTCATGGCCACCAGCACACCGCCCATCACGAATACTTAAGCTTCAATAATAAATGCAGCCCGGACGCAATATCTTCAATAGCCAAGGGAATCCCGCCGTTCGAGAGGAATTAGGTTGTGGGAAACCCATTTCTTCAGCGTAAACATCAGTGGCGCTTTGAGATGTACATATAGTATTGCGATTAGAACATGTGGAAAACACAGCCCGGTTCGAATAGTATCATCACAATCATGTTCGGCGCGGCTTGCTATGCGCTGACCCAGTGTCTGTATCTTATTGCTGTCCTGTTACTCGTGCAATGTTTAAGGCTCCTCTGGAAGCATCCCTTTCCCGCCAATGCCCCCAAGTTAGTCTCGGGATACCCGCTGCTGGGCGCTCTTCAGTTTTTCTCCGATCGAAATGGATTCTGTCGTATCTCCAAGGCAGCTTCTCCCAGCGGAAACTACAGTTATTACCTTGGTCGGCATCGAATGGTTGGTCTATGCGGTCCTCAGGGCCGTAAGGTCTTCTTTGAAAGCCAAGATCTTGATGTGGATGAAGGGTAGGTTATTGCTCCTCCATCCAAACCCAATGACCCAAAACGACCTACTGACTTCGATGCCGCGTTGCAGGGTCGCTGTGCTTCTCCCATTCGTAAACTTGGTTGAAGCGTCTAATGATCCATCCAGCGATACGCATACTGCGTATCTTCGGAGCACATTGCGCACGCGGCTGTTGCGCACGCAGAGCCTCGAGTTCGTTCCTCACACTATAGGGACGTACATCACCGCAACTCTGAATCACATTGAGGCCGAAGGACTAATTGATCCTTTTCCTGAGATGAATTTGTACTATACGCAGTCCACCATGGCAGTGCTGGGAGTCGAGAAGGTGGCTCGCTCCCCCGAGCTGTCCAGGAAGATAGGTGAGCTGCTAGGCTTACTGGAGGGAACATTTTCAGCGACAGACATAGTGATTCCCTGGCTTCTGAATCCATCACATCTTCGCACGGTGATTGGTGTAGCGCGACTGTATGTGATGCTGTGGCAGATCATCGGTAATCAGAAGAAGGAGCAGCAGCAACAGCCGCTGTCACACAAACAAGAGTCCGAGAACGTGGGCATACTTCAGGATCTGATAACGAAGGGACGGAGTATGAGGGCGATGCTGCAGGTTAGCAGAGGGACTCGTAATTATCTTCCACGCAAGAAAGGCTGACTGGAGTTCATAAGGCATTGCTTACAATCTCATTTGCGTCACAGGCGAACTCCCCAACAGTGACTTCGTGGATGCTGATCATGCTTGCTACGAATACACATTGGATGGCTCGGGTCCGTCAAGAACTGAACCAAGTAGTCTTCAAACATAGGAAGGATGGTGAGTCTGCAGATCAAGTTCTGCAAGGCTTGGGTGTGTCTACCTGGGAACACGAATTTCCCCTCCTCCATGCCTGTCTTCTGGAGACTGTTCGACTGGTTCTTGGGTTGGTCACGATTCGTAAAAACGTTAGCCCGAACGACATTCCCATCGGAGACAAAGGCGAGGTGATACCGTCTGGGGCCTATGCGGTAAGTCCTGGCTGCTTTGCGAAGTCCTACAATATCCCTTGACAATGATTCAGACCTACGACCTTCAAGAGGTGTTCCAGGACCCAGCCATATATCCTGATCCACAGCGCTGGGACCCGGGTCGCTTCTTGTCGGATCGTGCAGAACATATGAAAGAATACCTTGCGTTTTGTGGCTTCGGAGCAGGGCGTCGGAAATGCCGTGAGTGCGCCTCCTATATTTACCATGATAGTATATTCTAACTGGGTCACCAAAAATCGACCTGTGAAGCCGGAAGAAGGGTAAGTTGGGCCTCAAGTATTGCCAAAGATAAACGTTAACCTTGTACAGTTGGTACATCTTCAGGCACTTGGAGCAGTGACGAGAATCATCAACATGTTTGACATTACTCTTTATGATGAGGGAGGTGATCCACTCCACCAGGCACCCGCCTCGTACTTGAAAATATCCCTGTTTGCGGCCCTTCCGGTATCACCTGTGCGGCTTCGCTGTACCCGACGGTGATGAGATATCGCAAATGTCACATCGAGTGAGGCCAAAATCCTGAGGCGAACTTGATTTAGCTGTTGGTAGTGGAAAGGCATTGGACGTGACCGCCATATGGGACGATGGTTCTGCTTCAGATATGGTGCATCGATCATCGATATGGCCATGGATACGGGCAAAATATTGATTCGGAGAGGCAGGTGCCATGGAGTGTAACACTGAGAGAGCAAATGTGGAAGTGTGAAAGGCACGTCGTATGAAAGAGATAACATGATTTTTCCCGCATCAGTATATGTACAATGAGGATTACCAGGCGCCATGTACCCACCACCATGTTCTCCCATCTGCTATTTCAGGGTACCCAAAGTAACGCAACCAAGGTAATCTTCTTGAGGGTCCTGCTTGATAGGAGAAATTGGTTCAGAGCCTTTCCTTTTTCGGCATATAATCCATTCACACCCTAATGGACGAGAAAAGGATTCAAGTGCGAGAAATGATTATGGGTCTTGATGCAGAATCCACGCAATTGCATACAGACACGAATTTAGGCTTGTAGCCTACCTGTATGTTTTCGTAGACGGTTGTAGGATAATAATATGAATGGTGTGATCATAGTGTGTGCTTCATGGATATTACATGCCCTTCCTATGTGTAGGATTCAGTGGCAATTGGCCATAACAACATCTGCGAACATGTGACGCTGGGATAGGTTCCCAAATTGGCGATCAAGATTGGATTCTCGAAGAACGAAGAGCAAGAAAGAGCCTACCAAAAGCCCTACATTAAACGAAGTCTCAGGCCTACCCTTGACATGCCGGACAATCTACACCCTGGCCATTCTTTCCGCAGGTCAACAGAAGATCCCCCCAAACCGGCCATTTCTCACACATCGTAAGTGAACATTGAATTGTTCAAAAAGCAAAAACATACAACAGAAGGGATTCGCTGGTGGTCACCCACCCAACTACTAACCTCCCGGCGTGTGGCTTAAGTACGGCTGAGCGGACGGGAAGCCCTGTTTTCCACACCCTGTGGTCGTATGTGCTTGTAGATTCTCGCTTAAAAAATATAGTCTAGTGGTCTTATAGACTCCTAATGGCTTTTATGCCAGCCTCGGTTCGTTTCTTCCCGCAATGATTAAAGTTCTTACACGCATCACGCCCGGAAGGATCCTGTCCAGAGTACGGAGTGCATGGTTGCGGACCCTTATTGGCACCCCTTTCAGAATTGACAGTGCACGGGGGGTTACATCATTACAGGTATTCGGAGGTAAGGGGACAATAAAAGTTTGATTGAAGAACTTCCACAGGGCAAGAAAAATATCTTGGTGAAGTCAGTATCGAGCTTGTTTCAAATCTTTATCATCTACCCAATTTCCATGAAGGCCTTGTCGTAAACGCAGCGGGAGTAAAATAACGGCTAGCGGCCTGGTAAAATCATCTGTATCGACCAGGTGCAATTCTGATAACATGGTCTCGTAGTTATTTACCAAAAATAGCAGGTATCCTTCACCCTCTGCGGCACCACTTGACCTTGGGATGAACACGGTCTCTTGTACCAAGTGTTTATTGCCGGGGAAATATTTATCGAATTGTCTCGTCCTCAAATTCAATCTTCCGATCGAGTTATAAACCGGGTGGCCGCCGCCCATTTTCGCCACCACTGTTGGCCAAATGGTTGGTGCAGTAACGTCGTTGAGGCAGAAAAAGGCATGATTATGTTCACGAGAAAGGAAACGCTCGTCAATTCTCGGAAACTCTACATCTTCAGATGATAGAATTTCAGCGGGCTGTAGCTCCAGATTATCGGAGCTGGGGTCGATTATGAAGCGGGAAAGGTGGCAAGCCACCTCCTGGGGACTTGGAGCATTGCCCTGCGAATCTGGCCACCAGAAGAAGACGTTTTTCTTGCCCACCGGAAGGTCGAAGAAGATCTTCCCATTTTTCTCAAACGCATTGCTGGTGTGGCCCGGGGACGCATTGGGAGCACGGAACCACTTCAAATAGTCAGAAATTTGTCTTCATAGCTTTCTCCGTGTGGAAACCCTACTTTAATGTCAGAGCTCTGTGCTCCCCGTCGAGGCAAGACACCGATATAGAGAGGAATGTCTGGTGTCCACTGCCAGTGCTCGCCGCCAGCCTTCATACGCTCGAGATCACATGTGTGGGGTATAAGAGGAAACAAGACCTATAGTATCATATTAGCAGTCGGAGCTTTGATCTTTTATGGTGAAGACTTGCATAATTCTTTGTCACTGCGAAGTCATGAATCATAGCCACTACCGGGCTAACAAGCCAGACAAGGTCAGTAAATTTCCCCGAGGGGTCAACAGAGAAATAGCAGATATCTGGCGTTCCGTCACCCTTGGCCTCATAGCCAAAGCCAATAAATTCTTTGGTGACGGGATCTAGCTTTGGATGGGCAGTAAATGTTAGACTGGGCAACTGGCCGTTGAAATCATAGAGGCCAATAGTCTCAAGGGTAACTGGGTCCATTTCATAGGGTAAAGCATCTTCCTTGCAGGCCAAGAGCTTGCCGTTGAAGAAGACAATGTTTGTGTTTGCAGTGGTGCGGACTGTGAACTCGATTGCGTCCGTGAATTTGTTTCTGTATTTTCCTGATCGCCGCCAAATTAATAGAGAAGAAAGAAAAGAAAAGAAAAAGAAAGGGAATTTACCTAGCAGTGCTCTCCCTGCCTCGCATTCTTTGATGAACTTTTCGGTGCGTACATAGCGCTGCTTGAAATGTACTTTGCCAGACTCAATACGAAATGCACTGACGTTGCCATCGCCATTGAACCACTTGAATAAAAGAAATTAGCAAGAAATTTTCAATCCGAGACTCAGAACTGGGCCGTCTATACTGGGTCATCTTCGACTCGCGAAGGAAGATGCGGGTCCGGCATAACCCGGTAGAATGTGCCACGCACTTCTGGTGGGATTGTGCCTATCACTTCAAGGTAGTTTGTCTCACCCTCGAAACGGGATGGTTTCATGAAGTGTGAAAACTGGGGAAGCGAAGGGAAGTGTTGTGGGATCATCTGTGACGGCGCCATTTTGGACTGCGGAGGACTTTTGATGGGAAAAATTGATTTCTGAACCTTGTGAGTTGAGATGTGCTGTAAGAAATACGTATCTTCCGTCCTGCGTGTTGTACTTATACCGGCGGGGATGTATTGGTTGGCTCAGGAGCCACAGACCGGACAGACTACACCCGGCCATCCCCATCCACCCCCGAGCGCGGAGGCCGTTTCTATTTCCACGGTGGCAAGCCGACACACGTGTACTATGTTGGTCTTCCAGCTGCACCCGGGTCATATTGTCATATTGTCCTGCAAATGAGATTCTTCGGTTGACATCCCCGCTCATGTCGGGAACCAATTGCACCCAGAATGAACCGATCCCCAAACCAGGTCTCTACGCCGGGGGTGTATGTTATTCGCACACCCCGCACGGGTATGTATGTCCTGCGTCTTCGGCGCTGTACCAAGAAAGCGAGCCAAGGCCTCAGAAAATTTATATTAATATTCTCCTCATTCCAATCAGATAGAGTCGCCTGTGTTACAAAATCTATCCAGAAGACATTGCTTCAGGTATCGAAAGTCGAAGAAGTTTTTTTAAAGATGGCCCAACCCACCAAACGGATTTTGCCCCCGTTGCTAGAGGAGTCGACCTTTGATAAGGTCCTAGACAAGCTTAGCGAAATTGTCGGCGAACCCAACATCTCGCGCAATCACTTGTATGGAAATCTCGAAGGACCACAGGGGCAGAATTGCTATGACGATATCTGGCCTCCGGGGAACCCAACCGATCATACCCCCAGCGGCGCAGTGAGACCGAAAACCGTCAACGAGATTCAGCAGGTTCTACAGATTGCAAACGAGTATAAGCTCCCATTGTGGACTGTTTCCCGCGGACGGAACCTTGGGTATGTCAACATTTTCTTCCTGGTTTGTTTTCTCTGGGTCACTTTTTATTTTAATTTTCTGTTCTGTCAAGCGATCGAACGCGATGCAATGGCTTCTGACAAACAACTACTAGTTATGGAGGGAGTGGCGCTATTGTCCCTGGAAGTGTTATACTTGACTTGCACCGAATGAACAAAATTATCGAAGTAAACGAGGAATTCGCCTATGCTATTGTCGAGCCTGGAGTTTCGTTCTTCGATCTCTATGAATACATCCAAGATAGAGGCTACCGGCTCTGGCCATCATGCCCCGCGCTAGGTTGGGGTTCGATAGTTGGAAATACGCTCGACAGAGGATTTGGCTACACGCCGAACGGCGAGCATGCGGAACAACAATGTGGCATGGAAGTTGTTCTTGCCACAGGAGAGGTTCTCAGAACTGGAATGGGTGCCCTGTCCGGAAGTCCCATGTGGGCCTTGTATAAAGGGTAAGCAAGTCGTCGGGTTCCCAAACAGGAGACCACTGCTACGAATAAATATCTTACCCTTTAATAGTGGCTATGGGCCCAGTGTAGATGGTCTCTTTTACCAGTCTAACCTAGGTAAGCAAAAGCCAGGGCAGATCTATTGGGTAGTAGCTGTGCTGATAAAAGAACAGGAGTTGTTACCAAGATTGGGATCCATCTAACACCAGCTCCTGTGTGTTTTATGGACTGCGTAGTCAGTGTTCCAAACGAGGAAGACATCGGCGCACTAGTACGAATCATGTCCGCTCTTGAGAGGGAAGGCATCGTTCAAAACCACGCCTCGATCGCAAACCCATACCGGCAAGCCCTGTCCTCGGAAGACCCACTTGTGTTAGGAAGAGCGGTGGGCCCAGGGATAGAAGGTGGCTATGCTACAAATGCTGACATGACAAAGCTTGCAAAAGAACAGGGCTGGGGCTACTGGAAAGCCCATTTTGCTATCTATGGCGCTTCGGGTGCCTTTATAGACGCTTGTTGGACCATCGTACAGGAGCGTTTTGCCGCTATCCCAGGAGCTGCGGCCACCGCGGAGAGACACGAGCACAAGCTTGGCGGTCGTTTGAATGCCGCAGAGTTACCCATGGGTGAAATACCACACACTGGATACCCACGTCTTACCGCCAAGGATTTTGTTGATATTAGGGGAGCCAAGGGTGGCCATATTGCCTTTTCGCCGCTCTTCCCCCCAGATGGAAAGCAGCTACAGGAGTGGTTTTCTAGGATACGGCCGTTGGTTGAGAAGGCAGGTTTTGATCTGTTTTCAGACTTCCATATTTATGGGCGGTATATTATAGGCATTGTGCTTGTGGTATACACCCCGGCTGAAGCGGCTAGGGCTAAAAGTCTGTTTGATGAGCTACTAAAAGACGGCGTGGAGAGGTCCAGCGTTTCGGAATATCGCACACATATCCACTTCATGGACCAAGTTCGGAGACATTATGATTGGGGAAATGGCATCCTCCATCGCACACTGGGTTCTATTAAGAAGACGCTAGATCCCAATGGCATCTTATCCCAGGGGAAGTCAGGGATTTGGACGTCATCGAGACCCCTTACGGAAGCTATAAGGAATACGAGGCTTTGACCATAGCACTCAAATGAGCAGCTGGTGGCCAAATCAAAGGGGAAAATCTGCTGTCGTGGGGTAAGAGCTGATTGGGAAACATCCAAGACAATCATTCATTCGTGCAAATATCATTATGCCTTATTTTGTTCGGTCTAGAAAAATCCTAGATTACCTTGCAGACTGAGTACAACTTGCGATCTGTTACTACTTGCATAAAATGTGATGTTATTCAGTTTCGCTCTCCGCAGCTCTCGCTGTGTCGCATTCAGCTTGAGAGATGCAGGTCTGTAGCTATGCCATTGGCCCAGGGAAAGCCTCCATATCAAACCACACAAGATTTTGCTCAAGGTTAGGCAAAATCGAACTGGTCGCCGTTTGAGATCCATGGGCATTTCCAAAGTCGGGCTGTTGAAGAGATAACGTCAAATCTTCCCACGTCCCTATCGCATTGGGAGATGTTGTGTCTCTGGAGGATTTGTAGAGGTCCAGAAAATTGTGCAAGCATTCACGACAACGCGAGATAATAAGATTATTCCTGTTTAAACGGCGATGCACCTCACTCGCGTCCTTCAAATCGGAGAGAATAAGGTCGATGTCCTCAGTTGCCATTAAACCTGAGAAATACGATTGCGTGCTTATAAGAAGCATACCAAAGTGCATCATAGATGCATTGAAGACTGCGCAACTTGGTTAGACGGATCTCTGGGACGCGCGAGGCGGGCCACATACCAAGGAAATTCGTCATCCACCACGCTCCCCAAAGCGAGGTTTGGAGAAACTGTTCGTCCACTATAATCTTTGCAAGTGCAACACCTCTGCTGCACGTGTGCATGCATTTTTTAATGGTCGAAAAGCCTGAATCCTTCAGGAGCGACAAGGTCTCGGTAGCGTTGGTGACATCTGGTTTGTATTGGAGAAACCTTAGAAGTACGGGGCGATATATAAGAGCCTGCGCGGCGTGGAAATATAGGCTTAAGCCGGTCTGGAAACGTTGCATTTGCAAAGCCCGTGGGATCTCAGGGGCAGCTATAACACTGGCAGGACGAATCTCAGCAGGGACTGAACTGCGCCATTCAGACAATTTCCAAGACAAGTCAAAGGCTGGACGTAGAGTTTCAAAAACACCCATGCTGTTGTTTACAGCCATATTGTCACCGTAGAGTTGAGCCAATATATCAGAAATGATCATGGCCAACCGACTGCATGTGATTAGTGGGATCTTTGGGTTGTAAGTAGCTGCACTCACATTTTCGCATTGTAGTATGCCGAACTAGTCATGGCAACCGTGCGGCTCTGATTAGAAGTAGGGAAAATGTCGCTAATATCTTCTGGAAGATCCTTGCTAATGAGAGACTTTGGAACAACCGGAGGCCGGCCGAGATAAACGCTGACTAAACTACGAACAAGTCAATATTAGAAAGCAAGGCATGGAGTTGGGGGCATTGCTTACGTATCATTCACAACACACCAGAACCACGTTCTCTTGCATAATTCACGTTGTAATAGTGGTAAGTTCTGGGTTGCCTCAAGGGAATGCAGGCCTATTTGCATGGCTGCCTTGACAGCAAGCACATGAAAGGACCATGACTGAGCTGAATTTGTCGAACATTGAAGATAACAAGTCAGGAGACAGAGCAGTTGCACTAAATTGAAGCTATCAGATTCTTGTAAAAGTCTTAAGAAGGGACGCGCCATCATACCAGTCTCTAGGTCTGAATCAATTACTGCCTCGGGCATTGCCAGGTTAAGGGCCTTTTGAAGAAATTCCCAAGACAATCTGTTTTCAGCATCTGTAGGAGAGGCGAAGCTTCTCATCTGATACATCACAGCAAACATAACGAAGAGCAAAGCTTGCCACGATCGACTGGCAGGGCTGGAGTCATTCCTTCTAAAGTCCCTATATTTTGCAAGGAATGTGTCTCTATATATACAAGGAAAGAAAAGGCCGATAGTGTCAAAATATTCATGAAGAAGAGAGGTGGCTTCCGGCTCAGGGGGCAAATTCTGAGCACCTGCCGCTGTCATAGCACGCGGTATTAAAGAAGGGCTGGATGTTAGACTGCTTTGTTGATTGTTGTTCGCTTCAACACCTTCTGCGCGAGTGTTCGACAAATTTACTGGTGCGCCACTGAGATTCTTTAGCACTCGAGTGAGTTCATAGACGAGTGCGACATTGGATGAGGGACCTATGACAGAAGTAAGCAAACATTATCCCCGCAAATTGTATGTAGCATCCGCCTACCAAAATACGATGAGAACGTGGCATCATCCGAGAGTGTGATTACTCCCATACCATCAACACCATCCGTCTTGACTGGATGATGAGCAGCGCCGCCTTCCGGATTAATCGTTGGTGAGTACCGTGTAGTAGAGTTTCGTCGGTCGTAAGTTTCCAGGCTGATACTATCTTCATCGAGTGCCCCATCTGCACTGGTAGATACTCGCCGAGACGCATGGGAAGATCTCGCGAAAGACTTCAGTTGACTCTCCAATTCTTTCACCCTAGACAGCAGCCCGGACGTGTCAGATCTGTCATCATGATAAGCATTGTCACCTGCAGGGGCCTGATGAAAGTGTTTACCTCCGTGCTATGCCACCGCCAGTGGGCTGATCGTATTCACAGGGTATGGCCAGTTGCTCGCATCGTTTGCAAGAGGGGTGGTTTCCATTGCACTATTGTTGAGAGGCGCTGTCAATGATACTTCTCTCTGGGGGAAGCTGCTCCGACTTACGCGAGTCTTTCGGTCCCGGCACTGACGACACGCCACAGAGACACGTGCTCGCTTCTTCGGACGGCGATCTTCTTCCATCTTAGAGGGTTCGCAAAATGATCGGAGTGTACAAACTGATTGGTGTTCACTTGAGTCAAGATGGACAAAGGTTCAATGGAATTTTGACGGGTGGAATCGAAGTGTGTGAGTGAGATCAGCCACCTGCCCGGCGGCTTCACTTCCCCGCACGAGGGGCCTATGGGTCTTGCTACGAGCTTATGCAGAGTGGATAGACACTGAAGATGCGGAAGGGAGAGTCGCGGTCAAGACGAGCCACGGCCGCGTCCTCTCGGAGTACATAGTTTTCAGGGATAATTACGGTATTACCGAAACGGTGAAGAGACTCGTGGGCCTTAGTTCCTACATCCGTCTACTCAAAGTTGCATAGTGTATCTCAGGAAGCCCATTCTGCAGAAAGCATGATGCCATATGGCCGAACTAGTAATTTCCAGTCCGCCTAGTGTAGCATCGCAGAGGCTCTGGTTTGAACATATTGAAGGCGCAAGGTCTCAGATCTTTGGGTGAGGATCGAGGATCCCTGGCCCCCTTACTCGGCTCCCGGGCTGACCGATTGCAGGATTCTGGTACCTGGTTATTGTGCAGTTAAGCCAGCGGAGGAGGAAGGCCATAAAAATGATCGGGTGTATCGGGAGGCGGAAACTGCGGTATCCGGGCAAAGCGGGGAAAGAGGGGGCCAATGCCATTCTCTGTATCGATGGATCGGCGACCGGAATCTGCGTCTTACTCCGCTAAAGAACAGCCAACGGATTTCTACACGGGATGCAGTATCACCCGCCAGAACCTTTGCGAGGCAGCTTTGCCCCGAACTGGCTTGGTAGGAAATATGCCAAGTACACAACAATTGTTTGAACTTCCAGCTTTCAAATAGCGAGAATAACGAGTTGTTAATTTTCAAAGAATTCCCTTCGGTTTGAAAACGTTACTATAACTACAAATACTTCGTTTAGGTGTTTAGTATCTTGACCACGTTTTGACTCTGCCTCCCCTATCCCGGATTCTTACTCTTAGAAATCCGCACCATGAAATCAACTGGCTTTACGAACCAGTGATTGCATGTCTTGAGCCCTTGCCCGTGACCAAGAATTTCCACATCATACTCTCGTACCACCAGGGGAATCAATTTGTTCATTTCCAAGGATATGTTCTTTCCAATGCAGGTCCGTGAGCCCATACCAAAGGGCATATAGCTTCGCTCCATGAGGGCCTTTTCGGCCTCGCTGGCATGTAACCACCGTTCCGGTCGAATGGAAGGCGAACAACCGATAGAACTAGCTTACCTTTGGTGGAAAGAACTGGCCGGATATCACAGCACCCCCTTCAGGAACTTCACGAAACATCGGAAACCCCGTGCCAGGGTGCAAGCGAAGACATTCCTTTAACACCGCCTGGAAGTATGGAAGACTTTGCGTATCGCTAAATCTCGAGATGCCATCAATTCCAGCAACATTTATCTCGTCGCGAAGCCTTTGGAGAGTCTCGGGATTACTGTAGATGAAATAGAATACAGCACTGAGACTGATAGCTGTAGTGTCACTCCCAGCTCCCACGTTGGAGATAACATTGGCCATGATGTCCCATTCTGTGAATTTTCCGGGGGCAGCTTTCTTAGCTTCCAGGAGTTTATTTAGCATAGGTGAATAGGAACCAATACTCTCGGCGCCATAGGTCGCTTTTCTCGACCCACCCATTTTAACATTTCTTTCGGCGAAGTCTGCTAAAGCATCCGTGCCTAGCAGTCCCATTAAACGGAGTATTTTCATAATGAGAGGACGAAGCATGATAAACAAGCCGATATACGTAGCTGCAGAAATAGCAGCATCGAGGTTTTTCATAATATTGCTCACGTCTAGCATGTTATCGAGGAACCCGAATCGCTCTCCGAACTAAAGAGAGACAGTCAGTTGTTGACCCATGACATGGCTAGACAGCGTTACGCACTGTAATATATCCTATGACATCGAAGGCGTAGCACTGGACCCAGTGCGCAAGATTGACTGCGGAGTCCGAGCTGCCCGCCTGATCAAGCTGTCTTCGGAAGAGGCCAATACAACTATCGACGAAAGGCTCGTAGCTCGTCAACGTTGTCATGGAATACATGCTTGCGACTTTATGGCGGTTGGCGGCATGCTTCTTTGGGTCTCTTTCAGAGAAAAGGTTGGTCCAAGTAAGATCTTCTTCTGTATTCCACGCATCATACCACGATGATTTTACGTATTTCGTTCCGAGGCCATAGATAGTCTTGAGGCATGCTGGATCACTCAAACTATAGTAGTTCGGAGCAATTCGGACTATCGTTCCTAATACTAGCTTTAGCAACATCTACCAACGAATGTAACATGGCCCGTGGATTTGTCGGCAGCGGTTCCTGCAGATCCATCTTACCCTTCTGACGGTGAAGTTTGATATTGGTATTGTGAAAGTCTCCTTTGACCATTTGACGCAAGTACCATAGGTTCGTCAATCGTGACCAAAGGGGCCCTGGAATTGCTCTGGTGTGTGAAACGGAATCCAACATCAAGCGTACGACATAGCGAGCCAATAGAACAAACACCGCCAAAATAACAATCCTTGCGGCAAGTGACATTTTGTGTCTCGAATAACAGGGTAAGTAAATACCTGAGAGTTAGCAGATCATCGATCTTGTGCTTTAACAAACGGACGAGCTGCAGCTGGCTAGCTCTGGCTTAAGAGCATCGCCCGTTGTTCACACGGGCTCCATATTCTACGCGTGAGTTCGGGGAAGCATCAGCCGCAGACCGCGGCCGTCTGTACCTCTAACCAGGTGTATTAGACACCATGACGACCACAAATAAGGGGGCCGATGCGCGAAAAAATACAGACCTTGGATTTTCGTCGTCAACCCACACGGATGGCGCGGATGCAATAAGTTGGAAGAGGTTGTATATTCCGTATTACTCCCCCGTTAGCTTCCCATTGGACAACAGTAACAAGAGCACGTAAGTGGATACACTGGGCATAACCCCGAGGACTTCATAAGGACTTGTTGGCTCGCCGGACGTTAATACCCGCGGACACCAGCGGGGTTATGCAGGGGAAAGCCAATGCCTTCGATCCCGATCACTACTTTAGATACAGCGACGCGCTGAAGGATAAAGGCAATAACACCTATCTTTATGAATTATCTGAAAATTTTCACTATGACTACTCCAACTCTAAAGTACGCTTTTACGATAAATGTCGAGCTCGCCCCAGCAATCGACCTTGGAGCAACATTCAGCGGCGACAGAAGATTATTGCAATTACTGGAGGGTCCATTGATGGACCGCGTCTGACAGGAAAAGTTTTGTCTGGTGGCGGAGACTGGAACGCTGTGCGACCCGACGGAGTCGTGCATGTCTTCGCCAAATATTCCATCCAAGCAAGCGATGGTACACCTATATCTATCACGAATGAAGGGCTTAATTGGGCAAATCAATCAAGTAAATAGGCGACCTTTGATGGCGACTGCACCTCGGCGAGCGAGGGTGGCAAAACCTGGTACACAAAGACAAGGCCACGATTCGAGGTCGCTCCTGGCAAGTGGGATTGGCTTAACACTTCTTGCTTCATTGGGGACTTACAACCCCCAGCATCAGCTGATCAAGTTGTCATCAATATCTACGAGGTTATCTGAAGTCGCCGGGGCTAAGTCGTTCAGAACGGGCTGCGGGTCATCGCTTGGAAGGATGCCAGCCAGCAATTACTCGTTGGAAATTTGAGAAGTGGAACACTGTGACTTCCTTTGTTGCCACCACGACTTGTGCCTCGTCATATAGGTAGAAACATATTGGAATGCGATTAAGGGGGATACAATTGCCAGGCCACCGAGGATGAAGCGGTAGATCGATCTTCAGACAATGCTCAAAGGCATAAATACATCGTAGACTAAGTCAGTCAGTTTCTCTCGAGATGCTTTTAGAGAACCAAATTCAGTCCTTCTATAACCGTTCCTGTGAGGATTAAAGGTGTACCCCTCGATTTTTTCCTAATCAATACTAGATTGGCAGCCCTCGCGGGTATAATGTTCCCCGCCGAAACTGTACGCCCCCGGAAGAGGCGCGGCTCGCGGGTATGTAGATGGACTGCATACCCACGCGTAGGCATCTGATTATCAAACCTCGACGGCCTCGGGGCAGAAGTTCTTTGGGTGAGCTTTTCTTGCAGGGGCGGAGAATTCTGTTATCGCATCATCCTTAACGGTGTGAGGTCATCGACTGCACTTGGCGGTGCTGTATTATGTCTAAATAGGTAACAACATGTCTCTCCTTACTGCCCAACCTCGAAAATGCCAGATATCCTACCATTCAGTTATCTCGTCAACCTCCATGATATCACGGACATAATTGCAATTTCAGAACAAATGTTCCAACGTGGTAACCAAATACTAAATAAACGTAGGTACATCCGCGCGTTACTCATGGAATAATCTTTGCGCGGCGGAAGCGATCGAATGCCGTCCACCAAGCTCCTCTGCTGTCCGTCTCGACCTTAGCACTGCCCATCATCGCATGAGTTTTGCTCATATCTAGCTGTCGATCTAAATCACATAAGGTCATCATAACACGCGCAAAATCGCCGTAGCTCTTGTTGTTGCCAACTCTTCCCGTCTTAAGGCCCTCTTCTTTCTCCAGTTCCCTCCACTCATTGTAGTGCTCAACTAGGTACTCGTTCGGCACAGGCCCGGCAACACCATCACGAGGGCCTGTGCCCCTTAACCCGAAGTACTCGCAAATTACTGGCCACTTCTCACTCCAAGATGCCGGTCTAGCGCTGTCTGTCACATTGTACCGTTGTCCTGCAGTTTCTTGTGGATGGAGGGATGCATATATGGCCGTCTTTGCTATGACATCCTGGCTGCTGTCCTGTGACAAACATTCCCATGACCGTTGTGTCCCTGGAAAGACCACTTCACTACCTTTGCCATTTATCTTGGCGTAGAGAGCCAAATATGTAGCAAGTATCTGGGCCATGCAATAATAATTGTTGTTAGGTACGAAGCCGACAACCAGGTCAGGCATCAGCTCGCAGAAGGACCAACTTTTTCCCTGAGAAATCCAAGACAGCTGGTCGACTTGGTGATAATAGAATATCTGCGATGCGAATGGTTCGGGCATTCGCGGTAGTGACTCTTTGAGCGGAACCTGATCGCGGAATGGGAACTGCTCCAGAAGGTGAGATCCATATGATTTGGCCCCAGTCCCAAGAACAACGAACTTGAGGTGGGACGAAACATTCTGGATGGCAAGCACGCTTCGTTTCACTAGCTCTGTATTTTTATGTACCTCCGCCTTCGGATCGGCATCCATAATATACGCTAAATGGATTAGCGCTCGCAAGGTGGTTACTGATAAGGGAGTACGCACCAAAAAAGTAGACATGGGTTATTTTGTCGGCGTTTGCCACCTTCCTTTTCAATTCATCCTCTAAGGTCTCTAGTTTTGCGTCGGCGAGCAGATCGATTCCGCTGACGAGATCTAGCTTGGGTGATTTTGGCCATAGTGTGTCTTGCAAGCTAACTGGTCTGTTTGTCAATGCTGTGACAGATGCAAAGGCATCCTCGGATGGATATCCTTGCAATAGAGCGTTCACCACAGCCCAACCATTGACTCCACTGGCGCCTAGGCCCGTATATTAGTGAATTTCGGTGGTAGTTAAGAATAGTTACTAGTCAGATACTCACCAAACACTATCGCGTGGTTTTCAGACATGATTCGGATAGAACCTCGGATGGAAGCAAGGACAAGACCGGATATTGAAAATGCAGGATGGCTTGCTTGCGGCAGGCACAAACACGTCGTTATATATCACGGCTTGTTGCACTGCATATTAACATGTACACTCGCCTGGAGTAGCTCATTTTATCTGCATCGCAGCCATGTGACACTCCTATTGCACACTATTCACCAAGAAGGCAATACACGGTTGCTCAGATTGGCTTGCCGAACCAATCGATCCACCGGGCGACGTAATGTGATGTTCCCGGCCGACTCAAAGGTACGTGTTTTCTGAGTCAATCACAGAGATACCGTCATTCAACTGCAGATCAGCAACTCACAGTTAGCCCACTGTGCTGAATAAGCGGAACCTATGCAAGGTTCCGAGCCGAATGAAGACATGCAAGGCTAAATAGCGGGACTTACGGTGTGGAGTTCCGGTAAGTGGATGGTACTCACTAGGTAGCTATCAGGCAGCACAAACTGCTAGCAGACAGGTACAGTTCGATGAGTACGACGCTGGTAGCAGTGCATAATTTTCCAAACAACCTTATACAAGCCATTGTGTGGAGTTTAGCGGAGTCTCGGGGGTATACAGCTGCTGCACCTAATGAAACTACACCCACGTCAATATGAGACTAGGAAACCCTGCACCTTCAGGTTTGTGTAGAAGACAGGACAGCCGCCTGGCTCCGGTCCTATGCCACAAAAAGACGGCAGGCCGATGATCTTACTCACCAAAATCATCTTTATCCCTCTTTTCGAACTATAAGAGCCTCCAAATCCCCCCGACAATCAAGGATATGCGTCAGGAACAACAGAGCAAAAATTGGAAGTGAGAGCAAAATGACACGTACCAACAGCGACGAAGTTAATGGCGGTGGGTCAACCTTCAGAAGCAATGTTATCAAAGATGGCGTTCTCCGGTACCCTCCAACATCCGTCAAGGTTTTAATTGTCGGTGGCGGGATATCGGGCTTGTTCGCTGCTCTCGAATGCTGGAGAAAGGGACATGATGTGCAGGTTGTTGAAAGGGGAGCAAACATCTCTGAGGCAGGTAAGCGTGGTCCCCATGAAGAGGATTTATTCCTGCTCTGTAATGGCCCGGCTCACCCTTGTTAGGCGACGTTGTCGGAATTGGTCCGTCTGCCTGGGTCTCGCTGCAGAAGTACCCGTCGATGTTTGAGGAGTGGAATCGTATTTCTGACGATCCCGTGTGGCTCTTTTGCGGGGAGGATGGAAGACCTGTTGCTCCTCCGTCAGAATATGAGTATAACTCGAACGGTGTCGCGCAACATGTATGCTATCCTCTTCGCATCAAGCCCCTCATGGTTCGCTCCCAGTTGGCCGAGATGTTAGCAGGCCAATGCAAGAGGCTTGGCATCCCAATACACTTCAATACTCCAATTGTTGACTACGAGGAGGACGGTCCCAGCAAGAAAGCAACAGCTATAACTACTGATGGTCAGCGCCTTAGCGGGGACGTTGTGATAGCTGCCGACGGGATTGGAACCAAGTCGCACAAGATTGTCCTCGGTGAGGAGGTCAGGGCTATCAGCACCGGATTTATTATATATCGCCTCAAGTGCCCCGTTTCGCGGCTAGGAAACGCCCCGGCATTCCAGCAGCTTTATCAGCAGATGGGGAGACCAGAAATCCGACTGGGGCCCGCTGGTCAACTTCATTATGCGCTTACGATGGCCGAAGACTATGTCTCCTTGGGATTATCAGTCAAGGTAGGCCACTGGTGCTCCATTTGGTAATCGCCAAATGTTAATCTATTCTACCAGGATGATGGAACCGCAACCGAGTCATGGTCCGCAACCGTGTCAAGCGACTATGTTCTGTCAGAGCATCCTGAGTTCATTGATTGCCAACCGGTAATCGCTGACATTATCCGCAATGCGCCGGATAACAGCATAGTGCGTTGGCCATTGGTGATGCGCAACCCGCAGCCGAAATGGACTTCGCCTTGCGGGAGAGTTGTGCAGATTGGAGACAGTGCACATAGCTTTCTTCCTACATCCGGGAATGGAGCGACGATGGCCATTGAAGATGCGCTATCAATTGCAGAATGCCTACGGCTGGGGGCAGGTGATGTTGGAACTGCAACCCAAGTACACCAGCTTCTTAGGTGAGAGCCTGACCGGCGCCGGTTGCCTGCGCTTTTAGACCAGCCGGACGCATTGCTAATGTATTGCCACGCAGATACCAACGCGCATCCGTCGTGCAGCAGACTGGAATGAACAACCGGAGCGAGATCAACAACAAAATGTCAAACGACGTGCTGCGTCAGGGCAAATGGATCTGGACTCACAATCCTGAGCAATATGCGACCACAGAATTCTATCGAGCCCGCTCGTGCCTCGAAAGTGGTGCAGAATTCCATAATACCAACCTGCCACCAAGATACGTATGGACACCTTGGACCATTGAGGAAGAGATGGCGAAGGAGAGAGCGGGCGTACATAGCCAGGATTTGAAGAAAAACGGTTACTGGGGTGTTGTTTGATGAAGCGGTAAATAGGTTGGGTGCTGGTGGGTGTGACTTAGGGTTGGTGGGCTATGTACTAGCAATACCTGATCCTGAAGCTATGACTCAGGGGTTTAGTTGCCGCTCAGTTGGCTAGTTAACTAGCTAACGAATAGTTATCCGGACTGGCCGCTCATCCGCCCGAGTTGCGTGCCCAACTGGGCAGGATAACTGAAGCACTTTAAATAACAGCCGTTTCATTAAAGCATTTATCTCCAAGTTTGCGACAGTATGAGATATTTTGGTACTTGCAATTTCCGCCTCAAATAATAAAAGAACCCTTGAGTGTTCGTTATGCTGCAGCCGTTATTGATGTATCAAACCCATATTATAAGATATCCACGATCCGGGCCGATAATTGATCAAAACGAATTCTAGGGAAGGATCATGTACTCTAACTCAAATGAAAACAAGTAATCAATTACGTGCGTTTCGAGCTACCCGTCCACCAATATTAAGTATGCAACACGAGCCTAACAACAATGCCAACTGATTAACCGTCATTTCGGTGCCTTATTGCGCCAAAAGCGCAATATATATAACGCAATTATACTTTGGATGATTGCTAAAAACCCGAATTTAGAAAATTGTAATTCAAAAAGATTGGTCAGTCTTTTTAGAGTTGGATACATCGACTATTTCATTTTTCGTACATGCGTATCCACTAAAGGATGTCTTCGCGAAGATTGGAGAGGCCTTCTGTCAGCTCGGACGTTATTGCTTAGTGCTGAACGAATGATTCATGCGCTCATCAAGGATGTTAAGCATAATTAAAACACACTCTGGGATTAAGAGGATATGCCACAAGAAATAGCTTACGAATACTAGGTTGTGGTTACATACATCCGGTGATTAATAGTAGTACCCATGCGAATAGGGTTTAGGATACGAAACACTACAACAAATGAATCGCTCAAGAAAGCCAAAGCTTGAATACGATAAGCGCGGCTGCAGATAAGGGACCCAACCTAAAGGCTGCCTGTCCTACGGAATGGCTGGTAGACGGGCGGCGTCCACTTGCTTGGGAATTGCTTCGATTGGTTGTTGATTGTGGAGTTGAAAGGTGACATTACCTTTCTTAGTTTAGCCCCCTGCATATCAATACATTACTCTGGCGGTTAGGATGACTGGAAGGCTTGAATATATGCTAGGTAAAGTCGCGATCTAAATAATCTACCAACGTCGCTCTTCTATCTACTGTATATTTACCTTCTACCGCGGAGCCGCTCTAAAGTAAGGGCTATAGAGGTGTAAGGTAGGAGATCTAGCTCTGCTTACTTTATTCAGTTGAATTTACAGAAGGGTATTTTCTGACCAATGCTCACGTTCTTAATACAGGGAAGAGAACTCACATATCAAGACTCTTTCAGTGAGGAATGAAAACACGGTCTCGGTACACGAGTTCCATTCCGATTACCGGCGATCAAGTCATACATATTAGGGAGACAACAAGCTTGAAAACGCATCTTTTTGTCTTTGAGAAGAGTAATCTATAATGACGAGACATCAAAATTCCTGACATGTCCAAGCCTCAAACTCCATGCAAACCGGCAAATGGATCACGACTTGCATTCTCATGCCGAGAATACTCTATCTCATTTGCAATGTCTTGCGCTTTCTCTTTTCCATACACCTCCTCAATCCAAGCCAGGGTGGCATCAATGCCCGCGCTCACTCCGGATGAAGTCCATATGTTTCCATCGGTAACCCATCTGGCATGAGAGACCCAATGTACCGGAGGCCTCAATGACATAATTTCCTTGAAGACCTTCTCGGCAGTAGCGCTGAAGGAGGATATTTTAGATGTCCTGCTTACCGAGACATTGTCTGGTTTGAAAGCCAAACTTCGGATAAGCCATCTGCCAGTCTGCCGTGTTCAACTAATGTGGCTAAAGTACGGCCGAACGGACGGGAAGCCCTCTTTTCCACACCCTGTGGTCGTATGTGCTTTATGCTTATAGTGACGGGTTCATAAAGCATGCGTACAGATTAAAGCATCTAATCAATGTCCCGAAATCATAGAAGAGGGGTGATAGGAGGTCGGGAAATATTCACGGCTCTGAACCATGTTTGGTGACCTCTGAAGCGAGGATACAGAATTTCATGATGCGGTATGGTCTTGGTGATATTCTGGTCTATCAGATCCGGAATGTGCACCGGAAATTTCAATACGATGACGCAGGTTGGTTGACTCGGTTTGTTTAACGGCGTCCTCCGGAAAGCAACGGCCAATGAAAAATACAGAGGAATAAAGGATATTACGTACGACGAGTCAAATGCACAACGACGTGAAGTTAGGAGCTAAACCTCGAGTAGCCTTGCACTGGTCTTCTTTGGTACACCACATGCAGGACCTTCAAGATACATGCGAGTTGGTCCTGTAATTAGAGGTAGATCATTGGCAGTCTTAGCTACCCCAAGTTCATTCTTCATCAGTTGTATGCTCCCACACCTCTTCCTCCTGGACAGGTTTCTTCTCTGGATCTCGCCACTGGTAGCAAACAATTTTCTTGAAATCAGGCTGGCAATGGTCCCATATAGCTGCATGACCTTGCGTACGCATGGAAACACTTTGCCCCGAGAAATCGATGTAGTCAACTCCATGGATGTTGTGGTAGAGATCACGGAGGTACTCGCTTACTTCTTGAAGCAGTTCGCATCGCTTCTCGTCAGCTGGGAAAGATCTCGATTGGTCCCCAATTGGCTGATCAAGATCAGTCATCTCGTAGATCATGTATAAGTGCTTCAGCAACATATTCTGATATCTTTTTTGTCGGGATGGTTGGTTTAGGAGTAGAAGACTCCAAACTTGGTAGTAGCTCCGAGTGAACCGATGGCGTTCTGTTGGAGTCAATGATAGCGGACGTGGGTTTCCTCCATAGAATTGGTCATCGATGCTCTTAAGGGAAACTGTAAAAGATTTCAATTATCACATGTCTCTTATACTTACTGTGCTTCTCAATCTGTCTACTCACTTCGAATATGCGCGGTAATATCACGGTCAAACACCTCGATCGCCTTCTCCACGATACGAGAGTTCCGTCGCAACCGTAAAAGATCCGCGATAGTCATTGAAGAAGATGAATAAGGTGGCGGGCCCCCTTGATCTGCCAGTACGACTCTTGCATATCGCTCACATGGGATCTGTCTGCGTAGGCGTCTGTAAATGGCAGGCGTATTTTCTTTCATGACCTGGCGGAGTCGCCGGCAAGTCGCGGCCAAGTGAAGCGAATCCGGAAGAGTGAGTTCCCCGAATATCTTGATGATGACCTCTGTAGGCATGGGGCTCGATTGTGAGAATGTGTGCATGATAAGCGTGGTGAACGAATCTCCGAGACAGTTTGACTTGCCGAGAAATAAATCAGGCATCATCTTGTCTCTGTTCGCCTTTTAGACGGTCTAAGATCATGTGATTGGAGAATGGACCTAAAATAAACCCGCGACAACTGTTGCAGCAGCCCGGTCTTTCAATACGCCTTCCCATATTCAGACTTGAGCCAAGGCCTGTTTCGCACTAAATCCAGGGCAAATTTGGGGGCTAAGAGGAAACCTGCCAGGGGCTTTTTCTGTGTTTGATTAGTGCTTATATAATCATCAGCGGCTGACTTGGGTCTATGTGATAGGCTCTTTTCCTTGAATAACAGCCTACACTGGGTTTATATGATATGTTCTGCGGTTGTTTTGAGTTTCGTTATTTGATCAGAGACTTTCTACAATATAATAGGGGTCATTTCTGCTCGGATCAAGTCAACGTGCGACTTAGTTGGGGCTCTCCCCATACTATAGGGTCCACGTGGGGGCCATTGTGAAGCGTTTGGGGGCCTACATGAAGCCTAATTGGGATCCTGAATATGAGACATTCAGGCTCTATGTGGATGCCTGTACGGAGCCTAGTGGAGGCTCTTTGCACAGTAGTTCAGGGTCAACGTGGGTGCCTGTGAAAATCCTACTGGGGGCCATACTCATAATGCTTTCAGGGTCTTCATAAGACTTCACTTATGACCTAACGCCTTTTAAAGACTTCTTTATCTATATGAGCTGGTTTAAATTTTACCACTGACCCTAGGCAGCAACTAGGGTACCACCTTTCATGTTCTCTAGACAATTTATCCAAGTACCACTAGTTGCATGTTACGGTCATAATGTCAGTAGACCTGGCAGACTGCAGATCCTCCACTCCCTAGTTGAGGATAAGGTGCGCAATGTCGAAGATACCATGTGGTATCTGCATAGGCGACGTTCGGTGGGACCGTTATAGCTTCGGGGCCGTTACATCCTTAGGGCCATTGTAGCCTTGGACCCGCCATTGCATTGCGATTCTGATAACTTGGGAGCCATGATAGCTTTCGAGCTGTTCTGCCTTTGGTAAGGGGTACCTTTCATGAAAAGGTATATAAAGGCAGCTGGGGATACTGGTCATTGTATTGATATCACCACCAGCGAGTATCACTCTTTTGCCTTTTATCTTCTATCCTCTCATTATATAATGTATTCTCACACTATCTCTTGGGGCCATGCGGCTTTACTCTTCTTGTCCCTTTCTTCTTTTCAATTCGGTACTGCCACGCCAATTGACAACCAGCTCGTCGAACGCTCGGGTGTAGCCTCTCCGGGTATCGGCGTTGAGTTCGAGTCCGGGAGTATCTATTTCACCAAAGATGTGCACAAATTGTCAGAGAAAGAGAAAGAGGCGGTCAAAGAAGCTGGTATCGACGCAAAAGGCAAGGCTGTTACATTGCGAACGGCCAAGGACGGCAATGGTGCCAAGTTGTCTGGTAAAGACTGGGAGTTGACAGCGGATGCCACGGGAGGCACGGTGGGACATCTACCTGCAGAGTATATCCTAGATGGAAAGAAGATCAAATTGGGAACAGGGAGACTTGCAATTGCAGCAGAGGAGGTCTATGAAGATCTGGTATGATAGCTACACAGCATCTGAGTGGGAGACGTATGGGGCAGACTAACTGACCACCTTCTGATACAGAAAAAGTGGAACCCGAAGAGCGGCCAGGAGGTTGAAATCGCCGGCAATAAGAAAAACCCTTGGAGTCTCAAGGTGGGCACAAATCCAGTGAACTCAGCCTGGTCTCGTCAGATCACCTCCCCGATGCCACTTGGGGCCATCAACGACTTGATAAAGCAAGCCAAACTCAACAAGCCCTCACCCCTTATGACCTACGCAAGTAGCAAGATCCAGAACAAGGTCTGGGTTAACGATTTCTTCTTCGAGGAGAACCCTGGTGGCCTTACCAAGGCGGTTGGCGAAGATGTTCGCGGATTCCTTTCGCTTATTCTTTCCTATGCAAAGGCTGGCAGCCAGGTCCGAAACAGTGAGAGTGCTAAGGAACTGACATCGATCATGCCGCGAACAAGTTTCTCCAAGATGTACAAGCTCATTGAGAAGAAGCTTGAAAAGAAGGATCTGTGGACTATTGTGAACAAGCTTGCTTGCTATGAAAACCCTATCGACGATGCACATGAATACGCCGCGTAAGTTTGGTGCAACTACGTTACCTGAGGTGAAATCTTGAATAACAATATCTGATTTAGTGTTGATGAGCGGTATTGCTCTGGGCACCCTGGGCAGACGACGATCAATGGCAAGTTCGAGAAACTGCAGATTAACATCTGCTACGGCTCACAGTCCTGCCCTGTCAATGTCAAGGCATGGATTCAAGGTTTGAAGGATGGCAAAGATCTGCTCAAAGATGCTGATAAGGAAATGATCGATGGTCAAGTTGGAGGGTATGGAGACTTGACCGAGCATCGCCTGGACCATCCTACGGAGCAACTGCCCCTTTTCGAGTTCCGTGATCTTCCTTCATGCTCGGCTTCAGACTGGAAGAAATGTTTGGAGAAGGCCGAAACTGAGATTGTCAACTATCACAAGAAGTTTCCTGGAAACTAGGACTATACTTGTGCCGAGCAACAATCTCGTTAGCAGGGGCGCTGGCAGCTCACCGTTTGGATAGACTGTTATGCGATCGGAGGTGTGAAGTTTAATTCTAGCCTGTAGTATTTATTGTGTACATATACATATTTTTGGATCTGCTGTATGAATATACCTACACAAAACGACGGTGTGCGACATTTCAGTGCCCAAAATTTAGGTTATATTGTCAGCCAAAAGATAGTGGGTTCTCTTGAGGGATATCAGTGCGAGCATCTGGAAGACGAGCTACAATAGGTATCCAAAAGTCTCGGGACAACCCCCTAAATTACACCAAAACTCATCTATTTTAAATCTATTTATCTCAACAAATTTATATGATATAGTAGATTTAAAAACTAATATTATTATATTTAAATATTGAAAGATTAATATTGTACTAGTAAGTCTTTTTTTATATTTTTTTATGTGAAACTGTACAGATTTAAATTTAGTTAAAATTAGAAAAATATATATTTTGTATGGGAGTCCATATAAAATTTTCTATAAAAGTAGCAGAATTTCATATCTATATTTCTAAAAAATCGTTGAATGATCAATTTTGAGCTTTATAAAAAGTAATATATATAAAAGATATTTAGAATCAATTGAAAAGTAATATAAAAATATAAAAAAAAATAGTATATCACATAAATTTTTCAAAATATTCAGTTCGAAAAAAATAGTAGAGTTTTTTATTTATTGTAGATTATTTCTTAAATAATAAATATTATTTATTATTTATTAAATATTTATTATTTATTATGTTATTATATAGACTAAATAGTTATTTATATATACTCAGAATAAGAGACTTATATCTCTTTTTTTGAGAGAGTTATTGGTGTTAGAAATTCACGAAATTTCGAGTGTCCCGAGACTTTTGAGTATATAGTGTAACAGTGAGCCCCGACGCGGGTTAGGAGCATGTTGGCGGGAAGCTCGAAGATCGCGATGCCAGCTTGCTGAAGCTGGTTGCCTGAGGTTGCCTGGGCGGTGATTATGCCTAGCTCGATGGTGAAATGGTCGGTGAGGGCATTGCTGATGTTGGAACGAAAGGAAGAAAAAGGCGACGAGCAGGAGTGGGAGGACATAGAAATCGACTCTCTTGGGTGCGTCGATTGGGCCAGTAGGGAGCATCTACTTGCGAATAAGCCTCCGCTCCTCGGTCGCATCCCAGTCATTGACAATCGATCCGCTTTCTGTCACCGACGGCTGGCTATATCTAGATACACAACCCTAGGGTGAATGGGGGGAGAGGAGGGAGAGATAAATGGCAGGGTAGTAGAAAGATGAAAGAGATCAGACTGAAGGCCGTAACTACTGTCAGAATGCACCTATCAAACAGAGTGCCGAAAACCTTGCTTATATCCTTAAAGCTGTTTCACGCAGCGTGTAAATATGGAGGTTTTCCTAGAGCATGTATGAAACTTTCAAAGGCAGGGTGGATTGCCAGACTACTGTCGCTGGTAAGTCAAAGTATCTATTCCTGGCGCAGCGTGGGTAACAGAACCCAAGTTTGGGTGGTAGGGCAACATGGTACATGCCAGTGGACTTGCAGGCAGCATGAGTATCGCAAAAGCTTGTCAATTATCCTACCTCTAGTCTAATCTAATATTGTCTTAAATGCCATTATATAATATACGACGTGACTTAGTCAAACCACCGTCCATTGCGATACGCCAATCTAGGATTCATCAACTCATCCTTCCTCCTAACAGGATCCCAGTCCTTTCCAATATGCTCCTTTGCTTCCTGCAACCACTGGTCCCAAGCAGGCGTTTGGGGAGTAAACTCGCCATTGGTCACCCAATCAACACTTCCTGTCATATTAATGACAGCCCACAACGTCTCCGTATAGCTCGAGTCAGGGGTGCTGGGACGACACTCGACAAATTCTATCTTATATCTGCTCATGTCCCACAGATCGCGTGGCTCAACCAGCAACGCCAAGAGCCAGTACAGTGCATTCAGGATAATATAGGCCACACCAATGGCAATCTGCATCTCTGAACCGCAGTTACTCAGGAGGATAATTGACGCCATGAGCAATAGTGTGCTAGTTCCTAGCAGCCGGTGATGCGTGTTCCCCTTGAACATGTACTCGCAGTCCTCCATGCCTTCGTACAGCTCGCGAATGACATCGTCATCTCCATAGACAAGAATAAAAGCACCTGCCCTGGTGCGAATAATCACATCTCCACTGGGAACCTCTGCTTGCGACGAACGGCCACTAAGGCGCGGGTACCACCGCGCCGATAGACTGGCTACACTGGTTGACAAAGACATGGTTGCCAGCCCGACGAGGGCGGTACCATCATGGATACAACCCGCCCAGATATAGAGGCCAACGGTGATGAGAATTGAGACGAGCGTGACGAAATTGAGCCAGCAAAAAGTCTTGAGCTTGATTGGGATTCTATGCCTGTTGACACGTCGGTAGCTCTCTTCCACCTTGGATGAAATCTTCGAATTCTGTCCTTCTTCGGAGTCGCGAGTCGCGTAGCTGATTCTGTAGACGCGGAATTCGTATTCTTCCATGTCGTTTACATTGTGAATCAGGTTCGCGAAAAAGTTCAGCTCATCCAGTTCTATGCCTGATTTGACACCGACGATCTTCACATCTTTGACGGATGGTGGCCGCGTCGGTCGCTCTGTGTCGAGAAGCGATTCAGGGGCGGGCATTAACCGGGGGAAGATGGCGAAGGGAGAGGCTGTGATGGCCTGCATGTGCTTTTGGATTGCTGAGCTGCCGATGACCGCCAACAGCGGGATGATGTCGAACTTCCATTTGTTCTCGTCCTCCTCGAGCCCGACCGGGAACCAGCCCATATTGAACGTGTTTTTTGTGATTTGGATTCAGCTGGTATGGGATAATGAAGTGAGAAAATGTGTTCAGAAGTGTTCAAAGGGAAGAAATCAATTCGCGAAGGCGTGTGCCGGTGGTATAGCAAAATAATCACAACAAAAATAAGACGGGCCCTTGGCCCAACACAACCAGTCCTGCCAAGCATAGACTACTATTTAGTGAGGTCTGTGATCCACTGACTATTGTGAGATCAGCCCTACTTAGCTTCAAATGCATGGGGTACCTGTCCCGTGTCATTATTCTACCCGGCTGTCTGTGTTTTCCACCCCACCAATGAATGACATTCATACTAGAAAAGATGTTCTTCGGTCATTCGAGAGGAAGACGCTTGACCAGTATAATCATATTGCAGCATGTGCGCGGGTGTCGACATGAAAAATCGAACCTAAAAGCAGACTAAGTTGCTGATCATCTCCCCAAGTCCCACTTTAGCGGGGATGCTGGAGTTTGGCTCTCCACTGTAGCTGCGGGCGTTTCATCTAAACTACGGTGAAGCATCATGCCATGAAGATACGGTGTAGACTAGATGGCCGGTAAATATCCTCCGGACAATGCTTGGCGCGGCTTGTGTTGTAGAGAATACATTCTAGACCAAGGCTGTAGATGTGGCTTATCGCGAAAGAAAAGATTCTTCTAGTGTCGGGATGCTGTGAGTCCCGGTACGGAGATCAGCAGCGCGAGGTCCACTTTTCCTCCCGCTTTGTGGTGCGCCGGTATAAACATTACGGATTGTCTAACTTCCATTTGCGTTGGTTGAGTTTGGAGGGAATAATGCCCGAAATTCAATGTAGATGCAGTTGGATCTCTCTCGTGATTGGATTATGTTGCATCGGCAAGCATGGCCACTGGTCATCTTCTCTATTGTCTTTGGCTGTCTTAAGTAACAAAAGTAGCTACGCAACTGATCCCCATTTGATACTATGCAGAACGTCTCCAACCTGCTTCTTAGTGACTTGGCGGATTTTGACATCATTACCGTGCCCCAAGTGATCCAGTCCTGGAAACACCTATAACATTCATCCTATGGAAGTGAAAAGAACAGAAAAGGAATAGAGAGTGGTGGTTCAGCGCAAGAGTCTCGAAGCTCATCACATTTCACATTGAAGACAAAGACGCAATGATTGAGATATCTTACGAGATCAGTAGTACAAAATTTGCTAGTAGTCGCCGCACTGATATTTGAATGGTTTAGAATTGCTCTGGACCAAAGGACCAACAGTTATGTGGTTTCTAACTTCTCAACCTGGTTTAATAAATCCGACACAATCAATTGTTTCTGTCTCATATTCCCTGTCCCTAGCATATTCTGGTAGCCCTCATTGCTTTCAACTTATGCTTCCACAAGCTACATATAAGCATAGCTATGTGTAGGAAAATGCGAATGTTACACCGAAAGTCTAATGATTTATGTAGGTGTTGGTTCGATTTCAGCCTCCTACATGACCGCAGCGACTTGTATTGGTGTCTCAAATATATGTTCCTCAAAAGTGTGTTGCACCTATCACAACAGATGAATCTTGTCGAACAACGTCAATTTGTCGGCTAGTAATTAGTTACAAACAGTAGAAAAGGTCAAGTTAGAGACGCCTTCCGAATATGTACTTGTAATTGCTGATTGTCTATAGTAGTGATGGTAGAAATCAATTGATGCCCCTGTCATGACATTCTAGCCTCAGGCAGACATGAGATAGAGCGGTGAAGATTCTGCTGATTCCGAACACATTTCCGAGGGAGGCGGAGAGGGAGTGGAATTCGACTACCCCACGGGATTCAAATGATAGATCAAGAGAATTTTGTGCCTTGTGTTTGATTTCATTCTTTCTCAGTAGTATGATCGGAAGTTCAAAGGCGCCCGAAGAGTGGTCATCACAGCTCTTTATATAGGTTTCTACGACCAAGGAGGTACTATAGCTAGATACACAGCATCACAAAAATCAGTCAAAACCAGTATCATGAAAACCTAGTAGAATCTATATGCTATCAGCTTTATGGTGAAGTCCTCGCATTCCAATGGATAGTTTCAGAGTATTGTGACAGGCAAAAAGCATCTCGGATTATAAACCCGGTGGGACACACATCAACAAAACCCAATTCCAACCAATCAGGATTAATATTGATGCATTCTTCATTTGGCCCCCAAAGAGTGCCGAGTCACGCTAAACACGACCATCTTAGATCCTGCATAAGGTCGAGTAAGGGTCTCCAGCATACCCCCCAAGCTTGAGATTTTCAGCCTGATCAGCTTACGCCCCCTTTATTCTCTCCTTCTCACACGGCACACAACCAAATGCACCCACTGTTGATGCTCCCGGCATCTCTTTCTACCCCCAATCCACCATGTCAACAGCAGCCACAACAACATCCGCGGCAACCACAGCCTCAGCCCCCGTTCCATTAACCACGACTTTCATTCCTCCCAGCACGTGCATCAGCGATTTCTGGCTCGTTAGCAGTAGCAGCAAAACATGGATGAACCTGGGGCCAGCACACACAGCTGAATGTGTTCCTTCGGGATGGGATATATCCAGCTACTTCTCGCCGGGACTATGTCCCACTGGATATCGCATTGCGGCCAGTAACATCGTAATAGATGGGACTATTACTGAGACTGCGGCGACCTGCTGTCCGACGTGAGCACTTCATTTTACCATTGCGCTCTTCTTCAAAGTCTGCAATACTAACACACCTGGCCATTATCTCTAGCATCGGCATCCAAACCTACTCCACCAGAACCACCTACACCCCCGGCTGGACCGAACTCGAAGTCTGCACGTGGGAGCCCGGCACTACAACTGAGATCGAATTCGCTTATACTTGGACCGACAGCGCCGGATCTACGAGCAGCACCTCCAGTTCCTTATCCAGCCCGGGACACATCAACGGATACGGGATTTCCATTCGCTGGCAGTCGACGGATTTCACGACCCCGGCAGCCACAACAGCATCAACAACCTCGTCCGGAGACTCACCCGCGACCGCTACCTCTTCGACAACATCACCCACTTCCACATCCTCACCGAGCAACTCATCGGGCCTCTCAACCGGAGGGAAAGCAGGTATTGGTGTCGGTGTTGCAGCGGGTGCGGTGCTGGCTATATTCCTCTTACTTTTCTTCCTGCGCCGCCGGAAGGCAAACGGTGCTTTCTCAAATATGCAGGCTGATCAATCCCCGGGGCAGGGATATAGGGTGCAGAGGCTGAATGAGTTGCCGGCCACGAGGACCGGGGCATTCATGACCGAGCAGGTGGAATTGCCGGCTTCGGGAAGGGATGGGAAGGCGGAATTGCCGTCGGAATTTCCTGTCGCTGAGTTGGATGGTGGAGGGAGACATTAATCATTGATTTATTGGTACTACTTCAATTACCTGCTCAGGCCTGGGACTCCTTGGAACAGGGTATGTATATATTGAGTCTTATAATGTATATAATATAATTATCAAGTGTTCGTGGGGGTTACAGACGACGAATTCTATCGGCATGGGGTTCACACAGATCATACACATAAACTGGAGGTAATAGAGCCTCAGGCATGTAGGATAGGATCGTCCTCAAGTAGTAAAATTCACTGGGCACCTCACAAACCCTGACTCGTCGGGCGCAAGCGGCCACGGCTACCATTCTAGGCAAGCGATCTGATCACGATTGACCCCGCACAACACTTCGTAAAATAGCGTTCAATCACCGGTAGATTAATGGCGCACCAAGCCATAAGCACTACAATTCAAGCAATGCCAAAGGCGTATTCATGCGTCTCTTGGAACCGGGGCACCTGTTGGGCTACGGTCTCGACGACACGGCAGTTGGGAAAAATCAACACCAAGCACGAGAAAAAGGAAAAAAAAAAAAAACGATGGGGGAAGCTTCCACTTTCCAATTGGAATCATCAAGGCTGTGTGGAAATGGCCCGCAACTGCTGATGCCCCCACAGCTGGAGCTGAGCCGAGCGCTGATCTCGGGTGAGATCGCCCCGTAGGCACTGGCGAGGTTGTAGGTGGCCATCATAAGCGCTTCGTGGGCACTGTCAGCCTTGTCCATGAAAAGTACGGAGAAAAGCCAGTCTAGTGTCATAGGGGGAAGCAGAATGAGGGGGTTGATCATCGTGAGAGCAGTCGTGAAGATGGGCTCCTCGATTATGATCACATACACCTATGGGATTTCTATGCTACTATATCCCCTCCCTAGTCGCTCGATTACTTATCTAATAGATAAACCCATGGGTCGTCACCAGGGACACCTATCTATTCTACCTCTGATCATTTGAATGTCTCCATAACCAAAGAGGATTCACAACTTGATTTGAATGTTTCTCAATTTCCCGCCGACCCAGCACCTTGTTCGTTCAGTCATGCTGCATCATAGGCTACAAACCCTTCCAAGGAAGCAACCGCTGCCACCTCTCCCGGTTTGTAACAAACACAATAGTAAGTAATATTGTGAGCCTGAGCCCCAGCAATACAGTCACAGCGGCCTGCCCGTGGCCGTAGCAAGGTCTTCATGGCTATTGTAGATTTAGTAGCTTCTGTCTAGTAGGCCATGACTCTCCGTGTGTCAAGATGTAGAAATAGTAATCACTTTCATCGTAGGTGGCCCAGTGGTTATTGCCATATCTAGTAGGTATTGTTCCCAGAGAGGATATCCTGACGCATGCGAAGCATCAGTTGATGAATTCTTTCCTGATCAATAGGGTCGTGAATATTCAAGATGGGCGATTCATCCGCCTCTGGGGCATTCACAGGATTACCGTTTCAGGTGCAAAGTTCACCTTCCAAATCGTTCCTGGACATGTAGTAAAAGCGAACCCGGTCCCCAACTGCCACGATACCGTACGTGGTTTGCATGGTCGTTCGCATGGTCTGATCCCGGAGCATATGACTTCGGAGTGTCTCCCGGACATCTGTCCAGTCGTAGTCATTCTGCCAACCGGATGCGGTGTCGGTCGGAAACCACCTCGCTTCGATGGCGATGACGTGGCGCGCTTGTTGATCACGAAGGTTGGTTAGAAAGACATTCCAATGTCGTCTGGGTCTCGGATGGTTAGTGCATGTATATCTCTCGTAGGCACAGTCTTCCGATAAAGCAAAATACTGGCGTAGAAGATTGAACCAGAAGTGATCGACGACGTTACGGTAGGGCTGCGCAGCCGGGTCAATCCGGGCGAGGTACGCCTGATAGATCGGGTAATTCCAGCATGGTTCCACTGGTGCCACTGTTTGCGGTTGTCCCTGTTGTGCCATGGTTGACGGGTGATGATTGAATCTTATGATAGAAGAGTCCGGCTTTCCTACCTAGGTGATTCAAGCTCGCGTATGACACTATGAACGAGGAGAAATGAAGGAAGAGAAAGGAAGAATGGATTTGTGGGGATCTATACTACTGTTGCCTAAACACTTGCAAACACACAAGCAAACAATAAGTAAAGCTGTATGATTTGAGTAACACAGACTTCTAAAACTTCCCCGAAATGGAGGCGTCTTCCACAGTGGTCGCCGCAAAGGGAAGCTTGGAGAGTGTGGTGGTATCGCCTATATAAACGAATATAAGAGCTTTCTATCTATATCTCTCTAAGTTTTAGGTGGGCTATTGGACATGGCAAGTCACTTCAAGACATAAGAAATGATGCCTATGAAGCCTATCCTCTACACTCATAACGATATTTTCAAACCGATCCATTTCATACTAATTGAGCCCGCTCAGCATTATGCAGCTATGGAGTATATTCACCGTCTGAAGCAAGAATATCGCCCTGAACGCCGTCAAGTCCTGCGGACCTCACAGCAAACCATGATACAAGCATCCTACCGGCGTAGGAGGAGTCATCCTGGGGCACGTTAGGCGCGGAGGCCTGAACCTTTCGTAGGTAATCCCGGATCACGAGCACATTGAAGGCTTTTCCCACCCGTGGAACGTGTGGCAGTTGTGGCGCCGGTGCCGCTGGTGCTACCTGCTGCGGTTGTCCCTGCTGGGCCATTGTTGATAGTAGATGATTGAATTGTGTGATAAAAAGTCCAGCTTTCTTACCTAGGTGATTCAAATCCACTGATGTAATGACGCTGTAGGCAGAGATGCAAGCAAAGGAAGAGAGAGGAAGGTATCCTCGAAAAGAAATGTCTATAGTATCCTAAACACATGCAAACACTCAGGCAAACAATTCACTTATTACAGATCCACTGGCTGGTTTAGGTAACTCACTTCTGGGCTTTTAAACGGCGTGTTATCCCAAAGTATCAGCCATTGTGGGCCTGACATGTTTGGTGATCATTTGAATCTTTGCGGGGGAAATCGACCCCAATACGCAACCTTGAGACAGGAAGTATGGGATTGAATTTAGTAAATACGAAGCTTCTCTACAGTATCAGCTACACCAAACACTTTGGATAACTACAGCTTCGTAAGGTGTTCCTTCACACGAGGTGTGTCAATACAGAGCATTAATTATAGACATGATGTCAGCAGTTATACCACTACAGCGGTAGTTGGTAAAAATTGACCCGGATAAGACTTAGCCACAGAGCCAGAGATAGTAACATATTTGCATTCTGTTCAGTAGGTAGAAAATATTTCTTCACGTCATTATCATTCATTAAATTCATTCCATGTGGCAAAATTGGTTATGCTAATTGCAGTCTTGCCTCTCTTGCGAACAGTTATTTCAGCTCCAGTTCCGCCGGAATCATGTTGACCTTTTTGTAATCTTTAATTAAACGTTTTCGTACTCCTTTCGGCCATGTCGGACATCGTCTGGATGACCGACCCCAAACTCCAATATCTATCATCTTGCGATTCTATAGTCCTCTTTATCAGCATATTAGAAAGCAATGGAGGGTGATGGAGATTCGTATGTACTCACATCTAGGACCGCAACCACCTGTGTGATCTGTTCCAGGGTTTGAGCGGGCGACACATCAGACGCACGCATCTGCGTGTTCGTGTGGCCCACAGAATACACATATCGATTCTGGAGATCTTTCGGCTTAGGGAAAGATGGCACTAATAGCACACTTTGAATCCCACTAGAAGTCGGCAACGCGATAATCCCCCGCAAGTCCTCAAGGTCAACAGTAACCCTAATACCAGGATACTCTAGATATTCCTGCACAGATTCATCATCTCTATACTCCTCCCCAGACATCTCCTTGGCCCCGAGCAGTGTGTAGCCCAACGAGGCCTTTGGTCTATCTTTGAAGAAGAATTCTAACCCTGTGACGTGCACGGGACTGATATCGCTATGCGCGGAGATTGCGACCTGCCTGACTGGCGAATCAATGCTCACCGTCTCAAGGTGTGTACCTCGGATGAGTGTGTTATGATAGTGATGTAAGGCCATACCGCGGTAGTCTGGCGGACGAGGTGTGCCGTAGGCCAGGGCCAAGGCTGTATCGCGAAGCCAACGAAGCGCTTCCCAAATTTTTCTCTCCAAGAGAAGCCAAGTACTGCAGTTGAGCTGGCTAGTAGAGTGGTAAAGAAGCCTCCAGTCGATTTCTTCTTGTCGATTTGCTGCGCCCATGAAGTCCCTTACGGCAGGCCAAAGAAACCCGCGCTCATCGTTCAGATAAAACCTAGTCTTCCAGAAATTTGAGCTTGCAAAGATCGGTGCTACACCGCGTGATACCTGGCGAAGGCTCAGTACGTCCCGCGTGGGCAGCATGACGGCAATCATTTCAATTATCTCTAAAGGCAGACTATCGAAATGGTGTTTCGCGAGCGGAGAAGAACGCACCACTGGACACCAGGGTCTGGGAGGTGCTCTCGCAAAGCGCCTAAGATCATCCAGGTTGGGATGATCCAGATGACCTTGAAATTTCCCATCAACTGCGTCTAGCACGGTATCGACCGGTTCATCATCGGGCACCATGTCTATGAGATTCAAAGCTGGGGGTAATGGCAGGTGTTCCAACGCCTCAAAGAGACGACTTAGGTCAAATTCCTGGGGGCTAAAGTGCTCCAGAAGGCGCTGCCAGCAGGGTTCATGGAAGAAGTACAGGTCGGTCTGATCATACTTTGGAACTCTCGCAGAAGTCTATTCATCTGCCTCCGCATGGGCTGGAATTTGGGCCGTGGGATAATTGGGTGACACAGTTAATGGCTTGGTCACCTTTACTCCTGCTTTGGTACAGTAGACTAGCATATAGATTAGATGAATCGGAGAGAAAACAGCGTCGACCAGGAGTTTACCTGCCCGGAACCTTTTTACCAAGCGATGCTGGGGACGCAAAAGCAAGCCACAGACCGTGCACAAGGGGGAATGGCCGAAGGATAACATGATTTACACGTTGTGTGAATCGCGTTGTACTGTGATCTACCTTGAAAAAGGAGAACATTTCCTTCAAATATAATAGAGGCGTGCCATCCAATAGTCCCCCTTTACTTCAGGTATGCGTCATGTACGTGTCAGCTGCGGGATTGAATTTCTCTCCCCAATAAAGTAAATAAACAAATCTTCTCACAAATAAGCTCTCGCGCATAAGTAGTTGAGCTATAAGCGCTCTTTTACTGGCTTTGCTTAATCAATCCAGATACTGGGCAATGGTTGGCGTTTTATGGGCCATGGTTAAACTATATAACATTCTCAATTAACACTTCGTGCTGTTGCTATTACATAATGAAATAAGATTTTACTCGCGAAAAGAGTGTCCGAGGAAGGAAGATCCGGAGGAAGTCGAGCAGTAACGAAAAGAAGATGACTATCTTTATCTGATTCTATTCTACTGTTTCCTATTGTTTCGAAGTTGATAACTATGAACTAGACTGTTAATTAGCAGACATATTTGAATCAAAAGGGAATGTAGATTTCTTTTTCTTATTTTTTTGTGTTGGATTCTCTAGTGACTAAGAATTTGATGGTCTTTGAAAGTAATATAGATGTGGAGAGCGAAGCGCGACCCCCATTATCTTGGAAATAACACTGTCAGACATGAAAGCCTAGTGCGAACAGGTCCTGATAAGATAGCTTGCCGTTAGCTCGCAAACAGCTGTCCCAAGTATCAACAACGCTAGACTAGTGATCTTAGGAACAACACTGCGATATAAAAGACCATTAGCCTACTAACGAATGGCCTAACACTCAGAGAACTATGCGCCCCAGCCACCACGAGTTACAGTGTAATGTATGTAAATAGCAGCAGCAGTCCAAACAATGCAACAGTAGTAGTAGCTCGCTAAAGACTAGTTCAACACTCAAAATCAAGGTGGGACAAGCGGAGTAGTATATATAGAGAAGATCTCCCCGTCTGCCCATTCGGACCTTTTCCTTTCCCTCCTTGGCTAACCTTTATTTGACAAGAGTGTATGTATGAGGGTGCTATTGCTTTCTTTTGTATAGGTTGTGCGTGCTGACCGGAGATGGACAAGCAGTACCACCTCTACTACTACTACTACTACTACGACCACCACCATGTCCGCCCCCATTCAAGTATGTCTTCAAACCTACCTACAATACTATCCCCAATCTCACAATGTTCCAGAACATAGTCGTTCAAAGAGCGACTTTTCTGGCCCCAGCTGCCCCCAACTCCGTCCCCGCCGGCAAGGCTCGTGCGCTTCGGCGCAAGGAGAAGAAGAAGGTGAAGGCGAAGAAGGTCGAGAAGAAGAAATTGGAGAATGGGAGCGCCTCCGTCAAGGAGTTGGTGAGCAGACTATTGATTTCTACATTGCCATATCACAAAGCAGGGGCTAATACAGATGACATCTACGTAGTTGGACGAGGCTGAACGCCTCGATAAGGCCGCTGCTGTCGAGGAGGAGGAAGCCAGGAAGAAAAGGGCCCGCGCCGTGAAGCTGCGGGCGGCGGCGGCGGCGGCGGCGAAGGGGGAGGGGGAGGGGAGCGAGAAGGAGCAGAAGGAGGAGAAGGAAGAAGAGGAGGAGGAGGAGGAGGAGGAGGATTTGCCGCTTCGTTTGAAGGAGGAGGTTGATATGATCGTCGAATAGTCGGATTATTTTAGTTATTGTAAGATAATCAAATTGTCTATCTCCCAGTGCAACTGTCCATCTGTGTAGCTTAAGCCTTGCAAAAAGGTATTGTAGAATTGGTATTATCTATTCGTATACCGGATCGAATCCATCAACATGTATGTAGATGCCTGCCACGTGGCTGCCAAAATTAGCATGGGTAGTGTCCAATGGCTAGAGCAACCCTGCCATAACCCGCGTCAACGCCTCATCTTCTGCATTCAAAGCCTCAATCCCCGCCCCATCAGTCCCGGTCCCATTTCCATTTGCAGCTTCAGGCACCTCCGCCTGCGCTCTGGGATCAAAGTAAAATCCGCCCGCCATTTCAAAGAAACTCGTCAGATCCTCGCAGCTCTCCTGCTGATCATCAACCGCGGCTGAATGATTCCCGCCTGCAGTTGGCGGCCAGTATGCGGATACCGACAGTGGCTGCTGAGGAACGGGGTGAAACCCCGAGAGTTGGTGTTGTGGAGGGTAGGGAGTATCCACTGGAGTAAAGGGTACGGCGGCAGACATGGTCGTAGATACCGATGGTTGCCGCCTAGGGGTTTGATGCGTGTGTTGTTGCTGGTGCTGCAGCTGACTCCCAGCTTGTCTGGGTGACTTACTGCCCAGGTTCGAGCGGATCAGTTTCAAATTCCGGATGATCTTCTGCAGACGACGGGATGTGCGCGCTCGAGTGGATGATCGGCGAACCATGTCGACGGCTTTGTAGAACTCTGGACGGCAGACCTGGCTGAATCTAGAAGGGGCGTGGAGCACAGCTAGGAAAAGCGCAGCGAGGGCAGAAATGAGAAAGTAGTTGAATGGTTCGGGACGTTGGAAGTAGATGTCTGAGACACGGCTGAAGAAGTCGAGCATATGGACGGTGCTTTTGGCGGTTTCGACGGCTATGGATGCACTCGGCACGCTTTCTTCAATGCTCTCTGTGCTGAGCAGGTATTGTCTGTAGACGAGAATGCGGAGCTGATTCGCTTGCAGTGCTAATAGCACTTGAAGCATCATCATGCTGTCTGCCTGCGCATTGGGACCGGTGGATGATGATCGCTGCGACGGGTCGAAGCGTAGCTCTGGAGGGATGGATTGGATCCATTGCTGCACTTGGAAGTCCAGGTATGAGCAGTAGTCTGCCGTCGCGGCTCGAGGCCGCGTGCGCCAGCCGACCACGAGGCCCCAGATCTTAGAACTGAGTCGTGCATACGAGATCATGCAGGTCAGGTAGGGCGTTGAGGTGCCCGGCTCCGGTAGGTTCGTGTCCATGTCGGAATCCTGGATGGCAAATGGCAAGCCCGTCCCGAACGACCATTTCCGATCGAGTACGTAGATGCACCAGAACAGCCGGCTGGTCCATGTCCTGTGTAGCTCCCCTGGAAATACTCCTCCCGTTTTGAGCCATGTCTCCTGGCAGTGTAGGCCGAGTTGGACGGCACCCCGGACGGCAGACCCGATTGTCCGCCATGCAAGCACTTCGTCGTCGCGGTAGGAATGGAAAATGGACTGACTGGTTAGCTAGGGAGAGCGGCAGCTCAAGGGAGTCAAACGCACCACTAAAGTCAGAATAAGCAATTCCTTCATGTCCACCTCAGGGATCTTGTACCGTGAAGCGAACTGATCCTCGACGCTATCTGCCAACCAGGCCGCTCTTTCGCTCCGACCGTGCGATTCCGCTAGCAGGGCTGTTGCTACAATGATCTTCAGCACTTCCACATCTCGAGCAAAGAACCAATCCTGGTCTTCAGTTTCCGGCGAGCGTGCCTCATTGAGACCGTTCCCCTCATCTCGGAAGAACTCGACCACGTACGCGCGCACGCTGTCGAGGTCCACGCACGGATAGATCAGGCCAACGGTATGTTCGTATACTGTGACCAGTCGCAGGGTCTCTGTCAAACCCATACAGCGAAGAGGGTCGCCTGACAAGGCTTCTGAGTCTTGAACAGGCGCTGGGCTTTGCGCTGCTGCCGAATCTGTTTCGTCCGCATCGCCATCGCTGTCCTCGGGCGGCTTTTGTCGCGCTGTGAGGCCAAACTCTGCACTGGTCGGACCGACGTAGCTGGGGGACTTGGGACGATTCAGGATCCGCTGTAGTCCCGTGTTGACCGAGGTCGAAGAAACAGTCGACATGGAGGTGGGAATGCTAGTGTTGTTTGCCGGAGTGGTCACGGATGTTGACTCCAGATGGCGAAGACGAGCGGCCATGGCTCGCATTTCTCGCTGAAGGGATGCGATTTGCTGGTCGACGGTCTGTAATCGACTTGACAATCTGCCATACCTGCGTAAGTGATATAGTTCCGAGATGGCCAGGATACGTATTACCTTTCATCTTTGACAGGGTCCTCGACCGAAGGAGAAGCCGTGTTGGCGACAGCGTGAGCATTCGCGGTGTAGACGCACCGGACGTTGTCTCTAGCACAGCGGGAGCACACAGGCTCGCCACTACATTTCAGCTTTCGTCGCTTACACTCATTGCTAAGGGGGTCAGTCAAGCCAAGAAGCCATGTGTGGAGGATTAGCGCACCAGGCGACCTGAGTATATTTGGCGCGCTTTTTGCTCCGAGGCGGTTCCGGAGTGTTGCTGCCTCGCTTAGCTGGGTCGCTGTCCATGGAGTTCTTATTTTATTTTTAGCGAACAGGGCACAAATTGATCGCGTTAGATTAAGTGTCTCGCAATCAGCACTCCACTGGGGTGACACCAAAGCGATTCCGACGTATGTGTTCGCGCATGAGAAATGAAGATGGGGTTCGGAAAGATTGCTGGAGGGAGGCGCAAACTTAAATTTCATTCCGAGCAATCCGAGGTCGGCGGAGCGGAGTTTTATCCCCAGGCCACCACATTCCAGCGTAACCGGTGCGGCAGTACTAATTAATCATTACGCCAATGAATCGGGCATAAGGCTGATAAGTCTATTGAAATTCGGTGGGGCATGAGGCGGCTTCTTGCCTCGATCGACACCACATTCACTAAAGAACAACCAATGAATGTCATTGAAGAACCAGATCCACCTCCGGTATGCCCGAAATCCCAGCTATATATGTACATTTGAAGTCATAATTCATATCCGAAAATAGTACTACCAAATCTTAAATGTGCGCATTGCGGCAGCAGTCATTACCCACCACCCGTGACGAGACGTTCTTGTCGGATGGCACATCCAACGAGGGGTTGGCCGTGAAGAAATCCGCAGGTCGGATCATCAGCTGGAAGATCTCGACAGGCCTAATCCAGTTAGTAGGCTGCCATAGCAGATAGTATGGGAGTCACTTACATCACAGGCCAATCTTCTACACGGGGATTGTGAGTTATGCCAAAGGTGCTCCAAACCACAACATCCGTGTCGACCACGGACTCGCCTCGCTTCACTGCATCCGACACACCCTCGATTTCCTCTTGACTCTGGAGTGTGTACCGCCCACCGGCATACAGCTCTCCATCGCGGTACTTGGTCACCCACACGTGGTGCTGTGCAAACTGTGCGCGTCGCGCTTGGATCGAGTTGGGATCGGCCAGTAGACGTTGTGTCGCTAGCGGAATGAACTTGTAGCCCACGGGCTTCTGGCTGATCGGGTTCTTCTTGTGGGGATTGACCATCTTGACAGTCCGGTTAAGCTCGGGCGCGGCATCAAAGAAGCCAGCGCGCTCCATGGTCTCGGTGTTGACCTTGTAGAAGTTTCCGTTCGGGTTCGTCACGGCATTCATGGGCACCGGATGCGACTCTTCCACCTGCACCGAGTTGTTGGGCCCATCGATGGCTGGGTCGATGCGCACACAGAAAATGTGCTGGTGGTTCTGGGCCAGCACGCCACCGCTGACGACGTTGCCATACTCGCTGACCTTGCCAGCGTCGATATTGACCACGTTCAAGATACCGGTGGCCCGCGACTCGACCGTGATGCCACCCGATTGGTCGAACTTGTAGGCGAAGATGTACTCGTAGTTGGCCAGGGTGATGATGAACTGCACGACCAGTTCCCGGTGACGGGTCACCACCGCACGACCGGTCCGCCAGTTGGAGTGCTTCCAGCCAATACCGTTGTCCTGCTCATGCAAGCAGATGGCGTTAGGCATCTTCTTGGCCGAGCCATCAGCACCCGTCATCACGGCATCAAAGTACTTGATGACACCCAGACAATCACATCCAATCGAAAGGTTGTTGGCCATGTTACCGCCACCACCATCACCAAAGTCGAAGGCCTGCTTGCGGTGGAACGGAGGACGGGGATCGGCGTATGGTACGGTCTGTAGAGTCAGCTATCAATTCCTGCTGCAGGCCAATATAAACTTACCATCTCACTAATGCTCAGTCGGTAAAGCACACTGCGACCGTCGTACCAGACATCGTGAATGGTAGCACCCTCGCGAGGATTGAACGCCACGCGGAAACGCCACTTCTGCCACTCCACGAGCGACTCTTCAGTGATGCGGAAGGAAGGACCTTCAGGCTGGACGACGTTCAGCGGCTTGAGGTCCTTACGTGTGCCACCCGGAAGCAGCTCAGGTACATAGTCCGAGTCTTTGCAGTGACCAATGATGTCTCTTTTGAAGGTCTGCTCTGTCAGACCTTCTCCCTTACCACCTGTGGCGGGACGGTCGACCCGAATGATCTCCTGGGTAAGCGCATCCATAACAGGGATGAGGGGCAGAGGGTAGGAGTAGAAGTTGGCGTCTGGGTTGTTCTTGCGCTTATCGGTGGCAAAGCACAGACCCTGGAAGTACCGACGCTTCTCCTCAACATAGTCCAGTCCACCATATGGCCAAGGCTCGATGACGACCTCGAAGCCCTCGGGGAGGTCGAAGTCGGCCAGAGCCTTTTGGAAGAGAGGGGAGGCGAAGCAACGCTCGACCAGGGTATCAAACTCGCTCCTAGGGACATTGCGTTAGTATTTACTCATCCAAAAGGGTACTTGAGATAGCCTACAAAGTCAAAGAGGCATGGTGCTCCTTCCCCACTACACGATGTTGCACACGTTGCCGTGTCCCGACGTCGACAACAGATTCCTCAAAAGAGGGAATGCGGTCGTTACCAATAACATCGTACTGACACAAGGCCAGACGAGGCGGACGAGGAGAGGTTGGACTCAGACGACCGGAGTGCTCCAGAGCCAGGAACTCGAGGAGCTGTGCCTTGGGGGGTTCTGACAGGTAAATCTCCCGGAAGTCAATGACTGTGTTGGGGTGCTGAGCGAGGATGACATTGCGAGCAATGTTGGTCTCCTCTTCAGAGAGGATGGCAAGCGGATGAGGAAGCATTGTGAAAGGAAATGAATATGGAAAATGAAAGATGAAGGGAACTACCACACAGACTGGGGAATGAATATGCGGGGAAAGCTGAACTCATATGTATGAACCCTGGCGTATGACTTTCCCTTTTGGGCCTGGGGCCCTGGTCTCGGAACCTCGGAATGGGCGGAATGGGCGAGCCTGGCCTGACAGGAACAGCGAAGGAACAACCAATGGCGGAACCGCTCCGGGGCAGGCGAGGGCCGATTGGTTCCCGCTGCCGATAAACTCTTGCTGGGCGATACGATATCGCTATCGGGCAGTGATAAGCAGAGGGGAAGCGGTACTACTACAAGGAGCCCTCCCATTTGCAAATACGAGTGTGTAAAGCACGCATGTGATCTGACAGCTAATAATTAAGATTATCTATCATTAGTATGGCATGATCCAGGACATCTATCATAGTATTTACAATCGTCAAAACATGAAACACCCACTCGCCAATCAACCGGGGTATCAGCAAAATCAAAAGATGCGTTCCGTGCTGGGCTTCATCCACATCGCTTTCTCACACCGGTGAGACGCCCGCCAGTTCTTGATTTTCTCCAGATCCCATCCGGAGGATAATCGCACCGATGAATCGCCCAGTTTCTTCTTCGCGCCCAGCCGCATCGTGCGAACAAAGACACAGTGTCCCGAGGAGTCATACGTGAAACTGAGGCACTGGGCATGCTCATGGCAGGCTGTCTGACAGGCTTCAAAAGAGCCGTGGGCCGGTGATTCGGGAGGTTCCTGCCATCCGCCCCAGTCTCCGTTGTCCCAATCGGACATGTGATCGACGGTTCCCAGCTTCAAATATTCCATCAGGTCGGCGTAGATCAATGGGCGCTAGAACAGCTTCGTTAGTGGGATATCATCGTAAAGGCGACAGAAAGGCTTACTGTGCGATCCCGCTGGTTTTCCCATCGCATCAATCCAGTCATATCTGACAACAGTGTCTTGTGCATACTGATGACCGGCTGGCACCAGTAGGCATCGTCAAAAGGAATTCCATGCAGTGGATGGGGATTGAACATGGGCCAGAAGCCTGAGAGCTCTACGCCCTTCTCATGCAGTGCCCAACCGAGTATCGAATCACCGCAGCAGTCTGCTTTAATAATATCCTCGTACTGCTCGCTCAATGAAGGTTGGATGTACTCCCCGTGAGGTCCAACCTCTCTGGACACCAACTTATCAACAGCTGCCGTGGATAGGACGAAGCCGGAGCCGCCGTAGGCGAAATAAGAAACTTCTTTCTCGTTAATTCGCCGCCCCGGGGACGGAGACCCCATATACAAGGGGGTATGCGGGTCAAATTGATCCAAAAGCCGAAACATGTTATCCCAAACCACGTACGTATCCGATTCCAAAAAGACGAACCAATCCGCCGAGGGGTTGATTTCATGTGCGCGCTCCACCATGGGGAGGAATTTGAAGCGATCGAGTCTCCATCCTTGCGGCGCCGCCACGGTCTTGTCATCGCCTCGCTGAAGCGCATCGTAAGCCTCAAAGTCGGAAGTATTGGCTCGGAAGGATTCAGGAAGAGCGGCCAGAATATCGTGAACTCGATGGCCTTTGATTTGCGACTCTCGATCGGAGACGATGATAAGGTTGGGAATGCAGCGAGTCACGCTGGAGATTTGCGCGTCGACGCGATCAGCCGGCTCGGAGGCGCCGATTTTCAGAACAACTTGGATGCGCGATAGCAGATAGGAGGGAAACAAGTCGCAAAGTTGGTCGTCATTTTTGACGGGGTTCTGCACGTGAGGAAAGCGGGAGGTCGTTTCCCATTCCCAGAAATCGGGTTCGCCTGGATGCGCGTGGTGGCGATATAGCGAAGTCGGGTCGAAGGAGGGCGCACCGAGTTCGAGTTTAAAGACCGAGGCAGCAACAACGACGAAGAGTATCAAGGCCAGGATGTTGGTGACCTTGCGCGACGGGATTGCCCAGTAGGCACGCCGACGGGGGACGGGTTCCCGGCCCATTCTGTGACGTCAAGTAGGTGGGCGGAGAAGTAGTAAGGATAGCACAGTACGGGATCCGAGATGAAGGTGTAAAGTCTGCGATAAGCTAAGAATAAATGAAGCTGTGAGATACCAAGCCAAATCTATAGGACTCGAGTATCAGGCATAGCCACACTCCAACTCCAATATTTCGTTCAGCCAACGCGGGACGAGACAATCCAGTGAGGGTAATTGTGACGCATGGGGAATGGGGGTGGGCAACAAACAAAATCTCGTCAGAAGGGAGACCGACAGAGATGGAACAACAGAAAGAGCACAAATCAAAGGTAAAGGGGGGTAGATGAAAGGTTTAAGAGGGACTTGGGGGATGGAGATAATGTAATTTCACGGCGGTGGATTAGGACAAGAGTGAAGGAGACCCTGGTGCTGCCTATCAATCCACGCCGCCAAATGAACGACGATGGGTCCCCGAGTAACTTAAACGGTGCCAATAGGGCTGGCAAACCTTGGCATGGCAGGTGATGACGATACCATGCTTGACTACTTATCAAGTACTGTCACTCCCTTACTTATCCACGGATCATGATGGTTTTCACAATTGTGTCCTCATCTCAACACTCTCTCCCTCTAAATACTACCCATGTGTCCTACTCTGACTACGACCATAGAAAGTCCCAACTACCAAGTCACTGGTGATGGCATCAATAATCCCATCCGGGCACCGCTGCCCCACTACGCTTTCTTGGATTGGCCATAAGAGCCCCACTTTAAAGTCTTTGGAACCGTCTCAACCAATCACCACTTACATAGTGAAATTGCCCAAGCCCGTGACGCGATGACGGCACCACCGGAGAGGCAAGAGGAAATTTCGGGACGCGGCAAGCCAACTTGCTGTCAAGGTAACATTCTTAGGTTGATACCTATCTCTTAAGAAATTAACACTCTTCTTCACATCAACAATTCTGCCATATCAACTATGCTAGGAATTGCACGAGACTTCTATCCTCAAGTCGTGAAAAGATAGCTGTGCACGGTGAATGCAAGAAACCCTGTCTGTTCCCTGCTAGCGCCGTGACTCGATACAGGGGTTCGGTGATGCTATCTATCTGAGTGGATCCCCCTATCTCTTCCAGGGACGGGCAATATAGCCAGGAACGGTACAGAGTACGGTCGAACCCCTTTAAATCCTTGGTAGATACTAGTAGATAGTGTATGGTCTGGAATTCTAGATCGTAATGGATCCCTGGGAAATATCTGTCGCGGTCATGGACTGTAGCACTATTGTTTGAAGGGGGGGGCAGCAACTGAAAACTTATGCTGTAACGGCAATGATCCGATCGTCGCCTCAGGCAGCAAGTCCGGACTGAGTGAGTGTGTTTTGACTGTTTGTTTGTTCCTGAGTTTGTTTTGTCGTGTTTAGTGTGCCGCAGACCGCGTTAATTATAGTAACTCCAGCGAAGGAAGCACATGGATCGGGAGGGACTCCGAGCATAGTGCAGCAACTTCCATAAGCAGTCGAGTAATCTCCGAGAGTCGCGCTATGTAGACCAGGGTATTGATTGGATCATCTTTCGCATACACCAATGCCCTTATACTTTGTCCTCCAATCCCTCTTACTTTCCATACTACCCCACATACGCGTCAGTGCTTTTGCACGCCATTGCTGACATTATTCTCCCAATTCATTGAATATGACAGACACTAATAGGGACGAAGGAAGGCTAGCGGTGGTGCTTTGACAGGTCACAGATCCTGACGAATCCCGTAGATATATCTGACGCGTCCTCTGGGAGGTTACTCATTCGAAAAGTGAACGCATACGGAAAGTCGATATTAGATTACCACTCCCTAATTCACACCGAACGCTATGATTAAACGCCAAACCCAACATGATGAAATTAGATCCTCATAGTCACACAGCTCACCCCTTCATCTCAGCCCTTGCAACCCCATCCATTTCCGCTATATTAGGAGTCTTTTGCCACCAATTCCCGGCAGTCGCATCCTGCGTGTCACTCCCTACTAATTCATGTGTCACCCCGCCGCTGCTGAGTTCTGCCAGCCCTGTTTGGGGCGGTTCATAGACGGGTGGATGCGCCATGGCAGGAGTCTCTTGGCTGGGCTGGGCACGTCGGCGCTTGATTAGGAAGAAGGCAAGCCCCGCAATGGCACTGGCACCGACCACCGCCCCGACGGTGGCTCCCGCAATGCCTCCTTTGGATAGTGAAGTACCCTTGGAGCTGCCCGTGCTGCTGCTACTGCCGCTTGCCGATGTCGAGGTCGAGTTAGCACCCGCTGTGGAATTGGTGGTGGTGGTGATGACTGCTTTCTGGAACATCGTTGCCAATGTGGTGTCGTTGAAGCCATTCTTCGGTTGGGTGACATTGGCACCGCCCGTGGAGCTGTTGGTGGTTCATCAGCACTGCCGCAAAACTACTAAACATTATAAAGTCAATTCAAACGTACCTGCCACCAATAACATCCGTGATTGCTGAGCTGAGAGCATACTCTGATTGATCGTCCGCATTATAGTCAGTGAGCCAGGTATGCTGGTTCAGATCAAAGATGGCTAGCCCGTTCTCAAATGTGCCCGTGTCGCAGTTCACCGGCTTCGGTTCATATTCCGAACTGTCCGTAGGGATCGTGCCTCCAACAACAAGCATGGTATGCTTTCCTAGGACATTGCATGTATGCTTCTCGCGGATGCTGCTGCCCTCGTTCACGCGGATCCATCTGAATGACGGCAATGAAAGAACATATACATCCCCGTCGGATTTTGCGGTGGTTGCAGCCATCCCGCCAAACATGTAGCTGGATTGGAGATATGTCAATAGCACAACAGCTGGCGCATAATCATCAATACTTACATGGAGAACGATGACCGATCTTGTGCTGCCACCGTTACGCTGCAGCCCGCCATCCGCCAGTTTGGAATATCCCCGGTACTCTGCTGCGTGTACCATTTCTGGTTCGCAATATCATACAGGTTGATGTATTCCATAGGGTTCTAGCTCTGGTTAGCTGACACACAAAGAGCAATAACAGAATAATGGGGCATACATGGAAGGTAGTATTCGTTTGGCTCGCACAAAGAAGCGAAACCTTATGTCCGACAGGATACTTATACCCACCAAAGGCTACTAAAAGCCCTTCATCCCCAACATCCTCCAGGAGATTCAAGTACCCTGCTCCGATAGTCCCATAATTATTCATCTCCGACGTTGATAAATTGGACCACTGCAGGGTAGATTGATCCAGAACCAACAATCCACTGACGATTTCCACGTCCGCTCCCGCAGTACCATAGATATTCGGATTCCCGCCCGGGTCCTCAACGCCCCCCAGATAGTACGCTTTATTCTGGGAGTGCGAAACGACGGCCCCTCCCTCTATCAGCCGAACCAGCGGCACGCCACCAAATCCATCGCGCGTCCAGTTGTTGTTTTGGATATCATACTTCCAGGTCTCGACGGGCGGGACGGTCTTTGGGCCGTCGCGACCGCTTTTATACCCGCCGTAAAAGTAGAGGTTCTCGCCGTCGTTGAACGCGGAACCTTCATCAAGGAAAGTTGGGTACTCATCGGGATCAGATGCATTATACGGTTTATCGATGTGAGTGAAGAGATCCGAATCGGTATTCGAAAAGGACTTGGAGACGTCGACGGTCTGCAGGTCGCGGACTGAATCCCAATATATTAGAACGATGTTCGCCAGCAAATCATCCACGCATGAGTTGAAACATACTGGCATAGGCCGAAATGGTATTATTATCTTCAAGGTAGCGCACTTCACCACCGTCGATGAACAAAGTCTGGTTATTTATGACGGCTAAACCACTGCAAGTCAGCAAAAAGTGGCCATGAGAGCCGAAGTAGCGCAAAGTTCACCCACAAGAATGAAATGTCCGGGTACAATATTTTCTCCCAGCGGCCAAGGAGGCATACAAGCCGACGATCTGCGCGAAACCCTTCATCGTGAAGGTCGAGTGGATAGTATTGTTAAACCACTACCACCACAAGGGGAAGCGTTCATGAATTGAAGACACTTCAAACATGGGCAGACGAAGACAGACGGGGAGATAAGTCTGCAACCCCTAGGGAAATTTAACTAAACTCTGGCCCCCAAACTGCCACGCGAAAAAGTGAAGATGCCCATGCGCCATAGCCTCGCTCTAAGTCCGCGATCGGCAGACTGAAGGATTTCACGAGGCGGTATCTGCGGTCGGATAAGAATGCTGTTAATTGCAGTGTATCTAGCGTATTGAGTCAACTGGAGTATTTTGAGAGGGGGCTACATTATTTGATAGTAATATTTCTAGCAGGACTCTCTTACTAGGACTTTGAGATAGTCCCCAAGATGGCCGACAAGGGTGTTGGTGAAGGTGACAAATGATATCCCTGAACATCCCACTAATCTTTAGCAAAGCTTGGCAACACGCTACTAGCATTCCTACTCAAAATTCAACATCGGTTGATGGTTTGAGCCCACCAAAGTGCCCCACGCTGGCGTCCCCGCTCTTGAACTTCATAATCTCTTTGGTTTGTGTTTCCCTTTCGTGTCCTCCCACCAAGTGCTGCGATCGCTGAATATTATGTCCTCAGAATGAGGAAGAAGTGGGCCGTATCGTGGCTTATCTTGGACTATTTCGGATGGTCGAATTTCTCCGGCTGCGTTTGCTTATAGTTAACTGAGTAGACTTTAGCCTGTCAACCACAGCTAAGAAATAAGTAAAAATATTTTAGGTTATCACAACGTGGCTCTGACACACACTTTGAGGCCTGTGACGAACCTGGGGTCTGTTACAGGTTGGTATCTGAAACCGCCGCAGCGCTGAAGGTAGGTTAGTGATCTTCACAACGTACTCAGGTGTTTCTTGGCTATGATCACCACCCTGTGTTGTGGAGGCAAAGACAGCAATGAAGCAATATGAGTAGCTCTAAGTATCAATGCTTATATTTATGTGCCTGAGGAGAAAGAAGGCTGATTCTTGGATAACCTCTCGACGCGATTTCTGCCTGAGGCACTCAAGTAGCGCCTCAACACCCTCCTTCCATTGCAGTCATCTTATATGAGAACCAGAATGTCTATAATTGGAGGCTTCTAGCGCAACTATTGAATTGTGACAGCCGCCACTCAACACATTACTTTTCTTTTATTTGCTCTTATTGGGTTGACCATCTATCATATTCTGCAGTCGCTCCCCAGGACAGCATACATTCTACATGAGCTCAAGGATCCTTCTCCGCATTCGGCCAGTGCAATATTGACCATTTTCCCCTTGCGCCGGTGACTACCTTTTCCCAGATTGGTGTAAACCTTATTTCATATCTAGACTGTCTTGGCCGGGAGCATACAGGTCACTATTTCACCCGAAACGCAGTTGGCTTGCTGTTACAGAGCCATGCACTGTTCTATGGGGGGAGTATTTCATATCACTAAATGCTGGGAATGTTAGCTACCAGAGTCGATGGGTGGACGGATGTATCAAAGATCTGTCGCACTTATCATGCCTACTGCAATGTCCTTGGAATACTCTTCCTTATACCACAAGGCATCTGATGTTTGATATCTCACAAGTATAGTTACATCGGTCGAACAGTTTTAGTAGCTGGTAAAATGTTCGGAAGCGTCTTCTTCTACTACAGAGAAGACCGATTGAATACCTTTTTCGGGTCTCAATTTGCTTTCCAATATTCTTGCATCCTACGGACCAAAGTCTCGAGATTGCGAAATTAACCGCATATGGAAAGGGGTTTGGGGCATTTCTATTTGCAGGTTTGACATTGTGCACCAGAACTGTCGTTTTAGGGATTCATCAGAATGTAGGCACCTTCACCAGACCTTTCGCTAGCTAATCAACATCGCCCTACTGCTCCTTATCTTCGACCTTCCTCACCTCTAGATTTAGAAGGACCGAAAGCAACTGAAACATGTCTTGGTCTTCCGATACTACATCCTTTGGCGGAAGAGGCGTTGGTTGTTTTCATCTTCATAATCATCTTCATAAGCTTGCTATATAAATTGAGAATACGGCTACTACTAACCATGCGTCGTGTGGACTATATATCGACACAGCTTCAGGCACTGCGACTGAGACTGCTGCTTACTAGTAATACCACTAGTCACTACCAACTTGATACCTTCGCTACATCTGCAATATGAGCCTCGTGGCTAATCGCGCCAACATCCCCAATCCCAGATCAGTATCTGGGTCTAATGTGATCTACTGGCTTTATGTAACAATAAAGCGAGAAATTCAAATATCATATTCGTTCATGGAAAGCAACTTTGACGCAGCCTTTGTTCCTTTTCCCATCTTCACTACCGCTTCGTTACTCTACCGAAGGGCAACCTATGCGGAAGCCATAGCGTCTCTCGCCTGTACGGCTGACCTATCCAGAAATCATGTCTCATCTTATAGCTGACAGCGTATAACAGATACACTACTTTACGGTTTCTTCTTCTATTACAGCACCGAATTAGCAAACAACGCCGAGGGGGGAACTATCGAAGACAAGATCAACAAGCCAAACCGCCCAATAGTCCAGTCCCAAACTACTGTGGCTGCAGTGAAAATACGATTCTACATAGCATCCGGAACATGGCTCCTATTGAGCTATACCTTGGACGTTCACATGTGGTCTTTACTTTGGATAGTGGTTCTTATTTCCCTCTATTTGTTCCACTTCTCGAGGATAGGACCTGCAAAGGATCTTTGCATCGTTCTAGGTGTCATTTCCCAACTCATGGCCTGTTGGAAGCTGGGAGGTTCGGACATGCATTACGGCTGGAGATGGGTGAAATTAATCATCCTATGGATTCTCTTCACCGTTCCTATCCAGGACTTTCGTGATGTTCCGGGTGATTTGGCCGCCGGGCGTAGAACGACCCCAATACTTCTGGGGGATATTCCGGGTATGTGTGCGCACGTGAGTTTTGAGAATATCTCTATTTTTTGTTCTGACCTCCTCATCTTAAATAATAGCTCGGATCTATACGTCCTTGGGACTTGCTTCGACGGAGGTAAAATCTCACAATATGACGTTCATCAACGACTACTACTACTACTACTACTACTACTACTACTAAGCCAGAGCTAACATGGACGTAGTATATCCTCATCTCCCACAGAGTGTTCGAGCTCGGATACACTCTGCCCACGGCACTTATGACTTCCATCATCAGTCTTGTCACTCTCTGTCTCATCTATCGATTGAATTTCCTTAGATCAATCGAGCATGACCGAGTTTCTTACAGGTGGCACATCGTACTGTATAACTTGATTTTACTTACTGCATGCGTCTCCTTCATCTCTCGTGATCATAGCCTTGGTACAACGCTGTCGCTATAATCTATGTTCTGGCATTATCTGCAGCACACGGGAATTCTTGAGAAGGAAGAATAGCAGTTATCAGGATAATCATGTCGTTGTGCGGGGGTGGCCGGATGATTAGCTTAACTCAATAGGGGGCCATAGCTTGAAGCATCTACTACTTGCCGTTAGGGAGCTGGCAAGGGAAGGCTGAACCTGTGGATGATGGAGTCTTTCTGTCGCTATTAAGGAACAAATGAGTCTCTACTATTGGTATTGTCTGCAGAGAAGAGTGTCTGCCGATGAAGACGGCGAGAGACCCGCTTCTGAAACTGTCGCTACTTCCTAGTTCTAAATACAGCCCAAGCAGGCTCAATATTATTCAGTTTAAACCGGTCCTAGTCCGTACCTAGTTCTATACACAGGTATTGTAGGTAAATTCCAGGATAATCGAACCGAATACACACGTTGGGCTACTGGCTGGGGTGGGTGGACGGCAGTATAAGGAATTTGGACCTTGTCGGACGCCCTAGCATTAGGAGCATATGACTAACTACTCACATGACCTGTTGATAAAACTGCATTTACGCGCTATTTAGTGGTGCTCTTCTTCCTGCTCATGACGGCTCTCCATATATCCGTCTCTCGCTCCCTCCATTCATCCTTTACCAACAAGCTGATAGTGATAGTGATAGACATAATGGGGTCCAATCCGACTGTGATGCATCATTACGCACTATATAGATGTCTGAAAATATGAAATATTTTGCTTGATCTATGAATTCTGCATCATACCCTGTTGCCTTTTTATTTCCTTCCAGAGAATTTCAGCTCGGGTATCAGTAGGCCGGGAGAAGAAGAGAAACTGTTCCAACAAGGCCCGCGCCTCATCCCAGGTTGCGAGAGACAATTGACCGGCCACCTCGGCCAGACGGTCCACGAACCACGCGCGACTGGGATGACCCATTGCTGCAATTCCACCGGTGAAGAGCATCCAGAAAGATAGATCGACCGCCAAGCGTCGAACAGGGAGAAGCGCGGCTTCCAAGCGACAGTGGAAGGCCAGTACGGGTCGATTCAGGAACAGCAAGCCCTGAAAGCCCCAGACCTGGACTGCGGCAAAGAGCAGAACTGACAGTCGCAGGCATTCCTGCAAGTCAGAAAACACACAGTCTGGGGCGATCAACAACAACTGTTGGGCTGTGTAGACCAACCAGTCGTTGAGTACAGGGGCTTCCTCAACTGGTCCAGTAGTACACATGTAATGCGTGGTTTTTCGAAACAGCTTAATTATAGATCGCAAACTAGGGAGAATTGCTTGTGACCACGGTGAGTTGAAGAAGCGGAAACCGATTGAAGAAGCATGCAGGGCGTTGTCGGTCGCAGTGAGATTATACAAACTTTCAAGTACTCTGGCTCTCCAAGCCACGGTTATTGGCAAGGGCGGTGCCGAGCCTCTGGCAGCTGCGCTCATGAAATTGGCACTAGAGAGAGGGACAAACCACGCTGGTTAATACTAGACAGTACTGTTTCTGTGGTAATACATTCGTGTTCGCAACCCACCTGTAAATAATGGGGGCGTCTGCCTCACTGAACGTATCAAGACCACCCACCAGATGTACGATCTTGATCAGGCCGCGCACATGGCCGTCGACGGCTTCCAAATTGGTGTCTGCGGCCTAAGGCATGGAGCTCGATTATTGCGTGGTTACTCCTCTCATTCAGAACGCGCTCGGTGTGGATGAAACAAGATGAGATTAAAAAAGGAAAGGAACCAACCTCTACGCAGATCAAGTGGGCGATGATGACCGCCATAGACCGAAGCAAACTTGTGCCTGGAATTTTCATCATGCTCTGGAGTCCTGTGATAGTTTTTTGCCGGTACTCTAGGGAGGCCCGGTGAGAATCTTGGGCGGCCTTGGGGGCCTGCGCGATGAGCCCTCGGCCCGCCCTGTGGGAGGCACTGGTTGCCAGGATGATATACAATAGGGCCGGCTGCTCGATTGATTGCTGCCACCACCAGATGCTGACGCCTGTCGCCCCAAAGGGATAGATTGACCAGGAACATTCGGTCCGGTCTGGAAGCATGATCAGAAAGGTCACTGGCGTTGATGCGACCGGACGAGGTAGACTCGATCTTACAGTGGTCAAAGTAGAAATCCACGCTGGACTTGGCAGGCACACAGAGCGAAGCAAAGGGGTCAATCCCAGCGGGCCGCAACGCCCGGTCGAAGGAGCATGCCTCGTATTCTTCGACCCTCGCCTCCGCGCCTATAGGGAATGTGGTGGATCCCGGTGTTGACGGGAGGATTGATGGGTTGGATCGTTGGGTCGGCAACGGGCCGATGGAAGCTTTCAGCTTTTGTAGTCGCTGTTCCTTTTTGGATCGATGATACATCGTCTTGATGAAAGCATGCTTCTTTTTGGAAACCGTGGAGCCCTGCGAAGTCTGGGCCTGATAGTTGACAAACAAGAAGCTGGCGGGTTGTCTTCGGGGTCCATCATCGTGACTATCGGATCGACGATCGGGGACTTTTGACAGGCCAAGCACCGACCACGCGGTTCCTGCGTTCGGTTCCATTGCATTTGCTTGTGATGAGCTACTAGGGATCGCAGCTGGGAATTGTGGCAACAATAATGTGCGTCAAGCCTTCTGGCTAAGCTGACAAGTTAGTCCTCGATGGTGCACACACTAGTCGTGCCCACGTGATGACAGCCTGGAGGGCACATTCTTTCAGCTACAAGATTGGGAGTAAATGAAGCAGTTCTCCCTCTCTCGTCATCTCCGATAGGAAAAGATTCATGCTTTGGAGGAGTTTGTTTCTTTACGGATTTCGGCAACGGTGATGTGGAATGTTGTCAATAGAAGGATGAAGTACCTTCCAGGCGACGCAGGTACCTGTGGGAGCCGATTGTCTTCATTGGGACCCGATATATTCATTGGATAAGAAGGTCCTGCAGCTGTCCAGCTTCACCCACGTGGGGTTGGCTTCACTACTAAATCTCGCTAACTATCGCCGGGGGTGAGGCATTCCATCATGCTGCCTCTGCTCTGCGCACGTGGGAGATTGTCGCAACTGAGTGGAAGCCGACCGTCGGCAACAGGCAGGCTTGATGTCTTCGTAGGCCAGATTCAATGGCACGACCACCGAAGAGCACAGTGAGGCTACGAGGGAGTTATGGAGACATCGTGCTTATATCTAATCGGACTCCCGCCTCCAGGAATTACGATGATAACCAGCATCTACCAAGGGTTGCTTGACATGATCTCCGTGTTGTTCTCCTTGCTGCTCTCCGCAGGGAATCCCGCCCTCGCGGCCCGCGACACCTTCTATCCTCCCCTCAACCACACTACCTACATCACCAACTCCTCCGTCGGCACCTATGGAGGTATCTACAGCGCCCCGGCAGATCAGACCAGTAGCCCGACACCACAAGATGTCTACAATTACTGTTCCATGCCGCATCCCCGTGCGGAGACCTACTCGCTCCCGCCTCCCGTCGCCAACCAATCCGTCTCTGCCCGCCTAGTCTATCTTGAATACGTGCAGCGTCATCAGCGTCGCACCCCCTACAACATTCTTCCGGGCGGCGAGGTATGGGCTCATCACTGTGTCTAGTTGAGGCTCGCTAACTTCGCTCTAGAACCAGGAATATCACTGCAACAACCTCCAGGCTCATCTCTACGTCTCTCCAGCTTCCCAAGGTCCCACTCCAATCCCCGTCTATGGCCAAACTTATTCCGATCCCTCCAACCCATTTTTGACAAACTATGTCAATGGATCGTGTCAGTATCCTCAATTGACGATTGGGGGCTTTCTGGATGGCTATCAGCACGGTCGCGACCTCCGCGCCGTCTATAGGGATCAACTGCAGCTAATCCCAGCGTCACCGGACGAGGACAATGGCAAGAAGATCTGGCTCCGTTCAAGTACCTCGGCCCTCACCCAAGAATCTGCCGGTGGGGTTTTGCGAGGTATCTGGCCCGAATACAATGCACCCCTACCGCTACACCAGCAAGCTTCAGGGGTCGACACGGTCGACCAAGGATACTCCTGTTCCGCTCGCAGCGAGGTTCTCTCCACCATTGAGTCTACAGCGGAGTGGAACGAGCATCTGACAGTGACCCAGTCGCTCCGTAGTCAGCTGGCGACCATGTTTGACGCCGATACCTCCAGCTGGATGTCGACATTTGACCATTTCTCGGATAATTTCCAAGCCCGCCTCTGCAATGGCTATGAGCTACCCTGCAGCCTGCAGAATGGCACGCAGTGTGCAACTGTCAGCCAGGCAAATGAGGTTTTTCGTGCGGGCGACTGGGAATGGAACTACTGGTGGCGACACAACGCAAATGCTACTCGGTACATCCAACTGGTCGAAGGTCTGTTCATCGGAGAGATTGTTCGCCATCTAGAAGCGGTGCAGCAAGGGGCATCCGAACTCGTGTATAGCCACAGTTTCGTTCATGATGGAGACCTTGGGCCCATCCTTGGCGCGTTGGGCATTAAAGCGTTGCGGTGGCCAGGTATGGGATCGAACATTGCTTTTGAAGTATGGTACGTTTATTTTGATTCGGAACCTTCTCCCAAATAATCAGTATGAGTCTCACAAGGCCGTAGGCAAACATCGGCAGACGACCTCTACGCTCGTGTATTGTATAGTGGACACGCGATCGAAACAATTTACGGCACACTGGATTGGATACCTCTATCGTCCTTGATCCGCATTCTCCAGCCGTATATCCCAGTCGACATCGTCTCGATGTGCCAGTCTAGCTAAGCATTGGGATACAGTACACGCGGATACCTTCGCTAGATGGCTCTTATTTAGACAAAACAAGCAATCAATCAATCAATCTTGGCAACAATAGCAATAGACTCCATCGGAGCAACATTGCGGGAATTCTCCATGACAGCAGACAGCTCGAGAGCAAGGCAGCGAGCAGACGTAGCAGGCTGAATGACTCTCAGTACACCTTTATTTATGTGGTCTGGGCAGTTGTAGAGAACGTACAGTTAGCGGTATCACCAAGCACCTTCTGCGCCGAGGCGAGAGAATCGAGCATAGGTTCTTGCTTAGAGCTTGTTATCCCAGCTATTCCCTTCGGTTAGCTAAACATCCAACGTTTCGGAAACAACATGAAACTTGAATCAATTGGATTGCAGTGGATCCGTACTTATTGTTCGATCATGATGTGCATCCACTGTCAGCAGGCTTAGCCCGAGCGTCCAAATATATATCGTTGCCCTCATCATTTCAGATTTTCGTGAGTTGTACTACTAGTAATTGCCAGTTGTTGTTGGGCCATGATGGATCGGAATTCTGCGAGTCTCATTTCATCCGATACTATATATCCTGTGGTTGCAGTCAGCTGCAACCATCACTCGACACAGCAGACATCTTGGCTGCATGAGTAACTCTCATCACCTGGTACTAATCCAGTTGTAATGCCTCAGGCACCCAGTGTCACCTGCTGCCTGAGGGAAAGAATCAATCCCCCGAAAACCTTCCATTTCCATCGGGAATCTCTCCCCGCCAAATCAGCAGCCTCACTATTGATATTATTCTTCCAGATTTCCCGTCGGTCGCTTCAGTCTCCACCATCGGCAAATCGGGTCCAACTGCCTCCGATGCCGCCTGCATAACTGACATGCCGCTACTTAGTCCCACCCGCTTGTCACAACGCATAACTCACCAGAGCCATTAGGGTCCAGACAGCTGGACAAATGTACGGTGCCTACGTCACGACTACACCCACGGACCACGGGCTCAAAGGCTACCAATAGGCACACGTACCGCGTACTTTCATTCCGCAAGGCAGTTGAAAGCTTCGCGGGAAATCCGATCGCGATGAGTCTTCATGATTGGCCCCCGATAACAGTTATCGATGCCCCAACCGGACGGAATCCTGGTCAGGGCCGCAACATTACTATTGCTTAGAAATGCGCCTCCGCCCATCCCGAGCTTGGGTCCCCTTATCACATCATTCCCCCCGTCGTTGTCGATGCCCAAACAACAGATATGAGTCTGCGGGGGGGGAAACGTTCTCTCTTTTAGACACAATCTGTAGACTACGTGAATGCACATCATGACGGCTCAGGAACGTCCAGAAGCAGTCCCGGAGGAGACTACGCCCCTCTTGGGGGAGTCTTCCGACAATGGGGAAGATTTGGCGCGAATTCAAGTGTCTCGCCTGAGGGGATCGGCGATAGTGGCCGCCATGGGGCTGTTGCTGTTCATCATGAGTATGGGAGCTCTGTTGTGATCCAGATAACTCAAGCTGAACTCTATCAGCAACCAATATGTCGATGATGACTACCGCGCAATCCGACATTGCGGCCGATCTGGATGCTTTTTCGGAGACAACATGGTTCAACTCGGCTTTCTTGGTACGTAACCTTCTATTCAGCCATGTGCAGCGGATCCACATGCTAATGCCATTGTCACTAGATTGCCATGTCCAGCCTCACACCTCTCTCGGGTCGACTCTCCCAAATATTCACACCTCGTGTATATATTCTTTTCTCTTGCACATTATTGTCAATTGGTCTCTTCGTGACAGCGTTGGCTCCGACACTGCCTGTCTTCCTTTTGGGACGAGCTCTTACAGGATGTGGTGCTGGTGGGCAGATGGTTATTGCCTTTGTCTTGACCCTCGACTTGACGAGCAAGAAGCGCCGGGGTCTCTTCATCGGTCTAATCAGCGCAGGGATGACTACCGGTGTCTCCTCTGGGGCGGTGCTGGCCGGTCTTCTGACGCCGGCTTACGGATGGGTGAGTTCCCATAATAACCACATATATTTTACCGTGGAGTAACATCAAGGACGTAGCGGATTATCTTCTGGATCCAAGCACCGCTGGCCCTGATATTAGGCCCAGTGCAATTCTTGGCGATTCCGGAACGCCCGGAGGATGAACACCTAAGTGGACGCGCTCTGCTGCGAAGGTTGGCAAAGGTTGACTATGCCGGGGCATTGACGTTGGTAAGAGACCCCTCATCCTTGGTTGATTTATTCTAATCGTTATAGACAATTTCCGTCTTCCTGTTACTGTCGAGCCTTGCTGCGGCAGTAATCAAAATAATGCCTATACTTCTGTCGTTCGTTTTTCTGGGGATCTTTGTCTTAATAGAATCGAGATTCGCTACCGACCCCATTATCCCGATGGAAGTACTCAAGAAGAGGAGCGTCTTGCTCAGCTGCTTGGCGGGTGCTGTTTGCATGATGGCACGCTGGGCAGTTCTTTTCTACTCGCCAGTCTATGCACTCGTTGTTCGTGATTGGTCTCCGGCCTCCGCGGGCTTGATTCTGGTGCCAACCAACGCCGGGTTCGGGCTAGGAGGACTCCTAGTCGGCTGGATTCATATTCGTAAAACAGGCAGCTACTATATGTAAGTATTTCTCATCCAATCCCTGGAAGCAGTGTACAACGGATCTAACCTCATCCTAGCTCGGGCCTCATCGCCTTCTTTCTATTCGGCCTCACCAACCTCATATTATCCGTTCTATCCACACCGCACTCTTCCACGGTCGCCTATCTCTCTGCTACCTTTTTCAACGGTCTTTCTGTCGGAGCAGTCATGAACTATACCCTATCCCATCTACTACATCTCACAGACCCAGACATGCATTATGTTATCAGTGCCTTGCTAGGAATGAGCAGAGGGTTTGCCGGCAGCTTTGGGTCCTCTATTGGTGGGGGTTACTTCCAGCGTGAGTTGAAGAGAGGGCTGGAGACAGGGTTCATGAAACATGGACTTGCCAATAGAGGTGAATTGATCCGCAAACTGCTCGGCAGTCCGGCACTGGCAAAACGCCTGACGGGCGTCGAGAGAGCGGTGGCTGTTCAGAGCTATGAGCAAGCCGTGAAGACCTTGCTACTGGGAGCTTGTGTATTGGCTATTGCTGCGGCCGCGGCCCAGGCTGGGACTGGGTGGAAACCGTACAAGAGTGAGAAGCGGCAGGATCTTGGGGATTTGGAGGCCACGGCAGAGGAAGAGCAGTGAATGCCTGGGTTCTAGAATTGTTCAACACCCGGTTTAGCTCACGTATCCCTCATAGTCAGACATGTCTTCCTGCCATTCTTCTAATTTCCTTTCATATAATAGCGGCTGATGAGCCTATCGATATCTAAATAGCTATATTTACAGTCTTTTATCCATAGTAACTGAAACAAGAGGAATGCCTCGGCAGCCGCCGGATGCTCGTGTTGTTGCCTTGTTGCCTTAGCGTCTTTCTGCCCGGCGGAGTCTTGGCACACCCCGATCGCCTTCATTCTCCAACTGTTAAGTCTTCGTTCCTTCACTCTTAACACACCTCAGCTCAAGCTCCTGGGCGACCTTCAAATCACAACACAATCACATTACGCCAGACACAGCCACTTTTTTTTTTCCAAATTACTCATCATGCCTCGTGCCGTCAGAGGTATCACAACCGCAGCACCGTCCAATTCCAACTATCGCTAACGAAGGCCTAAACAGGAGTCCTCATCGAGTGCGATCCGTCCGTGAAAGCCATTATTCTCAAGTACGACGAAGAAAGACACGACTATATCGTTGAAGACCTCGACGATGACCGTCATCTGGTCATCAAGGAGAGCCAGCTGCAGAACCTGAAGGCGAGGTTGACAAAGGTAGGGATGCCGGAATGAGCTGTTTGGGGCCTGACGCTGATGAGGCAACAGGAGCTTGACGATAAGGTTATGCAGCCTGATGAATCGGAGTCGGAGTGATTCGTAGAATTCCTCGACGCGATGAATGGGAAGATGCGATCGCATAGCGCCAATATCCCAATCCTTATCGCGCGCTTCAACAGACTAGGTGGTGGGAAATACACGCTATGAGGGTTTATGGTCGCGAACTTGCAGGATGACTCAGTGCTGGCGCCGGACCCCTGCAATGCGCCATATCGTGTTTCGACAGTCTTGATGCTGAGTCGGCTGTACGCATGGTCTGAAGTTTTGGGGTTGGCGCTCCTTCCTCGCTGAGCCATTTCGCAGCGCCTACTTCTCCGAACTGGCAACGGTCTAGCAGCATCCCAGAAGCTCTTTTAGACTCTGCTGACTCGATTGAAGAGTTTACCTAACAACACTCGCGAGCACCTACATCCTTATCACCGATCCTACTCGCACGGTCTTTACCTCATACTTTCTGTTACAGAGGCCCCCCTAATACATCTACATGGATTACATCATCATTGATTACGTTGACTGCAGGGGCCAGTCCGAGAAATTCTACCAAGAACCGGTCGGCACCCCAAAGCGCATCAAGCCTGTATTCGATATACGTTTCTTCCAGAGCGCGTACTATCTGGATGGTGAACTTGCCGGTGCCATCGCAGGCACAATCAAGCTCAATATCACTGATCAGCGGACTTTGGTGGTCTGCGGCATTATGGAGCGCGCATACCCTATGGACACTAGAGCTCCCGCGACCCAATCAACAACGGTTGGAAAGGAGATGGACGCGGAGTTGAAGCCGACGTCGGATGAAAAGAAAAAGTACCGCGAAAATCCACAAGATGAGACGGCTGCAATCGGGGACGATCTCCCTTCTGTTCAAGATGCTCAGGCGCCCTCAGGCAGACAAAGTGATACAGATGTTGAAGCGATGCCACAACCAGCCTTTCAGGAAGAGAGCAGTGACCAGGGTGAGGGGAGTCGAGAGAAACCTCGAGTCTACATAGTCCCGCAACTTCGAGCAAAAGACAAGGGAAGGGGCCGAGCCAAAGGGATTTTGCGGAAGCCAGGTAGTGAGAACGACGAGCTTGAGAGTGACGATGATCAGCAAGATCGAGCAGACTTCAATGAGCGCATGAACCCATTCATCTACACTGGTGATCGACCATATCCCTCAACGACCTGGGTCTGGGTGTTGGCTGAGCGAAAGGTTGGCCCGTTCTTTCGCTCCTTCCGCTTTAAGAGACCGATCAACTGGGATGCCGCGCAAAGCCGCTTTATGAATGGCCTTCTTCTCCTCAGGCTTCCGGTGATTGTGGGGCCTAAGAAACGGGTTTGTTTCAAGCTCGATGATTAGGCTAGTACGATCTCATGCTATCTTGTACAGGGGCTATGATACTACGGATTTGGGGTTGTCTTCGATATTCTTCAGTGGGTGTACCTTGGAAAGAGTAGGTAGACGGCCATCAGAGAGCAGAGTATACTGACATCAAGATTCACTCGCTGGACCGGAATCTACAGAAGTTATACTCGTATAACTGGGAGAAAACACACGTTCAAGCCCGAGACGGAGTCAGAATCATCCAATGCATGTTCTATCCCTATAGATGCAGTTCTAGTCGAAGCTAGTATACAAACGCGCCAACACCAAACCAACCAAATAAGAAACATAGAAGAAACCGAGAATGAACCCAAACAAAAACAGAGGAGAAAAGTCACAAGATAAAGACACAACCCTCACTACCCTGCAAATTAAAACATCCATGAATATCATCTAAACATCCACCCCCTTCTTCTTCCTCTGAAACATCGGATAATTCAATGCATCCCACCTCCCATGAAACCCAACGCCGGGATGCCCCCAACTACTCATCGCAATAACCGCAATACTAATCATCGCCCCCTCCAACACCATGAACGTCGTCTGATCATTCGCCAAATGGCTACTGAACCCACCACACAGCTCCGCAACCCGGAAACAACTTCGAATGTAAATACACACGACCGCCAACCCCTGGCAAAACAGAAACGCTTTCCAGCGTTTGCTCGCTCGGAGACTAGCGAAGTCCGGGTTCAAGGTCACCAAGTCCCTGGAACCCGAGACTAGATCTTGGCTTTCGGATTCCTGCTTCGTGTGGTTTGCCATGCGGAACATGTTCGATGGTGGGGAGGGATTCCGTGCGCTGAGACGGTAGACTCGGAAGGCGTAGTCGAGACAGATCACGATGTAGAGGGTTAGAGAGGCGACTTGGGAGCTGAGACCGGCTATCATGATGTTGATCCCGTCTTGTACTTCGGAGACGGAGTTCGAGGTGGTGATGGCGCCTCCGGCGGCTTGTAGCAGGAGGGAGATGATGTCGAAGCTGATGAAGATCAGGGAGTAGTTGCGCTGTTTTATCCGGGATAATTGGGACGAGTAGGCGCCGACAATTCGGGCTAGGGAAACGTAAATGGCGCCACTGAGGAAGGCGGGGGCGATGGTGAGGCAGACGAGATACCTGTATTTAATTTGGTTAGTGGTGGAGGGGAGATGAGGGGTTGTTGGGATGAACAAACATGATGAACCACCGGTCAATGAATGGGTTGTGTCGCATGTAAATGCGTGCTATGTAGCCCAGGACTTCGAGGATAAGGCCGCAGATGGCGCCGAAGAGGTATCCCCAGGTACGGTGTCGAATGCCAAGGTAGAGTTGGACGGGGATGAAGAGGGCGAATAGAGCAATGTAGAAGGCATTGCCGCCTAGGTTAGGGAGATAGGTGATATGGGCATATGATAGAGGACATGTCTCTAGGGTACATTGTTGGCTGCTGGTGATCCAGGGCGCGGGGGCCGTGACGGTGGTCATGGTGAGTATTTTGGGACGTGAAGGTGTTTATGTAGAGGCACGATTGTCAGATTGAGCTGAGTGAGTGCCAGTAATAAGGCTTCCTGGCACTGCAGTAGTATTACTGCGATATCTGCTCGTAGACGTGGGCGGGTGGTGTTCGTCTAATGCGCCATGTAGTTAGCGGCACTGTATATAGTAGCCGTCGTGTGCCACCGATAGAGTAATTTCTATGGGAAAGACCCCGACGGAGGAAAGAAACAGCTTATTAAATGAAACATCGGCCATTTTGTCTGCCTGTTGCCCTTCGGACAGCGCAGATCGACGCGCATCATTTGTGCTCGTTTGGTGTAAACGTAGGGGCTCAGCATGGCCTCGATCGGAACCTCACAAAGAGCATATTTACGCAGCAGCGAACCGGCTGACGGCAAGTGGAGATGCCGGCAGTCCCTGGCGGGCGATCGAACCTAGGTAAGAATTGGTGGATGCTGCTGTTTTTACGCTCAGGCCAATCAGGATGGACTGCCATCTGGCATCGCTGACAAAGCACCCTCACCAACGCGTGACTGCCTGATTCGGATGCCATGCTCGACTCGCTGGTTGAATCTGACTTCGCCACGCTCCCCAGTCTCCTACTTAGGGACAGTGAACGCCGCTTTTTCGCGTCTGCCTTACGTATCATCTCGCTCTTAGGCTGTCAGATTCTTCTGCTTTCTCCTGTCGTTTCATGATGATCCGGATGCCGTTCCGTGGCCCGGCATATACGCGGTTGACATTGTGCTGGCCGCGATATTTGCAAACGGCTCTCCCGAGTCACTCACTAACCTAGGCAGAAGTTTAGGTGCACACTGAAGGCTCAAATTATACCTGTCTATCCGCAACATCGCTGCATCGCCCTTCACCTTTGAAAGTGGTTATTGAGTTTAACCGGACAGGCTCCGAGGTCCGACTTCGGCAAGGTATATCCTAGAGATTGGCCATAAACACAGGCCTGCTGCAGCTGCAATAATACTCAAGCTACACGAGGAGCTCATGGCGGGAGAATGCATCGACACAACTGCACCAAATCCTGTAGCTTACCAACAACCCAGCATACTTACAGCTGGGGCAGTGATCCTTCGCTGCACATATGTTTCCAATAAATTGCCAAATCGTTGGCAATATACCCTGCAGCATAAGAACTATCACCTCGAGCATTAAGCTACGCTGCCCTGCGTTTCGTGTAAGTCAGAGAGAGTCAGATTACCCTAGTATGCGGCACACATCTTGCCAAACTCTACTGTCCATAATGAGACCGTCTATATAGTCAAAGGAAAGATTCTCAAACTCCTTCATCTTTACCGACCGCGCCTGCATTGGGTACAATAATGCCGATTTCCTTATATTAGAAGCGACATTGGATTCATTTGACTAGTGTAGGTGAAGCTTGCTCTACTACTAACCAAAACGTTCTCTGGGATCAATGTGGATTCCACTATATACAAATTTGCGATACTGTAACCATGAGATTTCACCGTCAAACGCCAAATACATATTATGACCAAACCGATTAAGGCTTTCTCGGACGCAACAAATAGTGGAAGGAATAAAGCATATCAGTTACAGAAATCCGAAAGCCTTGCTCACTCAGTCTCAACACCATCTCCGAGACGATTGGCAATCTCCAGTAGCGAATCCTTCACCTTGGCCTGCCAGTCGAGGAGCTGCTTCTGCCGGGCCATGCGCGTGTTATATACGAACTTGATCTGCAGCGAGTCACCGATAACAATGGCTTGCGTCTCAACCAGCGCGGTGCGGAGGAGACCGGACCCAGATCCAGTTGCCTTGGGCTTCTTCACATCCACATAACGAAGTACCGAATCGTCGCGCTCCAGCTGCTGATACTGGCCAAGGTAGTTCATAGACAACTCGAAGGGGCTGTGGTGTTCAAAAGCGGCATGGCCATCGTCGGTCAGCCAGCGGGTTGCCCAGTAGGGCACTCCATTGCCTGGCACACTGGCGCGCACATCTCGCACAGCTTGCAGGTCGTCGACAATATCTCCAGATGGTTTTATCACTACCGGAGTGGAGGAGGTAAACCATCCGATAGTGTTAGATACATCAAGGTCTCCACCAAACTCATCCCGACCATGACTGTAAATAAAGACCGCAGGTACGGGACGGTCACTGAATGTCGCGCTGAAGGCATGGAAGATCGCCGACAAGAAAATGTCGAGTGGCTTAGTCTGGTACTGATGGTTGCAATTTCCCATCAAGCGGGCGGTTGTCTTGGTGTCCAGAGAGAACTCCTGGATAGTTTCGGTCACGAAAAGGTTCATGGATTCCTCCATCTGCCAGTAATCGTACAGTGGAGCAGGAATCGAGAAAGGTAGTACATATTCGGGAGTCCATTTCTCATCAGCGTGCTCCTTGAGTTTACGGCACCACAAGGCAAATGAGTCGGAACGGTGGGAGGTGATTGCCCCGGTGGATAAGCCTTGTTGCATATCTTGGAGAAGAATGCGCCATGAAACGGTGTCGATAACCATGTGGTGTACAGTAAGTCCAACGTACCGGTCTCCGTTCGGAAGCTTGAAAATAATTGCACGCATCAATGGACCACGCTGCAAATCGAAGCCAGACTGGTTGGGTGCAGTGTATGGTTCAATAGCTTCCAAGTCAGGCACTTCCAACTCCTGGTACAAATGACTATTGGACCGGTCAAGAGGAATATACTGCATCCAGCGGCCCGATTCATCGCGCTGGAACCGAGCACGGAGCATGGGATGACGCTCTACCGTTGCATCCACGACCGGTTTAAGGTCGGAATCAGAATGAACCGATAGCAGGAACGTAGTGTTGTAACGATTGAGATCGCAGTGCTGTTTCAGGTCGAACTCCCAGGTCTGCTGAGGAGAAAGATTAAACGGAACACCAATATCGTCTTCCATTGGCTCAGCATCTTCGTCCAAAGGTCGCACTCTCGGTGCCAGTTCGGCGATAGTGGGACACTGAATGAGATCCTTAACTGCGAGCGAGAGCTTGGCATCACGGCACTGGGCGATAACCTGCATAGCGGAGATGGAATCACCACCAAGGCTTTGGAAGGACCGCTCCATACTGATTTGCTCTTCGGGTCGATTTAGCACGGAGGCCCAAATGCGTCTCAGCTCAAATTCGGCAGGTGTACTCGGGCCGCGGCCGCTAGCTTTGGATCCTTCGTTGGCAATCTGCTCATATGTGGCATCGTCCAGGGTCTCGACCCATCGCCGGACCTTCTTCCGGTCCAGCTTTCCGGAAGGCAACAAGGGGATCGCGTTCACTGGTACCCACAGGGCCGGCACCATGTAAATTGGAAGGGCTGCAGATATGGAGCTAGCGATTCTGGTCACGACCGCCATAATCTCGGGTCTCCTGTCCTCCGGCACGAGAGTTAATCGTCCCTCCTCAACAGGGAGATCGAAGCCTTTGAAAGAAACAACGACCAATAGCTGCTTCTTGAATGGGCCCTGAGATGGGAGCAAAGTGAGTGCCTGGTGGATATTCTCATCACGCTCGATATTGTACTCGATCTCGCCCAATTCAACCCGCTGGCCGCGAATCTTCACCTGCCCATCAGCTCTGCCGATGAAATGAATCGTGCCATCTGCATTGTATCGCACAAGATCACCAGTGCGGTAATACCGCTCACGCTTATGAGATCCTGGAACAAAGCTCTTCTGTTTGACAAAGGCGGCTGCTGTTTTCTCAGGATCACCCAGGTAGCCTCTCGCCAGAATTGGTCCTGAAATCAAGAGCTCACCAACAGCACCAATGGGAAGTAGCTTTGAAGGTTGCTTGGCATCAACAATCCAGAGCACACCACCAACAGCATGTCCAATGTTGGCTGGATCGGTAGTAGGTTGCAATCCTGGGTTAGCTGCTGCTGCTACAGAGCACTCACTAGGTCCGTATCCGTTGTACAGCTGTACCTTGTCAGCCCAGTTGAGAATGTCACCCTTTGAGAGAGCTTCGCCGCCAAGAACCAAAGTCTTCAATGAGGGCACATCGGACGGTTGTAAAAGCTTAAGGACAGATGGCGTAAGGAATGTCCAGTTGATATTGAGCACGTTGATGCAGTGCTTGATGTCCTTGCTCAAGTCTTCGTCCGGCACGCAAATGCATGCACCAAACATGAGTGATGTCATGATTTCCAGCAGACTAACATCGAAGCTGTAGGAAGCAAACTGCAGTACTCGTGATGAGGGACCCAGACAGGCAAGCTTTCCTTGAGCCAGGGCTCCAGAGCAGAATGCAGCATGCTGCACAACACATCCTTTTGGCTTGCCTGTGCTGCCCGAAGTGAAGATGACGTAGGCATCATGATGGGGGCGGGCTCTCACGACACCTTGGTTGAGATAGTCTTGTTCTTCGTTCAGTTTGTCGAGGAGATCCTGGTCAACACTGACAATGGTTGGAATAAGGTCGTTCCAGTTTGAAGCATATTTCGGAGATGCAAGAACAACGTTAGCAGCAGTTTGAATAGAGGCCTCGCGTAGCCGCTCCACCGGGGTTTTAGGATCCAGTGGGACGAACGCAGCTCCAGTACCCAGAACAGCAAACATGGCAACGATAGCCCATGCTGACTTTTCGAACGTCAAAGGCACGTAATCTCCGGCGCCAATACCAAGCCTGGTCAAGTATCGAGACAACGACAACCACATCCGTCCAAAATCCTGATAGGTTATCTTTTCGGCCATGGTGTCAATCGCAATAGCATGAGGGGTACGCATAATCTGTTGGAGCACGAGGTCCGGTACTGTGTACGATGAAATCTCCGGCACATCCTGGTTCCAAGATACAATCTGCGACAAATCATACCGGCCGATAACACTGAGCTGATCAACTCGGGCCTCTGGATGTTCGACCACGGATTTGAGGATGGCAGAGAATGTTCCCGATACGGATCCAGCTCGGGATTCTGAGATACAATCAGTCCAATATCCGAGTGTGATGTCCACATTGTTTGGCGAATCGACAACGTGAACCGTGATATTGTACTACTTCAGGTCAGTTATTGCAAAGCAATTCAGAGTAAAGTCATACCTCTGTCGGCTCCCGTACAATGAGACCTTCGAAGTCGACATCGGTGACAATGTCGTCACTATCAACGTCTGTCATTGTCTGGAAGGAAATGCCAGTGTTAAACAGAGGCATTCCTGCGAGTCCAAGTGAATGTTGAATCTCGGCGAGCGAGCAGTGCTGGTGTGCGAGAGAATCAAGGAACTCTTCCTGGCAAGCCTTCAAGGCGTCCTTGATAATAGTGGAGTCCTCCAGCAATGCCTTGCAAATGAGGACACTGATAGTTGGCCCGACCATGTTGACTAGGTCTTCGACAGGTGCATCTCTTCCGGATGCCAAGTAACCGAAACAAATATCATCTCGGCCGACATACACCCGACAGACGAGTGCCCAGACTGTCTGTAGAAGGTTCGAGATTGTGATATTCTGGGAGACACAGAAGTCACGCAGAACACTGGTAGGTATTCCTAGCTCTACCTGGACGTACTTCAGCTCAGTTGTACCTTCAGCCTCAGCTAATTTGGGAAAGTAGCATGGCTCGACTTCGGCAAGATGGTTCTTCCAGAAAGAAATGCTAGCGGACATGTCGTTTGCAGCAACATATTGGACGAAGTCCCTGTACTTAGCGCCTCCAGTGGGACAAACAAGGGTCCCCGCATAAGCTCGCTTCAGGTCCCTCAGAATCAATGACTTGGATACACCATCGACAATGGTATGACTAGCATCGACTCGGCAGAACACTCTACCATCCGCTGTGAAACTGATTGAGAACCGATGTGGAGGGACAACAGGGTTAGTGCCTAGTTCAATCGCCTCCTCCAGCACAGATGCAACATCGACATCTGAGCAAGGTTTCACCGAAACCTCCGCCCTAGGGCGTCTCAGAACAATTTGAGCGTATGGCTCCTTGCCGCCAAATTCGTCGGTGAAGATAGTCCTCAGGGCAGGGTGATGGTCGACTACCTTTTGCCATGAGGAGAGCAATCTGCCAATATCAACTGTGTCGTTTGCGCCGCAAGAGACTACCTCCCATCCAATGGATACATTGTAACTGCCTTGCTTCCTAGCCTGGCTCATAAGGAGACCCTGCTGCAACGGAGAGCAGGGATACATATCTTCTATTTGATTTGGTCTAAGGCCAACTCGTGGAAGGTGCTGACGGTTGACTCTCTCAAGGGATGGATGATCGAGTTTGAGCAATGGAAAGTCCGCCAAAGTGAATTCCTTAGCTGTATTGGACGCGAGGATCTCGACTGCTTGCGTGATGTTCTGTCTGTACAGGTTGGTAAATAGTAATAGCTTCTGAACGCTGACCTGATCGGATCCGACTGTGATTCTGAACTGTCCATCTTCGAGCAGACATGAAACCTCGAAAGTTGTGGGAACGATGGCGCCCAAGCCGTGTCGCCGAGTGGGGGTGGCTTGCTTCAACACGATACCTTCTGTAAGTCGGCTAGACAAGCCGTAGTTGAAGATGACATTGGAAGAGCCAAGCTTGCTACCTGGCCCCCTCTGGCGAACTTTGTCCTTAGTATCCCGGATTAGCTGAAGAGTGACTTGGTCCGAGTGTTCCACAGGCACGTGCACGGGTTGCAGCGAAGAGAATTGACCGACATGACCTCTCAAGTGTTTGCTAAGAGTCGACTCAGTAGCGGTTGTTTCGACAACAGCCAAGGTAGAGTGGTCATTTTCTTCTAGAATTTGGTGGTATGACAGGATCAAGGTCGCCAGAAGTAGATCCCCCGCGTTGGTGCCAAATTTTAGGTTGCACGGTCCAGTGAGAAGCCCAGTAATCTCGGAGCCGAGTTCTAGCTTCTCTGTGACATAGTCTCGATACCCACTAAGAGATTCAAGGGCGACAAATTGCAATGAGCCATTCATAGGCTCCATGCCACTTTCGCTCCTGAGGTGATCAAGCCAGGCATGAGAGAACTCATCTCGGGACAAAAGCTTACTTTCCCAGACGTTTTCCTCTTTTTCATCATTTGACTGAAGCAAGTAATCGAGGTGACTGATGACAGTACTTAGAGACTGTGAATTAAGGATAGCTGCATGCACGACGAGAGAAATGTGCTGTGTGCCACGAAGAGAGAACAGATCGATCATGAAATTTGGGTTACCACTCACACCAAGTGACGCCTGACGATGCTGCACAATTTCTTGTGCTTCTTCCAAGCTAGAGACATGGTTCAGATTCAAGTGGTAAACGGGGTTTTCAAGCTCGTCGTGGTCTCTGAATGTTTGCAACCATGTCCCGTTATGCTCATTGAAGCCGAGGGTGAGTGCTGGGTAGGAAGAAATGATACTATCCAAGGCATCGTTCAGCTGCTGGATACTAATCTTGTGATTGAGTTGCAGTAACATGGCGTGGTGTATGGCGCTGTTGCCCGAACGGGACGCCTCGAGGAAGGTGCGCTGTAGGTATGATATGGGGAGGTGATCTGTCTCGCTTCTCAGGAGCACATCCGCAGAGCCAGACTCCTCCAGCTTTGAGGCGATCTCAGTAACATTGTACCGCAACAGATCAGCTACTAGGACGGTGACTCCGAGTTTGCGGAACTCTGACATGACCGCCATCGCTTTGATAGAGTCACCGCCCACAGACAGGAAGCTGCTGTGTTTGCCAATTTGCTCCTCTGGTACGTTCAGAGCTTTCGCCCAAACCTTCTGCACGAGAATCTCTGTCTTGCTCGAAGACGCCTTGTCGCCAGGTTTTGCCGAGTTACCTATGATGTGTTGGAAGGCCTCGGTGCTAATATCAGCAACAAAATCCCCAACCTTCTTCCGGTCCATCTTGCCCGACGACATGAGTGGAAGACTCTCCAGGACAATCCAGATGGTTGGAACCATATAGGTGGGGAGCAGGTGTGACAGTCTTTCTGCAATCGCTTGGGTGTCTGCTGCGGCCTCGGAATGATTCACCAGGCGAATACTCGTGTGTGTCTGTATTGAAGCGGTTGTAAAATGCTTGTGGAGAGACACGATACCAACCAAGCGGGATTTGCAGTGACCAGTGTAGGGAATGAGAGCCATTCCGTTACGGATGACTGGATCTGTCCAGAGGTGGTGCTCTACCTCCCCTAATTCCATACGCTGTCCATTGAGCTTGACTTGGTGGTCCTTACGCCCAATGAAGTGAATCATGCCGTCCGCATCATATCGTACCAGATCACCAGTCTTGTAAAAGCGATTCCAGATTGAGGATGTACCCGACACCATCCAAGCCGGGTTTCTAAAGAAGGCTGCTGAAGTCTTCACAGGGTCCTTGATATATCCACGCGAGACAATAGGGCCTTGGATGATCAGCTCACCTGTGGCGCCAACAGGGAGAAGCAAGTTGTGATTTTGCGGATCAACAATCCAGCATACCCCACCAATTGCTCTACCAATATTCCGTGGGCTGGACTGGGGGTTGAGCTGAGTATTGGCAGTGGCTGCGACTGAGCATTCACTTGGCCCATAGCCGTTCATCAACTGGAGCCTTCCCGCCCATTTCATCATATCCGACTCTGACATAGCTTCGCCTCCCAGTACCAGAGTCTTTAAAAGCGGCAGTTGATCAGGAGTCAGCACCTTCAACACCGACGGTGTTAAGAAGGCCCAGTTGACACGAAAGTCATTCATGGACTGGACAAAGTCTGCACGTCCAAGCTGCTCGTTCGGGATACAGATGCAGGCGCCGAATATAAGGCCTGTAAGGATTTCCAAAATGCTCACGTCAAAGCTGTATGAAGCGAACTGGAATATCCGGGAATGGGGTCCCATGTTGGCGGCTTCACCCTGTCGCAGAGACCCACTGCAGAAGGACTGGTGCTGGATCATCGTACCTTTGGGCTTTCCTGTGCTCCCAGAGGTAAAGATCACATATGCGAGATTCTCAGGCGTGACGGTGACTGGAGTAAGACACCCGTCACCACTAGTTATTGTCCTGACCGTGTCTTCATTGACTATCATTGTCTTGACAGAGAAGTCATCGAAGAGATCGTGATGTTTGGCTGTCGTCAAAATAATCGGTGCATCAACTTGGCTGACGATCTCTCGTAGGCGTGATGAGGGATGCGTCGGGTCGAGGGGAACAAAGGCACCGCCGGCTTTGAGTACTGCAAGCAACGCCACTACATACCATGCCGACTTTTCAAAACACAGAGGCACAATTACCTCCGCCTTGACTCCCAGTCCGACCAACACCGTAGCCAGATGGTTTGACAGAGAATCCAGCTCTGCATACGTCATCTGTGCATCCCATGAATCAATAGCAGGAGCCTGTGGTTGCAAGGACGCTGTCTTTCTAACTAGCTCATGAGCGCACTCAATCACCGCATTAGGCGCGTTGGAATTCCAGCTGAAAATCCTCTTGTGGCTGAGTGGGCCCAAGTAACTTGCACTCGAAAGCTCAGTTTCTGAGTGGTTGTTGACCAATTCGAATGTACGATGGAGAGTATCGGCCAAATGGACTGCAAGGTCCTCAGATACTGTAGACGGAGTATAGAGCATGTGGATCTCAATGCCATTTCTATTATTAGTGGCATGAAGTTCGAGGTCAAACTATATGCGGTAAGTCTCTATCCTTCGGTTGCTGATGAACAGGTGGGTCTTGGGTCTTACATTGGGTGATGGCGAGATGGGTTTACCATTTAATCGCTCTTCACGAAAGATTACAGCGCTGCGGAAGGATTGGTAGGATTGAGTTTGCTGTTTCTCGTCTGGTGTTTCCAGTGCTGATCGAGCACTATGCAATGTTGCCTTCACTGCTTGGAGAAGGTCCTCAACTTTGCGGAACTCGTCCAATTCCAACGATAGATCTGTGGTTATCGTTAGTTTGTGCTGATTTGGGGGCTCTGCATACAATACTCACTCGTGGAGCTGGAACCAGTTGCTGTCTCGCGATGGAATTCAAAATGCACGCCTTCGGCATTATAGCAAAGAAGGGCAAGGCCAAAAGCCGTGCAAAGTACTCCAGATACCTCTGCTGTGTCTCCTGTCTTCACTTCAACAGGCAAAAAGTCGTCTATCGTAGCAGGTTCTCTTGTGACTGTGGTGGTGCCATCTTTGATGCTCTTGGGAGACTTAGAAGGGATGCTAAGATGAGATGGTTGAGGAGTGGATAAAGCGATCGGAGCCATTTTGCAGCTGATTGATGAGTGAAATGTCGGCTTGCAAACTGATAGATGCAGACTGCAGGCCACCTTAATTAAGGAAAGTTATGGAATGAAATGAAAGCCTCTCTTCCGGGTGATATGTCCATGTCGAGAAAGCCTTGTGCAAAGATGTCCGGCCTTCGAAGGCTTAGATCGAACCCGGGAGCCAATACTTTGCTCCCCTGTCAGCTTCGTGTTGTAGGTCTCAAGCAACAGGGGCTGAATTGATCTATCGTGCGACTGAAGTTGATACGATCCTTCTGCATGCCCTCATCGCGTAATTGTCGAGACGTCTGTATAGACCTTAGTCTCGATACCACGTCTGATACCAAACCGTCATGTAATACACATGTAACACTGGGACGGTAATGGTGACGGTAATGATACTGCAATCGGGGAGAGATGTCAGATTTGACCGGAACGGGAGGACCCACCGGCCACATGGATAGCAAGGATCCTTCCTGCATTGTTCAAGGCTTCGCACGTCGCGCCGCAACGCGATCGTGTGGGGTCCAAAACATGGGAGTGCAAGAGCCGCTGCAGGATCCGACCTGCACCAACGGCGTGGTTAGATTTACGCACCCGCCAATGAGCAGCACCCACGCTTAAACAGCGTCTCCACGGTCGTCTGTGCCATATGCCCCTCCTGGACATACACGCGCTCATGTTGGCGCAATGCCCCGACTATGTCGGGCACAGACAGGCAGCAGCTCTCTGCTGGGATTCCCACCTCAGGGTTTCGGATAGCATTCGAGCACCCCAAGCAGTGCTATCGACTTAGGCAGTGCGACTCAACGACTGCCAGAGTGAATTCAGGCAGTGCAGGGTCTAAAGCACGAACTGTATCGCTTTACTCCAGATGGCACACATCCGCGCTTGGTCTCAGTACCCCGCAGAACAGGCGAAGTCGCAATGAACTGCACCATCGCCTCTGAAGATGCTTTCGGGCCTCAAGCTCGGGCATGTTATGGCGGATACGACTTTACTTTGTTGTTCGAGGAGTCTGTGATGACGATCGGCCCGATCGGACTTTTACTCCTATGTCTTTTCCCTAGAGTGGTCTACCTATACAGAAAGTCACTGAGAGATGGAAGTAAAGATGGCGCTTATACAGCCAAACTCGTAGGTCACGATTTTTATCCCACTGTACCCGAGTCGTCGTCGCATGGTTGACTCGTCGCAGATCAGCTACGGATGGTTCGCTGCCATCCAAACGGCCATTCTAGTATCCTGGACATCGGGCGATGAACCCACAACACGCACGACTGTCCCAGCTGCGGCGCTCGGTCTGGTCGCCGCTGTTGCGCTCGGTCTCGCAGCGCACTTCGAACACACGCGCTCCGTGAAACCGCCCCTTATTATCGAAATTTACCTTCTATTCACTATCGCCTTCGATGCGGTTCGACTACGCACGCTATGGGGTATGGGATATCATGGTCACATATTCAAGTTATCGACTATCTTCGTCATATGGAAAGTGGTGTTGCTCGTGCAGGAGGCCTGGCCTCGGGAGCTTGGTTTGTTGGAACAGTCGTACAGTCCTGAAGAGAAGGTCGGCTGGATCAATCGGCGCATGTTTTGGTGGGTGAACCCGTTGCTGTTTCTGGGTTCCAAGAAAGATTTGCAGGCGGATGATCTCTTCACCCTTAACCGCTCCCTGCAATCTGAAGTATGTTCGAAGAGCTTCTCGGAGGTTTGGCAAAATGGTAAGCGTGTTTCCCCTTTCCTGTTCTTTGAAACCATTGCCAACTATGAACAGCAAAGCCGGCAAGAAAGGGCAAGAAAAATGGACTTCTTTGGATTATGGCTTGGGAGCACAAATTGGTCCTTCTGACTGCGGTTCTTCCGCGGTTGTGCTTCACAGCCTTCACCTTCACCCAGCCGTTCCTTATCGACGCTGTCGTTAAATACCTGCAGACTGTGTCGGAGAATCACAACCGTAAAGATGGATACGGATTACTTGGTGCATATATAATTGTATACGTCGGCCTGGGAGTGAGTTTGAGTAGACCTGGACTATCTTGCAGAGTGCTGATACTGGCTCAGATTTCCGAAGCATGCTATCAGCATATCACGTACCGCACTATTGTCCTCATGAGAGGTTGCCTTGTGCCGCTAATCTATGAAAAGACGCTCTCTATGGACCCCAAGAAGGCTGAAGAATATGCGCCAGTAACATTGATGAGCGCTGACATTGAGAAGATAGCTTTCGGAATGCGCTACATGCATGAGGCTTGGGGAAATATTATTGAGATAGCTTTGGCTCTGTGGCTGCTATATCGGGAGCTGAACTATGGAGGGCTGAGTCCCATTCTTATTGCCGTCGGTAAGACTCTTCAATGGAGCAGACAAGTTGAAGCTTGGTACTGACATTCAACTAGTTTGCGGGGCTACCGCTGCTACAATGGCACCAGCTGTCGGGAGGCGGCAGGCGACTTGGGTTGAGGGCATACAGAAGAGAATCGATGTCACAACATACATGATCAACTCAATGAAGAGCTTGAAGTTGGAAGGACTGACCCCTTGGTTTATGGACTTTGTACAGAATTTGAGGGTCAAGGAAATTGGATACGCTAATAGATTTAGATCTTTTCTCATATACGCTGTCAGCTTGTGTTAGTACATTGCTCCCATTGTTCATGATTAGATGCTCACTAACCTGCGATAGCATTCGGAACTTCAGTCATATCACCCGTCGTCGGCTTCGGCGTATTCATCGCCTTATCGCGATCTGACAACGGCCCGGAGCTGACCACCTCCAGGGCCTTCACCACATTGTCTCTGTTTTCAGTCCTTCAGAACCCAATGTCAATGCTACTGCAATCTGTTCCCAACCTCATCTCAGCCGTCGGGTCTATCGAGCGCGTGCGCGTGTTCCTGATGACCGAGAACACCAGAGAAGTGGGCTTCCTTAGCTCCTTTACCTCTGAGCAAACCCTGTTCCCAGAAATGGACAACATCCGGGACATGGAGATGCAGGATACCGAAATGGAGAATGCAGTTGAGGCATTGAACTGGAGCGTGGGATGGGTATCTACTCGCGAACCGATCGTGAAACGAATGACATTTAAGATCCGGCCGTCTACGCTTACGATCATCACGGGCCCAACTGGTTGTGGAAAATCAACATTACTTGCTGGTTTGAGGGGAGAGACAGCCGTGACAAAGGGGTACATGAGATGCCGCTATCCCTCTGCTGCATTTTGCAGTCAGGATCCATGGCTGCAGAATGGAACCATACTGAGTAATATTCTCGGCCCGGCTACGTACGAACCGCGATGGTTCCGGGAGGTCACGCAGGCATCTGGATTGAGGCAGGACTTGAAATCGATGCCGTTGGGTGTTCAGACGGTTGTGGGAAGTAAGGGACTGTCATTGAGTGGGGGTCAAAAACATCGGGTGGTGGGTTATTCGTTTCGACATAGAGCTCATGGTTGTCGAATACTAATAACAACAATTACAGGCACTTGCAAGGGCTCTTTATTCGCGACAGCCCTTGTTGCTTCTTGATGACATATTCAGTGGATTCGATGCAGAGACAGAGAAGCTGGTCATCGCACGGCTATTTGGCCAGAGTGGCTTTTGTAGGAAACACAACCTGACCACCATCCTTGCAACCCATTCCAGTAAGTGGAAAACCTGCGCACTCAAGAAGGATAGCTACTAATTTGGCTGTTGAAGCTCGCCTTTCCTCCTCTGCAGACTATACCATCACACTTGATAGCAAAGTCCATATTTCGGAAAAGAAGGGATCGATTGTTTCTAGTCTTCCTGGGCCTAGCGGTGGTGACTTTCTTTCAGAGCCCATATTGAGCGATGCAAGATTGAGTTGGATTGTGAGGCAGTCCAACCCCGATGTACCGCACGAGCTTGCCGCACAGCTTGAAACATCTGATGCTAGCCGCCGGACAGGAGATGTGACGATATACAAGTACTACCTGGAAATGGTCGGAATACTCAATTCTGTGGTTTTCTTTATCGCGGTCGCGATTTTCACATTCAGTCTTGCATTTCCGAGTGAGTGCCGCAATCCGCTATATCTGATCAAAGCTCACAGATGCAGGTGTATGGGTCCAATGGTGGGCTGCCGCAAACGAAAAGCACCCATACAAGGACCTCGGCATGTATTTGGGTGTATATGCTTTCCTGGCAGTTATGGCGGAGCTGTCGTTATTCTTAGGATGCTGATAAGTCTATACGCTGTCTCTACAAAAGGCGATGGCTAACCTAAAGCACGCATATGATGAGCAATATGATTCCCCGAGCGTCAAGGAAGTTGCATAAGATCCTCCTTCGCACGGTGCTAAAGTAAGGTTTTTTGACCATACCGAAGACTTCTGCTGACTCCTGCAGTGCTCCCATATCCTTCTTTCACACAACCGATTCTGGTGTGACGACCAACAAGTAAGATCCTTTCGCTGTATGATGATATGAAGCTCAAGAGGCATTAGGTTCAGTCAAGATATGCAACTGGTGGACATGGAGCTACCCCTTGCTCTTGTCGAAACAAGCGTCGGTATGTCCGATATATCGTTCTCTGGTTTTGAATAGATGACCTTTGCTAACCTAACTAAGCTCTCATGTCTGCAATAGCACAGCTCCTAATAGTATTCATCACTGGAAAGTACCTTGCAGCTATCATTCCGCTATGCCTGGCAGTCTTCTACTTCCTGCAAAAGTTCTACCTTCGGACATCACGACAGCTACGGTTCATGGAGCTTGAAGCCAAATCTCCCCTCTATTCCAACTTCATGGAGACCGTGAACGGACTGGTAACCATTCGTGCTTTCGGATGGCAGTCTGACTTTCTTACGAATATTTGCGGCCTAACAGATGCATCGCAACGGCCTTATTACCTGCTCTTCGTTATCCAGCGATGGCTCACTCTCGTCCTTGACATGGTTGTGGCAGGAATGGCGACGCTGATTGTTGGCATTGCTGTCGGCGCTCCCGGGTCCATTGGAGCCGGTTCTGCAGGACTGGGGTTGCTGAATATCATCAACGTGAGCGAAAGTTTGAAGCAGCTAATTTCGAATTGGACTGTGTTAGAAACTTCAATCGGAGCAGTGTCACGTGTCAGGCAGTTTCAGGATGAGGTTCAGCCTGAAGATAGGCCGGATGGGCACATTGAAGTTCCAGCGCGCTGGCCGGAGAGAGGCGACGTTAAGTTCTTCAATGTCTTTGCTTCTTACAGGTAATGCCTCCACACGGAATTCAGAAGCCATACTGACTGGTAATTTGATAGACCTGATGACCAACCCGTTCTCCATGACGTGACACTGTCGATAGCAGCGGGTGAGATGGTCGCTATTTGCGGTCCTAGTGGCAGGTACGTTGCCTTTGTCTCTCCTACAGATCGCTACATAATACTAAGGTCGTGAAGTGGCAAGAGCTCACTAGTTCAACTCCTCTTCCGCCTTCTCGAACCCGACAATGGTCAGATTACCATCGACGGACTGGACATTAGCTCTATCTCTTGCCAGGACATCCGATCATCTCTCTCGTGCATATCCCAAGCAGTCACCATCCTTCCCGGTACTGTACGACAAAACATAGACCCTCTTGGGAAGGAACCTGACGAGAGTATTATCAATGTCTTAAAAAAGGTCAAGCTATGGGACATTGTATCAACGCAACTTGGTGGCTTGGACGGCCTGGTTCAGGAAGAAAGCTTCTCGCAGGGACAGAAGCAGCTTCTTCGCTTAGCTGCTGCTATGTTGAGGAAGAGCAAAGTTGTTGTTCTAGATGAAGCGACGAGTAGGTATGTTTATCATCGCATCTCAAATCTAGTGATCGGGTATGCCTTAAGGTCGAATATAGCTGATATTGTGCCGCACAGTGTCGACCCCGAAACTGACGATCTCATGCAGCAGCTGATTCGCACAGCATTCGCAGATTGCACAGTCATTGCAGTTGTGCATCGAATCCATACAATCCTTGATTTTCACAAGGTGGTTGTCATTGAAAGTGGACGCATTATCGAGTCTGGCCCTCCGAAAGAGTTGCTGGCCGAAAATGGCCTGTTCAGCCAACTTTACGGAAAAGGAACCACCACTACCACCATAGACATGGACCCCGAGAAGTCCTGGCTCAGAGTTTGAGCGATTAGAAGCTCACGAAGTTTTCCCTTTTCGATGTGGCCTTCTCAAGGTGTTATTATCAGGCGTTGTGTTTTTAGATGGTGCTTGGATGTGATCGGTGATGTTTGACGTCGGTGCATCTACTGCCGCTCAGTGGCATACAGCACCGGCGATATACTGATAATCTTATTTCCCATTTGTTCTGCTGCATTCCATAACATCCCCTATGCGTTTTGCAACCTTATTCTGCTTATGCAGCAGTGACTCATTCAACGGAATTAATTCCTTCATAATTCCAAATACTTCCGGATCAACCATTCCGGCTTATCAGGCCACGTCTCCCAACGGTTGAGCATAAAATATAAAATTTATGTTTTTCTATACAATTCTCTACATTAGATCAACATAACACTTCACTTTGGGTGTATCAAGACCATACTCAGCATGGCGTCCCACTATCTCAGCACGTCGCCGGATACCAACATCCATTTCACCATTACTAAAGCACAGTCTCCATCTTCACCTACGCCCCTTCTTCTCTTTCTCCACTACTGGGGTGGTTCGAGCGCAACATGGTACAAGCAAACCTCACCTACTTCCCCACACACCTTGAACAACATATACAACACTGTTACAGCTGATCTTCGCGGCTGGGGTCAGTCCACAGGACCTGCAGACTCCGGCGCCAGCTCAAAAGACTACTCCATTACGCCCATGGCATCTGATATCGTCTCCATGCTATCGCACCTCCAAAGCACCACCTCCCTCCTCGACAACGGTGTGATCCTAGTCGGTCACTCCATGGGAGCAAAGGTTACACTGGCTACTCTCTCCAAGCTTTCCGACAATCAATTATCCCTCGTGAAGGGCCTCGTGCTTGTCGCTCCGGCGCCCCCAACTCCATTGGTACTCCCTGCTGAGATGAGCGAACAGCAACGCAAAGCGTATGATAACGAAGGCTCCGTTCGGTGGACGGTCGAGAACGTTCTGTCCAGCGTACAGAATATTTCGGGTTACGATATGGAGTTGGTCGTCAAGAATAGTCTGGCAGGGAGTACTCTTGCTCGGGACGGCTGGATTCTACATGGTATGCAAGAAGATATTACATCTGCTTTAGATGAGGTGTCTACTCAGCTTGAGGGCCGGAAGGTTAAGGTGGGTGTGCTTGCTGGGGCGGATGATATTGTTGAGAACAAGGATCGGGTCGAGAAAGAGGTTGCTGGGGCGCTTACCCAAAGAGGCTTTGAGGTGCAGTTTGAGGTACTAGGGGGCGTGAAGCATTTGATTCCGTTGGAGAGCCCGGAGAGCGTGGCTAGAGCGATTCGTTCGATTGTTGAATAATGTTTATATTTAGATGTCTTGACTGAACAAGACGAGATCCAGTCAGTTTTCGTGTACTATTCATTCTGTCCATGTATATAGAGTGAGGTGGCAATGCACATACCATTGACTTTCACGTCTTTTAAGACTTGATAATGCTGTCTTTCACTAATTTGAAATTTATATGTACAAAAGCCACGTCTGGGTGCATATATAAGATGGGGCTGTGGTTTAGTGGTATAATATTCCCTTAGCATGGGAGAGGTCCGGGGTTCGATTCCCCGCAGCTCCATTTTTTGCTCATATTTTTTAGTATCACTAAGAGGTACATGAACATGATTGTACACACATGCCTTAACCCCATAACACTAAATGATGTTTTGGGCGAAGACACTCAAAACTCATACTCATGTGTTTCTACACCCTACAGTGTCATACGAAGTATGTTAACATTTGTAGCCATCATCGGTCCTACTCTCATGTTAGGGTGTGCTAGAGTCACCTGACAATGAAGAAATATCGCCGGATCGCAGTTCGCAGCAGCACTGACGGGACCAGGTCTCCGCTTGTGATCAACTGGTGTCTGAGACGTAGTTTAGTCGAGAGACTGGCTAGCTCACAAGCTCCTGCCAAGAAACTCAGCTGCGGAGTTGAAAAGACTGCCCCTGGATATACAATAATACAATATTCGCATTAACCAATAAGCTCCTTCACCTTCTTATCGGCGACAGTAAAGGAGTAGCCGCTGCTGCACAGGTGGCACCATAAGCTCGGAAATAGAGTTTCGCAAAGAGCAGCATAAGACACGTGCATGCCACGTTTCGAAGCCGATTAGCGTTGGGGCTGGAATGTTCCAGGATAATTGCATTAATCAATGTACTGGGTATCTGTATCAATCTCGGTCTCGAAATTCCACTCACATATGACATCACGGGCTGTCGCCATCGGTCAGGGGCTGATAATTTCATCCAAAAGGATCCGAGGAGAGCCGGCTGCAGCCGCAATTGGAGGATCTCCCGCAAGGGATTCAGTTCCTGACTCACGAGCAGCGATCCTCCCCTGATGATAGGCGAGGATTACCCCGGAGGGATGTGTCCATTCTTTGTCTGGCTCCACTGAAGCTTCGCGTTCCAACACTTGAGGCACTACATTTGATACACCAGTTTGGGACATTTAGCGCCGATGTGTTTGGTATCCATATTTTATACCTGTAACAATTGGTAATACTGTTTTACCAACAATACGGTTGTGTATGGAACGTCAAGAACACTCATCACCGTCACGTATGCAGCCTCCCATTCAGCTCCGCCTCGTCGGATCCTGCAACATGCATTTTTACGCTGCATATGAGATTATCCTTCTGTTGTACACTTGGTTCCAGATCGCTCGGTCTTGCCACTGCTGACCGAGACCTCCGATCTGGCCCAGTCCTTATTGTGAGATGATCGCATTGCCAGGCTTATCTCCCCGTGCCACCGTGGGTGGTATGATATATCACTTCACAGGGCAACTGTTCTGAGTCCAGATTCTGGAGTGCAGTTGAGTCTCCTTTCACTTTATTCCCTCATGATGACCGTCAAGACGCCGTTGTCGAGTTTGAGCTCGGAATTTGCGGGCCTCACTCCCGAAATCTCCCGGACGTCTTCTGTCGCCGGCGACAAACGGTCGTTGATCGCTGCATATGGATCTGTTAATACGACGATCTCCCTACCTACATTACAGCTGCCGTTGGCAACCCAATTGTGGAAGGAATTCAGATCGAACTTGCCTTCGTCCTCCCCAGAAAACGACTTAACTATTAAAGAAGGACTCGTCGCCGAGTTCATCAACTTCTGCATCACCCGGTCTAGCGACGACACTCATTGTGACGACCCCGCGCAAGTACTCCAGTTCCTCGAATCTCTGTTAGAAGCTTTTGAGCAAGACTTTCTTGGTGGAAATGATGTTCACTCCGCCGTATCACACCTTGACACTCAACATAAAACCCCCATAATCAAAGCATACTTCGCAGCATACGGAACCCTCAGTCGCAAGCCTAGGCGTCAACCTTCTATTCTCCTCGAGTCCGTTACAGATGGACCGTCACGTATATACGCAATATTTGGTGGTCAAGGAAATGACGAGAAATATTTCGCGGACCTAAAAGACACCTACGCGACTTACACCGACATCCTCCGTCGGTGTGTCTTCTCCGGAGCCAGGTTGTTCGAGGACCTCGCTGGGGCATCTGTATTCAAAACCCACTTTCAACATGGCTTCGCGCTCATGGACTGGCTGGAGAAGCCCGACTCTGAGCCAGAGACCTCGTATCTTCTGTCTGCACCCGTTAGCATGCCCCTGATCGGTCTCCTCCAAATGTGCCACTTCATCGTGGCCTGTCAGACAATGGGACTCTCACCGAGAGAGATGCATGGCTATTTGTCCGGTGTAACGGGTCATTCACAGGGAATTGTCGTAGCCCTCGTGGTATCTGTTTCCGATACTTGGGAAGACTTCTACCGACACTCTCTCGAAGCCCTCCGTATACTTTTCTTCATCTCCTGTCGCAGCCACGAAATTTTCCCTCCCCAGTCCATTCCTGAGTCAATAAGACAGGACGCAGAAGATAACGGGGAAGGAACACCTGGACCCATGCTGAGAGTAAGAAACCTCCGACAGGGTCAACTACAAAAGATCGTCGATGAAGTCAACAGCTATCTCCCAGATGAATCCCATGTCGCTATATCCCTCTTCAATGGCCCCCAGAACCTCGTTGTTACCGGGTCGCCTCTCAGTTTGTACGGCTTGAGCCGCCACTTGCGTGGATTAAAGCCCCCAAATACTATCCGCGAAGCACAGATCCCGGCTAGCAAGCGAAAGCCTAAGATCGAGCATCGCTTCCTTCCCATTACAGCACCCTTCCACAGCATATACCTCGATAGAGTCGTTTCTCTGGTTATGAAAGACCTCGGGGATATCAACATTACAGGCAACCAACTACGCATTCCGATTTACGCTACAACCGATGGCCACGACATGCGTTCTCACGGAGCCAGTAACCTAATCGGTGATATCGTGAGCATGATTGCGCGCGAACCAGTACACTGGGAGAATGCGACCATCCTTCCGAACGCTACTCACATAATCGACTTCGGTCCGGGTGGCAGTGCTGGTGTGGGCGCTGTTACTATGCATAGCCAGGCAGGCCAGGGTGTGCGACTGATCCTAGGTGGCTCCATGAAGCACAGCGAGGAGTATGGGGATAAGGCTGAACTTTTCAACCGTGACTGCGGCTATCCCGTTGTGTATGCGGAGAACTGGGCGGAGGTGTACAGGCCGCGCCTAGTTAGAGATGCAACGGGTAAGGTCATTGTTCAGACCAAGTTTAGCGAGTTGTTGGGTCTGCCTCCTATAATGGTTGCTGGTATGACTCCCACTACTGTGCCATGGGACTTTGTCTCTGCTACCATGAACGCTGGATACCATATCGAGCTTGCTGGCGGTGGATACTACAGCAAGGGTGCCTTGGAGGAGGCAATCAACAAGATTGTGCAGAACGGAATCCCAGGGCGAGGGGTAACATGCAATATCATTTATGCGAGCCCCAATTCTGTTCGCTGGCAAATTCCCCTGCTGCAGGAGCTCCGTGCCAAGGGCGTTCCCATTGATGGAATGACAATCGGAGCAGGTGTCCCCTCAGTCGACGTAGCCAATGAATACGTCGAGACACTTGGACTAAAGCATATCGCATTTAAGCCCGGGTCTGTTGAGGCTATTCAGCAGGTCATCGACATCGCCCGCGAGAACAAGTCCTTCCCAATTATTCTCCAGTGGACTGGTGGCAGAGGCGGCGGCCACCACTCTTATGAGGACTTCCATGCCCCAATCTTGGAGATGTATGGTCGCATCAGAGCGTGCAAGAACATCGTTCTTGTCGCTGGTAGCGGCTTTGGCGGTGCCGACGATACTCTGCCCTATTTGACTGGCGAGTGGAGCAAGGCATTCAATGCGCCTTCCCTGATGCCATTTGACGGTATCCTACTCGGTAGTAGAGTTATGACAGCCAAGGAGGCCCATACCAGTATTGAGGCCAAGCAGCTGATTGTGGATATCCCCGGTATAGACGATGCGGTGTGGGACCAGACCTACACACGACCTACTGGAGGAATCATTACCGTTCGGTCCGAAATGGGCGAGCCAATTCATAAGATCGCAACCCGGGGAGTACTCTTCTGGGCCGAAATGGACCGAACCGTGTTCAGCATTGCAGACAAAAAAGCAAGGGCTGCCTTCTTGCAAGAGAACAAGAAGCGTATTATCGACCGTCTCAACAATGATTTCCAGAAGGTGTGGTTTGGACGAGACTCAGATGGCAAGGCCTGCGAGTTGAACGAAATGACCCTATCCGCGGTTGCATGGCGAATGGTCGAGCTACTCTACGTCAAGCATCAGGCCCGCTGGATACATCACAGCCTGCAGCAGTTGACGTTCGACTTTCTTCAATGGCTCGAGGACGTCGTTGGCAACTCATCCGGTAACTTCGAGTCCCGATTCTGGCAGACAGTTGGCCAGATCGAGGAGCCCTTCGCGGCCATTGAACAGTTCCTAGCCAAACATGCTAGAGCAACTTCGGAGCTGATGGATGTACCAAGCACACAGATATTTATTCACCTCTGCCAGCGTCGCGGCCAGAAGCCTGTTCCATTTATTCCTGTTCTCGACGAGGACTTCGAGGTATGGTTTAAGAAAGATTCATTGTGGCAGTCGGAAGACGTTCAGGCAGTGCCGGGCCAGGATGTTGGCAGGACCTGCATTCTACATGGACCTGTCGCCGCCAAGCACACCACGGTACCAAACGAGCCGATCAAGCATGTGTTGGATGGTATCCACTCTCAGTGGGTCAGGTCCCTCACAGGGTTGGGATATGACAATGAGCAAGCTCAGACTCCACTGACCGAAGAGGGGATGAGTGAAGTGCCAAGCGAAATATCTCTAACCCGAACATACGACCCAATGCTTTTCGGTGAGGAGCTGCCCTCAATTGAGCCCTGGATGCAACGACTGGCCGGCACGCAGAAGGGCTGGAGACATGCTCTCTTCTCGCAGATTTCTATCGTCCAAGGGAACAGTCTGTGCGATAACCCCATTAGACGACTCTTTGCTCCTCGACATAATACCTTTGTTGAAGTAGAGGAGTGCACTGCTACCGAACAGTCTGTCGTTCGCCTTTTCGAGCGAACAGCAGATGTGCTGCAGATCTTGGCTATTGAGGTGCGTGCTGTTAGCGGAGACGTAATCAAGGCCACACTGTTCGAAAATCGCACTGTCACTGGAGCACCGGCAGGGCTCGAGCTTCTATTTACCTATCATCCTGAGTTTCCGTTCGCGCCTATCCGTGAGGTAATCTCCGACAAGATTGAGCGCGTTAAGGACTTTTATCATCAACTTTGGTTTGGTGAGCCGCTGAGCTCTGCTGGTGTTCTCTCCCAGGAAGATGAATTCTACGGTGATGTTGTTGCAGTAACCGCTGAGGATATCAATAAATTCAATCAGTGCATCCGCAGTACAGCCACATCAAGATCTCGATCGAGCTCTCAGCAGACAATGGATGCTCCCATGGATTACGCGATCGTCGTTGCCTGGAAATCGGTCATGAAGCCGCTGTTCACTAAGAGCATCAGCGGCGATCTCATGAAACTGGTCCATCTTTCCAATCAATTCCGCAGGCTTGGAAGCTCTGAACCCATCAAGGAGGGCGATGTTCTTTCGTCAAGAGCACATATCCAAGCCATCCTGAATGAAGACTCAGGCAAAGTTGTGGAAGTTGCCGCCTTGATCAGCAGGGACGGTATGGATATTGTTGAGGTCGTTAGCCGCTTCATGTACCGCGGATCATATGGCGACTATGACGCAGCCTTTCAGCAGACAAAGGAGCCCAAGGTCGAGCTCCAGCTCACAAGTCTCAAGGATGTGGTTGTTCTTCACTCCAAGCCGTGGTTTCTGCCTCGGGACAAAGATCTAGATCTCAAGGGTTATAAGCTCACATTCGAGCTGGAAACGCATGCCCAGTTCCAAAGCAAGTCGGTTTTCCGCCAGCAGAGGTGCTTTGGTCACGTTTATGGTCGCTCCCCAGCAGGCGAGACTCTCGAGGTAGCTTACATTGATCACACCGTGGGCGTCTCGACCAGCAATCCCATCATGGACTACCTCAAGCGTCATGGAAGTGTAGTAGAGCAGCCGGTCCTGTTCCAGTCACCAATCACACTCGGCGGCGGAGAGATCCATTTCAAGTCACCCTCATCCAATCAAGACTATGCTTCCGTCTCCGGTGACTATAACCCAATCCATGTGTCCAAGACCTTTGCCGCCTACGCAGAGCTTCCAGACACAATCACCCACGGCATGCACATGAGCGCAAGGGTCCGTGGCTTACTTGAGCAGCTTACTGTCCCTGGAAACCCAAGTGGCTTTAAGCGCTATCAGTGTAATTTTGTCGGGATGGTTCTTCCGGAGGACGATGTGGAACTGGTACTGCAGCACGTTGGCATGGTGAACGGACGGAAGCTTGTTCATGCAGAGGCCCGTCGCGCCGGTAGCGGGGACAAACTGATCGTTGCGGAGGCAGAAATTGAGCAGCCCAGTACTGGTTTCTTATTTACCGGCCAAGGAAGCCAAGAAAAGGGAATGGGCATGGAACTTTACGCCTCCAGCCCTGCAGCGCGGAAGGTGTGGGATCTGGCTGACAAGCACTTCCTTGAGAATTTCGGTGAGTATCATCTCTTTCACATGAGTGCATTTCTAACGCTACCAGGCTTCCGCATTACCGACATTGTCCGCAATGATC